GTCTGATCAACTTGAGTGGGGACAAGCAAGGTTATTGTAGCCCTCAATGAGTACTACAAGTTCCATTAAGGCCCCAAGCCATGTTTGTCCCTATCCCTAACGGGATGCACCTTGTAAGTCTAAAGTTCCATCCTTCAAGATTCTAATTTCGGTCGAATTTGGCGATCAATTTTGCGTCTCGTTTTCGCGCCTCTTTTTCGCGTTTAATTGCGCGGTTGAAAATCGAATTTCCGGTCCTTGTGTCGGTCAAGTCGGTTTGTGAGCCGTTGGCCTGCTCGACGCTTCGCATCGAGAGCACATCCATTGGAGCATACGACGCTCGGTTTCGGCCAGCGGAAACCTTCGGCCCGCGGCAACTTCATTCCTGCTTCCCCGCGGAGATCAATCGGCACGGGCGTCGGTCCACGATCGGCACAGAAGCCAGCGCCATCAAGCGGTGATTCGTTTCATGCGAGCAAGTGGGTGATTCTCTTTGATGAGTCGGGTTCGCTTATCTTGCGTGACGAAAAATGACCACGATACGATGACCACGCGGCCTTTCAACCCTACTATGCGGTCGTTAGCGCATTGCCATCCCCCGTCTTTTCCGACCATCATCTTTCCCCGCTTTGGCTGGGGCTGCTCCCCGCTGCACAAGCCGAGTCGACCCCCGCAGAGTGCCGAATCATGAGGGGCCCCGTGCGTTCGGCTTCGCCGATGCTGGCTGGAGCTGGCTATCGGCCCGCGATTTTCTGCATCGGCCCGGGAGCTCCTGCCATCCCCCGCACCCGTTACCCCCACATGGCCGAGGAGTCTTCCCGTAACACGTGGCCTGTGTTGCAGTCATGCGCGAACTCGTCTAACTGCTATATAGAGACGCACCACACGGCGCAACGGTCCATGATGGCCACGCACGTACGTCAGTCTCCCTCAACATGACGCTGCAACACATAATTGCCAAACATCCCAATCCCCCCGAGAACGATCCGCGCTATGACGGCGATTCAGCGTATTCGCTCAAGACTTTGCCCGCCGGCTGGAGATCCTCCGCCACCAGCAAGGCGCTCGACGAGGACTTGATCTTCGAGAAGAACGTTCCAATCAAGCTTCGAGACGGGATCACCATCTTGGCAGACATCTTTCGTCCCGTGAAACAGGAAAAGAACTTGCCTGCTATCCTTGTCTGGTCCCCGTATGGAAAGACGGGACGTGGCAAGTGTTCGATCTCGGCCATCGCTTGGCTCGAGGCCGGCATCTTGCCCTCCGAGCTTTCCGGGCTCGAAAAGTTCGAGGGACCGGACCCGGCACGATGGTGCCCTAAAGGCTACGCTGTCATCAACATCGATCCCCGGGGAACGTACGACAGTGAAGGCATCCAGTCACCCGTGCCAAGCCGGGCCATGGTTCAAGACGCTTACGACGTCGTGGAGTGGCTCGCCGTGCAGCCCTGGTGCAACGGCAAGGTTGGAGCCGCGGGTAACTCTCAGCTGGCCATGTCTCAGTTCTTTATTGGCGAGAGCCAGGCGCCTCACTTGGCTGCTTTGGCTCCTTGGGAAGGGTAGGTCTGAGTTCCAAGCCGATCGAGCGGCGCAGATTCGCAAACATGCGCTTGGTTGCTGACTTGCCATGATCCGCTCATCGTTGCAGCCTCACCGACAACTACCGTGCCACGGTCGCCCGTGGAGGCATCCCGGACACCGAATTTGCGGCGTCTATCTTCGGCTTGCTCTGCGGGCGAGACCGATTCGAGCTTCTGACGGACGAACTCGAGCAGCCTGGCCAAGACGGGCTGTACCGCGAACATGCGCGCAACATCAACGCGTCGCCTTCGTTGATCAAGGTTCCCCTGTACATGACTGCCTCCGTGGGTTCCGTCATCCACCTTCAGGGCAGCATTCTTGCGTGGAAGAAGGCAGCCTCGGCAGACAAGTGGTTAGTGCGATTTTCACCGTCCGTCGCAGGCCACTCGACGACGGATCGCTGTTGTCGCAAAAATGGATGTTCGGATCGTGATGTCTGATTCCCATGTCTCATTCTCGTAGGCTGCGTTTGCACGGCGGTCAAGAATGGTGGGACTTGTACCACCAACAGGACGATCTGGAGCGCTTTTTCGACCGATATTTGAAGGGCCTCGACAACGGCTGGGAGCAAACCGCTAGAGTCCGGTACCAGCTGCTTCCATTCGGACCCCTCTCGAGTCCCAAGACGTTGGCGTACAGGACGGCGGCAGACTTCCCTCCTCCAGAGATGAAGGAGATGAAGCTGTACCTTGCCGGCGTGGGAGCGCTTTCGCTCGAGCCGCAAGGGACGGCCGCGTCCGTCAGTTACGATTCTAGCGATCCGGATGCGATCGCGAGCTTGTATGGAAGAGCGACAGCAATGTGGGTGTCGTTGGCCTTCCCCGCATCAAGCTGTACGGCGCCAACGACACGCAGGAAGACTTCGACATTTACATCACCCTACGCAAGGTCGACAAGGATGGTCAAACCCTCTTCCAATACTGCTGGCCGCTCGACGATCTTCAGGCCGTCGCAAAGGCGCAGGGCAAACCGATCCCTGCAAGTCACGAGCAGTATCCCGCGCTCAACACGGCCGTCTACGTTGGACCCAGCGGTCGAATCCGGGCGTCGCATCGCAAGATTCGGTCTCCTCGTCCCGGCGACGAGGAGAACAATCTCTCGTGGCCGGGGTGGCCTTTTCATCCTCACGACGAGCGACAACCGGTTCCGGCGGGCACGATTGTCCCCATCGAAACTGGTATCTGGCCTGCCAACATCGAGGTTTCCAAGGGGGAAGCTATAAGACTCGACCTGACCCCGGTCAAGAAGGATCTTTTCGATTTCCCTTGGCAAGTGCGCAACAAGATTACCAGCAGTCAGAAAGGCACGCAGAGCTTCCACTTTGGCGGCAGCTACGATGCCCATCTTATCCTCCCAATGATCCAGCTCTGACCATCATGACAATCATGGGCAAGAACGATGTGAAAAGTTGCAGATACCGACGTGAAATTTTGTCAAGATCAGGCCATCAAGGCAGAGCATGCGAAGATGATGGTGGCTGCGTTGATGTGTTGCACACACTGGAACCAGGTGATGCCCGTTGTTTCTCATATTCGCATTTTCCTGCGTGTGGAAATGGAAGCATTTCCGGGCAAGTCGGGCTCTCCGGTCATCTGTTGGTCGCTGTCGGTCGGAACGGCAAAGGTGAGCGAGAACTCCATGGACTTGGCAGGATGGCGCGGACACGGGCTCGGCTGTGCTTCGGATGTCGGCTATTCGGAATCCGGGCGAGATGCACGGCCATCATGCATGCAACACCGCTTTGGCCAAGGTTGGCACGGTACCATGTTGTAGATGGCGAGGCTGTGCTGCAACGCACATGCAGCTCAGGCGTGCAGCAGGATGTGGTCTTCACGACGCCCAAGTTCTTGCATCTTGCCAAGGGTTTGCTTTGATGACCGCCGCTCGTGCCAACAAGGCTGTAGTCTGAGTCCGGGAAAGCGCTACAAATGGAGCGCCTGATCCTCGTCCATTGACGGTTCGCTCGTCATCACCGCATTCGGGTTACATCACAGAATCCTCGTCATGTCGTCGCAAACCGATGATGATTCGGTGTGGCAGCTAGTTCCGGCCAAGGAAAGCAAGCTACCCGGCGTGCATTACAGGTTTCTCGACGCCAACGAAAGTGCATCGAGCCATAACGATGTCGAAACCTTGCAGATCCCACTGCTCAGGCTAGTGCACCTGCTCGTCGGATCGAGGACGGGTGCCACGACGGTCTCACAGCATGCTCTCAAGCTCAACATTGGACGGCTTCGGTCGGCGCAGCTCGTCGTTGGACGCTACAACGCCAATCCCGGCTGCTCTGTTGCGCGCTTCCGAGCCGCCGAGCTGTTGTCTTCGCTGGGCGTCGCATCCGCCGCCGCCGCCAAGAAAGCTACGCAGCCAGATCGCATCCACATTGCCGGCCTCGACTCGTTGCTCAACAGCATTGACCCCGTCGATGGCGGTCTCGGAGACCGTCACGACCTGCAGGCCGCCTATGTCAGCTTTGACGATCTGGATGCCTGCTTTGCCCCTGGCAGACTGGTGACGTACCCGACTTCGGTAGGACACGCTTCTGAGCGGACCGCGGCACGCGTCTACTCTTGCCACTTTGAAGAGCGACGCAGTGCCTTTGGTAGTATCGAGCGCCAGTTCAATCTGGAGCTGGAGATGGTCGTGCCTCTCGGAAGCCGACTTGGACTGGTGACATTCACCGAGACGTTCAGCGGTTGGACGGGTGAGCGACGCAAGCGCATCGCCGAGCTGCTTGTCCGCCCGCTTCTGCCCGGCCGAGACGAAAAGGAGCTGGAGACCTTTGAGCTTCGCGGCCGTCGATGTCTGTCGTTGCTTCCTGGCGCCAACGAGGCGGAGCGCTATCGCTTCCTCGCCTACGAGGCCGGGGGCTTCTTTGCGCATGCCGATCGGACGACTAGCACGGCGTCGACCGCCGCCTTGGCCAGCGCTGCCGGTTCCGGCGGTCGTATCGTTATAGACGGCGACATGGCGCTGGCTCTGGGCCACCATCCGTCGCAGGGCAGCAGCGAGGCAGACCATGCCCTTCTCTCTGCAGCGGGAAGATACAAGCGATCCGGTGACAACGCTGAAGGGCTCTTGGTCCTCGACGCGATGCCTGACAGTCTTATTCCGCTCGTGTGGCCTGCCTTGTCTGGCTTCAGCCTGACTGCGAAAAGATGGGGCCATGTGCTTATTTCTTCGCTGTCGGAGATCCGTTTCAACCGAGCCGCCTTCGACCAGCTCGTTCTGTCTCCCGAGCGCAAACGTTTGATCCACGCCGTTGTCAATGCGCATCGACAAGAGCAGCCGGGCCAGGCAAAGCGCACTGCACGATTCCGCGACATTATTGCGAGCAAGTCAGGAGGCACGGTCTTCTTGCTCCATGGCGCGCCCGGCGTGGGCAAGACGCTGACCGCCGAGGCGGTGGCAGAGATGCTGGGGCGGCCGGTGTACTACGTCACCATGGGCGAGCTGGGCACGGCGGTGGGAAACGTCGAGGCGCGATTGGCACAGGTGCTGGATCTGTGCGCTGCGTGGCGTGCGGTGGTGCTGATCGACGAGGCCGACGTATTCCTCGAGCGCCGCGCATCTGGCGGAGCGGGCGACATCCTGCGCAACGCCCTCGTGTGCGTGGTGCTGCGTCTGATCGAGTACTTTTCAGGCATCCTGTTCCTCACGACGAATCGGGTAGCCTCGTTCGATCCTGCGCTGGAGAGCCGCGTGACGATTGCACTTCGCTACGATGCTCTGGATGCCGGCGCTCGCGAGCAGGTGTGGCGGAACTTGCTGGGCAATTTGGAGGACTCGGACGTGGATCTGGGGCAACTGGACTTTGGGCGACTTGCGAAGCACGACCTGAATGGCCGGCAGATCAAAAACACGATCCGGCTGGCGCTTGCACTGGCTGTCGACTCGCACTCGCCTCTCGACCAGGCCCTGCTCGATCTCACGCTTCAGACGACGATGATCGGCCGACTGGAGATGGAAGGCGGCTATTCGATCTGATGCACAGATCTCGATCACTCATCCCCATGTCTTTTGAGCTCGTCTGTCAAAGCTCTTGTGCAAGTGACAGTGTCGTGAGCAGTTTCAAGTGAGGGCTAGTCCCCTCCTCATCGTGCCCAATGCTGTTCCGCCGATTGTGTTGCGGTGACCCTCAGCAGTGTGGTGCCGAGAGAGTGTGCGCACCATGTCGATGATCGAATCGGCGATCCAGGCGAGGCTGGCCGTGATGCTTCATGCATCGGATGAGCGCCCGCCTAGCTTTCGGGACTGACGGTGCGGCGCGCCCGCTTGAGTTGACCCTCTTTGGCTGAGGATGAGCCGAAATCCGGCTCGGGGCATTTTCGCATTTGACGGACCAAAAGGCGAAGAGTCCGGCCGATTTTCCCCACTTTTTCCCCCGCAAAAGCGGCAGAAGCGGGCACGCGTCGAGGGCCGCAACGCAACGCCAGCCGGTTCCAACGAACACGCCCCGGCCAAAGCGCAACAGAGCAACTCCAACGTTCGGCTCGGCCGTCGACTGGCAAGCCAAGAGCATCCTAACCGGCAAAGGCCACATCCTTCTCTGCCTCTGTTTCTTCTCTTCCTTCCGGATACCGCAACGAGCCATCGCTGACTTGGCATCTCTTTCCTCCACCACCACCACCTGCTCCTTGCTCGCCCGACTTGTCCTCGTCCCTCCCGTTCATCAATCCGACCGTGTGGCCTGCGATGCTGTCAAGACGTCCGGTCCGGCTCGCCATTGGCGTTGCACGCCATGCTCACCGAGCTCTGAGCGCACCAACTCGCTCATACCGCGCCGCATCTCACTCGGTCTTCCAGGAACAGCACAGCGTGCTGCCCAACAACCTCGACGCTTCCTCGGACGAGTTCAGCGCCAACAAGGCCTACATGGACGGACTCGTGACCAAGCTCGATGCGACACACGCCAAGCTTGCGCTCGGTGGCACTGAAAAGGCACGCGCTCGTCACATCTCCAGGGGCAAGATGCTGCCGCGCGAACGTGTCGCCGCCCTGCTCGACCACGGTTCGCCCTTCGTCGAGCTCTCGCCGATGGCTGCCTACAACATGTACGGCAACGACGACATCCCGGGCGCCGGCATGATCTCGGGTATCGGCCGCGTCTCGGGGACCGAGTGCATGATCGTTGCCAACGACCCCACCGTCAAGGGAGGAAGCTACTACCCGATCTCGGTCAAGAAGCATCTCCGCGCCCAGGCCATCGCGCGCGAGAACCGTCTTCCCTGCGTCTACCTCAACGAGAGCGGAGGTGCGGCATTGCCCCACCAGGCCGACGTGTTTCCGGACGAGAACCACTTTGGCAGGATCTTTTACAATATGGCGCAGATGTCGGCGCTCGGCATCCCGCAGATCTCGGTGGTGCACGGCATCAGCGTTGCTGGAGGCGCCTACGTGCCTGCCATGGCCGACGAAACGATCATCGTACGCAACCAGGGCACCATTTTCCTCGCCGGCCCTCCGCTGGTCAAGGCCGCCCTCGGCGAGGTTGTCGATGACGAGGTATGTACAAGTCCCAATTGCCCTGACAAACACGTATAGATGACGTTCCCATGCTGATACGGGCTCGCACTTTGATTGGATCGCTCAGACGCTGGGAGGAGGCGAGATGCACTGCAGCGAGTCGGGTGTGACGGATCACCTGGCCATCGACGATGCCCACGCCATCACGCTGGCACGAGAGGCGGTGGCCAACCTGGGCCGCTGCGGCCGTTCGAATGCGGCGCTTACCGATGCTTCGTTCGAGCAGCCTCTCTACGACGCTTCCGAGCTGCACGGCATCATCCCCGAAAACGCACGCAAGCCGTTCGACATGCGCGACGTGATTGCGCGACTTGTGGATGGCTCGCGCTTCCACGAGTTCAAGAAGCTCTACGGCAGCACCATCGTCACGGGCTTTGCCAAGATTGCGGGCCAGGACGTCGGCATCATCGGCAACAACGGCGTGCTCTTCGGCGAGTCGGCCAAGAAGGCGACCAGCTTCATCCAGCTCTGCAACCAGCGACAGACGCCGCTGGTTTTCCTCGTCAACGTCACCGGCTACATGGTCGGCACCAAGGCTGAACGAGGAGGAATCGCCAAGGATGGCGCCAAGATGGTCCGAGCGGTGGCGTGTGCCAACGTCCCCAAGTTCACCGTCATCGTGGGAGGCAGCTTCGGTGCGGGCAACTACGGCATGTGCGGGCGCGCGTACAGCCCTCGCTTCCTGTGGATGTGGCCCAACGCCCGCGTGGGCGTGATGGGCGGCGAGCAGCTCAGCTCGGTCATGGGCACCGTCAGCAGCGACAAGTCCAAGTCGGAAGGCCTGCGCGCCAAGATCGAGGAGCAGTGCGAGCCAGAATACGCCACCGCGCGACTCTGGGACGATGGCATCATCCGACCGCAGGACACTCGCAGCGTGCTTGCGCTCGGCCTGAGCGTGGCCAACACGGGACGATGGAGAAGCTCGCAGCGCGGCGATGCCGGTGGCTCGCGACACCCGGCCTGGGACGGCAACAACTACGGAGACGGCGTCTACCGGTAAGTTTGACTTCCAGCACAGCTCCTAAATGGGCCTCTGACATTTTGACTGGTCGTACACGATGGCTGACCGAAACGATTTCCTTTTTGCTTCTTTGGTCTTGCTGCTGCCACTATTTCGCAACGATCAGAATGTGAGCTAGTCCTCATCGAGCATGCTATTGTTCTCCACTGTACCTGTCAATCATATTGCAATTGCTTTCCGAGACGAAGACAAGGGACGCTGTGAGGCATAGCTGAAGCTCAGCTCAGGACTGAGGGCGAGGGCTACGACCTAACAATGTCCATTTTTTTCGCGCTTTCTACGCGTCGCGCGACGCCGACCTGCAACGGCGTGTTGGACTCTCGCTCGCCAAAGTGCTTTGGCTCGGCGTCGGAAAAGGAGCATCCAGCGTGCCCCCACGCTGTGCCTTCTTGCCGCTCGACGACATCCAACACCTTGTCTTGACCACACTGAAGCCAACGTGACTCCTCCAAGGGACGGAAGAAGATCGCATCACGCGGTCACTGCAGCAGCGCAGTATGGCCAGCACTGCATTGCTCGAGGGCAATGGCCTACTCGACATGGACGATGGCGCGGCGCCTTCCAACCTTTCGCAGCCCAGAGCTGACGAGCTGTTCCCGAGCACATCCAGCGCGCTTCTCGACCGCGATCTCAACATACCCAGCCTCCCGACCTCGCAGAGTGAAGCCCAAAAGGCGCTCAACGCGTGGGGCTCCCGCGCAGCGTCCAGCTCTAATGCTGCTACCTATGCGCGCAGTCCGGTGCTCACCGGAGAGATGGACTTTGACGGCGACCTCGATCTCGACATGCTGCTCGACGAAGAGACAGCGTTCACCCGCGAGAGGGCCGACCTGCAGCCACCAGCTTCCACGACGCGAGTAGAACATGATGACGACGAGCTCGAAGCTTTCTTGCTCGCCGAGGACGAGCACATGGCGTCTCGGCCCCCGCAGCCGTCCTCTGCCGTACCGGCCTCATTCGCGTCGTCACACAGGCAAGATAAGCTTGCGAACGAGCCGACGTCGACCCAAGGTGCCTATGCGGCGTCGTCGCGTGCGTCATCGTCCGTCTCCGACCTGCTCGAGAGCAACGGCCTCCTCGGCCAGTCCTCTCAGCCCAGCTCCCAACACTCGATTGTCTCGGCGCAGAAGCCGCAACCCGCGGCAGCAGAGGTCACCGTGGCCACCGTCGCTCCAGGCTCGTCGCGCGCGATCGAGGCCTTGTCAAACTTTGAAGCGGAGAGTATCTCGTCGCCACCTGCTCTCGCTAGCGGCAGCAGCGAACATGCAGGTCCTTCGAGGCTCGCAGTTCGCCCGCCATCCAACGTCATCCCAAAGTATATCCCGGCGGGCTTCCTGCCGGCAACCACGATGGACGGAACGGCGGTCCGCTTCGAGCGACGCAAGCGTATGAAAGGCTGGAAGCCTCCGGCCATCATGACGGACGTCGACGCATCGCAGCTCCTCGAGCGTCCCATCCATCAGCTGCTCGAAGCGGTGGAAGCGCTCAAGGCACTCGATGTGGTGGAGCAGAAGGAAGCCCAAGATCGCCAGACTCGTCACGCAGCGTGCTCGGCCGACGCTGACGGTGTCCGCACGGTCGGCTCGCAGATGTGGGTCGACAAGCATCGCCCCGCCAAGTTTACAGAGCTGCTCGGAGACGAGAGAATCCATCGCGAGGTGCTGGGCTGGCTCAAGGAGTGGGACGAATGCGTCTTCAAGCGCAAGAACCATCGTAAGGAGCGCCATCGTCAGTACATCCAGGCCAAATACGGCCCTCCTACGGGCAGCTTCGGCGACAAATCGGGCGACAACGTCTTCAAGGATCCTCACGGCCGACCCAAGGAGCGCGTCATGATGATCTCGGGCCCGCCCGGTCTTGGCAAAACCACTCTGGCCCACATTGTCGGTGCGCATGCCGGGTACAACGTCTACGAGCTCAACGCCAGTGACGCGCGCTCGGCAGGTGCCGTCGAGGACGTGATCAAGATGGCGCTCGAGTCCGGCAGCTTGAAGGATCCTCGGCCGACGCTCGTGGTCATTGATGAGATCGACGGAGCTACGGGCGGTGGTGGCGGCGCTTCCGGCGAGTCGCACGGTTTCATCCGTGCGCTCGTCCGGCTCATCGAGTCGGGCAAAGGCTCCGATTCCAAGGCCGGCGGCCTTGCGGCACGAGGAAAGAAGCAGCGCAAAGGATCCAAGCCGCTGCTTCGACCCATCATCTGCATCTGCAACGATCTGTATGCGCCCTCGTTGCGTCCTTTACGACCCATGGCCAAGCTCGTGCGATTCCACAAGCCGCCCACCAACCTCGTTGTCAAGCGTCTGCGCGAAGTCTGCGAGGCCGAGGCGCTCTCGGTCGAGACTCGCGGCCTTTCAATGCTGGCCGAGCTGACCAGCGGTGACATCCGCTCGTGCCTCAACGCGCTCGAGTTTGCCAAGACAAAAAACATGGCGCTCACCGAGGCCGCCGTCAAGAACGCTGCGATCGGCATCAAAGACACGGGCGGCACCGTCCAAAAGGCGTGGGAGATGCTCTTCCGGCGTCAGAACCGCAAGCAGGCCGCGACGTCGAGCATGAAGGGAGCGAATGTGCAAGCCACCAGCGCCGAAAACGCACCCTGGAACTCTTCGCGAAAGGCCACGGCTCCGGAGCTGACCTTGGACGGCAAGGACAAGCAGAAGGACTTTGCCCTGGTCGACACGCCTCAGGAGAACGTCAGTCGCATCATCCACGAGGTGACGAGCTGCAACGAGTACGAGAAGCTGGCCTTAGGCTGCTTTGAGCACTATCCGACGCTGCGTGCTGCTGACGGTGGATGGAAGCGATACCGACAGGTGCACGACTGGCTGCATTTCGGCCAGTGCATCTCCGCGCGTGCTTGGTCGAACGGCAACTTTGAGCTGCTCGGCTTCATGCCGTGGTCGTTTGTCTGCTGGCATCTGCTCTTCGCCCATGTCGGCAACGCGCTGCCCGAGTATCCCAAGGTGGACTACGAGAACCACCTCAAGTCCTCGGCCTTCAACGAGATCGTGTCGCAGATCGCAACCGCGCTTCCGGCCGGCGTGCGCTCGCAGTTCAACCGACATGCGGTCATCACCGAGCTGGGACCGTCCTTGATGCGGATTCTCACTCCAGACCTGCGTCCGATCAACAATCAGCTGGCTCGCGCCGAGGACAAGCAGGTGTTCAGCTCGCTGGTCGCGGTGATGAACTCGCTCAACATCAAGTTTGTGCCGGACAAGATCTCGGAGGAGGAGGCTGCTGTGGTGGGGCAGAGCGCCGGTACGCTGGTGTACAAGTTGGAACCGCCGCTGGACGTCTTCACTCAGTTTGAGGGCAAACGGTCCAAGGACGTTGGTCCGTCGCGCTTCGCCGTTCGGCAATTGGTGGCGAGAGAGATGGAGAGGCAGCTGCTGCGCAAGAATGCGGGTGTCGACGGTGGAGAAGAGGATGCTGGTTCCACCTCCAAATCGGCCACGGCGGTGTACAGAACGAAGGGCGCAAATGCGGGCACAGGCCCGGATCCCGCCAAGGCCAAAGAGGGCAAAGTCGCCGTCGACTTTTTCGGCCGACCGATCGTAGCAAAGGCTGTAAAGGCGGATGATCCGCTGTCAGCGGTGCCCATTCCAGAGGGCATGGGTGGAAAGAAGAGAAAAGCGCCGACTGGAACGGGCGCCCCTGCAGCAGCCTCGACAACGCAAGGCGAAGCAACGCCGGCCTCCGCCGCCGAGGCTTCCGCTGCTGCGAGAGGCGAGGAGGAGCGCAAAGCCACTGACGATGCAGGCGACACGAACATCAAGGTGTTCTATCGCTACCACGAAGGCTTCTCGAATGCCGTCCGACGACCGATGAAGATGTCCTCGCTCCTGTAATTCAATGTACGCCGTCAGTCAGAAGTCATTGGCAATTCTACACTCGCCGGCTTGCCATGATTGCTCCCCAACGATGGACACATGCGAGGGATTTTGGGTCGACAGTCTGCGCAGACTCGATGAGCACTTGTTCACGCACGGTGACATGGAGGAGGAACTGTTCTTACAAGAGGACATGCATGGATGGATGACAGGAAGTCGGAATGGAAGGAGAATAGTCTGGTGCGAAAGGAGTTGCCGAGCGGCGAGATCACTTGTCCTTGTCGCGGCCGAAGGTGAGGCCGTAGCCGACGACGCGGTCGCCGCTCTCGAGGCAAGGCCAGCTCTGGCCCTTTGCGTGCTTTGCGAGGACGAGGTCGACCTTGAACTTGGTGATGTTGAAGGACGACTCTGCGGGCACGATGGAAGCAAACGGCGTGAGGAGCTTGCGGAATCGTCGCGGGCGAGTCGAGCCTGGTGCTGGAGGCAGGAGCAGGGAGAAGACGACGCCTTGCTCTTGAAATTCGATCGAGCTCTGGCCTGCATCCACAGCCTTGGCGTAGACGGTGAGACGCACATCGTTGGGCGTCTCGTAATGATCCATCCTGCAATCGACACTCTCTTCACCGCCGGCGCCGGCATTTGACTTGGGCGCGCCTACAAAGAGGTGACCGGTCTTGGCAGTGGAGCAAGGCTCGATCTTGAGAAAGTCGTCAAAGTCGAGCACTCTTCGTTTGCAGCACGACCAGCCTTTGGAGCCCTCGTGGAAGATGGGTGTGCCCTTGTGGTGGTTGCAAGACTCGCTGCTGCGGTCTCGCGATCCGCCTTCGAACCTGAAGCCGCATCCGCCTCGCTTGCAGGTGAGACCGGCGGGCAAATTCGCGTCCGACTCGACGGGGTCCTCCTCCTCGACAGGCTCCTTGGGCGCTTGCGCCTTGGCCGCGGTGCTGGAAGCCTGGGCAGCATTTTGTGCGGCAAGCAACGACATCCCCGACAAGGGCTGAACGATGTCGGGGGCGGTGGCAGCGGCAGTGTCCTTGCCGAATGTTTCTTTGCCATCTGCGTCCTTGGAGACGAGGTGGACGTCCGAGCTGGAACCGGCTGGGGTGGAGGCGTCTGCATCTGCGACCACCGCACCGTTCTTGACGGTAGGGACGTTTTGCTTTTCTGTCGAGTGTGCGTCGGCAGAGCTGCAGCCGGGGATGGCGAGGAACTGGTCAAACTCCATGACGGGCTTGTTGGTGTCCTTGCAACACGACCATGACTTGAGACCTTCGTGAAAGACGGGCGCGCCTGGGTGGTAGCTGCATGAGCCTGCAGCAGCAGCGGAAGTGGTGGGGTCGAAGTCGACGCCGCAGCCGCGGCGTGTGCAAATGACCATGTCTGCGGAAGCGGTTTCGGTGGTGGTGGATGGTGGTGAAGCGGACTTCTGTCGGATGTCGTCCGAGCCCAACAGACAGACAGCTTCGGTCCGGCTCGCTTTCTCGGAAATCCGTGCAGTTCTTCGGACCTGGGCGGCGGCATGGAAATTTGTCGAAGCCACCGAGGCTTGTATCGCCGAGGTCAAAGTGTGCCGGGCGGTCATCGGGTGGAATCTGCAAATTGGGCGCCGCCCGTTGGCTGTTAGAGTGGATTTCTAGACGCGTCGCAGCCACCTCGGACCTCGGCGAGGCCGAGATGGAGGCTCGGACCTGACTTGAGTGGCGGATGGTGATGTGCCTTGTACCAAAAACACTGGAGCCGAGATAGAGTCGGAGTCGGAGATGAGATGAGTTTGACCAGCCGCGACGACGATTGGCGGACTACGAAACGAGCGACAGCCAGGCTCGTGTTGCAACGCGAGCAACCGTACGTGAGCGGGCTCTCAGCGACCCCGACCCGCCTTCTCGCCGTCCGCAGTGTTGACGCGTCTGAATGAAAGCATACAGTAGCATAGCATGCTTAGGCTGCAGCGCAGGGTTTGGTGTCCCCCACATTCCAGACCTGCGAGAGCCGGGAGCACAGGCCTTGGCAGGGCGAGCCAACGCAAAGGTGCGCGGGAGCTGCAATCTGTGCAGAGCATTCACGCCTCTGGCTGCAGGCGATAAGCGCAGCTTTTGACTTGCAATCCAGTAGTGTGCAGCAAGCTCCGGTCGGAGCGAGCGGAGGGAACCGTGCATGGCGGCTGGGAGTGGCGGCGCATGGCTGAAAACGCGCGTCGCGCAACGAAGCGGGATGGCAGAGCATGTGCGTGCCGTCACGAGAGACGATGATGCGCATGCAGGCGGGATGTGACATGTGAAATAAGTCTCCGAAGCACGAAGGCTGCGGCTAGCCACACGCACGCACGAAGACAGCCAGCCGTCCCGATCCACAAAAACGTGCGAGCAACGCCGACACGACGAGAAAAAAAAAAACAGGAACCGCCCCCTTTCGCCCTGAAAAGGGGGGATCCAAAAGAACAACACGCACACGCGTCGATCCGGGCACAAAAGGAGGATTTCGCGTTGCATCTGCCGAGACCAACACTTGAGCGTGCAGCGCCACGGCCGAAATTTGTCGGGAGAGCGAAAACACGCAAGCTCGTCAGTACCAGTCGTCGGCTCTTTCGCACCTTTCGGTCTCGAGGGTACGTGCACTGGCTCGCTCGGATTTGCAGCCTCACCTGCTGAGAGGCTGGCGCAACCAAGGCGCCATCTCTCTCCTTTCTTGGCGAGTGTGATTCGGACGAGCCGGCGTGCATTGGTCAGCGAAGGCACTGCACGTCGACGCAGCCAGCAAAAGAGAGAATGAGAGGGAGGGAGAGCTGCATTCGATTCGCGGGCAAAGAGTGTGGCTTGGGCTCGCAACGCAGACCGAGTACAGTATGCTACTATAACGCAGCCACCATCGGCAGCCACCGAGACCAAGCTGCTCGGAGCTTGAACTCCCCTCGACGGGCTGGCGCTGCACCGTCCAAGTCTCGACGACGCACAGAAGGCACCTCTGCTTTCCCGAAGCACGAGGCGAGCGCCTTGGCCTCGGCAGTTTCGCGTCATGTCTGCCGGGCGGTTTCATTTTTTCTTCTTCCTCTTCTTCTTGTTGCTGCTGCTCCTCGTGTGCTTCTTTGGAAAAGTGGGAAATTTGCAGAGAGCGCCACCGAGTGTGAAGCGTGTTGCCAACCCCCTTTTTTCGGATGTCCCATGAAAGCAACACCTGAGACGCAACTTGGCGAGCCTCGAAAGCGAAGGGGTCAGCGGTGCTGGACCCTGATCGCCCCTGGATCCGCCGTCGCATGCAGCCGAAGCAGCAACAGCAGCAAAAGCAGCATGCAGGCCCCGTCCTCTGGAGCCTCCGCGCTCTATCACGCTCCTTGCTTAGCCTGTCTCCTGCGGTCACCGCTCGCAATCCTTTGCCTCTTCGACGCTTGGATGCCCCTCCCAGCCTCGTCACCAACAACGATCTTCACCCTCCACCGCTCGACTCGTATCCATCCGCCTAAGCCCAAATCACCCTCGCTCCAGCTTCTCCCGACACCGAGGCGCTCCAAGTCGTCGTCGTCGTCGTCGCATCACAACCGCCTCAGCTATTGAGGCCAAAGAAGCGTCGTGCGCGCAAAACGAGGCGGGACCTACTTTCTTAGCATATAGCATAGCATTTGCACCCACTCGACCCCATGCTACGCTAATCTCGACCCCCATCCTAACCATCCTCGCTGACGCCGTCAGTTTCACGCCCCTTTCGAGGACAAAGGCAAGATGCTATCACAAGCTGCATCACGGCCACGACCGCCAGGCCTTCGAAGAATCTCTTCTCAACGGCCTTCGCAACATGATGAGGCCCAGCAACCAGACGCTGCGACACCACAGTGCGTCGCAGACGACGCCTCCAGCACGCCGCATCGCTCCCCCTTTTCCGACGTCCTGAACCGCATCCACGACCCTACCGTCAAAACTCTCGACAAATCCCTCTCGTCAAGCCCATCGACACAGTCACAGACGAAGACATACATGCCAACTGGACAGCCTGCCTGCGATGACATGATCGACGAGAATGAGGGCGCGCCCTTACACACCATCCCGTCGTCGCTCAGTCAACAAGATCTTGATCCTAGCTGGCTCGGCGCTCTGGAACGCCACGAGCTCGAAGAGCTCTTGATCGAAGCCAGTCGCAAGGTTCGCGAGCGCGAACAGAAGCTCGTCGTCGCCGCCAACATTGGCAAGGCCCTCTTGGAGAAGAATCTCTCGCTGCGTAGCGGCATCATGTCAAGCATGGCCTCGAGCTCCAGCCTTTTCGGCCTCGCCGATATCGAGGCCATGATCGAAGATTTCGCCGATCCCTCCGACGCCACCTCATCCGCCAACCTCGAAGACCAAGGCCTCGATGATGGACCTGCACAATACCCTTCTTCCCGCCCAATGTACTCTCCTCCAACCACCGACATCGACATCCAGTCTCAGGGTCCCTTTTCACCAGCGCGATCCGAGCCCGACAATACCCCTTTGGCGCATCCCGTCCTCCCAGGCACCACCGGTTCAGACTACTTCACACAGCCGACCTCGGACAGGTCAGATCTGCCCTCAAGAAGTTCTGCGCTGGATGCACCTTACAGTCCTATCGTTGTTTCCACCTGGGTTCCCAACGAATCGGGACTCGTCCCATCTCAGCCATGCTCTCCGAGCGCTTCCATCCGGAGCTTTGCCTCGCAGGCTTTCCTTTCGCCCGTCGACAGCGTGTCTCGTGCACCGTTCAAGAACGGCCGTGCGAACACCCGCCATCGATCCCGGCCGTCCCTGGTTCAGATACAGGCACTTGAAGCACAGAGACAGCTCGCCTCTCTTGGCGAACAGAACGATGTGTTACATCAGCAGATTGCAGAACTTCAGCACGAAGCCGAGAGCGCACGATTCGATGGCAGCAAGAGGCTCAACAGACTCAACAAGGAGATTCGCGGATTGAAGGCGGAGCTCGAAGCTGCCACAAAGCGCAACATCGAGCTCGAGACGAGCACCTCATCCACACGACCTTCCTCTCGAACCCCACTGCGGTCACCAGCGAACCGTGAATCATTGTCCCAAGAGCCAAAGTCACCGCTTTTCTCTCTGGATCGAAGGCATGGAGCTCCCTCTGCGGCAACGCTGCTTCCCGACTCGATGCCAGCGGCGAAGGACGACCCGGTCTCGGAGCAACATGGGCTCGCGCCTTCCACCTCGACTCTTGAGGACCTCGTTCGCTCGACTCAGAGTACGAACGGCGAGAGCGCTTTGGTGGTTCAGCTACTCGCCAAGATCAAAGAGCTCGAAGAGACCAACGCGGTCATGGCCAAAGCAGAACTCGATTTCGGTAATCGCGTGGGCCGTGCTATGGAAGAAGACGAGAGGCTTCGCGACGCCTTCAACACAGTCGGTCAAGATCTTGGTAAAGATGCCACCTTCGGGGCCCTGGGCCAAGCTTCTGGGAATGTGGACTCACATCCTCACCACAGTCCCTCGAAGGTGGCCGCACTCCAGCCCGGGTTTATGACTCCTTCCGGCTCGCAGCGTAGCCTTGCCTCGCTGGCGTCGTCGGACACGTCCAGCCCCGTTGCTTCCTTGTCTCCCGGCCAGAGAAGGAGAGCTCCTGGCAATCGCCACATCATCGAGCATCGCAAGACTGTGCGTGCCGCCATCCGACGTGCCAAGAAAGAGCTCGCCGCGGAGATCTGGAACCCGAACGGCGAACAGCCGCTCGCATCCGGCACTACATTGTCGCGCTCCTCGACGGAACAGTCCCTCGGCACCTACTCGATCGATCTGAGCGGTGAAAGCAGTGCGGCTTCCTCGCCTAGGTCTAGGGGTCTTCATCGAAAATCCTCGGCCAGCTCGTTCGGCCTCGGGCCTGCAGGCAGACCACGGATTCGCATCACGCCTTCCATCGAAGATCTAGGTAGGAGGCGAAAGACGCAAGAACGAATCATCACCGGTCCCGCGCACGACTCGTCTCCTGCAGAAGACTGGCAGGACGTCATCACACCAACCTTGGCGAGCTTCCCACGCCAAGATACGCTCCGACCCGCCGACGCAGTCCAGTCTCACGCCCATCGATCGGCCGATGAGACGCTGGAGGAGCGCGGCCGGGAAAGAAGCCCTGCGAGAACGAGCTGGCAAGCTTCCGCGGCATCATCTCCCGCGACAGATATGCTGGCCTACCTCTCACCTTCCCGGCAATGGTCTTCTGATCCGACGGCTCGCGTGCGAAGGTCTAGGTCGAGGTCCTCGTCCTTCGTTTCCGATGGACGATCCGCCCACAGTCCATCCTTGCGACTGCACAGTCCCGATTCTTACCTCGGAAGCCGCCCGAGAACAACGCAGAGTCCGGCTTCTGCCTCTTCGCAGCGGGGAAGGACGCTCGGAAGTGAGCTTGGTAGCATCTTCGGCGGAGACGACCGCAAGAACGACTTTGACGACGACCTACCGCAAAATCGCCGCACTGTCGTCTCTGCGACTCAGATTGCGGGAGCTGTAGCGCCGCAGTCTCTGGTTCTCGCCACCAACAAAGCCATGCCTCTGCAGCTGTGGACTCCCGTGCGGCGACGGGTCGAATCCGACCGGCCAACGGCTAATGTTGGCCGACTCGTGCCGGAAAACACGAGCGAGCATACTGACGATCTGGAATGCGTCCTGGCGCATCCGGCGCACGCTCACGTCGACGACGTCTTTCTAGATGGGTCTCCACTCCGCCCGCGCGACGCTGCATTGCTCACCCGCGTCGAAGATGGAGAGCGGGGCGAGTGGCTGGCCGGCGAGCCTATCATCGAGGCGGGCGGGCTGCAGGACGAAGACGAGCCCCGAGGTGCTCAATTTGATCTGATCAGTGCTGTCGTCGAGAACGAGGCAGTAGCATGGGCGGACGATGACGACTATGGTCGAACGATCAGCCAGCGCGACGCTGTCAAGCTCGGTCTGCTGGCCCCCAGCCCGTCTACTGCGAACGTTCGCAGCCTCAGGGCCATCGCAGACCGTTCCATGCGCGGCACTTCGATCTTCACGTCCACAAAGGCTTCTCACAAGGGTAAGGCCAAGCAGTCCGGAGGTACGCGAGGGGCGGTACCTTTCCGACTCGAGATTGAGTCGTCAGAACAGGTCGAGGATCGACTCCGCCTCGAGTCGCTCCTCCGCAGACGAAGACTTGACTTGCTGCGAGAACGAGGTTTCTCTGACGGGCGGACGCCAGACGAGTACGACCGGAAGCAGGAAGATCAACTCGTGGCCATGTATGCCCCGACGCCTCGGCGCATGCATGAAAAGCGCCGACGGGCGTTGGAGGGAGATCCATCGCGCAGCCAGCTAGCTCTGTCGCCACAAAGTCGCGAGTCGAGCCACTCGATGCGCCAATGGCTTCGAGACGTATCGAGCGTCTCGCCATCAGTGCGCGACGACGAGGACAGACGAGATGCCGGGAATCTTGACCTCGACTGCATCGGACCCGAGGACGGAGAATTCGAGCTGCTGGACTGTCCTTCCTGGAAGAAGCAAGGCGGACGTGGCACGGACTACTTCCCGACCTCATTCCGCGCCCGCTACCGACCGGCGATGGTGAAGCAGAGGGCGGCGCATGTGTCGCAGGTCACGTACGCATGGGTGGAAGAATGGGTCCAGTTCGCCTTTGTCGTGTTCCTCGCCTTTGTCGTCATGGTCGAACAGGGACCTAATCGAGCCATGCACCGTGCCAAAGCCCAAGCCAAAGGTGGTGCCGTCCAAGCTCTCATGCCCAAGGCCGAGTAGGGGATGGCGCGTCGACCCGACTCGGTCAATGTCTAAACGGCGGCCTCCGAGGCGCCGCCGAGAAGAAGCTGGATGGACCCCGTTTGAATGATACCCGATCTATCGCATATATCATGTACAGTAAAGTATGTCACTGCACACCTCATTCGTTTCAAAATACTTTCCGTCGAGCGAGCGCTTGTTGGTGCGAGATGGTTGATAGCAAGAGGCAAGCGAGCGTTGGGCTCCGACAGTGGCATCGAAGGTCGGGGACACGGAAGCGAGACATGGTTCAAAGGAACTCGGGACAAGGGATTGGGCACACACAGCAAGGAACGCGGGACGACAGCCAGCAAGTCCGAGCCGAGAGCCGTAAGCCGCGATCCGACTTGCGGACCAGGATTCGCGACACCCCGTGGCTTTGTGCCATCGGAGGGGCCGCCGAGCAGACAGCCGAGCAAGGGCCGAATCGGTTGGCTCGTCGGCACCCAAATTGCAAGCGTGGGGCGCTTTGCTGGGTGCAGGGCCGTCGGAGCTGTCTACTTGACCTGGGATGCTTGCGATTGAGATGATTGACCTTCGAACAACACAGCGGTCAACACTGATGCGGCCTAACTTGGCCCGTGTCATCCAATTTGAGCCTGTGCGCGCGTAGACCCCATGTGAATGGTCAGTCGTGAGTTGCACAGATAAATAGAGACTGAGATCTAGGGATGGCAAGTTGGGATCCAAGGGCGTCTGACCACCACTTTGCTGCACATAGTCCGCTCTCCTTGAAGCTCCATCCGGCGCGCCAAAATACGCTTCTTGACCGACGCAACCACCACCGTGATGGAGAAGGAGGAGATCCAGTACAAGCCGGTTTTCGAGCCGTTTGCTAGTCAGCCATGGAGCCAGTACGCACACGGCTCGGGGAACAGTGCTCCGGGTCGGCCCAAGTCGGTGTCGGGGATGCCGCGGATCACGCTTGCGCTGCTGCGTGACACCTTCACCATCACCACCTGGCTCTTGATGGGCGCAAGCCTGCAATGTGCTGTGGTCGCCATCTTTGGTGCTGGTCTCTGGGTGGTGGCGCTTCCGGTTGGCGTGCTGGCACTGCGCGTGCTCAGGGCGCTTTTGCAGACCTCCGATGTGCTGCCTAATCCGCTGATGGAGGGCGTCATCCGCGGCCGAACCATGTGCCACTTTCCCGACGAAGACGGAGTGCACCGGGAGGGTCCTTCGAATCGGCCGCTGGCGGTGCTGTTGATTTCGGCCAAGTGCAACCATCCGCTGGGCATGCTGGGCCCTGGCTTCCGAGAGGCGGGCGAGTTCTTCAAGCAGTGCGTGGACTGGCTGGAGGAAGACTCGCATGCGCGCGGCTTCCTCGGCATGACGCAGTGGCTCAATGCGGCGGACCGCACGACGAACAACGAGCTGCTCTCCATCGGCTACTTTCGATCGGTCGAAGATATCCATGCGCTTGCGCACCACGCGGTGCATCGTGCGCCGTGGAAGTGGTGGAACGAATCGCTCAAGAAGCTGGACCACATTACGCTCACGCACGAAATCTTCTCGGTCGAGGCTGGCGGCTGGGAGAACATCTTTTTGAACTCCAAGCCGACGCAGCTCGGCACTGCTGTGGTCAAGGGCAACGACGGCAAGTGGCGCTCACCGCTCGTCTACATCCCGCGCAGCTTGGGATCGTCGTCCAAGCGTATGCGTCGCGACCAGACCGAAGCCGAGGCTCGACGCCAACAAGAGACGGATGCCATCACGGGCGATGCATACTGATGTCGCAAGTGCGTTCGCCCCTTGCTGTGATTCCCTGTCACTGGACCTCCGCATCGACGCCTGAATGTTATGTAGTCTATTCTTTTGACGTGCGCCGCAACCTTGATCGTAAGCATGAAGCAAGCAAGAGACTCAGGGAAGTGAGCTTGAGACGTGAGCCTGCTGAGCCTGCTGCTGAGCAAGGATGGGAGACTGGCAGTCAAAGGTGACAGGAGCTGCAGGCGCCGATGCAGGTCCGGCAGTTGCTCCAAGGGTCCTCCTTCCTTGCTCGTCTCTGCTTGCCGCCTTGAGGTCGGCCCGCGCTGGCTCAGTCGCCCCAACAATGGCCGGGTCGGCCAAATCGGGGTCCAACGGTTCGCTCCCGCGGCCGCCTCTGCTGAAGTGGCAGGCTAAATTGCAGGTAATTTCGACGATGCTCGGAATTCGCAACAGCCGCTGGGGCAAAAAAAAAAAGGCAGGCCGCCAAGCAAAGAGGCGGCGGCTCTGACTCGGTGCGGTGGTGGGGTCGTGGGATGCGGTGGGATGTCACTGGCCCGAGACAGCAGCAGAAGACGGCGGGCAGGGTTCAGCCGCGCACAAGCCGAGTTTCTGCCGTCGTCCTCCGTCTCTCTCCATCACCGCCATCATCACCTTCATCGGATCGGACTGATTCGCTGTTCCACTCCTGCTTTTGCGGCACTGATCGGCGGTGCTTTCGCACCACTCTGCACCTCTTACTCGCAAGATCACACATAGCTCGCTCGCTCGCTCCGTTCCGACCATGCAGCCAAAAGCGATTGCACCGCATCCTGGCCCGTCGTCGAGCGCGGCTCAGCCGACCAATTACGGCCCATCCGACGCTCATAGCGCCTCCAGCTCCGTCTCTCCGCGCGCACGCTCTCCGTCCGGCACCGCCACCCCCGATCGCTCCATCGGCAACGGCCATGCTTCCGCACACGCCTCCGTCGCCAAAGCCGCTGCTGCCGGCGCCAACTCAGGGCCGAGTCGACCCGCCACGGCTGCGCTCGCCGCAAAACTCGCCAGCACACGTCAGCATGGCACCGTCGCAGACGCCGTCGCCGCCTCGCTCGGCAGCAAGCGCGAACGCAAGAGGAAGCGCATCCACTACAGCTGTGCAGAGTGCCATCGCCGCAAGCACAAGTGCGATCGTCAGACACCCTGCCAACCCTGCATCGATCGCGGCCTCGGCGACAGCTGCCGGCCCTTCGAAGACGGCGACCAGTTCGGAGACATGCGTGACAGGGTGCAGCGCCTCGAGGACATCGTCGAGGGCCTCGCCATCGCCCACGCCGAGCTCGCCAAGGAGCTCAAGGATTCCAGAGGACAGATGGCCGCCTTTGTCGAGATGATGTCGAGCGACGAGGAGCAGGAGCCGGAAAACGACGACCCTTCCACCGCCTCGCGACCCAAGCCCAAGAAGCGCAGACGCATCATCCGTCCCAGCACCGCACGAGGCATCGAACGCGAGGAGCTTTACAACTCCGAGGCGCAGGCCATCGCCGCCTCCAAGGGCGAAGTCATCGATTCCACCTCCTCAAAAGCCAACTCCGTCCGCTACGATCTCGGCGGCAATCCGCTCGAGGGTGGCCTCGCTCGCGACGGCGACAGCTGGTTCGGCGCCCTCGCCCTCCCATCCGTCAGCCGAGGCGTCATCGAGACCGAGATCAACGGAGAGCGTCTCGAGCTCGGCGCCAACTTCCCGCGCTTCCCTGCATCGGTCAAGCTGCATCGCCTCATCCACGAGGGAGGCGCTCCGGAAAACATCCTCAGCGACCTCATGAACTCGCTGCCCTCCAAAGCAGACACCGACCGTCTGCTCGACATCTACTTTCGCGACATCAACCACACCCGTCTTCCCATCCACGAAGGCACCTTCCGCCAGTCCTACGAAGAGCTCATGGACTTCCGCTGGGGCAACGCCAAGGAGGAGCGCGGCGACGATGGCGCAAGACACGTGCCCTTCCTCGCCTTCCTCTTTGCCATCCTCGCCACCGCCATGCGCTCGCTTCCCGAGGCCCTCGGATCCGAAGCCGAAGCCAAAAAGGGTGCCATTCGCCTGTACCATGCATGTCGTCGCACCATCAACATCGCTTCCACCATCCGTGTCGACCACATTGACCTGGTCCTCGCTCATCTCTTTGCCGCCCGCTTCTTGATATGCCAGCGCCAGAGCGCAGAGAGCTGGTCGCTCCTCGGAAACGCAATCCGCGCCGCACAGGCAATCGGCCTGCATCGCGACGGCAGCAAGCTCGGCCTCGATGCCATCACCACCGAGCGAAGGCGACGACTCTGGGCCATCATCTTCTACATGGACAAGACCACGAGCATCCTTCTTGGCCGGCCGCAGGCTATCCAAGAGTTTCACTGCGATACGCTCCCGCCCTCTGATGTGGACATCGATACCATGCCTCGTTCCGCTCGCCCTTACCTCCCGCGCACTCGCCCGCGTCCAAACACGCCCCCCGGCGTTTTCCTCTTCGTTGCCATCCGTCACGAGCTCACCCGGCTGACTGGTAAGATCGTCGAGCACTTCCAGAACCTCGCCAGCCCGCGCCGTTACGCCGACGTCGTGGCCCTCGACGAGGAGCTCGAGAAGTTCCGCAAGGATATCCCGGACATTTACCGAGTCGACAAGGCCCCCGACGGATCCGGACCGGACACCAACAAAGAATTTGACAGCGTCTGCCCCTGGCTTCCCTTGCACCGCTACCTGCTCAACATCGAGTACCACTACGTGCGCATCGCCTTGCACAGGCCGTACGTCTTGCGCAACTCCGAAAAGTACTCGCATTCGCGCAAGGCGGCCTTCGAGAGCGCCAAGACGGATCGACGCGTGCGACAGGAGTACCGCAAGGATGTCAAGTGGGAGCCAGAACGTGCGCGCAAGGTGCACATGGGCGGGCTTTATCGCCTCTTCAATGCCACCATGATGATCGGCATCGCACTTCTGCTCGATCCCAACGGATCGGAAGCGCCCGACTTCCTATCCTACCTGGACGAATTCATCGAGCTGCACAAGCATCGCGAAGGCGAAGCCGACCAGTGCAGCAAGCGTGAGGTCAAGATCATCGAGCTCTTCCGAGCCAAGGCACGCGATCCAACCTGGTGTGCAACCTCGGCCACGGGCGCCAGCAAACGCACGGCGGCTGGCGACGCAAAGGGAAAAGCAGACGATGGCTCGTCCAAGGCAGCGCGCTCCAAGGATGCGGCCTCGAAGCGAGGAAGCAGTCAAGACACCGGCACGGCTGGTGTAGGTACGGCTGCATTCAGCTCGGCCATGCTGCTCGGCAACGGCGGCTCCAAGAGCAATGCCTCGCAGCTGGCCCGTGCTGGCTCTGTCAACACTTCAGAAAGCACCACCCCGCCGCCGTTCGCCGGGTTGTTTGGAGGCACCGCGGGCGCGAGTGCTCCAGGTCTGGCGCTCGGCACCGTCTCGACAGGGACCACGAGCGACGCAGCCACCGATCTCGCACAGAGCATCTTCGACCAGCTTGGCGGATTCGAGCCCAGCTTTGGCATGCTCAACCCGACGCCAAACGACGCACTCAACTTCAACGCCGGTTCCGGACTCGGCTTTGGCCCCAGCCACACCTCCAACAGCATGGGCTTTGACTCGGCGGCTGGCTTCGACCTGGCGAGCTATTTCAACACGCCTCCTCCCGGGTCTGGGGGTCCCTCGCCCAGCGTGACGGCGACTGCACAGACATCGACCGCACCAACCTCGTCAGGCATGGCGCGCAGCAGTGCCAACTCGATCAACATCCCGGCCACCTCGTCCTCGGAGCAAAGCGGCATTCCGAATTTCCAGCCGAGTGCGCATCCGCATCTGCGAGCGCTCAACACGGCCGGCAATTTCAACAGCTTCGGAGTGCCCACTTCGAGCGCACCGGGCAACGGTGCCAACGGCAAGGCTGGGGATCTGAGCGCCGGCGGCGCAGCAAGCGCGACGGCAGCCCCAAGCGACTGGGGCTTACTGCCGTGGGGTGGGCTGATCGAGGCAATCGCGCAAAGCTCTCACGGCATGGATGGCCAACAGGCACAGGCATCCAACAGCACACCGGGCTCGCACACCGATATGAAGACCGAGACGCCCGACGGACACGACAGGCACTGAAGCGTGGATCGCATTGTCCATTCCAACAAAACAAAAAGAGCACATCGTGGCTTGTCCATGGTATCACCGCGAATGTTGTCATTCCGATCCTTCCGTAGGCGTTTCAGTCTGGTTCCGAGCGAAATTGTTGAGTTTGTGTGTGGCATGAGAGAAGCTCACAAGGTGAGGCTGGCGCCGTGATTGAGCGCGACAAAGGTCTTGCTGCCCGTGCGGCCCTTGGCAGACGGAGGGCCTTGGGTGGCGTCGTAGGCGCGGGCAAAGTGGACTCCGTGCTGGTGACACGCCCACTTGAGCTGGCCGAGGGTCTTGAGCACCTCTTCCGGGCCCGAAATGAAAGTGCCCCAGTGGATGGCCATGCACACCGCATCCGCGGGCGAAGAACCGCTCGCAACGCCCGCCGAGGTCATCTTGTCAAAGATGCCGACCGCATCCCAGGGCGGCATATGGTTGGCGGCCGTGAGCCCGGCCGAGAGACGCGGGAAGGGCGAGATGGAGTCGGGCAGCGGCACGTAGGAGCGTAAAAATGAGATGGTGGCGCCCACCGAGATCGGCAGCATAAAGAAGTTGGGCGCTCCGAGACGTACCACGATCTCTTCGAACGCGGGACAGGCCGGATACTCTTCGTCGTCGTTGGGCACCTGCAGACGCATGCCGCCTCGGTAGGTGGGTGCCTGCACCTGTTCTGCAAGCGTCGAGCCGCCGTCGCTCGCTTCCGAGGTTGGCGTGGCCAGGGGAACATCCTCCTCTGTCGGGCGCGGTGGTGCCGGTGGGAAAGCGCGGCCGTGGAATTGGCAGCCTGTGTCGCCGCCAAAGAATGCCCGGATCGGGTGTGATGCGCCATCGGCGCCAGGATGCTCAACAAACCACGACGACCACAGCGCACAGTTGGCATCCACGCCGTACCGCCCAGATCCGTGCTGAGCGGGTGTGCAGACGATTCGCAGCTGCTTGCCAGTCGAGCCAGGTTGGGAGAGAAGGATCTCGTCCCACCAATCCAGCTCCGAGACTCTGTCTGGGAGGATGGAGAGGTTGGAAGTGGTGGCAGCGTTTGTCACTGAAGACGGTGCTAGTGTCCAAGACGAAGAGGACGAGGTTGTGGATGCTGTTTCTGGCTCTGCCTGCTCGAACGTGCTGGCACCCACGAACCAATCTTTGTTTCCGAGGGGCACGATGAAGCGGATGCGGCCCTTGTTGGCAGCCCAGAGCTCCTTGATGGTGTCGTAGTCGAGATGGTCGTAGTGGTTGTGCGAGATGACGACCAGGTCGATGGGAGGGAGGCTGGAGATGGCGCATGGAGCAGCATAGGAGCGAATGGGGCCTGCGAGTTGGATGGGCGAGCATCTCTGCGAAAAGATGGGATCAAAGAGGATGCGGATGGGCTCTTGCTTTGGCTCGAGTGGAGCGAGCTGGAGAAGGACGCCGGCGTGTCCGAGCCAGGTGGCCTTGAGCTTGTCTTTGGTGTGGTCGAAGTCAAACGACGGTTCGTGTACAGAGAGGAGTTGCTTGGAAGCGATTTTGATCTTCTCGGATCGGGTATACTGGGTCGCACTAATGGTGCGTGTGTCAAGAGAGCTGGATGGGGGCTGTCTGTCTCCATCCTGGTCGGGGGTGCCAGGGCGACTGTCTTGGTAAGGGGCTTCGGACTCGACGTGCTCCAGATCGGTGCGTGGGTTGCGGGCTACGTCGGCATCCTGCAGTGCATAGTCGATGGCTGGATCCTGATCCTCTCCCCACTCCAGTCCTTGCCATACTTCTGCGAGAGAAGGCTTGTGCCAGCTTGGCCATGGATTGCGAAAGCCGATGCGGACGACTTTGGCCGAGTCTACGAGGGCGATGGAGTTGGGCAAGCAGGTGAGATTGGAATCGTACGAGTCATTTTGTATCTGAGCCGACTGGGCCGACTCTGCATCCTGTTGCGCTGCAGACGAGGTGGGCTGCGCGTTCCAGTGGGGGAGGTAGGAGGAGAAAGTGGTGCCTGGGGCGGGCGCGAGGACGTGGTGGCTTGGAGGCAGGCCATCCTTGGGGACATGTGGTCTGAACTCGGCGGCCAAAGGCGCGTCCGCAGAAGTTGCCTCCATCTATTGATGCGAGCGGGACAGGCTGGCTGTCTACCAGGCTGTTACTGACCGAGGAGAGATGGTGGTGCAGCGTTTGCCTTTGTTGTACGTTCAGGCGAGGTTCATAGTCCTCGGGCGCTGGGATGGCGGTCCGACCGGCATCAGCTGGAGTGGAGGTGCGGCTGCATATGCGAGATGCAGTCGCGCATCCTTGGCTGCGTTCTGCCGCCTCTTTCTCCAGTTTTTGAGACCGCAATTTCGAGCGTCGCATCATTTTTCTTTCTCGAACGTGAATCGCAAAGCAAACAGGAACGAAGGCCGCGATGGGCTCAAGCCAATCCGTGTGGACCCTGGATGCGGTTCGGTTTGCTCGCTCGAACACGACTGCAACTGCAACTGCAACCGTCAAGGCGAAGATCCATCCGGGGCATGCTCTCGCCCTCATGAGCAGCGCAATGGATCGCCCGACCGAGGTTGGCGACATTGCCAACCATCATCCAGAGGCGCCCGATCATCATGTGCCGCTTGATCATCTGCGCTCTCTCTACTATCGCCCGGCTCTAGGATCGGGTATCCTGATGCCCTCGTCCGAGTTGACACTCGATCCGTCGGACCGCCTTTCGGATCGCCCGAACCAAGATGCAGCCTCCTCTCACGCTTCTACAGCGAGTCGGCGCGAGTCGACCTCGTCACCCTGGCAGAGTCACACACGCACCGACAGCAACGCAAGCCGGATCGCAAGAGCTGCTGCTGCCTCGTCCTTCTGGAGCCCAAACGTCGCCAACTCGCATCCCGGCTCCCACGCCAGCATTCTAGCGCAAGCGCAAGCACAGGCACATACGCAGGCCCACTCGTCACCCGCGTCTCAGGGGTCGCCCGCGCTCTCGCAACTGACGCTCAAGGAGCTCGGAGTGACGTCGGCTTTTCCGCTGCCATCTTCCGTTCAGCCACGCCAGCTGAGCTACATCCACGCGGCACCAGGCTCGAGGGCTTCGTCATACGGCTTGGGTATCGGCCGAATGGATGCACATCATGGCCTGCTCAATGGCGCATCATCGTCTTACGGCTACCTGCCCACGCGCGTGCTGCCCGTCGAGGAGAAGAAGAGGATCCTCGTCACAGGCGGGGCAGGCTTTGTCGGATCTCACCTGGTGGATCGCCTCATGCTCATGGGCCACGAGGTGCTCGTCATCGACAACTTCTATACCGGTCAGAAGTCCAACGTCTCTCAGTGGGTTGGTCATCCCAACTTTGAGCTTATTCGTCACGACGTCGTCGAGCCCTTGGTCATCGAGGTCGACCAGATCTACCACCTCGCCTGCCCCGCCAGCCCCATCTCCTACCAGGCCAACCAGATCAAGACCATCAAGACCAACTTTCTCGGTACGCTCAACGCGCTTGGTCTTGCCAAGCGCACCAAGGCTCGCTTCCTTCTCGCCAGCACCTCGGAGGTCTATGGCGACCCAGACGTCCACCCGCAGCCCGAGACCTACAACGGAAACGTCAACCCTGTCGGTCCACGCGCATGCTACGACGAGGGCAAGCGCGTCGCCGAGACACTCACCTATGGCTATTACTACCAGGATGGCGTTGACGTTCGGGTGGCTCGCATCTTCAATACGTACGGACCGCGCATGCATCCGCACGACGGCAGAGTCGTCAGCAATCTCATCCTGCAGGCCCTGCGTGGCGAGCCGCTCACTGTGTTCGGAGACGGTACCCAGACGCGAAGCTTCATGTTCATCCATGATCTCATCGACGGGTTAATATCGCTCATGAACGTCGAGTCATTGCCGGCGGACGATGCACCACCGTCCCGTGCGACACCGGACGCTTCGGCAGTCGATATCATGACTGAAGCGCCCGACTCCATCATCCCTACCCGCTCCACCGTCGCGACCCCTGCCGCTGATGAAACCATCACCGCCGCTTCGACCCCTGCTCTTGGCGACAGCTACTTTGACCCGACGCATGTTCATCGCTTCGACGTGCATACACCCGTCAATCTGGGCAATCCGGCGGAATTCACCATTATGGAGCTCGCCCATCTTGTCCAAGTGTGCGTGCACAAGGTCAAGGCGCAAGACACGCATGCCTCTGCGCTCGCTCCGGGCGAACAAGAGGCCAAATCCGAAATCCGCTTCTTCGCCATGCCCAAAGACGATCCCAAGCAGCGCAAGCCCGACATCACACGCGCCACGGGCCTCCTAGACTGGCATCCGCGCTGGAAGCTCCAGGACGGCCTCGAAGAAATGACTCGGTGGTACTGGGAACGCATCAAGGAAGGTTCCCTTTGAACTGTGACGATCTGCCAATGCTGCAATCTCATAGACAGTCATTGACCGCCATCCCCCTCGTCTGCTCAAGTCTTCATCGCGGTCTATGCGAGCAGTGAGATACGATGTGATGAGGATTGACATTACGACATAGCGATGCGGCCTCAGTAGCCGGTGGGGCCCTGGATGTCGTAGCGCTTTCCTCGGACGGCCCAGATGCCCCAGTTGGCCTTGACGGCGACGCGCGGGTCAAAGTCGGCCACCGCCCACTGCTGCGACGCAAACGGGTTCTCACCGGGCGTGACGAGCCAGTCGAACTCGCCGCGCACGCCGTCGACGCTCTCAAACGCCAGCACGTCGCGCTCCACATCAGCGGGCGAGAAGCCCGTGGCGATGAGCGCACAGCGCGTCGAGAGGATCTGACCGATGGCACGCGCCCACTCGCGCTGAGCCTGCACCACTGGTGCCGCAGTCAGCGCCGTGAATGTGTGTCCGTCCGCAGACGCTAGCACAGGCGCAGGCTCTTCCGAAGGCACATCTCCGCCCTCGGGCGACGATGTCGCATCCACCGTGTACGCCGCTCGGCTCGGCGAAGCGGCAGCATCGGGAACTGCACCCGAGGCGCCGGTCTGCTGCTGCTGTTCGGCGATCTGCGCCTTGGCCAGCTCCACGGCGTCATCGGCCGCCTTCTGCGCCGATGCCTCGGTGGACTCGGCGCTCTCAGCGCCAGCAGCATGGTAGGTGCTCTTGGCACGCGCAAAGTGCGCTTCGTGGTCACGTTCGTCCTGTCGTGCCTGGTCGGCCTCCTCGACGGCGATCTGCGAGGGGAATCCAAAGCCAGGGCTGAACGCAAAGAAGACGTCGGTGTAGGCGTCAAAGGGCTCGAGCTGGGCGTGCACGTCTTCGTACTTGGACTGGATGGTGGTGACGGTGAGACCCTCAGAGACAACGACGGTGCGCGAAGGAACGCCGTAGTTTGAAGTTCGTACACGGCCCTTGTGCATCGAGATGCCTCCGGATCCCGGAGCGGCGCGATCCTGCATCTGCACCTGCTTGTCGGTGGGGATGTGCGCCTCGGGGCCGATGAGGAAGAGGTGGAAGGGGACGCCGGGGAACATGTAAGTCAGCTGGTCCCACACGGCCGGAGGCAGCGTCGACTCTGCTCGTGCACCGACGACAAAGATTCGCATCTTGTCAAGGGAAGGCTTGTCGCCTGCCTTGGGGTGAAGGGTCTGACGCAGGGCGATCATGCTGCGAAGGCCCTCGTGCGTGAGTCTGCGCGACTTTTTGGTGAAGGGGCTGTTCTCGTGGATGACGGCGCCCATGGTGGTGGGGAAGGTGAGGAGCTTGCTGACATGGCGTCGGCTGCGATCCGACTCTATTGAGTTGAAGTTGCGCGTGTAGAAGAAGACGTCCCAGTTGGACATGTTGATGGTCTCCTCGAAGCCTTGCGGGCCAGGCAGCTTGAATTCGGACATCTCACGGCCGCTGCGGAGGTCGTGCTCGTCTTCGTTGGCCTCGCGCAGACGCGCAACGTACTTGCCGTGCTCGGTGTCTTCGGCCCACTCCTTCTCGCTATAGTGCGTGGGCCACCCGCAGTCGGGGCACTCAAAGTTGACCAGACGTCTGACCTTGTACTTGGACATGCTGACGGGGCAGGGTGCCAGCGAGCGGATGCGCTCTCCGCGCGCGCGGATCGAGGGGATGGGCGACTTGGAGAAAGGGTGGAAGAGATCATCCTGGGCGAGTAGGGGTTTCTTGGCGGCGCGCGGAGGAAGGGCGAAGGGATCGTTCTTCTTGCTCTTCTTACCTCCAAAGAGCGAGAAGCCGAACAGGCCTCGTCGTTGGCCCAGATATGTGGGAGCGGTAGCGAGCTGACTCGAGAGGGCGGCGCCACACGAAGTGTGCAGAGCTGGCGCAGCCATGGGCCGGCTCGAAGCCGAACGAAGGGCAGCCTGTGGAAGCGACGCTCGCATGGTGCCGATTGGTACGCTGAGCAGGAGGCTCGCCGTGGTCTGATGGCAGTGACGTTCGCAGTGAAGGCCAAGGAAGCTGGACGTGAACAAGACGATTGGCGATGTTCGGCTGACCCGAGAAAATGCGAGAGGTGGAGAAATTGCCATGCAGTTGGAAGCCACTGCCCGTCGGCAGGATTTTCGGATCACCTCAGCGTTCCCATCGGAGGGCATCGTATTTAATCGCAATCGGAACAGCTGCACCCTCGGCTGCCCGATGCGCCAAGACATCGGAATCCCAAGGAAATCAGGGCCTGGCGGTGCTGTTGCTCTTGCCTCGTGGGAGGCGGGGCGAACGGACCAGCCGACGCCGTGGAGGGCGGCTATCGCGACGACTCGCCTGGCTCGGCCGGCCCATCCGCGCTGATCCAGGCAACCATCACAACTGCGGCGTCGTTCCGACCGCACACTCTCTCATCATCATCTGGAGCTTCGCAAGTGTCCGTTCGGAAGTGCTGCGGATATGGACCATGCGGTGGTGCAGAGGTGGCTGCGCAGCGTGCTCGGTCCGTACAACGATCGCGACCGCGTATACGCCGACGTGGATCGAGCGCTGATCGCGGTATCATCGCTCTCGCCCAAGACTGAGGTCTTCACTTTCAACGATGGTCGCACGCAGCTGCTGCTCACGCTCGAGGGCACGGTCCCTGTGGAGTTCCGCACCACCACCTACAACATCCCCGTCGCTTACTGGATTCCCCGAGACTATCCACGAGAGCCACCTATGGCATTTGTGGCGCCCACGCCAGACATGGCCATCCGCAAAGGACCCAACGTGGATCCCAGCGGCCAGATCGGAGGCAACTACATCGCGAGGTGGAGAAGCAAGCCCGAGGCATGTAATCTGCTCGACCTGATTCACGACTGCCAGCACATGTTTGGCCGCGAGCCGCCCGTGTATGCGAAGCCGAAGCCAACGCCGGTGTATGCTACCGCTGCCTCGTCGCAGCAGCGATCGCAGCCATCCACGCCGCAACAGGGTTCCAGCGCCAACCCCCTCGCACAGCCCCCAGGACCGTCGCTGCCGGCGTCTCCAAGATCGCCTCAGGTTGTCGGATCCCCGTCCTTGGAGGCGAGACAAAGGCCGCCTCCGCCGCCACCAGGGCCTGGCTCCGCTCACCACGATCACCCACAAGGCAGTTCCACGCCACAGCGTCCGCCCAAGCCCTCGTCGTCCATGGGCTTCGACCGAAGCGGGTTTCACAGCCCACGAAGTTCGAGCTCGCACTTTGATCCTCACCAGTCGCCAGCGCCACTTCCTGCGCTTCAAATTCAGTCACCACACACCTTCGGTCATCCGCCCGGCGCCGGGTCCGATGTGAATAGGCGCGCATCGGGCGGCGCGTACGGTCCAGGCGCGCACCAAGCGCCCTTTGGTGCGCCATCGCCGCAAGCCCACTTCGCACCCGCGGACCGGACGCAAACGCGAATCGAATCGAGCCATTCGCCGGTATCGCCCTCCCATAGGCCAGCATACGCCGATGGTCGTCCGTACGCTTATGGACATCAGTCGACCCCGCAACAGCATCCGCCAACGCGTGCACAAACGTATCCCTATCCGACGCAAGAGCCCCACCCAAGCCACACGCAGTATGGCAACGAGGCCGCTCAGGCAGGTGGGAGACAGCCGGCTTACAGTGGAGCACCTGGTGCTCAGAGCTATGCACAGCCAGGTCTGCCTCCGGCCAACGGAGGCGGACCGCCGCCGGTGCCTGGGCCTCATCCGTATGCATCTGGGAGCGTGTCTCAGGCGCCGAATCCAGCAGCGGTAGCAGTCGCCGATCGAAACGGCGTGCCGGCGCGACCGACCGCTGCGCCTAGACCGAAGAGCGTCAATCTGCTCGACGACGAGGACTCGGCGCTCGGAATCTCCGACACCCGCGGACAGGCCAACGGATTCGCCTCTGCGGGTGGGCCGACGTCGGCTGGCTCATCGGCCCCACCGCCGCCGCGGCCCATCAACCCGGAGCTGCTGGCGCTGCATGAGCGCGTCTACTCCAAGATCGACCAGCGACTCGTTACGCTCTCGTCGACGCTGCAAGCATCCAACCAGCGACTTGAGGTGCTTTCGAGCGATCTGGACCGCGGGTTGCCCGCGATCGAGGACGAAATGTCACGTCTCAAGGCGGTGCGAGACGTGTGCAAGATCACAGGTGACCGGCTGCAGGGCTCGGTCGACGAGATCACCGAGTCCGTCCGCTCCATCCACGCCAGAGACGATCCGGACCCGGACAGCATGGTCTTGGCTACGAGCATCGTGGGCAATCAGCTCGTCGATCTGGTCGCCGAAGACAATGCTATCGAGGACACGCTCTATCACTTGGGCAGGGCGCTCAATGCCGAGCGCATCGACCTCGATCGATTCCTCAAGCAAACCAGGATGCTCGCCAGGGAGCAGTTCATGAAGCGCGCCCTGGCGCACAAGATCAGTGAAGGTATGGGATGGTCGTGATTGCTAGCTGATCACACGTCGCAATTGCAAGCTTGAGCACACACTGGGATGTTTTGGGAGTGTGGTGCTGCGTGGATGGCCGAGTGTCAGCGGTGTGACTTTACGCCAGACGCGTTCGTGTTGGTGTGGAGGCATTTTCGCTGCGTGAGAGCAAGGGTCCGATGCTGCGCGCGGTTGGCAACTGCAATTTGGGCGTGACCTGGCTCGCCTTCTTCCCCCTTACTCTCATCGACGCCCGCTGCTACCCAGAGCTCCGTCAGCATGAGCAGTCCACTCAAGCGCAAGCGCTCTGCGGCATCATCGAGTCGTGATCCTTCTGCATCGCATGGCGCTGCACGAGCTGGTCAAGGACAGTTGTCGGTACCTGCGTTGGCAGACGGGCCAGCTCCAACGCGCGCCGAGCTCGAAAGATGTGTGGGCAGGCTAAGTGCTACGATGCTGCAACTCGAAGCACTTGTCCACCGGCTTCCAGATACTTCGCCGCGCGCTGTCCTCTCCGAAGTCTCGGCGCCAGCACAATCCTTTTCGACCCAGCCAGCTGAAGCCAACTCCGATTCGCGCAAGGCGCCAGAGCAGTCGTGCTCAAGCTGTGCCGCCCTTCAACAGCGCGTTCGGGAGCTTGAGGCCAGGGAAGCAGCGCACAAGAAGGAGAAAGAGGCGTGGGCTGCGTTCAAGCAGTGGTGGCTGCGATCGCTCGCCAAGAAGGAGCGCACCAATCACCAGCGCTCTCCAAAGTCTTCTCCAATCGCCGCTGTCTTGGGCAAATCAAGCTCTCCGCGACGACAGCGGACGAGCACACTCAGTGCGTTCAACAAACTCGACCCAGCAAGTCGCGAAATCTGGATCCAGGCTGGCATCGTAGACGGCCCCTCTTCCTCAAGCCAACTTGACGCCAATATCAGCGAGCCTAGTCCGGGCCCAAGCGCGCCGGAAGCCCCTGTGGTTGGTGGTGAGAGCGGACCTAGCGAGCCCATCCTACCCATCGCAGGTGCACGGCGCGATGTCGGATGGGTCGATTCGACGCCTGTGCGATCGCGCATCCAGCGCCGCACCATGATCGCTCACGACTGTCCCGACTGCGCCTCGTTCTACTCGCACCTCAACGAGCTACGCCCCAACAACCCCGGCGACGCAGAGAAAAACGCTTGCTCCCGTCACCGCACCACCCATGCACGTCAAGCGACCCCAGAGGGATACTGGAATATCGGCTTCCCCACCACACAGGATGCCGAGCTCATCAACGACTCGGCCCGCAAAGCTCGTCCGCCACGCTGAATCGCACGCTCACACGCCCCACTGCAACACACCCGGTCGTCAAAAGAATCTCGGCATGAGCGTGACATTGCCTGTGCTGTGTGCTGGGAGTGAAGGCAAACTTGGACTCGGCTCAGAGGAAGCCAGACTCCTGCAGCAGACGCGCAATCTTCTCGTCCTCGCGCTCGCGCGGCTCGAGCGCCAGACTCTGCTCGTACAGGTCGTCTGCGGACCGGGCATCCACCAGGTTGGTCTCGATGTACTTTTCCAGCGCCGGCACCACCGCCAGGTTGTACGGCGTCGACTGGTGGATCGTGATCTCGCGGATCACCTCGGCCGTCTTCTGGCGCTTGCCAAAGTTGATCAGCTGGTCATTCTCCTTGAGTCGGTCGCGGTTGCCGTCTTCGATGAAAGTCAGGTCGCCCAGGTAGCGGCCCAGGAAGGGGACGCACGGCGGGTTGAGCTTGTGGATCATCTCGCGGTAGTTGGCCCAGTTGCGCGAGGCAGACATGAGGTTCTCGAGCGACTCAAACACCGCCACGTGCTTCTGCGAGACCGCGTCCCACGTGCGCCGCAGCCGGTGGATCGGCGCCGTCGAAAGCGCCGACACGATGGCCCACATGCCCGAAAAGTTGTTGAGCGCGCGACAGCGGTCGGCGATGCTGATAAACTGCTTGATGAGCGCCGCACGTTTCTTGAGGTCCTCCTGCTGCAGAATCGTCTCGGCCACCCATGCCGAGATGCGGTTGTGCGTATTGATGCTCTCCATGATGCCCTTGGCATGCACCTCGTTGCCCGGCTTGGTCCATTTGAGCCCCAGACACTCGGCGGGCTTCACCTTGTTGTACAGTCGGCTCTCCATGAGCGTGAGCTGGCGCGCCAGCTCCAGCGGATCAATCTCGAGGAACTTGATCTTCTTGAGGTTCTTGGGCAGGATCGGCGCTGGGGCCGACGTGGGCAGCACCATCTTGCGGATCATCTGCTCGCCCTCGCCCTGGCGTCGCTCGACGAGCCGCTGCAGGTGCTGCGAGGGCGCCTTCATCGAAGCAATCTCGCCCATTTCCTCGACCGCGAACCGGCGCACCTGGTCCAGGTACGGCTCGTCCTCTCCCTCGTAGAAGTGCATCTCGAGCCACATCTTGAGCACGTTGAACACACGCAGCCGGATCGGGACCTGCTTCTTCTCGGTCCAGAGCGCCAGTTCGTCCTCGTCCAGCCCGTCGGGCGGCAAGATGCGGAAGCGCTGCGCCAGCAGGTCGAGCAGCGTCTGCGTCGTGGTGAAGGAGCGGTACGTCATGAGGAACGTGTTGTTGAACGATGCGTCAAACGAGTTGTGCATCGTCAGCCGCGCCAGCAGCGCCTCGAGCGTCGCGCCCTTGACCGAGCCGTCCTGCGCGATCACAATGTCGTCGCCCATGTAGTCTGGCTCGAGGAACCACGGCACCTCGTCCTCCTTGCGACGCGCCAGCGTCGAACCTGTGTTGCCGGTGCCGGCGCTGTTCTCGCTGTCGTGGGTCAAGGTGTGCGTAAGCGGCGCGTCGTCGCCCAGCAGCCGACGCAGCTTGCCGCCGCCGGTGCGCACCGATTCGCTGTCCTCGTCGATGCTCTCGGCTGTCGATCCGTCCACCAAGGTGCCTCGACGGCTGAGGATACGGCTGGAAGCGTCGGTGTATGACTGCATCGAGCGCGTCGAGCCGCCGGTCGTGACGGAGGTGGATCTATTGCGGAAGCTGTTCGACATGCCGAATCGTGCGGGGGCCAAGCTGGTACTGGGCGAGTTGCCTGTCGAGCCTGTAGTGGCACGAGAGCCGGACCTGGCTCTCGGCCCGTTGGGAACGGCGATGCCGGGGCCCAGGTACATGAACTCGGACTCTTCCTCGGCGTCGGGGCCACCGTTGGCTGCGTAACGTGCCATTTCCTCCACCTCCTCGTGCAGGCCGTTGCTGGTGGTGTTGATCTTGTGAGAGAAGATACCGGTCGATGGCAGGCTGAAGCCCTCCTCGGAGCCGTGCACCGCCGCACGAGCGCCCAAGTACGGCGATGCGTCGCGCAGCTGCTCTTCAGCGACCTGAACGAGCTCCTCGAGCGTCTTGGATACAGTGGAAACCAGCCTGGTCAGCCTGCTTGCCTCTCGCTGCAGATGCGACGACGCACTTGAGGTCGTTGTCTCCTCGCCATGCTCCTGCACAGCGATGAACAGGGAGCAGGAAAGGTCGTAGGCGGTCTGCTTGAGAGTCACGAGGCGGCGCATCAGGCTGCGCGCCTTTTGCGCATTCGTCAAGTTCCGCGCCGAGATCGACGACGACTTGGCTTCGCCTGGACTGGGCCCATCGACGTCGAGAGCCGAGGCAAGGTCAATAGCTTCGACGAGCGCCTCGAAAGCACCGTACTGAGACAGGAGAGACAAGCCAGGTTGGACGGCTGCAGCCGGCTTTGCTGCGGCGACAATTGTGTCGTTCGTAGCTTCTAGCTGGGAGGAGAGCTGCTGGGCCTGCTTGACCACGTGCTGATCGAATCGCGTGTCCGGAATGCGCCGCAACGTGAGCATGCCGCGGACGACTGCGGACTCGGCTTCCCTGCGTTGGTCGAAAGGGTTGTGCTTGCGGGTGCCTTTGCCCTCTGCCTTGATCAAGGCGACTTCGAATTTGGACGGAAGCACAAAGCCGTTGCCGAGCCATGAGGCGGCCATGCCGCTGCCGAACGAGGTAGAGCCGATGCCGTTGAGCCCCAAGTCGCTCTCGAGGCTGCCCTCGACCCTGCGCAGCCAGCCGCGGCTCTGCGGAGCACTCAGGGCCGTGCTCCTGACCTTTTCTGCCTCGGAGCTGAGGCTCTGCAGCGTGCGCATGAGCTCGAGCGCATCTTCGCGAAGACGTTGTCGGCACTGATAGAGCTTGGAGAATACGTCGGCATCGAGGTCGGTCATGGTGCTCTCCATGCTCGAGGTGGGCGACGAGGCGAGTGTGACGGTGTGGTCGATGACCTGGCGCGAAGAAAGCACGAGCTTCGAGACGACGGCGTTGAGCTTGCGACCAACGGGGTGCAGGCTGCTCGGGATGGGGGCAAGCGAGTCCTTGGAATAAACGCCACAGCGTTGAAGTGCAGTAGAGGCACCCTTGCCGTGGGCAGAAGCGTGAGAAGCTTGCAGCACGCTTGAGAGAAGGTTCAGATCAATGTCCTTGTGCTCCAGAGGGAAGTCGGGCGCAAGCGCGGTGCGACTGTCTGCTTCGGCTGGGGAGGGCGAGACGAGCTTGGAGATGGCAGCGAGATCGCTGGTTGAGAGAGAGAGCGAACCGGTGGCGTACAGGACATCGCGGATGGCGGAAACCACGCTTGAGGTGGCATGCGCAAGCCTCGGAAGGTAGACGCCACTCTGCGGGCTCCAGAGAGGTCCATCGGACTCGGCGAGGCCATTCGTGCCGACCTGCTCGGTCGCAATGGCTGCGAGCTGTCTGATGACCTCGTTTGCGCGACGAACCAGGAGGCTGACGGGAGCTACCGGCGATGGCGCCATGGCTTTCTGAAGGTCATAGGCGGCCGACTCCTCCTGAGACAGGGTGTCGGGCGCTGCTTGTGGTTGGGACAGCGCGGGATGGTGCGCAAAAGCTGCTGCGCCGAGCGAGGCGTGTGCGCTGCGAGCTGCATCCGAAGCGGCCATCTTGGGCGGCTTGCCTGGCAGGCGTGGATTGAGATCGGCGTCCAAATCCGATTCGTCCGAGTCGAGGTTGAGTTCCGAGACCTCCTGCGCAAGGCTGCGCGATCCGCCTAGACTGGGTGCTGCTTTGGTGTGGTCATTGAGCGTTGATGCGGACGCCGGGGATCGCGCGGGCTGCGCTGGAGAGCGACTTCGCGGGGTGACGTTGGAAAGGATGGTGAGCTTGGTCTTGGCGTCCGTGTAGTTCCATCGGATCTCGGTGGTCTTCCGATGCACAAAGAAGAAGAACTTTTCGTCGTCGGTGAGGCGCACCTTCCAAGGCTTGGGCACGGTGATAGGATCGGGCATGCGATCTACCGCGTTGGAGGCGGGCGCGCGTACAGGGGCGCTGCCGTTCTGGAAGATGGCGGTGTGGCTGCTGTTGGTGCTGGAAGACGGCCGCGAATCGTTGGTGCGGAGCGAGGGAGTGCGACTGCCGTCCGGCGCGAGGTGTTGAGCATCTGCGGTGCTGCTTTGGCCGGAAGAGGATGAGCGAAGCATGGATGGTGGCTGGTTTGCGACTGCCGAGGATCCGGCGCCTGACTCTGGGCCGACGACGCCGAGCGTGGGGAGCTGGTTTGCCGCGGCTCCTGTGCGTGCTCCTCGGCTGCTGGAGGTGTTTTGAGCCCATGTGTCGGTGGCGTTGGAGCCAGTGGCGGCTCTGGGCCGAGCGCTGGCGGCAGCGGCAGCAGCAGCGAGAGAAGTAGACGCGCCCGCATTGACCTCTACGGGATTCGAGACGGAAGCAGCTCGGGCCCTGTCGCGCTCGAGAGCGAGGCGATGTTCGGACAAGGCAGCGAGCGAGGCAGAGGCTGAGGATTCCGGGGCGAGATGGTTGGGTGCCGACGGATTGCGATAGGGTGATGCGTCGGAGTGAGTCTCGGCCAGCTGGGGGCTGTTGTGATCGAAGACGCGTCGCGATGGATCGAGCATGGCGGCCTCTGCGAGCTGACTGAAGGCGTCGCTGCTGCCGATGCCGTCGCCCTTGATGAGCGCCTGGAGGCCATCGAAGCCGGAGCCGAAGCCGAGGCGGGCAAACGAGTCCGAGTCGGCGGAGGGCTGTGAGGAGAGGCCGAGGTGGAAATTGGATGTGAGCTGTGCGCGGGCAGCAAGCTCGACGGCGGCCTCGCGGTCCGAGATGGGCTCTACATAGTTGGAGGGGAACCAGCCGCGGACTTGATTGTGAAGCAGGCCATCCCACCAGCCGGATTCGAGCTGGGTGAGCACCTCGATGAGCGCGCCCTTTTGGAAGGAGAGCGAGCTGGCATCGTTGGACTCAAAGTCGTAGAGCGCGCGCACGAAGAACGAGGGCGGCTCATCCGAGTCGTCTGCGGTGCTCGGTGCGTGGTCGTCGGGCATGGTGTTGTAGGCGAGACGCGACTGCGCCAACGAGTGCGCGTGTGATGGATAGTGCAAATCGTTGACGTAGCTGGCGGCAGCCGATGCGGAGGTCATCCTGTCGCGGCCAGAGCTCTACGCGAGGGTCGGACTTGCCGAAGGCGATGGGACCGGGTGGTGGCGTGGGTGGTGATGGTGGATACTCGGCAGCAGATGTGGCGTTGCGATCGATGCAGCGGACGATGGCATGGATGCAGGGGCTGGTCTGCACGCAAGTCGTCGATTGTTTCGGTGTCGGAAGTGCCGGAAGGTGCGGCGGGCGGGCCGAGATGCAAGCGGATGTGCAGCGCCGTAGGGGAGGGATGGGATGCAAGGAGCGTGAACGAAGTCGTGACGAGGTGTGATGGAGGGTGGGTCGAAATGAGGCGCGTGTGGGGGGGAGGCGAGGAGAGAATCGAATTCAGCGATGCATGCTACGGCGGTCGAACGCGCGAAAGGGCGTCGGAGAGGCCGATGAGCCGATCAAAGGAGATGCGATGGAGGAAAATGGAGTGTCGAGATGAAGCACGGCGGAGTGATGGGTGGGGGGAGGAAACGATGCAGTGGACGCAAGAAAATCACGCCAATGGGATCAATCAGGGTCTCTATGATGGCGTGGGCAGCGCACCCGTTTGAGCAGTCAAAGGAAGGGTGGCCGAGCGAGCGAGTGCAGGGCTGCTGGGGGAATAAAGCTCTGCGCGACAGGCTGGCTGGGAGACGCAAGGCAGTTGCAGGCGGATGTGAGGGCTCAAAGGGAAAGAGGAAAGAGAGACAGAGAGGGAGTGCGGGTCGCAGTCGTGTGTGCTTGAGCGCGCGCGTGGATGTGCGTGTGCGTGCGTGTGTGCGCATGCGTGTGGTTGTCGAAGTCGTCTCGTGTGCTCGAGTGCCGTGGAACACCGGCTTCCAGCCAAAGTCGGACTGCGAAAAAAGGAAGAAGAAGAAAAAAAGTTCATGGCGTGGGGCGGCTCTGCGCACTCTCACCGGCCACGCCAAGGAACAACAGCGTGCAGCAGGGTACAGCATGCACATCGCGTCCAGAAGCTCGCTCGGTCGATGGGGCGAATCGTAGGCGCCACTTGTCCAGCCTCGTTGAGCTGTTGGATGCTGTATCCTTAAGTGCAGTTCATTCCCGCTCATTTTGATCAGTCCCTGTCGATACAGCAGTCTGCAATCACATGCCAGCGCTGGCTCCCGAACACTAACACCTACTTCGGAAGCGGAAGCGAGTGCGAATCGAGCCTTTATTTTTGGGCACTACTACTGTAGCTGAACGAAGAAGATTTGGTCTCGCTGCTGCGACTTTAGACGAGGCCAGCTATCATAAGGTGCACGCAAATTAGGTCCATCAGCATCGGTGTTGGGACGCAGACGACGTCGCCTTCGGATCGGCCGACAGTGGCACTTGCTCATGCACGCGTCTCTCTCGTTGGGGACGCTGCAAGATCCTCGGCCACGAGCGGGGGAGCCCCCGACTGTCCATGCTTTTGAGACAACGCGCGGATCTCGGTCCCTTGCGAACGGAACCTGATTCAGGAACCCAACTCTACTTGCAGACAAATCCCCGCCCAGATGCGTCTCTACGGTCCATTGTGTGCCTTCACCATCGCCGCTGTTGCGTGTTTGGCGGCAACGCAAACAATGATGCTGCAAGGAGCAAGTGCGGAGGCTTAAAGTGGAACCCATGCTGCCGTCGCGGGGAAGCTAGGACGGAGCTTGGAATAAATTGTGCGTGAGGCGAATCCTTGGAGCGACGGCACATGTTCCCGAACACGAGCCGCCGAAACGGCTCGCGAGCAGGCGCGTTCGGATGCACCCAACGCGCTGCGCTGCGTGGGAAGCGTCGGCGCTGAGCTCCAATCCAGACCGGACACACACCCCTCTCTCTCGAGCGCAGCTCCTCAAGGGCACACCTCATCGATCGAAATTGTCATTGCGTGCGCCGATGCTACTCCGCCCCCCATCGGGCAGTACAGACCATCTCTGCTCAGGTTCAAGCGTCATCGCCATCTTCGACGGTCGCTGTCTTGGTCGAGGGTGCAGCGGGCGTCTCAGCTTTTGCTTCCGTCGGCGCGGCCGCTGGCGTTTGATCGTTCTCCTTGTTCGCGTCCGCCGGCTGTTGCTGCTGCTGTTGAGCCTGTGCTTGTGCCTGCGCCTGCGCCTGCTCCTGGAGCGCGAGCAGCTGTGCGCGTGCCTCCATCAGCATCGCCGCCTGCTGTGGCGGCATGTTGGGCGGCAGTGGGCCCTGCATCAACGCTTGTAACTGCGCCGGGTGCAGCTGCATTCCGTTGGGCAGCGTCACCCTCGCATCCTGTCCCGATCCGGTCATAGGCAGGCTGATACCAGGGCCGTTCGGACCCGGGCCACCCTGAGGCGGCGCGGGCATCGGGCCTCCGGGTCCGCCGGGTCCGCCGGGGATCTCGATCTTGGTGCCGGGCGGCGTAATGAGTGGCGGCAGTTCGACGTTGGCTTTGGGTACCGGCTTTCCTTCGTCTTCGAGCTTCTTAACCTCGGCAGCACGCTGACGCTGAATTTCGTAGTAGATCTCCTTGTGCTTGAGGTGCGCAACCATTTCGCTCGCCGAGGGGAAGATGAGCTGACCCCATCCCTCGCGGAACGTGTTGGCCTCGGACACCACGTCGAGGATCTCGGCCTCGAGTTCCTTCTCCGCCAGCGTGAAGCGCGCCATGGTCTCATCGCCGATCGATCCCTTCTGCAGCAGGGTGCCCAGCGCCTGCTTGTCGTCGCGCATGCGCATGATCCTACGCACGTCCGTCATGGCGCGGTTGAGCAGCGCCGCTTTGAGCACCTCCTCCGGTGCGGGCGGGTCGGCCGCCACAAGCGTCTGGTAGATGTCGCGCGCCTCGTGTCCCTCTGGGAACCACGGCTGGTACGACTTGGCCAGGTTCAGTGCCGATCGCCGCCGGTAGATGCGCGAGAACACCAGCATCGACACCACCAACGTCGCCACGTACCCAATGGGCACAAAGATCGAGAGCGCCATCGTCTCCTTACGCTCAGCGGCTAGCGGGAACTTGAGGTTTGAGTGAGAAAGTCTGTGCTGTGGTCGAGCGCGAGCTTCGTACGGCTGCGCTGGGTAGGTTGGAGGTCAGACGCAAAGCGAGGGCTCCATTCCACCGGCTACCTCCAGCAACGGCGAAGGGTCCGTTCGCTTCGCTCCCCTTCATCTGCGTGCCACCGCGACGCTTCGCCAGCGCTTCTTCTTCTCGCCCGACAGCACTCGCCCACTTACACGTGTCCACCTCGCTGCGGAATGACGCCGACATTTTTTAACTTTCAGTATGTCTGGACACGTGCCCTAACAATTTGACTTTTTTTCTCAGCAGGGGCGCAAGCAGCAGTGCTGGCACGAGACTTTGATTGGTGAAATCGATACTCGACGACAAGCTGGCACAGCGTAGGAATACAGATGCGATTGCGAGCGACGACACAAAACGGTTCCAAGAAGCGACTAGACCTTGGACGGGTGCGAAGCGGCGGCGGCAGCGTCCTTCTTCATCTGGATCAGCGCCTCCAGCTCGGTGCAGACTTCGGTCATGCTCGGGCGGTTCTTGGGCGCGTGGTCCCACATGCGGTCGAGCAGATCCACGATCTCGCCTCCAAACTGGCGTCGAATGGCGCCCGTATACGGACGCTGCTTCTTCTGTCCGACGTCCTGATAGATCTGGTGCTCGTTCATGCCCTGGAACGGATACTTCTTCTCGGGCTGGTGCCACTGCAGCGCCTCCCAGAACGTCATGGCCGCGGACCACACGTCGACCTTTTCGTTGTAGTGCGGCTTGGGCACCCACAGCTCCACCGCCTGCCAGTTTACCGTGCCCACCAGCGAGCGCATCATGGAGCGCGACGTGTTCTTGACGCGCGCAAGTCCAAAGTCGTTGATCTTGGCCGTCTTGCGCCGCGTGATCAGCACGTTGGTCGACTTGCAGTCGCGGTGGATGATCGCCGGCGTGCGCGTGTGCAGATACTCGAGCCCGCGTGCCGTCTCGAGCAGAATACGAAACACCTCGGCATCGCACGGCGCCTCGACGTTGCGGATGTAGTCAAACAGGTCGCCGTTCGAGCAGAGCTCGCTCACGATCATGCACGGCACATGACGCGGATCTTCGGGGATGCTGACGCCGATGAAGCGCACAATGTTCTCGTGCCGCAGATCGCGGAGCAGGCTCAGCTCCTTGATGTCCATCTCCGTCAGCTGGTCACGAATGTCGGCGATGGCCACCTTGTTGACGCGCGTCTTCGAGATGCGATACTTGCCCACATAAACGTCCTTGAAGCCGCCAGAGCCGATCTTTTCGAGCTTCTCCAGCTTCGAGGGCGCGATCTCCTTGTCCGTCAGGTTGAGGCTCTCGAGATCAAGCCCGTTGAGCTCGTCGACTCCGTCGCCCGCCTGCGGCGCTTGCGCTTCTTCGTTGTTCGAAGTGAGCGGCGGCGTCGGCAGCTTGTCAGACGAGGTGTTGCCCTTGTCACGCCCACGCAGCAGAAGAGGTTTGTCGCTGTCCGTAGCAGCAGGACGTGCGTGACGGCCGGCTCGGCCGTTGCGTCGACGCGTGGGCGTTCGTTGCCCCGCCTTGGCAGCTTCGTCATCGGCAGTGGCAGTGGCGGTCGAGACGTTGGAGCGAATCGCGTCGGCTCCCCCGACGATCGTCTCCGTGGATGCATTTGGCCGAAGCGAGCTGCCCTCGTCATCCGAGCCTGAGCCGTCTTCCCCTGCGGCCTCAAGCGCGGTGAGTTGATGCCACTCCAGCAGCTTGGTGATGAGATTTGCCTTCTTGTCGTCCGCACCGATGTCGATCTCGCGATGGTTGCACAGTTGCTCAAGCGCCGCCTTGCGCAGACGCGAGAGCGCCGCAAAGGAAGGCTCCACCATGGCGTTTTCGCAATCTTCCGAGTCGCCGTTCTGCGGCGCTTCATCCTCTGGGGATTCGGTCCGAGCGCTTCTTGCACGTGCCGGAGCGGTCGTGGTTTCGGGGGCGCTTTCCATGTCCACATCGTCCATGCGCTCGGACTCGGGGTCTTTGGCATCCGTACCTCCCACTGCTGATCCCGAGACCAATCGAAGCTTGCCGTTACGCAATTTGCGGAACTTGGTCGGAGTGGGAGCATCGTCGTCTGAGGTGGCCATATCAGCATCGCTGTGCACCTGCTCCACATCGGGCTCGGACGGCGGCTCCATCGAGACACTGCGGCTGCGCGGCTGGTGCGATGTCAAACTCGATTCGGACCCTGCCGTCGACCGCCTGGTCCGCGAGGCCTTGCGAGTGCCTCGCTGGATGCCCAGTGCTCGACTGGAAGCATTTGGATCCTCCACGGGTGATGGTTCAGTCTGCAAAGAAGCGTCGACGGCTTCGCTGTCCGTCGAATCGCCCTCCATCCACTCGTCGTCCTGCTGTTCGCCGATGGTGACGGACGGAGAAATGTGGAACTGGACAGCTTTCTGGCCGCATCGAGGTCGCCTGCCGCCAAGCTTGGGTGTGGCCATGGGATCGAAGGCTGCAGCGCCCCCATCAGCCGCCTCGAGGCCGCGCGACGCCTTCTTGCGCCTGGAGGGCATACCAAGCGTCATTCGAGCGGTACGGGAGCGTGTCCTTACGGGCGACGATGCCACAAAGACGTTTGGCTTGTATCGATGGACGAAGGGTGAGTGAGAGTTCTGCGAGGCGCGCGAGCTCCTCCCGCCAAAGATGGAGGAGGAAGCGGAGGCCGAAAGCAGATCCGAGCCCAGGCGGCGACTATTTGCACGCCGTACGTCCGTCTTATTGCGTAGCTGACGCCGCGGTGCCTGGTTCGCCTTGGAGGGCTCCATCTCGTCAAAAGTAGCCGAATCCATGCGGCGCAACGCATTGTCTGCTTCGATCCGACCTTGCCTGTATCGAGGCATGTGTCGACGAGGGATGCGCATGCGGCTGGGTTCGGCCTCCGTCTCTTCGCCGCCTGCCTCGTTCGAGGCGTCGCTGTCGCTGGAATCGTCGGAGTCGTCTGGAGATGCCGAATGCAAAGTGGATTGAGATCGATGCGAGGTCGGATGCGAATCGGCCAGGAATTTTTCGTTATCCCCGCCGTCATGTCTCGAGAAGCGGTGGGATGCTTGACGACTTGGACGCTGGCGTTGCACCGCGGCGAAATTCCGCTCCTTGCCGGTCTGTGAACGATCGAGACGCGAGCGACTGGTGATGATCTGATTCACGAGATCGTGCTTGGTGAGGAGCTCGAGCTGGTCGTCGGTGGGGTCCGTATCCCAGGCGCCAGCGATCTGAGAGAGTTGGATAAGCTCGTCCCTGCGCAGTCGGTGGAGCTGCCAAGTGGGTGCGGATTCGACGAGACGGACGTGCTCGGCTTCTTCGTCGTCCATGTCGTCGGGGCCGTCTGAGCTGTGATCCGAGTCGAGCACGGCGGTGGAGCTGGCAACGCGACGCTGGCGCGGCTGTGGAGGCGCATTGTCTGCGCTACCAGCGGTGCGGCTGCTGCTTTGCCTGCTCATCGATGCCGACAGCGATCGACTGGATCGGTCGGCAGCATTAGGACGGCGATCTTCGAGCGTCATGCCGTCAAGTGTGCGATGGAGCGAGCTGCGACTTGAGCGTCGCGTCTGGATGCCGGGGCGTTGTTGGGCTGGCTCAAGATGATCCTCGGATCGCAGCACAGGTGCGCGCGAAGAGGTAGGGGAGACTGATGCGACGGAAGACCATTCAGACAGCTCGCTGGCAGAAGAGGAAGGCTTGTCGCGAGGAAGGTGAGGCGAAGTGACGATGTTGAGCTTGGCGTCGTTCCTCCTGCGACGTGCTAGCGAGGAGCTTCGACCGAGGGCCGGGGAAGTGGCATATGGGTGATCCTGCTGATCCTTGTGGGTCGATCTTGTCTTCGCGGCATTCTCTGCGGACGAGTTGCTAGCCAACCGGGTGCGGGCGCCCTTCTTGCGCTTGAGACCTGCACGGACCCTTTGAGAGATCATGGTGGCAGGCGAGCAGGCGACAACCGGAAGCTGGACAAAGCAAGAGGTCTGTTGCGCCAGAGAGGACGAGTGTGGCAGGAAGTGGTTCAGAGGAACCGGTGACAGAGCCGAGCGCGGACGACTCGTATGTGCCATGACGAGGGCCGGAAGAGTCGCTGGATAAAGTGCCAAGTGCCGAACGGAAGTTCAGCGGCTGACACGAGGCGATGAAAGTTGGGCGAGACGAACTAGAGGAACGCTATACTGAAGGTGCAATGCGGCTATTGACGGAGGTTCGATGTGGCCATGCTGGACAGAGAAGCGACAATGGCTGATTCACACCTTCCGCGGCGAGTGACGATCCGTGCCGTAGCGATGAGAAAGGACAAGGTGGCCGTCTCTATGCGGCGCCGATACGTTGAGCGTGCAAAGTGATCACTGGAGGTTGCCGAGCAGATTGGCGCTCGATTGCATATGGACAAAGATGAAGAAGTTGAATGACGAGCAAATGGTAACCGGCGAGAGTTGGGTGCTGTTGCGAATGTGACGAGGCGAGACGAGGTGGACGAACGGGAACAGAGAAGAGACGAGGCAGAAGCGATGCAGGGGACGGAATGATGTTGGAGTTGCGACGAGACGATGCGATACGAGACAGTGATGGAGAGTTGCGAGCTGCGAGTGGGTCGTTGGTGATGGTGGTGTTGGTTGCGGAAGGCAACGTCGCCTGTATTTGCCGGGCTGCGCCTTCTCTGCACGCTGCAGCCTGGCTTGCGGGGGTGATGAACAACACCCACCGGCTGCCTGACCAGTCATCGCCGAAAGTTGACTCGGCTGCCTCCCTGCCCTCCGCGGGAGTGGAGCGTCTGCAGAACCGCATTCCATCCTCTCAATTGGCCAAAAAACATGAAAAAATGACACTGCGCTGTGGAGTTGGTTTGCTTGAAATAAACATGCATTTTTGGCTGAGAAAAAGTCTGCAGCTGCACAGCACGACATCTGTTTTTGGCGCGCGTCGGCAATTTTGGCCGAAATTCATTCTGTGGGCCCGTCCGTGCAGAGAGGTTGGTGCAGCTCGCGTTGAACTCAGCTCCACCAAGCCACTGTTCTCGCCCGAATCGGTCGCGCTTTGCATGTCTCCATCGCGTTGGGGAGCGCGACGCGTAAAGTGCCGTTGCCAAAATGTTAGGCCTTCTTCAAGCTGGAGGCTGCCAGCGGGTCACAATCCTCACAGCCACGCTCGTGCTCTGCAGGCCAAGACACAACGGACAAGCTCGGGCCGAGTAAGAGACTGAATAACGGAGAATGCGATGGTAGAGATACAGAATTGGCGCTTCGGAGCCAGGCGGGTCGAGGCAAGGAACTAGAGGAGGCAGGGAACTAAGCAGTCACGAAGCGTGCAGGATAAGCAAGATACGAGAGACCCATAACCAGAAAGAGCGGGAAGACAGAACAGGTTGCTGCCAATGGCCACCGAGGACGAGACCAGGCTCAGTCCCAAGGCCAGCTGGCAGCTCTTTTGCAGATAGCGGCCCCAGAATGCAGGAAAGGTGAGAAGGAAGAGAGATAGAGAGAGAGAAAGAGAGTTCTTGTTGACGGGAGGTGGCTCAGGCGCTAAAGTCCTGGCCCTCGACGCCGATCGAGGCAAGCAGGCCGTTGAGGTATTCCTGCGTGCTGGCATCGTTGCTCAGGTCGCCGTCGTTGAGCATCTGCTCGAAGCTGTTGTTGCTCGAGTCCAGGCCGGACATGTGGCCGCCCATCTTGCCCATCGTGTCGAAGCCGGCGGGCGAGAGCAGCGCCAGGCCGTTGTTGCCCATGCTGCCAGGCACCATGAGCCCGAGCGCCGAGTCGGTGTGCCCCGCAGCCGTCGCCACGGCCATGCCGGTGCTGGCCATCGACACGTTGACGTCCGATGGGTTGAAGCTCATGTCGAGCGGCGAGTGCAGCGCGCCACCGAGAGGGTTCGCCTGGCTGGCCCAGTGCCTCTCGAGTCGCTCCTTCTGCATGCGTGCGTCGTCGCCCGTGTTGAGCGGCGGTGGCTCGCACAGCGACGCGCCCATTTGCGGGAACGGCGTGATGGGCGTGTGCACCGCCCTCTGCTGAATCATCCCCCATGCCGCCGGCGTCGGGCTCGCAGCAGGCGACGGCTGAGGGTGCGGGCTGAGCATCGCTCCACTCGCACTCCTCTGCGGGTTCAGATACGCGGGCGCCGGCGGAATCGACACCATCAGGTTGGGCTTGGTCATCGACAGTCCGCGCTTGCGCAGCAGCGTAGGCGCCTGCAGGTTTGTCTCGGAGCTACCCTGGCCCGCTTCGGCCTTGAAGCCAAAGCTAGGCTGCGGAGAGGGCTGCGTCTGGATCAGCGACGGGGGCGGGTGGGCGTGCGCATAGCCACGCGGCGCAGCTCCGCCGTTGAGCATGTTGAGCTGAGGCTGCGGCTGGTGCGCCAGCGGATGGCCGTTGGGGAAGGCTGCCGTCATGGGAGACAGACCGTGCGGCGCCATGTGCAACTGGGCGCCTGCCTGGTTCAGAGGCGAGGCCACCAGCGGAGCCGTTCGACCCATCGGCGAAGCGCCGGAGCCGACCGTCAAGAGCGAGACGGTGGGCGTACCCGGAGTGGTGCCGAGCGACTCGACGCACTCGAGATCCCATGCGATCACCAACACAACATCGCCCACCTTGCTACCAGGGCTCAGGCTCGAGCTAGCGTCGTTGAGCAGTGTAGCGTCGCGGTTGGCGCCAGCGGCAGCAGCCGAGCTCTTGTCCTCGCTCGCCACCACCAGCTCCTGGATGATGGTGACGCCCGACACAGCCATGCCGAGAGCAGCTCGCTCGCTCGGCTCCTTGCCGAACGACTGCAGTCCATCGCGACCGCTGTAGACGTTGACAGGGTGATTGCGGCTCAAGAAGTCGGCCCAGAAGTCCGTGGCGAACGGAGCCTGGTGGCACCAGCGATGGCGCAGGTTGCTGTTGGACTGGTTGTTGACATCCAGTGGCGTGCGAGGCGAAGCGGGACCACTCGACGTGCCCGAGATGGGACTGAGCGAGGCGATGCTGCCGTCGCTCTCGCGTCGCTGGCTGTTCTTGCCCTTGGTCGGGGTCGAGGTCATGGCATCCTCGAACGAGGGTGCCTCGTTGGTTGCTGTCTCGCTCGACGCCTTGGCAGCCTCATCGTTGGCTGCAGCGCCGGCACCCACCGTGCTGGTGGCGGCAACCTCGACGCCATTCCTGCCCGAGATCTTGCGCGGAGCGTCGAGGGGCTCGACGAGCGACAGAACGCGCTTGCCGTGCGAGTACACAGTGGTGACCGAGGTGAGTCGCAAGTCTTGCGCCGACGTCAGCGAGAGCTGGGTGCTGAAGTGGTCGTAGCGCGGCATCATGACGTCGTGGCGCGGCACCGAAAGCGGCACGTGCACGTGGAGGAACTGGCACGGCATGCGATGGTACATCTCGGCGAGACGAGGGAAACGGAAGTGACCCACGCGCACCGAGTCGAGCGTCATCTGGGGCAACGACGACTGGTTGTTGGCGTAGGTGGTCATCGAGTTCCTGTCGAGGTTGGTGTAGACGTGCTTCTCGTCGCCAGACGAGCAGTGCACCCACATGGAGAAGCTCGCGGGCAGGATCGGGCACGGCGTGTTGCCGCTCGTGTCCTTAACTCCAGTCTGCTGCGGGAAGTGAAGGTTGTTCAAGCCCGAGGTGATGGAGTGCGTCGCCGACATGGGTGGCGCACCGGGCGAGAGAGGGCTGGCAAGGCCTTGGCCACCCGTGAGGCCTGGGGTATATGGGGAGAGCAGGCCACCGGCATTGTCCATAGACATGAGCGGGTAGGCGCTCCCAAGGCCACCGTAGCCGTAGCCAGCAAGCGTCTGTGCATACATCATGCCACCGGCAGGGATGTAAAAGTCCTCCTCGGTGGTGGGCTCGGCGATGAGCTGCTGGAATTCGGGATCACCCTTGCGGATGTTCTTGAGCACCTGGATGTGACTCGAGACCTGCTTGCGCGTGCGCACCTTGTTGGTCTTGCGCTCGATGTAGTCGGCGATGAGCTCGTTACGACCGCACGGCTTGCCATGCACCAGCACCTTTCGGCGACCGAGCTTGGGAATCAGTCGGAGAGCTAGAGGATGTCACGGATCGTCCACGTCAAGTCGCGAGCCAGCGCAACAAGGGAGACGAGGGAAGAAAGCAAAGGAGAGAGGATGCGATGCGATGCGAAGACGGAGAAGGGTGGTGGTRGTCGAGGGGCAAGATCGAGACGGCAAGCGAAGAAAGGCAAGGGTAGGAAGGGGTCAGCATTCCGTTTCGGACTTGACTTTGAGCATCCAAATTGCCATGAAGCAGTCCTCGCTGCATCTAGATGCAGCACAGGCAGACAGAAGCAGCTTTGCTCGAACAGCGCCCAGGCCGGCTCGGGGATGGAGGTCCTCGGCGTATGACGAGAACGCAAACCGACCCCGCATGCTCAATACAAGAAAGGCCGAGCCGGGCTCATGTCGCCAGCTGCAACCGCGAATTTCGGAGATTGAAATTTCGCCGAGACGCGTCTGGCAGCTTTTGAGCGCCAGGCCCGAGCTTCTGCCCATCCAACAGTGCCACCGCCGAGCGCGGAGGAGCATGCTCTCGAAGATTTCACAGGACAGCGAACGAGGCGCAGATAGAGACTTGTACATACCTTCCCAGAAAGCCACTTCGACGTCATCGGGCCAAACGTCCTGGTTCTTACCATTCGGCGTCGCGCTGCCCGAGTTGCCTGCGGCGTTGGCGCCAGCCTTGACCGCCTTGTCGTCGGTGGCCTTGCGGCTGAGCGACGACTGCGACTGGGCGCGTTGCATGGCGTCGGAAGCGGCACGTGGTGGTGCGCTCTTGGGTGGCTGCTCTCCGCCGAAGGAGGAGGGGAGCGTAAGGTTGGCGGTCAGGTTGGCGATGTGGGAAGCACGGTCCATGGCGGTGAGCGAAAGACGTCGCACGCGGCACGGCGAGGCGCTCGACTGCACCGACGACGGCGTCTCGAATCCACCTCCAACACTGGACCCTACCGAGAACTGCGGGTGCTGCTGGTAGGCGTACATGTTTGGTGGGGTCTGCTGAGGCAAGAAGCGGTGCTCGTTGGCAAGCTGCTCGACGCGACGTTCGGGTGTCGCATCGACCTCGGAGGTACGGCGACGCTTTGCATCCTCGTTGAAGGTTGCAGCGGCCGCTGCCGAGGCATGATCAGTGTTGTTGGACATGCTTACGGTCAAGCGGGGCGGAGACATGAGGAAGCCAGCTCCCGATGTACTGTGTGCCTCTGCGTTGAAAGCCATATCCATGCCCTGAGAAGCAGCATCGGTGTATGCCATAGATCCATAAGCGTCCACCGAGATGCTCATACTCCTTGCACCAGAGACAGCACCCGCCATGGGACCAAAGCCCGTCAGGGACGAGCTGGAGTCGCTGGAGGGCATGAGCGTCTGGATGCTGTGACGACGGCCGGAGTTGGATTCAGCGCGCACGTGGAGCATCGAGCCGAAGCCACCCGCCGGTTGGGACGTGTTGGGGCGCTTGCCCAAGAACGAGTAGTCGCCGTTTTCCAGCGTTTGTTGGATGTCGGCGTTCATGCTATCGAAGTCGAGCGCTGCGGCGAGGGATTGGGCGTCGCCGCTCATATCAGCGTCAATGAGACCGGGTGCGTTGTGAGCGAATACCAGGCTGGCGTTCTCGCTTGCGTCGACACCTGCGTGTGCGTCTTCGCGCTTAGTAGCAGAGACGAAGGCAGCGTTTGCCGCGCTGATGGAAGCGTTGTGAAGCTGGAGACGGTCGTTGACGTCGTGTGCCTTGTGGGGCATACCGTTATCCGGAGTGTAAAGGTGCGAAGAAGACGACAGGGTCGATTCAGAGTAGGCTGGCGAAGGGAAGAGATTCTGCGTGTCTCCTGAGGGAGAGCTCGTTTGGGCAGTGAACATGTGAGCTGTGGCCCCTTGGAGCCGGTAGGTGATTAGCAAGGAAGTTGACCGTCACGCGAGCGAGACGTTCGGGTTTTGATAGATGGATCAGAGAGAGAGGGATTGGGAGCAAGTCGAGTCCTAGCTGGTGTGGAGCAGATGCGACAACGTCAGAGTCTGTCTGGACCCGAGAAGCAGAACGAGAGCTCTAAAATGGGAAAGCGAGGCGGAATCGGTGGAAAAGACTGTGGGTGGCGCGTCGGATAGCGTCGCTGGGTGGATAGAGGAGGGGAGGCGAGGTCGAAGCCGGAGCGATCTGGAAGGGGATACAGATATGGCGGGCAGACGTTGTCTAGCAACGAGTCTTTAAGGACCGGACTGCAGTTGGGGACCAGTGGAAACCGAAAGAGGGCGAGAGGAGTGGGATAGGGTCGATGCTAGAGACGAGGGGATACTAGTGAGAAGTAGAAAGGGAGGCGGTCAAGGGGGGGATCGACGACAAGCATAAGCCCTTTTAAGGTGGAATGAAGCGCGACAGCACGTAGAAAGTCTGGAAGGGCCGTACTAACGAAGCGCTGGCCCCAAGGTGGATCGGCACTTACTGTTAAACAAAGTATGATGGTGATTGTGGGCGTTTGCCGACTTGTCGCTGCTTCCCGCTGCGAGGGTAGCAAAGAGAAAGCGAAGCGAGAGTAATGCAAGCTGAGCTGAACTGGATCCGTGGCTACAGCTGACGGGTGCCAGGAAATCGACGACTTGCAAGCGGGACAGGGCGCTGCAGGGGTGTGGTGCAACCAAGAGAGAGCGCAAGGGGTTCTTGATGCAAGTGAGCGGGAACGCGGATCGAAGGAAGTGGTTGCGGGCGGCACTGATGAGCTGCTTTTGGTGGTGCCAGGTGGACCAGGGGGCGGATCGAGGCGGGCTGCTGCGCGATGGCTGCGGCTTGCAGGGGGGAGGAACGGATGGGAGAAGGGCCATAAGGCGAGAAATGCGGGGTGCAAGGGGTCACGTCAATGAATGCCACTCGCTTTGCAGGACGCCAGCCCTTTGGAAGCCTTGTCTCGTCCAGAAAGCCTGCTATGCGCGAAAGATCGACAAATGAAACCACAAAGCCACGGATCCGATCGGTGCGGGGGTGGCCTTCCAGTCATCCTCCTGTGCCATCTCCTGTTGCGATTCACAGTATGGGGACCCTTGGCGACGAGTGGCCTCGACACGACAATGCGGCAGCATCTTGCTCGAGACAGAGAGCCAATCGACGCACAGGCCTATTCTGGAAGCCTCACTCCGGAAAGTGTGACAGGGAGGCTCTGTTGCGTGCGTCTGCAGGCAGGGAACCGGAGTCCTTGGCGTCTGACTGATTTGTCTCGTCGGCTCGTCCATGACAGGACAAGAGGCGACGGAGCTAGGCGAGAGCAGCGCTTTTCATGGCCGGCGGACACGATTTGCAACGGCTACAAGGGAGGAAGGGCGGATGCAGCTCGATGGACGTGGGCCAGTGAGGGGCAGACAGGGTCCAGGAGGAGCATCTGCGCGTGGCGGCATCGATGCAAGACTGATGCATCGACAGACGCCAGGGGTCTGGCGTGGGCACGAACCGCATCAGGGCGCCGGTGTGGTAAAGGGGGGCGGAATGAAACAAATAATAAAATAATAAATAATAATAAAGGGAATGCGAGGTTGGCAGGCAGACACCGTCACCACGATTCGCCGGAGCTGGTCAACATGCCGTATCTGCGGCGAAGCGAATAGGCTGCCAGCCATCGAGCGCGGCAGAATTTGGACGTAGCCGCCCGAGCAGAGTGAGTCGCAAGGCCACCTTTGTTTCGGGGTCCGTACGATCAATTCGCAAGGCGAAGAAGCGTACGTCTGCGAAAGGCATCGGGTCAAAGGTCGCAGGAGAAACAACGTGATGCGAATGAGGCAAGACAATCACATCCGCACGGGCTTCACCCCTTCAGCCGATCAGGCTTGCAGCGCCGAGAGGACAGCGCGAGCCGAACACGCGGCTACTAGTGTGGCGAGCTGCCATCGCATCGCCGGTCTGTGGGTGACTGGTCATTTATGCAAAGAGCTCGTGCAACCGGACGCCAGTCTGAGCGGCGAATACTGTAGCTTCCCAAGGCGTGCAGAAACGACAGATCACAAGGCAGTGCTGCAGGACCTATTGGCGCCGGCATCTTTGACTGCGTCGATCTTTGGTCGTGCAGCGCTGTCTAAAATAACGCTGCAAACAAGGTCGAATCGAACTCCGTCTTCGACACTGCAGCAGCCGGTCCGTCAGCAAAAAGCAACAGCCGCTTGACCAAGCAGTTCGGTCTACTACCCCGAAAGCGCCTGCCATCATCAGATGCGCTGAAGCTCAAGCTGGTGAACTTGAGCGGCAGATGGTCTAACCAGGCAAGAAGAGCGGGAAAGGCAAGCGAGTACGCAAGGCGATAGGTTGTGCAACTCGACCCTCTGGCTAGTCACCGTTGCTGCATTGGTGCTCTCGACAGCACGCAACGGCAAGGGCGGCACAGTTCAAGGAGCGCAATGGTGCAGAGCCGCTGCCGTGATGCTGAAGCGTTGCCTTCGCCTATGAGGGCCACGACGCAAGGGGCGCGAGAAATCCAACGCGAAGGGATTTTCCGCCCAGTCGCTATGAGACCAACACTTTTCGAAGGCGGCTGCTGTGCCACTTTTGAAATGGGCGTTTTTAGCTCCGCCCGTGTCGCGTCTGCACCTTTGCCCCCCTCTCTTGGCGACGTGACAGCGCGTTTGCACTCCGCATCGCTCTCCTGCCTCTGCACTGGTACAAGTTCTGAAGGCGCTGCCATGCTGAGGAAGCGGAGGCCGAGGCGAACGATCACTCGAGATTCAAGCGTGAGCCTGAACGGCGATCATCAGAAGGCGAGAATGGCAAGGCGTCGACAGTGTTGCAAAGCTGGGCGAGGAGGCTGCATCGAACGCGCCCAAATTCATCAGACCCTTGCATATGCGTGCAGGCATGTGGGATTGGCGCATGATTCAGGCAGGGCATCGCAACAGTCCCGTCCGCTGTCGCCACATCCGCCACAAAGGGCTGGCTTGCGAGATCAAGTGACGCTCATCGGCGGTGTGCAGAACCCGATATGAAGGGCCCAACCTTCATCTCCGTCTGCTCCTGCCGAGCTCGCATGCGTGCCAGCCCTTGCTTGCCTCTCTCCCGCGCCGCTCCGCATCAGCTTCGGTGCGACGACTGTAGCCGCCAGCTGTGCCTGAAGTCCCAATGGTCTGATGCAGCTCCATGTTGCCGATGGTATGCCGCTGCACGTCTGCCCCTTTGCTGGAGTCAGCTGGGCCAATTGCCGACCTCTTTGTCCTGTGCTGATCGGAGTGCCAAACCTCATCCGCGGTTGCGCTCCTCGGCAGCAGCCATTCTGTGTCCACTCCGTCATCCAGCGCTTTGCATGAGACCAACACTCTGAACGTCGTGGCTTCACAAGTGTTGCTCTCGAGAGCGACACGACTCTCACGCGCAGGCTCCCCATGTGCGCGTGACATCGGAACGCTTCTTGTACTGCCAGTTGCCCCTGTCGCTGGATCTGGAAAATGCAGGCCGCTGTCCTCGCTTATCCCATGGCTCCTTGCCTATCGGGATCAGATGAACTCGAAATGCACCATCGAAGGCGAACTTTATCTTCTTCGATCGATGCCGAGAAACCGAAGCCCCAACACTGGACACATCGATGCAGAAGCCCTGCGAGACAGCTCAACGAGAGGCGGTGGCGTGACTGCCGAGGTGAAACGATCAACACTTACCTTGGATGCTGCCGTCGATGGATTCGAGTACGGCGGGCCAGCTTTAGGGATGAAGTTCTGGTCGGTGAAATCCGATTGAGATCGCCGATCGAGGTCGATGCGCACTCGAGCGATGCCTTCCGATGCTAGCAGAATCGGCCTTGGATGCAGGTACCGGGTGGATTCAGGGGGAGGGCGGTCTCTCCTGGCTGAATCGAGCTGCAATGATCAGGGTGAAAGGCGTGGTGCTATGGCGGAGAGTGATGATGGAGAAGATGAGGAAGGAAGCGAGATGCGTACAAGCAAGGGGCAAAAATCCTGGCTTCCTCAGCTTAGCCCGTCAATGTTTGTGGCGACATCAAACGCAAGGAGGCTAGGAGCGGCACGGCACGGAACGGCACGGCACTGTCAGGAGAAGCCTGTGTAACTCCAGAGATTCATCCGGCCAAGGCAAAGGGTGCATCTGCCGACAGATGTCAAACTAGTCCAGTATCGGCGGAACCGCTTGACATCAGAGGGTCGTGCGATCAGCGGGCAAGGCAGCACCTACAGTAAGCGTGGGCAGATCATACGAGATTGTCGATCTTCGCTCACTGTGGGCTCAGGGCCGCGTTTAGCTATCGAGGTCCATCAAGGTGCCTCAGCGCACGGACGCCAGGCCAGCGTCATTCGTCCCACATCGATCATTGTGGTGAGCTTTAGCGCAAGGTCGAAGCCTTGGCACCGAAGCGGTGTAGTATAGTGACCTGCTTCCATTCCAGGCAGGCTCTGGAAGCCTCGACCTCGCTTTAGAGGAGGGGTTGCCGTGCCCTCCAGGCTTACGGTGGTCCGTGATCGTGAAGACAAGACAGATGCACATGTGTCCACCGAAGCGAGTCGCACATCTGCAGTCTAGGTCCAAATCTGTAGTGGCTGGCCCTGTATGAGCTGCAGGCTTGTAATGCCGTACAGTACTTTGGTCTGAGCAACGGGGGACAGGTCCGTAGCGTACCCCTGCTTCGCCAGGGAAGGGAGGTGGCAAGGGTCAGACCTGCGGATTCACGATGCCACGGGACACTTGGCACATGTGTCAGGCGCTCCGCCGATGTTGGCGCTACAAGACTTCTTGCAGACAAGGGCAAGTTCGTTGCTGCTGGAGCGGCGTAGCTCGCTGCCATACAGAAGCGTCCAGGCGAGCAGCTGATGCGAGCTTGCACTGTGATTGAGCCGCCCGGAAAATGTCCGCGACGTCGAGAGCCGCGCTCGCGTGCACCACGTCAGAGAGGGCCGCGTTTTGACAGATCCGACTCTGTTTTCGGGTGGCCGCTACATGCCTCGCTCCCGCACAACTCAGACACCGCTGTCTCGCCAAGCGCAGTACCGCAGAAGGCCATGCGGCCACGACGCAAGCATCGGGGTGGCTCTTTCTGAATCTAGCGCGCTCATCTGGCCCACTTTGTTCTACTTTCCTTGCTCCCGTGGGAGATCCTTTGGTTGCAGAGTCCTTTTCTCGACAGCTTCCACCACTTGTCAGTCCGGCTCTTGTGTCGCTTGAAGTGGACCACGACGCGAGATGTGCGATTTTGTATTGCCGAACCCGCCCCACGTTGACGGCCCTGGGTTTCGCGGGCCAGCCCGTGTAACACTAGAGCTCGAGGCCTAGCGTGAGAAAGCTGTCCGCGGTGACGGAACTGTCTGAAACCTCCAGTCGGGCCAATGCTGACGCCGTGTGTGAGATTGCCGGATGTTGAATAGCTCTGCTGTTTTGGTGGGGCTGCAAAATTTAATCCATCTTTTTTGACCTCTTTTTCTTCTTCCTTTTCTTCAAGACTTCGGCACAGACTTGATGGTGGCGGCTAATGTACATGACTCTTATCTTCGCCTCGCTGATCGTCTCTACGCCCGTCTAGCGACAATTGGCTGATGTCCCGGCGAGGCGGCGCCGTAGAGTGAGTCTCAACGGGATGTTAGCATCGAGTGGTCGCACCGATCCGTTCATCTTGAGGCGCGAGTCAGCTCCCCGATGCAGGCAAACATCGCCGATCTCCAATCGGACCTGCCGCTGCGACGCCCTCGACGCGCCTCGGTTGCTCCACACAAGTCGGGCGGACCCTGGAAACGAGCCCAACACCTTCCGCCACGACCGCGACCTTACGACCTCGCCTCCGTTGAACGGCCTACTCGGAAGACAGGAAGGGCTACGGCCTCGAGCGGCGATCCGTCTTGGCGATGCACTAGAGCGCTATCGAACAATCGACCAGCCATGGCATATCTACCGCCGATCCACACGCTCTGGGAGCACACATCCCATCCATCAAAAGGAGCCTGGTCACGATCCCCCTCGCCGGAGCCCGTCCACCACGAAGCCACAGCAGGGACCCAAGCAGGCCCGAGCACGCAGCTGACGCCCGCTCGCCAGGCAGCCGTGCAACGTCGGCTCATACGTCAGTCCACGCGTGGCGACCACCTGCCTGCGCGGACACGGAGCGCGGAGCAAGCGCGCATGCTTCGTGCGCTCAAAGGCTTTCCACCCATGGGCAGCTCAGCGGAGGCGGACCAGCTGAGCGATTTGGAGGAGTCGATCGAAGTGGGAAAGTATCAGATGGTGCGCTTCGGCGAGCGGTACATTGTGCAGATCGGAAGGCGCCGCACCATGCGCGAGGAGGAGCTATCCAACGAGGAAGACGATGGTCGCCGAGCCGCCATGTCGGCCGTTGACGCCGGCCTCTCCATCGGCGCAGAGGGAGCTGTACTAACTGCAGAGGACGGCTCGGTGCTCGCCGACAACGAGAGCGGCTCCATCCCATTTGTAGGCGGGCATACGGGACACGCAGCACAGGCGGCGCTGGAACAACGACAAATTGCGGCAGCGGAAAGAAGAGCGAGGGAAGCGGAAGCAGAGGCCAACAGAGCAGCAGCAGCAGCGGAAGCAGCGCGCAGCCAGGCCGAGCGTCAGGCGGCTTTCCAGGAGGAGGAGGACGCGGTGGATTTGGACGGCGATATCGAAGACTTAGATGAGGGCGACGAAGACGTCGACTTTGATTGACGTGCCATTAGCAATGTCATGTCTTGAATGCAGGTACTTGTTAGTGCAGCAGACAATCCCACAGCTTGGCGTTCTCCGCGTTAACCACATCGTTCTGCTGTCCATCGTGGGAACGTGCCCACGCTCATTGCCTCCTTCAAAGCAGCTCACATGCGCCATGGACTATCCGCGCGCTCGAGGGAAAGATTGCTGAGACCCTGTGCTTCCGATACGATGCAGTAAAGCTGACAATGACAATCCCACGAGTGTCAGAAGGCGGTAGGAAAGTTGAGTCGAAGCCGAGCAAGGAGGCGGGTGCCAATATGACCATTTCACTCGCGCGAGAATTTCGAAGAGCGCCCGAAATCCGCGTTGCCTCGGCCAGCATCATCACGCTTTGGGCGCACAGACCGATGGCTGTGCGGGTCGAGTTGAATCGGCTCGCCGCCTGGTCGAGTGCCCATCCGCACGGCCAACTCCACACGCTCTCCAACTTCTCGACTTCGAGCATAGACACCATTCCGCTTTCTCCACCGTCATCACTCTGCACCTCTGCTGCTGCATTCGACGTCTCGCTCTCGACAGGCGCTCACAACCACATCACCGTACGCAAGCCAGCAGCCTCGCACCCCAACATAGCGGCGCCGATCGATCGAGCCTACCGCCTCCACTTAAATCTTCGCACCCGTAATCGGATTGCAGACGAGGACCGACATCAGCCGAGATGATTCTGCTAGGAACGGAGAACATCATCATCCGTGATGTGTTGACAGAAAAGTTCGAGAGGTAAGTCGAGATGATGGTGGATGCTGCAAGGCAGGTTCAAGCTACTGATCACCGAGAAACTCCTGCGAACAGGCCGGCATCGGTAGACCAGACATTCACTGATTTCGATGGCGTTGCGTACCACCTCGAGTCGCCGAGTAAGGCGGGCCCGTTGACGCTGTCCATGGACATCCGCTGCTGGTCGGAGCTGGTGCAGGCGGGAGCGATGGATGTGCTCAAGCGCGAGTACGGCTCGTGGCTGCGCAGCTCGGTGGAGCCCGAGTACAGCGTGACGCTCGAGTTCGACTTTGCCAAGGTGCCTGCGCCAGGGCCGGAGCGCGATGCGCTGATCGAGAGCGTGTCGTTGCTCAAGCGCAATGCCATGGCGGCACCGTTCGAGCGCGCGTTTGCGCTGCAGAAGCAGCTCGAGCAGGCGTCGGAAGGCGGTCAGCCGGCCGCGCCCGGCGAGATCATGCCGATCAACTACCGCGATGACGAGGCGATCTATGTGATTCCGTCGGCGGATCGTGTGACGGTGGTGTTCAGCACGACGTTCAAGGAGGAGACGGACAAGGTGCTGGGCAAGGTGTTCCTGCAGGAGTTTGTGGATGCGCGACGCCAGCCGTCGATCCAGAATGCGCCGCAGGTGCTCTACTCGAATCGCGAGCCACCGCTCGAGGTGCGCAACGTCGCCGGCCTCAACCGCGGCGACGACGTCGGCTACGTCACCTTTGTGCTCTTCCCGCGACACTTTGCCAACGCCGAGGTGATGGCGGGTACGATCTCGCGCATCCAGCTGTTCCGCGACTATCTGCACTACCACATCAAGTGCTCCAAGGCGTACATGCACAGCCGCATGCGCCACCGCGTCGCCGAGTTCCTCAAGGTGCTCAACCGCGCCAAGCCCGAGCTCGCCGAAAAGGAACGCAAGACCGCCAGCGGCAGGACGTTCCGTCGTGCATGAAAGCAGCGCCCGCCGCTCGCTTCTTCTGTTCAACCCCTGATCTGCCGCAATCAAAAGATTCAAAACTATTGGCGCGCACGTGCTCGGATGCGAGCATCAGTTGTGCACGGTACAGCTGTGGTATTTAGAAGGGGCCAATCTAGGATACAGTGAAGCACTCGCCTGAAGCGAGCTGCTTGAGGACGCAGGGTATGTGGGGATGTTGCTGTCGGAGCCGGGTCGCAGCTTGGTCTAGCGAGACAGTGGTTCGCTTGATGAGGTGTCCGACGATACCTTCGGCTCGCTTGTGTTCGTCGTGTGTGGCGAGCACTGCATCTGGCCGAAAGGTGGGTATCAAATCCAGGACGTTGGGGAATCCACACGCCACTGTGCCGATGAGCGGCAGCGTCTGCCGGTCGAAGCTGTGTATCAAGATCCTCGCCATCTTTCCCTGCGATGGCGACTGCATGCGTGCTTGGATCGACCTGGGCGTGACGCCGTGTGGAGAGTATAAGATTTGCGTTGGAGTCGCGGCATTCGCACACGAGATGAGAATGCCCGAATGCAGCTTGTGCCATGCTGGGGAGGCAGCCCAATCCCTAGCAGGCAGATGCTCGATCTCTATGCCTTTTGGAAGCCTGTCCGTATCGCCACCATCCTGACGGTAGGCCGTTGATGTTATGTCCACGATGGATGCTGCAGGGATCCCCTTGACGCCGAGCGCTCGAAGAGCGGACAGCGAGTCGTTCGTGGTGAAGATTGCCTTGACCGCGCGAAGGACCGCAAGCGAATCTTTATCACACACAGTCTCGGGATGGAGATGGTCTGTAAAGGGATGGCTGAATAGCACAGCGTCCAGCGCTTCGTTGGAGGAGAGCGAGCGTAGCCAGCAGTCGAGCTGGGCGAGAGATCCAAACGCAGCAGGTTCGATGCGCGTCTGGCGCGAAAACAGTGGCGAGCCGTCGACTTGAGGCGTAGGATGCAGCCAAGGATCGAGCACGATGTTGTAGAATGACCGTGACTCGAGCTGCTGCTTGAGAGGGAGCCGAATCAACCAGGACGTGTCGCCGTTGAGTTTGTGCAGCTCCACCGCCGCCATGGCCGCAGGCACACGAGCTTTTCGGATGGCCGCGAGCCTCGAGATGAAGCACGACGTGCTCGAGATAGAGCACTTCCTTCTGTCGGCGAGCAGGAGCTGATATCGATGTCGGATGTACCGAAGGTGCTGCCCAGATGCAATAAGGACAGACGCCTAATGACCAGGCCTTGCATGTGGTGCGTGCAGGCTAAAGCCGTCGTGTGTGGAGGTTGCGCCCGCTAGGAGCGCGTCTCTCTGGTGCGGCTCAGCCGAAAAGGTGGCTGGGTGGGCAGGTTCACGCGAGGTGGCCCACCGGTTTGGCTGCGTTGCTTAGCCGCGAGCTCAGCTAGACAGGGCACGGACGCTCTTGCTCGATGTGGCTGCAGGTGGGGCCATTCCCGCTCCTCCGCAGCTCGACGGCCGCAGCGACCCAGCCAGACCCTGCAGCTGAGTCACTGGACGCTGCTTTGCCCCTTCGCCGTCTGACTCGCTCGCTCGCTCTCCCCTTCCTACATCCCTCACAAACCTCCGACTAACTTTGAAGGGACATTCAATCTCACCACCAACTGATCTATTCCCCTCGGCTTCAAAACACACCTAATCAACACACTTGGACGACTGCAACATCGAGGTGCAGCCATTCAATGATGTCAAACTTACTGCAGAGCGTGCTGAGCTCGCGTCTGGCGAATGCAACGCTGGGCACATCCGACACCAGCCCCATCGAGTCCAAAGAGGGACTCACCGAGTGGGAGCAGGTCGACACGGACGACGAGCTCGTCAATGTCCAGTCCAATCCGGGCACCGCCGCCGCGACGCCGCTTGAGCGTAGCCGTCCCGCGTCACCTACTCGTGCCAACTCGTCCTCGCGTCTTGCGGTTGTCGAGACGGATACAACCGACTTTGAGAGCGATGCCGACCCAGACACCACGGCGCATGTGCCTGGCTCCTCTTCGGCTGCCTCGGGTGCAAGCCGCAGCAAGCTTCGCACGAGCTCCAAACGCAGCACGTCGTCGCGATCCAAGACGGATCCTCTGCGCTCACTCAACAGCGAGATTGCACAGCACATTTTCCTGCAGCTTCCGGTCGACTCGCTCATCGCGTGCTCGGGTGTGAGCAAGCGCTGGCGTCGCTCGGCCACGCTCAACTTTTGCTGGTACCGTCACTACCAGCAGGCGTTCTCGGCGACGTCGCTCGAGTCCAACATGCCTCCGATCCCGGCGTGGGGCAGTGGAGGAGCCAAGTGGACGCGGCGCGAGAGCAAGACGGACTGGAAGACGCAGTATGCCAAGCAGAAGCGCATCGAGGCGCGCGATGCGGCGCGCGCCGAGTCGCTGCCTGGCTCGGGCAGCGTGACGCCGTCGAGGACGCAGCGCATGCAGGATGCAGGCATCATGACCACGCACGAAGCCAGGATGCAGCAGTGGCAGGCCGAGCAGGACGCAGGCTACTCCAAACAGGAGATGCGCGACTACTACAAGGCCGGCCCCAAGGGCGGCAAGTTCAAGGGCAAGCGCGAAAAGGGCGGCGTCAAAACAGGCGCCGCTGGAGACGGAGGGCTTTGGCAATAGACCCAAACCCTGCCTGGCTTGTGTTTTGCATAACGTCTTGTTTCAATTGTAACTTACAGTACCGCCGGACAAAAAGGCACGCGCTGCTCAGCCTAAGATAGTGTGTGTGTAAAAGCGTGTGCAATTCTCTACAAGACGGTGAGAGTGAGTTCTAGAAGAGACGGGTGTCTGCCTCGTCGACTTCGTTTTCGTCGTCGGCATTGGTGTTGCCGCCAAGGCTGACGTCGTCCATGTCGCCGTCGTCGTCGTCGTCGGCATGCGCGTCGGCGTGCAGGCCGTCCGACTCGTCCTCGTGCGATGTCGGCTCTGCCTTGGGTTGCGCGTCGGCTTCAGTCTCTTCGGGCTCAGTGGGCGTCACGATGACCTGGGGCGGCGGTGGCGGTGCCGACGATTCGGAAGCATGCGGCGCCTCGTCATCCTCGCCATCGTCCGAGGGAGCCGATGTGGTGATGATCGGCGTAGGCGGCTGCGGCTGCGGCTGCGGCTGCGGTGCCGGGGGGGCCGGTTCGTCCTCGTTCAATTTCAGGCCAAGCGCAGATCCGGACGCCTCGGGTGGCGAGCCAGCGGCCGCCGCCTCCTGATGAGCCTCGTTCTCGGGCTCTGCAGCAGGCGCACTTTCTGCTGCGCTGCTGGCAGCAGGTTTTGTGTCCTTCTCGAGGGGCGGCGGCGGTGGCCCCGCATCCGAGGTGTTGGAGGGTTGTGCTGGTGCCGCCGCCGATGTTGCTGCCGTTGGCTCTGCTGCTGACGCTGAGTGCTTGCCCAAGACCTGGTCGATGCTCTGGCGGATGGTGGCTGCGTTGGGCGGATCCTGGTCTAGGTAGAAGGGCGAGATGCCCACCATCTTTTTCTGGTCGTGGCAGGCAAAGATCCAATGGGGCAGCACGGCGGGGATGCTGAGCTGCATGGCCTTGGTGTAGCCGTTACCGTGCGCGGAAGGCTGAGCATGGACGTCTCCTGGATTGCGCGGGTCTGTGCAGATGTAGTGTGTGGTGTCGATTTGGATGCGGTCGCTCCATTTTGCCTTCATGCTGGCGAGCGCCTTCTTGGCGGCCTGGAGCATCTCTGCGTCGTGGACGTGGCCGAAGCAGACGCTGATACCGGATGTGTCATTGATGGTGTGGGTACGCGTCTTGATGAGCGGCGACGAGAAGGTGCCGGCGGTGGTCTTCATGACCAGGTGGAAGGTGTAGTCGGCATTGACATCGAGACCGGAGAGCTTGGTCGAGGTGTTGTGGAGCGGATTCGGGATGGGTGCCAGTCTCTGACCATTGCGGTAGATATCGAGCGAGAGGAGGTTGGCAGTGGCAAGGCTGAGTCGGTCCCACTCGAGCGTCACCGAGGTCTGGGTGACGTTGCGCAGGCGAAGCGCGGGCACCTTGGGAGCTTGCTGGCCGAACGTGTGGAGGATGTCTTCTTGGAGTAGGTCAAAGTCGTCCTTCTGTCGACGTTCCTGCTGGTCGTTGCGCATGACACGGATGTTGACTACGCTACCGGACGAGACGCCGTGGGGAAGGAGAAGCGAGGGGAACTCGATGAGAGACGCCTTCTCGCCGATGAGGATGGCCATGCCGGCATCGAGCTTGCCGACGGTGAAGGTGAACGAATCATCGTCGCTGTTCGCCTGCATGGTTGAGTGGACGTAGTTGGGTGCGATCTGACCGACGTAGTGAGCCGACATGCCGCAGCTTGCGGAGGATCCGAGAGGCCAGGTGTGTTGGCAGAGCCGAGTGCGGGTTCGAGCGTGGGAGTCTACACGGACCGCTGGCGGAGAAGCCGAGCGCGCTGTTTCGGATGGGGCGACGAGGGCTTCGTGATGCGCGCAGAGGTGAGGGAGCGAGGGACGTGATTGTAAGAAGAAGAGGGCATGGCTTGGCCTCGGCGTGCCGAATGTGTTGCTGTCCGTCTGTCACTTTCAAGTCCGAGCGCACACTCTGCTGGCCACGCGCTGCAGCAGCCCGTCCCCGATGCCCGATGAGCCCAAAAGGCAACGCGGACAGACCACGCGTGCTGTTCTTCTCGTCCAGCAGTCCAGGCAAAGCTGCCCAAATTCGGAACCGATTTCGGTGCCCTCTCTGCACGGTCTGCAGCTGCACTGTCGGACTACTGCCTCTCCTTCTGTTGTCACCACCAACACCACCCGGACCTCTCTCCGAGTCAAATACACGCCGGAGGAATGATCACATTCGTTCCGCTTTCGGTGCCCTACGCCGCCGCGGCGGGCTCCGAGACGAGCGTCCGCACCAAGCTCGATCCCGATGCTGGTTCACAGCCGCAGGAGGAGGAGCATCCGCGCGCACTCGCATATCTGCTCCAGATGGACGATGTGCGCGTGCTCATCGACTGCGGATCGCCCGAAGACTTCTTCTTCTCCGGTGCATCCGAACTCGACCTGCCTTCTTCGCACGCATCGGGCTCATCCGACGACCAAGCCGAATCGTCGTCCATGGCGCAGCAGCGCGACTCCGACCCAGCCTTGCTCGACCTCAGCCAGCTCAAAGCAGCTCCGCTCGATACGTTGCTGCGCGAGCTGGCGCCCACCATCGACCTCGTCCTTCTCTCGCATTCTTCGCTCGACCATCTCGGCCTCTATGCGTACGCCTACGCCAAGCTTGGCCTCCGCTGCCTCGTGTATGCGACCATGCCCGTGCAGAGCATGGGCAAACTCACCGTCCTCGAGGCAACACAGACTTGGAGAAACGAAGTCGACATCGACGCCGAAGAGGCTGCCTCCAACAAAGCCGGCTCCCTCCCCTCCAAGCGAAGATGCCTCGCTACTACGGCCGAAATCGAAGACGCCTTCGAACACATCAAGACGGTACGATACATGCAGCCCACCCATCTCGAAGGCAAGTGTGCCAGTCTTACACTCACTGCGTACAATGCTGGACACTCGCTCGGAGGCGCCATCTGGAAGATCCGCAGCCCCACCTCGGGCACCGTCGTCGTCGCGCTCGACTGGAACCACAATCGCGAACGCCATCTCGATGGCACCATCCTCCTCTCCTCTTCCGCAGCTGGCCCTGGCATGTCATCGTCTGGCAGCGGAGCAGATGCCGTTCGTCGGCCGGACCTGCTCATCACCGAGATCGAGCGCGGCCTCGTGGTCAACACTCGCAGAAAGGATCGCGATGCGGCGCTCATCGATCTCGTGCACAAGACCATCCAATCCGGACATTCCGTCCTCTTCCCTATCGACGCCTCGGCGCGTCTGCTCGAGCTCATGGTGCTGCTCGACCAGCACTGGGCCTATGCATACCCGCACGCCCGCTTCCCGCTCTGCCTCATCAGCCGCACGGGCAAGGAAGTCATTGAGCGTTCGCGCACCTACATGGAGTGGATGACGCGCGAGTGGGCCACAAAGGCAAACGAGACTATCGAAGCCGACAAGGATCGTCAGCCCGATGCGCATCGCGCCGGACGAGGTGCCCGCAATGCTGCTGCTTCCTCGCCCCTCGACTTCAAGTACGTCCGCGTCTTCGCCTCGCTCCAACAGATGGACGAGGCGATCCCGCAGGATCAGGCAAGGGTCGTGCTCGCCGTGCCACCCTCCATGACCCATGGCCCGTCGCGTCGCCTGCTGGCCCGATTCGCACGCAACCCAAACGACGCCATCGTTCTCATCTCGCGCGGCGAGCCCGGCTCACTCTGCCGCCAACTCTGGGACGCCTGGAACCAGCGCCAGCCCAAGGGATTCTCTTGGACCAAGGGCAAGCTCGGCGAGGTCGTGTCGGGCGAGGCCACTGTGAGGTATGAGCTCCAGAGCAAAGTGCCTCTCGAAGGCGAGGAGCTGCGTCTGCATCTCGAGTCGGAACAAGTCGAGCGGGATCGACTCGCGCAGCAGAGGGCGCTGCTCGCACGATCCCGACGTAGGCTCGAGGCCGACGAAGACGATTCGTCCGACTCGGACAGCGACTCGGACGGAGGCCAGGGCGAGGGCGAGGACATTTACGACGTTGCACGCTCGGGCGCAGCAGAACCCGGCGGAGAACTCATCCGCAAACGCCCCTACGGCACCGCATTTGCCGAAAGCGGCGGCGTCGGCGGCGGTGCAAATGCCGCGGGCGCGGGTCAGGGTGCCGATACGAACCAGCTCTCGTTCGACATCTACCTCAAGGGCAACGCCAGCCGCGCCACGTCGTTCTTCGGCTCCAAGGCCGGCCAAGAGGGTCCATTCGGGCTGGGTGTGCGCTACCGTCTGTTCCCCGCCATCGAGCGCAAGAGACTCGTCGACGGATTCGGCGAGGTAGTCGATGTGGCGCGCTGGCTCTCGCGACGGCGCGCGCTCGAGGCGGCCGAATCGGCGGCGGCGGACCCGCTCTCGGCCTCGCCCGAATCGGCCGCACTCGCAGCCGAAGCGAACCGCAAGAAGCTGCTCGAAGACGAGGCAAAGGCGCAGGCGGCAGTACCGTCCAAGTTTGTGAGCGAGCTTATCGAGATCGTGCTCGCATGCCGCATCGCGTTCGTCGAGATGAGCGGCCTCAACGACGGCCGTGCCCTCAAGACGCTCATTCCGCAGCTGCATCCGCGCCGGCTCATCATGGTCAACGGCGACGCGCCCACGCGCGCCGACATGCGCTCGGTGCTGCAGGCGATCAAGACGCTCACGCACGACGTGCACGCTCCGGCCTGGATGCAGCACGTGCAGATCGGCGAGGTCACCAATGCCTACACGCTCACGCTCGGCGAGGGACTCTTGGCGCAGCTCGAAATGAGCCGATTCGAGGAGTTTGAGGTCGCGCATGTGCGTGCGCTCGTCAAGGCGGCGGGCGATGCTGTCGCCGGCGCACCCGTGCTCGAGACCGAAGCGAGCCTCGCGGAGGACGCAGAAGAGGGGAGCGAGCAGGTCCAGGCACGGGCACTCATGGAGCTTGCTGACGAGCACGTCCTCCGCTCTGTCGTCCACGACACAACCGAAGCCGAAGCTGAAGCCGAGGCTGAGACCGATGGCGACGTTGAGCCGGCAAGCAATCGGGCCGCACTGGCGTTGGTTCAGCGCGGCGTGCATGCCGGACGGCTGGACTCGGCCGCGTCCGCATCGTCAGCCAAGCTGCCGGGAACGCTTTTTATTGGCGACCTCAAGCTGTCGACGCTCAAGTCGGCGCTGGCCGCGTCGCCCTTCCGCGTGCCGGCCGAATTTGCGGGCGAGGGCATGCTTGTGTGTGCGCCCGCCTCTTCCACCGCACCCGACGCTGTCACCGTGCAGAAACACGCAAAGGGCAAGATCGTGATCGAGGGAAACGTGACGCGCAACTTCCGCACCGTGCGCAACGCGGTATACGCGCTGCACGCCAGCGTCGCCTCCAGTGCGCCCGTAGACGCAGCGTCGAAGTGATTTGTCACTCGCATCAATCACAGTTGACGATCTTTGCAGTGAACGAGGATAGTGTGGTGTCTTGCGAGCGTGCTGGAAGAGAAGGTTGAGGGCTTCGTCGTACAATCTGTCTGTGGCCTGAGTCAAAGCATTTGAATGTTGGGTGATCATCGTTGCGTTGCCATTGCACCCATCGTTTGACCAATCTCTTGCTCGCCTTCATCAACGCCATTGAGATCAAGTGACAGCTTGCGTGCCTTCAAATGAGGTCGTCGTTCCTCTTCAAAGTCACACTGACACACCGGCTAGGAGCCGATTAGCCCCCGGCAACCTATGTCGGACGCGTACCGCAACCCGCGTATCACAGTCTCCCTCCCGTCCAGTCACACACAGCTTTCCCGAATGATGCGGTAAGTTAGGGCTAAGAGAGCGAGAAATCCGAGCTCGTTTTCAGGTGGGCTAGTGGGCGTGCAAAGCCAGTGCGACAATCGCTGCCATCCTCACGCGCCGTCCGGACAAGAGTACGATGCAAAGCCACAGAGACAAGTTCACCCTTGCGCCAAACACAGCGTCCTCATGGCCTCGGCGCGTGAGCCAACGAGGGGATCACAGCCGCATCGGAGGCGCCAAGATCACTGACCATGCCGCGTCGCAACACTTGACCCAGCGCAAGACAGGAGTCGAGCAGGTTCACCGACTCAACCGAGACGTGACAGCAAACGACACAGGCGTACTCATCAGAGCGGGCTGTGGGAGCAAAGCATCGGAGTTGATCTTTTGGTGGGTCGAATGTGTGGTAGCCGTGTGGGCTTATTAGACAAGTCGTGCGGGGACGGGTGTGTGTGCGGGAATGCGGGTGCAACTCGGGTGAGAGGTCGGGCGCTTAGGCGACCTGGTTGTGCACCTCGGAGGGGGCGAGGTTGATGGCTGCAGCCTTCTCCTGCTCCTCGCGCGACTTCTTGATCATGCCCGCAGCGGTCAGACCGGCCTGGTGGGACGAGTTGGAGACGACAGTGCCCTCGTTCTCAGCGGGCTGGGCCTCCTGCTTGATGAAGTGGAACTCGGAGGCAGCCATGGTCTCGAGCACACCAATCACGTTGCCGTAGGCGTCCTTGAACACCTGCTTGCTCTCGTCGGCATCCTGACCAATGTTGGCCGACTCGTACTGGAAGTACTTGAGCAGCTGGTAGAATCCGGCGGTGACAATCGCGGCCGAGTAGGGAGCGATCCAGTAGATCCAGTGGTAGCCCTCGAAGGTGCCCAGCACCACATCGGGGCCAAACGTACGCGCCGGGTTGAGCGAGCCACCCGTGTAGTTGGTGCCCAGAAGCTCGGCAATGAACAGCGCCAGACCGATACCCACGGGTGCGAGGAACGTTCCGCGGTGCTTCTCGGCAGCCAGCAGGAAGATGACGAGGATGAGCTGTGCGGTGAGGAAGAATTCGAGCCAGAAGCCCTGCGCGATGGTGGTACCGTTAGCGAGCGTGGTCCTGGCGTTGAGCGAGCCGGGAAGGATGCCTTGTACGAGAGCAGAGGCGGCGATAGCACCGACGATCTGAGCGATGGTGAGGTGGATCAGCTGGAACCAGCCGAGCGTTCCGGTCAGGAAAAGCGCCAGGGTGACGGCCGGGTTGAAGAGACCACCCGAGACACGGTAGAAGGTCCAGGCATTGACCGCGAGGGAGAAACCGAAACCGAGCGACGAGAAAAGCAGCGCCGAAGTGTCCGGAGGTGCGTTCTGCGAGAGCGAGGTGACCGCACCGTTGTTCTGGCTCGAAGCACGTGCGTTGGCGGCCTCGGTGGCAATACCAAAGGCAAAGAAGAGGAAGAGCACAGTGCCGACGAACTCCGACACGAACGCGACGATGTTGTTCTTGATCTCGAGACGACGACGCAGGGCGGCGCGGTAGTGGTGGCGATGCTTGTGCTCCTTTTCGTTGACCTTCATAAAGTCTGGCAGCTGCTCCTCGATGACGATGCTCTCGCGGCGCTCGAGCAAGGTCGGCTGCTCGATGGGCTGGCCGTCAACAGGGCCCGAGCCGAGCGAGAAGATGGACGGCTGTGCAACCATCTGACGAGGGTTGCCGTCGCCGGTGGTGACGGGCGCGCCAGTCGGGGCGGTGGCAAGGCCGCCGTGCTGGTGGTCTGCCGACTGCGTCTCGTGCGAGGTGCCGTTGCCTACAGCCGTGGCGGTGGACGAACGTGCCTGGGTGTTGCGCTTGTGCGCCTCTTCTTCAGCGGCATGGTTGTACACTCCCGTTCCAGCGGCAGGAAGCTGCGGATTGGCTGTTGAAAGCGGGAAGCAGCGATGTTAGCATCCGCTTTCAGACTGCAAAATCGCCACAAGGAGGGAACTTACTGAGGTTGGTGGTTGGCGAGATCTGCTGGCCGTCCTGGGTGGTAGCCATCTTGAGAGTGGTATCGCGACCGTACGATTCGGATTGGAGGGAGTGATGAAGAAAATGTAGACTGGATGCGATCCGCTTGAACTCTTTCCGGCGGGTATAAGTGTCCTGAACAGAGCAACGGAAGGAGACGATGGTGGATGTAGGCGACGATGAATGTCAGGCCGGACTTGCTTAAGAGAGGCTGGCGAGGTTGGCGGCTGCCCGACGGAGCGAGCTTGGGCGATTGACGGGAGGGGCGGGGCGGGCTGACTCTCCATGGCGACCATTGGCGATCAAGGCATTGACGAGGCGGAAGAAACTTGCTGTTTCCCGACTTAGAAAAAAGAGGACGTGCGAGCCGAGATGAGAATGTGCTTGCCTTACTTGCCGTGCTTGCCTTGGGCTGGAGAGGATCGATGCGGCTCGTCGGACGATATGTGTGCGGACGGTTTCTTGTGCTTAGCCGCTGCATCTGTTTGCAGCGCGCATACAGCGAGACCAAACGCCGAAATTGGACTGACAGCCCTGCCAAAAAAAAAAAAAAGCATTTCTCGCAACACTGGCATGCCAAGCCCCATTTTTCCTTTGGGCGAAAAAAGGAGCGTGAGAGGGTGAGAGAGGGTGGGGGATTACCTCACTGCAGCAGCCTGAAATTTGACACTTGAACTCCGCCGCCCTGTCGGACCTCTGGCCTTCGTCATGGATCGAGGCCACCCACCCACCACACGCGGCGGAACTCTAAAGCTGCGCTCCGAACGCAGTGGCCTGATGATGATCTTTGCGCGTCGCGATCCCACTTTACCAATCGCAATCGCGACCACTTTGCCCATGCACGGGGGCGTCGTGCAACCGAGACATGCCCATCCCTCTTGCCTTTTCGGAGCAGAAAAAAGCCTCTTGCTCGATATGGTTTGGGGGCTGCTGGGATCGGCAGGTAGAGCCAACCGCTGCCCCGCCTCCGGAGCTCCTTGCAGTAGCCCTCTCGTACTGATCCTCAATCCCAATGACCTGCTGTAATCACTTCATCTTCCGCTAGCAAGCTGTACCAACCCCTTAGCCAGAACCGCTCCGGGTGATTGTCAATAGATTGCACTATCGTTCTCCGCAGCGAAGGGGAGGAACAGGGGGGTGGGGCGGCTCCAACCGTGGGTGTACATTACGGCGATGGCGGAGTGAAGGCTACTGCACGACGTCACCCTGCGCCGCCAAACCTCGCATCTCGTTCGGACTCGTCGGGGATTTTTTGGGTGCCCAAAAATAGCATCCCACTCTCGCTGCCGTTTGCCCCTGCCCGCATCTGTGAACCCCGCGCGACTTTGCTCGCGCCATCGATGGCCCCGATTCTTCCTATCTGCCCGATTTCGCCCTCCTCCCCGACACCTCCCCGTCGACCACAAACCCACTCCTTTGGCACAATGTCGAGAGTCGGTGTTTTGACGCAGAGGCTAGACCAGCACAGCACGGCTTCTTGCTCCACGCCTTCCAACACCGCTTGCTCATACTCACACGCAGCCTAGGCGTTCGACCACACACGATCCCAGCGCCAGCTATTGGTTCAAGGATTGATGCCATTGCAAATCCCCCCACGCTTGTCCTTGGTGTGGGCACGGCCATGAGAACGGCCATGCTGTGAAGTGCGGATGCCTCACTTGGACGCGCTGAGCCCGGCAATCAGGTCGCGCCCGTCGTCGGCGGCGTCTTGCCAGCTGCCATCGGCTGCGGATCCGGAGCCCGAACCGGAGCCCGAGGGCGAGTCGGTGCGCGATTCGACCTTGTCGCCCTCGGCATCGCCGGCGAGCGTGGTGTCGGCCTCGTCGTCGTCGTCGCCTCCATCGTGCAATGCGAACCGGCGATCCCCATCGAGGTCGTCGTCCACATCGTCGCGGTACGGCTCGTCTGCACCACCCGCACCGCGGCGGCCCAGCAATCCACGTCCCTCGCGCGCCGCCAGCTGGTCGTCCTCCTCATCCTCGGACGCCTCGCCAAACGCGTCGTAGAGCTCCTTGGTGCGGCGCGACTTTTCGCCGCGTCCACCGCGCGCACCGTCGTCCAGCTCGCCCATCGCCACCTCCTCATCGCCCGCCAGCGACTCGTACCCGGGCCCGCCCGCGCCTCCGCCCCCACCTGCGCCGCCGCGTCCGAGCTTGCGCTTGCGCATCACAAAGAACGCCGCCAGACTCGCCGCAAAGATGACGACGAGGCCGCCGGCAACCATAACCCAGGTGCTGTTCTTCTTGAGCCCCTGAATATACCCCGTATCGGCCTCGGGCTGCACTGCGCCAATGGGCACGCTGCCGTTGTGATTCGTGAAATCGACGTGCGACTCGCCCTCGGCCTGACCGTGGTCCGAGGGCAGATGGTCCGTGGGCTTCTTGAGCTGCGCCGACGCCGTGTACGAGGGTGGCAGCTTGATCACGGTGGTCTCGGGCGCCGCGGCGAGCGTCTCGTGGAACTCCACCGAGTCCTCGGGGAAGTTCCACGCTTTGGCCTTGCCCGCGTCGATGGCGGCACCCCACAGCGACATGCTCCACGCATACAGATTACCCACCTTGTTCGGATGCGCCGGGTCAAACACGCGCAGCTTCCACTCGCCCACCGGCGACTCGTCCCAGTGCTTGAGCGTCATGAACGACCATCCGGGGAAGCCGGTGGTGGCATCGTCGTAGCGGCGCGAGCGCGCCAGCGCCGACTTGGTGCCGTGGGGCGAGATGAGCTCCACGTTGACGTCGCCGCGGCGCTGGTGGGTGATCCAGACGCGCACCGTGACGTGCTCGAGCGCCGCCAGGTTGGCGTTGCGCAGGTGGTCCTCGGTGACGGTGAACGTCGACTCGGTGCCCGCCTCGGTGATGAGCGTCTCGGTAGCGGGCAGCGTGACGTTGGGCGACTCGTACCACGCCTGTGGATTCACCAGCTTGTGGCGCTTGGTCTCCTCGACAAACTGGTAGGCGTCGATGAGGCCGTAGCCGTACTTGTGGTTAAAGTGGCGACCCGCCTGGGTCTGCTGCCAGTCCGGGTCCTCGGGGTTGAACTTGACCGCGCTGCGCACGGCGATGTGCTGTACGTCGCGCCACGTCAGCTCGGGACGGATGCTGAGGCCGAGCGCCACGACGCCGGCGGCGAGCGGCGCGGCGGCGCTGGTGCCGCCGTGCGAAGCGGTGCAGCGGTTGACGCCATTCCAGGCGACGTCGGTGGTGTGGATGTGATCGCCGCTGCCGGAGGACCAGCTGGTGGCGATGATGGCGGAGCACATCTCCGAATACCACGGATGCTGGCCCTCGCGATCGACGGCGGCGATGGTCATGGAGTAGATGGAGTTGGTGTAGCCGTCAAAGTTGCACTGGTCGTCCGAGGCGCCGCCGTTGCCGCCGGCAAAGACAAAGATGCTGCCCTTGCCGTCGCGGCCGTTCTGGACGCCGTTGAGCATGGCCTTGGCGATGAGGCCTTTGGGCGCGTCCATGCTTCGGCCGTCGTCGGGCGGGCCCCAACTGCAGCTGTAGATGTCGTTCTCCTGGTAGGCGTAGTTGAGCGAGGCGGCCTCGTCGACGTCCGAGATGGGGCCGGAGAGGATGCGTACGCCCGAGACCTTTGCCTTGTACGCGACACCCACACCGCATACGTCGTTCTTGACGGCGGCGATCTCGCCGGCACAGCGGGTGCCGTGCTGATCGTCGCTCTCGCGCGGTTGGGGCAGGTCGGTGTGCGAGTTAAAGTCGTAGCTTCCAGGCGCGTAAAAGTTGTCCTTGAGGTCGGGGCTGTGCATGTCGAGGCCGTCGTCGATGAGGCAGACGGTGACGCCCTCTCCGTGGACGTTCTGGTCCCAGACTCCCGTGACGTTGAGGTCGTTGCCGAGCTTGCGGTTGTTGGCGAGATGCCACTGGTCGGTGAAGATGGGGTCCTTGATGTTGAACTGCGCCATCATGTCTGCGGTCTTTGCGGTGGGGATGACGGGCGGTCGTGGGCCCGGTTCGGGCTTTCTTTCACGAAATGGCCAGCCGTCAGGGGCGGGGATGGGGTCGCGCTGTTCCGGATAGAGGTGGGGCATGTGTTCGGGGTCGTAGATGACGTTGCGTTTGTGCCTGCGTCGGACCACCTGGCGCTCGACCGCCTTTATGGAGAGCGCAGCGAGGTGGTGACGCTTAGAGAGGTTGTGCTTTGTGGTGAAGCCAGGCTCGCGAGCCGAGCGGCGAATGTGGGACCATCGCTGGAGGACGGGATCGTGGTGCTCTGGCACATCTGGTCTCGCTTCGAGAGGTGATGCGGAGGAGGACGCTCGCTTGTCGAGCGCCGGTGCCTGGTGTGAGATTGGCTTCTCGGAGCGAAGGAGCCAGTGATGCGGGAGCTCTCCGGCGCGCTCGACAAACTCTGCGTCGAGGGCGTGTGCAACGTCGCGCGGATCGATGTCCTGAGCTGCGCGGGGGTCAAGCTCGACGACGTAGTAGTGGTGAGTGTCGTACGACCTTTTTGAAGGGAGGGGGACGGTGCGCTTCTGATGCGCCCAGTGGTTGTGCGTGGAGCGCTTGTACTTTTGGTCTGGTATCGATGCCAGTGCGCTGCCGCCGGAGGAGCACTGTGAGGAAGCGAGGGCGCCGGCGCTGGGATCCGCGATCTGTGCAGTTGCGAGGGCGAGCATGCCGCTGAGCAGCAGAAGCAGCGAGGCGTTGAGTTTGATGACCCTGATCATGATTCCAGGAGTGGTGCCGTTGAGGCAAGCAAGGCGTTGAAGAAGCTGTGGAAAACTTAGTGCGCTTGCAGCATGGGTGGTGAAACGTCAGACCGAGCGGGAGTGTGTAAGAAGAAAAGAGGATGGAAGAAGCCCCAGCGAGATGTCGGGCGATGATGATGGAAGATGGAAGTGACACGCAAAGTCCCGTTTGGATGCGGGCACGAGCGAGCCAGTGCGGATGAGCGTGTGTTGGACTTGTGTGCAGTCGGAAGGCAGCGAGGCGCGAGCCGAGCCTTAACTGTTGGCAGACTGAGAGAGCGTGTGTTCGTGGAATTGGCTTTGCTGGAAGCCTAACGTGCAGGCGCGGGTGGCGACCCTGCCGTCCGTGCCTTGTCGCTGTGGGATTTTGGCACTTTGGGTGAGGCGTGGCGCACTTTTGCCAGCTCTCCTCGCTTGGGCCGTATGCAAGGGCCCAAAGCTCAGCTGCATCGCTCGCGCCGCCCGATGCACTGCCAACACACGCAGGTTCAAGCGCATCGTTCTGCACAGCAATCTGTAAGGCACTCGCCCCGATCATCACCCTCGGCCGCACACAATCACACAGACAGGCTTGGGAGTGCAGTATAAGAATGTCCATGCATGTCGATTGAGAAGCAAAAAAGCGATACAAAATGGGCGATCAGAGCACCTCGTGATGGTCGTCGTTGGGCGTGAGCGGCGAGTAGCGCCTCACGAGCCCGTCGGCAATCGCACCCACCACTTCGGCCGCACTCACGTCGCGCTCCCACTTGTTGGCCAGGTCGACCACGTTGGTCTTGGCCAGCTCTCGACGCACGAGTGCGGCGGGGAAGCTCTCGTGTTCTTCTTGCGCATCGCCATCCAGCCACCGACGTGCGCTGCCAGTGAGCGCGCTGCCCAATCCACTCAGGATGCCCTGCACACTCGAGCCGCTGAGTGGGCAGGGGAACGAGACGTTCTTGTTGAAGTTGACGGGCACCGTGATGCTGAGCACCTCGACGTCCACCTCGATCTTGAACAGGAAGCTCAGGTCGCCCGAACTGCCGCTCGACGAGCCGCCGAACAGATTCAGGCCGCAGTCGGCAGCAATGTTGCGCAGAATGCTCAGATCCGTATCCTGCGTCTGGTCGTACTTGATCTGGAAGGGGAACACCACCGTGGTGTTGGCGTTGGGTTGGATCTTTTGGTCGCGCACGATGCCGTGGCCGAGTGCGCTCGACTGGTCCTGCGAGTCGTACGCCGTCGCCTGCAGCTTCTTGATGCTCGCCGAGATCGAGTTCGGGTTGCTCACCGAAATGTCGACGCTCACGTTGAATGCGAATGCGCCGTTCTCGTACGTCACGCCCGACTGGCTCGGCACACTCACGCCCGAGATGGCCACGTTGGGCGGACGCAGGAACATGACGATCAGGCAGATGATCGACACGATGATGATCAGCGCCAGGATGATGTTGCCGATCAGCACGCGCGCAATCTTGGCGGGCACGCTGCGCGACGCCAACGCCCGCTTGTCGTCCTTGGTCCAGATGCTGTTGCCGCTCGCGCGCTTGGCGGCGTACGGTCCGCCATAGTCGGCCTTTTCGGACGTCATGTTGTCGGCGCGCGTGTCTGCGTAGTCGTGGTTATCGTCGTCGCGGTCGTCGTTGCGGCGTCCTCGGTCGAGCGGGCGCGATGGGTTGCTGTCGTAGCTGTCGCCAAGATTGGCGTGGTCACCTGCGTGCTGATCGGGATAGCCAGAGTAGGGCGCGTACTGCTCGGAATGGTGGTGCGAGTACGCTTCGTGCTCGTATGGATGGTGGTTGGGAGGCAACGCCGATGACGCTTGCGCCCGAGGGCTCTGGAACGCGTACGACGACATCGACGGCAGACGGTGCACCCGGAGAGAGAGAGAGAGACAGGGAGAAGCGAGGCGAATAGGCGCTGGACGAGTCGACTGTGCTGTAGCCGTGGAAAACTTTGGTTGAGCGATTCGGCCTAACTATAAGCACTTTGACGAGGCGACTAGTCTGGGCAGACAAGTTGCAGATGGTGGACCCTTGGCGACGTAACGCGGCGAGTGCAGCGTGCGGATGTGAAGATGCTGGGCGGGCGGTGCAACTTTCGCTGCAGGAGCCGTGTGATATGCGGCAGGCAACGGGCGCTCGATGTGCAGATCGAGCCTTGCCCTCGCCCTTCGGTGTTCAAAAACGACACACAGACCAAGTGCACCTTCTTTTTCCCAGCTGTGCATCTGCACCCCAGTCTGAAAGCACCGCCGACCGAAAAAAGTGGAGTGGAGTTGAGCCTGAGACAGCCGCTTGGGAAAAGGTCCAAAAAAGGGCGGTGCTGCGCGCAAAAGCCCATCCCACGCGGTTGCGGCGTGGTCTGGCAGTGCACCCTTTGCATCTGCGGCTGGAAATTTCGGCGCCCGCTCTTCATTTCAGGGTGGTTATCGTCCTCGCCCGGCATCTCGAGTCGCCATCTCGGAGAACAACAGGCCGGTCATGCTGACCATCTTCACGCAAGATACGAACTACGAAACAGAAGAAGAAGATTTGAGGGTCAGCCTCGGCATCATGATGGCCAAGGGTTCGCCAGCCAAGGCGTAGAAGTTGGCCGTGCCGCTCATGCCGGCCCCCAGCCCTCGCTCGCGGCGATTTTCTCCAAACGTTCATCGATCGACTGGAAAACGCCTCCCGATTCCACACACCCGATCGATCCCTCATCCCTCTTTTTGGACCCCTCCTCATCGACAGGCAACACCTTGTCGCGAGCACCACAGACGTCACCCCGAGCTGAGCAACTGTGCAGCTCCATTGCAGCAGGCCATAGGCGACATGAGTGTTGTCGTTCGCGCGGCATCTACTTCTTCTTGCCCTTCTTCTTCTTCTTCTTGTTCTTCTTGCCGCCCGCGCCCGACGCACCGCTCACCGCCGAGTCGTGCGTCGCCTCGTGGGTGTCTGCATCGCCTCCTTCCGCTTCCCCTTCGTCGCCATCACCATCACCATCGCCATCTTCGGCAGCATCGGCATCGTTCTGCTCCAGGATGACCTCGGCTTTGACAGCTGCAGCGTCATCCTGAGAAGCTTCGACCGTCGAGGCTGGCGTCGAGTCCGACACGGCGATGGCTTCGTCCGCTGCGGCTACTGCTAGGACCTCTGCCTCCTTTTCGGCACTCGCCTCCTCCACGCCATTTGTCTTTGCAGCGTCCTCGGGCTGTGCTTTGGCAGCGTCCTCGGGCTGTGCTGTGGCTGCATCCTCGGGCTGTGCTGTGGCTTCGCTCGCGCCCGCCGAAGTGGGCTTGCCATCGTCTGCCTTGGCTTCCGCAACGGCAGCAGACGGCGTGTCGACCTCACCAGCGTCTGACTTCTCGGGTACCGCTTCCGCAGCCTGTGCCTCATCCTTTGAGACAGCCGGAGTAGCATTGGCCTCGTCGACACTCGCGGACGGTGTCTCGACGCCGAGAGAGTCCGACTTCTCTGGCACTGCCTCGGCACCCTTTGCCTCGCTCTTCGGGGCTGCCGACGCTTGGACAGGCTGTCTCTGCTGAGCAGGCGCAGCCGTCGGCGCAGGAGGCGCACTCTGCTGTGCTCGCTTCCGGGCTGCTTCCGCCAGACGCTCCTTGAGAGACATCCTGCCCGGCTTGGCGGGCGTGCCCGTCGGCGTCGCAGTCGCTGGCGTCGATGCACCGCTGCGCACAGGCGACGACTCGGCGCCACTGAATACGCCCTGCGCTCGACTCGTCGCCTTGGTCGGTGTCGACAATTCCGGGACTGGAGCGCTACTGACAGCACTGACGTCGATCGAAGACCGAGCCTTGGCAGCATCTTCTGAGCTCTGCTGCAGCTTTGCGTCGACTGCTGCTTCGTCCGTCTTTTCCGACTCCCCGGCGCTCTCTGCTGTTGCTATGGCTTCATCCTCGCTCTTCCGAACGCCTCCTTGCTGGCCCGCCTGCGCGGCATCATCGGTGACCGCAGTAGCGGGTGCCTCCTGATCAAGCGCTGCAGACGCATGCGTAGCCGGTTCGGCGGCAAGATCGGCAGAGGCGCGGGGAGTGCCCTCCTTGAGAACCCTCGCAACCGCGTCCGGTGCAGGCACGACAGGCGCCACCAGATCTTCCGACGCGCGAACGTCTTCCTCCCCATCCTTGGCCGCACCCGTCGGTTGGATCACATCATTCTTGGCAGGCGGGGTTGGCGGCACGTCGTGCATCTCTTCTTCGATGCTGCGCGCACCAGCTCCTTCCATCTTGCTTGGCGGTTCGGGACCCGACACGCCGGCGTTGTCTACGCCTGCAGTCTCTTGCGAGGGCCTCTGTGACGCCGTTGTCGGCTGCTGCTGCAGGCTCGAGCGCGGCGTCGCCTCGGCAGAACGTCGTGTCTCGCTCGGAGTCAGAGTGCCAGGAATGTCGGTCGAGCCACGTGGACTGTTCGACTGACTCTGCTGTTGCTGTTGCTGCTGCTGCTGCTGGCGACGAGCAAAGATGTTGGGAATGCGTGGCTTGTAGGTGACTGGACCAAACGGCGATGATGGTGGCTTGTCGACAGCCGGCGATCCAGGTGCAGTCTCGTCCTTGGGCGTCGAGGTGCCTGCGGATGCCGACACACTAATGGCAGGTGGCTGGGCTGCGCGTTTGGCTTCGAGCACCTGTTGCAGCGCTTCGTCTTTCCACTCGACATGCTGCAAGGTGGACAGCTTGGTTCCAAGATAGCGAACGTCTGCCTGCATCTGGTCTATTGCCTGCTGCTTTTGCATCGGAATCGTTTCGAATTCCTGTGCAAGGCGGGCATCGATCGCGCGAAGCACTTGGCCGATGACGTGCTCGACCACGACGCCTTGCAGGTACTTGCTCAGCACCTTGTGCAGCGTGGCGGTCTCTTTGACCAGATCCACCGCGTATTTGTTCGGCTCCGGTTCCGTGCCATTTGCGTCGGTTTGAGCATCATTGGCGTTGGCACCTCCTTTGTCGGCGCTGTTCCAGTCGACGGTGCTGAGCGTGCGGCAGTGAACGGTGAGGCGATCGGACATGATGGCGACGAGCTTTGCATGGATCTCGTACTGGTGCTCCTGAAAGTCGCGACGCAGCTTGTCAAACTCGGTGAGCATGACGGCCTGCTTGGGCGGCAGGTGGCGACGCACCGTCTCGCGGATGTACGGGATGAGCGAGATCATGATGGAAAGCGACTGCGAGGCCAGCGCCAGATGCTTGGCGGTGATGTTCTTGAGACCGGCAGAGCGCATGGCGCCGGCGCCCAACACCACCTGGCACGTGCGCGAGTTGAACTGCTTGAGGAATTCGACCACCCTCGCCATGGCCTCGGTGGTGAGCAAAGGTAGGTTGATGATGACCTTGATGTAGTCGACGAGTAGCGAAAGCACGTCGAGGCTGGCATCGACGACAAAGTACTGCCTGTCCTCGATGACGAGCGTCTTGGACGTCGTAGACGGCTCCGCCTCGGCGGCTTCGGGAGCAGCTTGTTGCGTGCTGGTGTCGCGCTGATGGTCGCCTGCCGTAACGACGAGCTCGGCGGGATCCTCAACAGCGCTGCTGACAATGAGGCGGATCTGGGCCTGGATGTCGGCTCCGACGTCTGCCTGGGCCCAAGTCTCCTCCTCGACAGCCTTGGCTGCGCGCTCGATGCGGCGGCGATGGAAGGTGGCGAGGAAGCCCTTGGCCTGGCTGAGTACGGTGCCTCGCAGGCCTACGATCATTTTGCGGCAGAGCTGCTCGGAAGACAGGACGAAGCTCCAGCAGAGCTGGAAGACGACCAGGAAGGAAGGCAGCTCGAGGGCGGCGTGCGGAGGTGCGCGGAGCGCAAGCAAGCGCGCAGACAGAGTGTGCGCATGTTCTGCCGAGGCGACGACGACGTCCGATAGCCTGGCCGGCAGATTGGTCGGCACTCCCTCTGGCATGGTTGGCGGCAAAGGCACTGTACTGTCCGGCGAGGCTTCTCCGTTGGGAGCTGTGCTGGACTTTTGGGTATGGTCGCGGCTGACTTGTTGCGAAGAATTCAACTCGTCCAAGAGGCGGGGCAGGAGCTTGCACTGGGCATCGATACCCTTGAGACACTCGATGAGGACATCGAAGAGGGAGCGTGCCATGTGCAGGAAGGCGGAATGGTCCATGTCGCGGATGGGGAGAGCTTGTGGCGGCAGAGCGTCGTGGTCGATGGGCTTGGAGGCATCCTGCGCAAGGAGCCAGTTGACGGTCTCGTCCGTGTTGGCAGCCGACCGTGTGAGCGAGGTGCTCCAGGCGTCTTGCACGGCTTGGATGGCTACGTCGCGATAGGCGGCGACGGCATTTTCGATGCCACCGGTACGCGCGAGACCGATGACGAGCGGCTTGATACGAGATGCCAGCTGAGCATCGTCGGAGGAGAGAGCGTTGGCAGAGTGACCAAAGGGCGACGCGGGCGGTTTGGAGGGGGTCAGAACCGACTCGGTGGCGGCGACGTTTGTGCCGAGCGTGAGGCCCATGTGGGAGCCCTGCGGATCGTCCGGCTTGGCAGCGCCGGTGAAGTAGTCGGATGAGGTGGGTTGTTTGTCAAGGGACGACAGACGGGCTTGATGGTCTTGCTTGAGGATGGCGATGAGGTCTTGCTCGAGCATGGTCGAGAGGCTCTGTTCCATCTGTTGGAGCTCGCCAGGGAGGGATGCAAGGCAGCCGAGATTTGTAAAATCGATGCTGATGTGATCCTGGCCAGCACTTTGAGGTGTGGCAAGGCTGTTTTCTGCCTCATGCGCATCGCTGATGTTTGGCCGCAAGGTGGATCGGAGGGCATTGAGAATCTCGAGTGCCTCCTCTGTCTCGCCCTGTTGAAGAAGGAGGCGAACGAGGTCGCGTCGCTCGATAATGTGACGCACGTCGACGACGGCGGACTGTTGGTGTTCGAGCTGGCGGCGACGATGCTGGTGTCGGATGACGTCGAGGCCCTTGCGTGCTTGGTTTGCGTCGATGTGGTCGAGGTCGGAGTTGAGCGCGTGGATCTTGCTGAGACAACTCTCTGCTTCTGCATTGAGGTCGTTGAGGTTCTCGAGCGCGGCAAAGAAAGAAGAGGATTGCTGACCGATTTCGATGATGAGATGCTGCTCGACGACGTCCGAGTAGTAGCTGAGCTTTTCCTGAAGCATCTGGTTGAGGGCGACGTCGTAGGTGGGTGCCGAGGCGCCGTCGGGGTGCGCGGGGGAAGAGGAGGAGGTGGCCTTGTATCGTTCGGTGACCTGGTCAAAGGTGTAAGGATTGGCGAGGTCAAAGTCCTCGGCGAAGAAGATCTGCGGCACAGCACTCAGGTTGGGGAGGCGCTTGCGAGCCTGTGGTGGTGGGACGGCCTGAAGGTCGGCAGAGAGGGAGGCGATGCTCGGCGTGGCACGGTGACGGCGGTCGGATTTGCCGAGCCGTTCCGAGTCATGGCTCGATTCTTGGGAGCGTAGCTGCTGCTGCTGCTGCTGCTCCAACGTGGCTTTGCCTTGCCTTCCCATGCTCTGATTGCGCATGAAGCGGTCCCATTCTGGCCTGACGGTGGAGAGGTAAGGTTCGAGCTCGGCCTTTTTGACCTTGGGAATGTCGGCGGGGACATGGCTGGATGCGACGGGAGGGAAACGGGATGATTTGGGATCGATGGGATGCTGACGCTTGGATGGGTTGTTGAGCACGGTGGAGACTGCATTGAAACCGGTGAGGGCGAGCGCGGGCGAGTTGACACCTGAGCCGGCGAGGCTGAGCGAGGAGCCAGCTGCAGCAGTCGACGAGTAGATGCTCCTACCCAGACGCGATGCGAGGATGCTAGGAGCGAAGGCGGTGGAATGGATGGTCGAGTCTGCTTCTGATCCGGGGCTCTGTGGACTAGCGATGCCATTGCGAAGCGACGAGGCCTGCTCGTGATGGGCGGCATTGGGTATGGAAGACGAGGCGGCATGACGACTGGACGAGGCCGGAGCCGCGTTGTCGTCGATGCCGGTAGACATGGTGCCGACGCTCCAAGGCGTGGATTGAGAAGTATGAGCCGATGCCGCCAAATGCGCGTCGATGGGAGACAGGGGATGGTAAGCAGGAGGTGTGTTGGCCCAACCGCGCGTGTGTGAGAGTAGTGTGTGTGCATCTCTCTGGTCGCTCGGCGTGATGTCGAGAAAGTGTTGGGCGGCCATGCCGAAATTGTTCCGCTTTGTTAGAGACAGGGCCTAACAGTATACGATTTTCGTCGTGAAGCGTGGCATGTGGAGACGAGCCTCGCCTTGGCGCTGCAGCCGCTTGGACTCTGTTGCGCCTCTGCAGCGACCTGCAGACCGGATCGGCACAGCCGAGAGCTATAATACATCGCGTCGGTCGAGTGACGTGGGAGAGCCGATGGGGTGCATCGTGGGATGCCATCTCATCGTCGGAAGCAGGCCGAACCCACGATGGAGCGAGGCAAGTGCGAGTCCCAACCGAGAAAGCCCAACGACGCCTCGCAAATTGGCGCTCCGACTGGGCTCGGCGGGGGCAGCTTTTCCTGCGCCGTCTCCCTCTTGGGCCAAAGCCCTGTCTGTGCGCAGAACCCGAGCTTCGGCTGATTCCGCACGCCCTTCACACTTCCGCACCCCAGACTTTTGGAGGTGCTTCCATGGCTTCATAGCTCGAGTCCTGCTGCTCGGCTCCTCCGCGTGGCGGTGATTCCAAGACAAGTTGAGCCACACAAGTGAGACGCAATCTCAGGTCAGGCACCCTGCCTCCAGCCCCTTCGGCCCCTTCGGACCCACGCCCACCTCCGCTCGACGCACCGGCCAAACCGAAATCAATCAGCGCTCCCGTCATCGTTCATTCCTCCTCCTCCTCCTCCTCCTCCTCCCCCTCCTCCTCCTCCTCCCCTCCCCTTCCCTCCTCCTTGCCCCACTTCCTAGCTGGCCTACTCGCTCCCTCGCCTCCATCCCTGGATTCCTGGTCACTCGGACGCCGATCGCATCACCCGCATATCCTACCTCAATCGACATCACCCGGATGCACGTTGACTTTCGCCCTGGCCTTCGCTCCTTCACCACCACCACCATCATCAACGCAGCGCTGCCTTAGCAGCACACGCTCGGTTCATCATGTCCTACCCTATGGTCTTTCCGCCGTCCACCATCCGGCCTTTGCCAGGCGGTACGACACTCGTCTCTGCACAGCCGGCCGCTCCCACCGCCGCCGTCATGTCCACCGAGTCCTTCGATGCGCCCGAGGGCATGTATGTCTGCACCTCCCGCTTCACCCCTCCACCGCAGCCCATGATCCACCTCAACCCCGTACCCACCACGCAGCTCGCTCTGTCCGCAGTCTACCCAACCCCGCGCGTCTCCACCGTCAGCCTCCGCTATCCCGTCTCCTCTAAAAACGCAAAGGGCGCCGACTCCAACGCTGCCGCGGATGCTGCCGCCTCGTCTGCACGCGTCGTCCTTCTCGAAGCGCCACTCGCTTCACAGGGCATCGATGCTCCATCTTCGAGCTTGACGGGCGGCCTGCCTCCAGGAAGCTCCGGCCCCTTGACAGGCATCGCCGGCATCGGCGGCGCTGGCATGGGCTTTGCCGGCCTCGGCGAATCCATGGGCAAGCTCAGCCCCAAACCGTCGCGTCCCAAGAACAGCCTCAAAAACACCTCGAGCAACTTTGTCAATCGCATGATGACCCACCCGGATCTCGCAAAGATCCTCGCTGCGCGCTCCGACTCGGAGCACTTCACCTTCCTCACCAACGCCCGCTCCTTCTTCTGGCTCGCAGACACCAACGGCAGGACAAAGGAGAGCCTCGCTCGCATCACTTTCAGCGCTTCTCCATCCGCCCACGACGTCAACCACTTCACCCGCGCCCACGACCGCCTCGACATCGTCATCGGCTTTGTCACCGGCGATATCATCTGGCTCGACCCCATCGCTTCCAAGTACACCCGCATCAACAAGAGCGGCTGCATCACCAGCTCCGCCGTCACCCAACTCCGCTGGCTGCCTGGAAGCGAGAACCTCATCATGGCTGCGCACGCAGACGGCTCCGTTCTCATCTACGACCGCGAGCGCGAGGACTCGAGCGACTTTTCCCCCGCCACCTGGGACGCCTTTGCCGGCGACAGCACCGCTTCCTCCTCCAGCGCCGCTCTTCAGTCCGTCGTTGCTGCCTCCACCGCACCCTCCTCCGCACCCATGTCCGCCAGCCAGACCTCGGCCTCCAATGCCTCCTTCGCCTCCAACTCGGCGACCGGCCCGTCGACGAATGGCCTCGGCAGCAGCATCACCGAATCGCGTCCCGTCCTTGGCTCTCGCACCGTCACCAGCTCCACACATGCCACCACCACCACCCACAACGATGCAGGCGAAGCCGCCGTGTCCTCCAGCAGCGGCAGCGCTACACACCTCCCCAAACCAAAATCGCACACCCCGCCCGGCACACTCTCGCAGCGTCGTCAGGCCGCCGATCCCTCCTCCTCGGGTCAGCCTCTGCTGCTCGTCACCAAGCCAGGCTCCGTGCCCATCGCCTCCGGCTTGCCCTCGGGCGCTGCGTTGCATTCGCGAGAATACCAGCAAGCCGCAGCCGCGGCGGCGGTAGCGGCCGCCAACGCCGGCTCCAACGGCAACGGACTCTCGGGCAAGGGAAAAGAGACGTCGTGGGCGCGGCTCAATCCGGTCTCGCACTGGGCCGTGGCCAAGACGCGCATCACCGACTTTGCCTTTTCGCCCGACTACTCGCACGTGGCGCTCGTCGCCGACGATGGCATCCTGCGCATCGCCGACCTCAACGCCGAGCGGCTGCTCGACACCTTTGAGTCGTACTTTGGCGGCCTCCACTGTGTCGCCTGGTCGCCCGACGGCAAGTTTGTGCTCACGGGCGGACAGGACGATCTCGTCACCGTCTGGGCGCCCAGGGAAGGCAGGATCGTGGCGCGCTGCCAGGGACACACGGCGTTTGTGTCGGCGCTGGCTTGGGACCCGTGGCGGTGGTCTTCGGACGATCGCACCTATCGATTCGCCTCGGTGGGTGAAGACTGCAAGATGATCTTCTGGGACTTTTCGAGCGCCGCGCTCAATCGGCCCAAGACACACGCGCCGCACGGCGTGGGCCCGCGACGCAGCTCGGTCGGGCTCGGCTCGACGTACTCGCTCGTGGACAAGCACGGCGCCTCGTCGATGCGATCTCCGGGATCGGTGCTCAACGCACGCCGCATCAGCACGAGTGCAGGCGTCGGGCTCGGATACGATCGTACCGCAGTCACCGACGATACCATCCGGCATCCTGCACTGCCCCGCTCCGAGGTGGCCATCCTGCAGCCGGTGGTGACGGTGGAGGTGGACGGCGAGATTCCGGTGGGACTGCGATTTGGACCGGACAAGGTGGCGGTGGTGCGCAAGAACGCCGCCATCGACACGTTTACACGCCCCATGCCCAAGAGGCCCACGAGCGTAGTGGCATCGCTGACCGCGGGTATGGACAGGACGAGCTGGCCTGCAGGAGCGCGCACTACGCGATGGTCCGCATCCACGCCCGCCTCGCAAGCCGCACTCACGATCAACACCAATGGCGCACTGCCTACCCACTCGCAGCATCCCTCAGCAACCACACCCACTACACCACGTCATCCTACCGACACAAGCCAAGGCATCACAGCCTGAGCACGTCGCAACCACAGGCAGTTCTAGACAATCTATCCATTCCCCTTGACCAAAGATGCGTGTGTGGTTAGAACAGAGGCCCTTCGCGAACGGTTTCGGGTCCAGCTCCAGCCGTAGCAGTGCTGGCACTGGTGTTGACATGGATGCCGCGGCGCACATGGCCGATCTCGAGCTCGAGCGTCTCCATGACGGTGCGCAGTGTTCCTGTTCAAATCCACGCACTGCTGTCAGTGCTGAATCCACCGGATGAAAGAAAGAATAGAGAGGGTTTGGATTCGACTTACGTTTTTCCCACTCGCCCCAGACGACTGCGCTGTAGAGCATGGTGGTGCCAGCCCAGCCCGCAACGACGGCGAGCAGTACAAAGAGCGGATTGACGCCCGCGAGCGGCTGGAAGATGCTCGCCACAATCAGCGCCACCGCCAACAACAGCGCTGCGCCAAACGCGTAAAAGTGGCTCGTCTGCGTCGCGCGGCTGGCGCTAAAGCCTCCCGCTAACGCACTGAGCGCCGCTCCGAGCACACGCGCCTGGTCCTCTCGTCCACCTCCTCGCACCGACGCTGCGTCGGCGTCGTCTGCGATGCTGAATACCGACTCGACACCAAAGTGGTCCGAATACGAGCAGTCGACACCGGGCATGCGGTGGGTGAACACGACCGAGGATGAGGCGCAGCTAAGACGGCCACGCGACGACGCAGACGCACTGTGCGCGAGCGCAGAAGCTTCGGAGCGGGCGAGCGGGCCGCGGTAAAGGATGTAGTCGAGCCGCTTGCCCGCACCGCGCGTGGCGCGCGCATCGAGCTTCTTGCCTGCCGTCCAGGTGTTGAGCGGCGAGTCGCACGTGACGCCGAGCTCGTCAATCGCCCTCTGCGGATCCGGCCGCGCTGCCACCGATCCACGTCTGCCCAGCCCAGCCGGTGGCGCCTCTGCATCTAGCGAGGTGGCATGCTCGTGCAGCTGCGGATGCGAGTCGAGAAAGCTGTCGTACATCCCTCCGACGTGTTTGAGCAAACCAATCGCCAGCGACGGCGGCGTCGAGTTGAGGTCGCCCACGCACACCACGTGCCTGCCCTGCGCAGCACTGTTCCTGCACAGCGACGCGAGCTCGTACGCCTGGATGATGCGATGCGACCTTTGATGTTCGGGCCCATCCTCGCCTCCTGCCGCGACGAAATGCGTGTTCCACACATCGAGCATGCCGAGCCTCGGATGGTCGATGGTGATGGCACCACACGCCTTGCCGACGAACCAGTCGCCGTGGTGCACGTGGATGGGCTGCCCGTTGAGCGAGTAGGGATGCGTGCGCGTCTCGACGATCTCCCAACGCGAGAGGATGGCGAGGCCCGAGCCAAAGGCACCCGAGTAGAAGAACTTGGAGTGCGGGTAGCGTGCGGCGAGGGCGTGCCGCAGAAAGCGCCAGTCCTTGGACTCGTACCAGATCTCCTGCAGGCACACAAAGTCGTAGTGCAGCGTCGAGGGCGCAGTGAGGTGCGAGGCGATGGCCTTGATACGCGCGATGCGCAGCTTCGAGATGTAGTTGAGCCCCCATACGTTGAGCGTGAGGATGCTGATCCTGCGGTCGTCCAGCGCGCTGGGTTGCGATGGGACGGGCGCCGCATACGTGGACGAAGCGTGCCCAGCGTCCGAGCTCGACGCCGACGACGGCAGGCGCGGCATGGCGGTCAGCGATTCGTCGCGGAGGAAAAGAGAGTGATGGTTGTCGTCCAGATCTTGCACCGGGGCGAGGTGGGTGTTCTGTGTGTGTGTTTCGCCGGCGAAGCGTGCCTCGAGCTGCATGAACATGATGCACACCTCCACCTCGACGAAATGACACGCGGCGCGTGCGGAGAAGCTTTGCTGAGTCGAAGCGTGGGAGCAGCTGGCGGCAATTCCGGCGCCGCTGCCTGAAGGCGAGGGAAAAGATCGGCGGATCCGATCGGTGAAAGCCAGTGCATTTCCGCTCCACCTTTGCCAACCCTTCCCTCTCTCCCCCTACCGCTTCCTTATCGGGACACCACCGACAGATCATCTTCATCACGCACCACTCTAAGCACGCTCTGAATCTTGTCCAGATCAGACCATCTCGAAGCACGCTCTCCCACAGAAAGGCGACTCGACCGTGGACCGAAGCGTCATCTTCTCCTCAACTGCGCAGCCAACAGCGGATTGAAACCGAGAGTAGCGCGCTTGCGTGAAAGTTGCCCACCATGATCAAGGTAAGCTCCTTGAAATGTGCCATGTGCTGTCGGAACCAGCCGCCACTGACGACGAAACCTTCGCATGTACTGCCGCGGTAGATCTGGAGCATGAAGAAGGAGGAGGAGTCGGCAAAGAAGAAGAAGCCCAAGACCTCGCCCGCACAGCTTCGCGTCCAGAAGGGTAAGCGGTCCGGTGCTTCCTCTCCATCGAAGTATGAGCTGACCCGACACTGCCAAATGCCGCCAGACTTGACCGAGCTGGAGCTGCCAAAGACCATGAAGACCGACTTCCCAGATCCAGCAGACGTGCTCAACTTTACGCTCACCATCGAGCCCGACGAGGGTGAGTGCAATCGGAACAGACCAATCAAAGAAGCTCCCAGCTGACCATCGCCTCGGCGCATCTCTGCTCACAGGAATGTACAAGGCCGGCTCGTTCAAGTTCACCTTTGCCATCAACAACAACTACCCGCACGACCCGCCCAAGGTCAAGTGCACACAAAAGGTGCGCATGCCACATCCATACTGCCGATCGCGTGCTGTCATGATACTGACGCTTGATGCTCGCCTCTTTGCAGATTTACCACCCGAACGTCGACCTGGAGGGCAACGTGTGCCTCAACATCCTGCGCGAAGACTGGAAGCCCGTGCTCAACCTCAACTCGGTCATGGTCGGTCTGCAGTACCTCTTCCTCGAACCCAATGCCGACGACCCACTCAACAAAGGTGCGTTTACGCAGATGCACACGATCGATATGCTTCGTGTCTTGCTACCGATAGCTGACGTCTCCAATCTGACCCCTGACAACGGCATCGACGATCACAGAGGCAGCCGAGGACCTGCGCAAGGACCGATCAGTGTTTGCCAGCAACGTCAAACGCAGCCTTGGCGGCGGAGCAATCAGTACGTTCAAATACTTCGCGCTTGATCCACGTCGGCAAGGGACGCCTCTACTCACACCGCCTCGATGCTCTTTTCTCCCTGTCCTGCCACTACAGAGGGAACCACATACGACAAGGTTGTTGCCAAGTAGGACTTGCCCCTTAGAAAGCTCTGTTCGCCGTTCATGTACTTCTACCACCAGCATCCAGTCCTGTTGGAGCCGAGCGCTGTGTGCCAGAGTGTCGATGCAGAAGATTCACAAAGAGGAGGTTGGTGTGGGCGGGTGTTGCGCCTGGCGTGGGATCGGAGATAGCGCGGCTTTTCCTACGCGGCTTTTCCTACGCGGCTTTTCCTACTTGGACCGGGTCGCGTGGAGCGGCACCGGTGCTTGTTGGATTTTTAGCCACTGCTGCTGGCTTGAGATTGGACCCTGCATGAGTTGGCCAGTCGCCAGCCAGGCTCGTAAATGAGACTCAGCTCCGTCGATGGCGTCCTTTGGCTAGCTTGCGCAGGCATCGCCGCCTGGTCCAGGTCACATGCGCTGATGAGACGGCATGACGCAGCAACGGGATCACAAGGAGTCGGATCAACCGATGAATCACCTGCGCTCTCGAGGCGCTGCAACAGTGTTGGCTGGTCGTCTTTTTTTCGGACTTGGCTGGAGTTCCTCGCAGCAAGTGGAGGCGCAGCTGCGCACACGCCACGCCTTTCAGGCGCTAGACAGGAGCTCCCTCTTCCTCTTATCCCCACGACCACCTGGTATCGACTGCCCTCGATTCTATCACTGGCTCAACACTTGACTCTCAATCGCTATTCCTCCAATCAGGTCCGAAAATATCGCAATCCTTCTTGGCCTTCTCAACATGGCTTGGCGTTGCTCGGGCGCATCGAATGCCGAGCTGATCACAAAAATGCGCAATGCATCGCTGATCAGCTCGCCACGGATTGCAGATGCCATGGCGAAGGTGGATCGCGCCAACTATGTGCCCTCTCGTCGACAGGCGTATCAAGACTCGCCTCAGACGATCGGGTATGGCGCGACCATCTCGGCACCACACATGCATGCGCACGCTGCCGAGAATCTGCTGCCCTTCCTCCATTCTGCTGCCAAGGTGCTCGACGTCGGCTCGGGCTCGGGCTACACTCTGGCGATCTTCCACCACCTTACCGCAGGAGGTACCGCCAAGGTCATCGGCATTGACCACATTCAATCGCTCGTTGATCAGGCCAACTCGAATCTCAGGGCAGACAGACTCGAGGCGCAGCTCAACGACGGATCGATCGTCAACATTTGTGGCGACGGTCGCAAGGGGCTTCCGGAGGAAGCGCCATTTGATGCGATCCATGTGGGTGCTGCAGCCCCCGGTGTGCCCCAACCACTGTTGGACCAACTCAAGGCGCCGGGCAGGGTGTTTATCCCCGTCGAGGAGCAGAATGGCTCGGGGGAGCAGAACATCTACCAGATCGACAAGGCACACGACGGAACCATCACGAGCCAAAAGGTCTGCGGCGTCTTGTACGTGCCTCTCACGGATGCCGACAAGCAGTGGGAAGCGTAGCGGCGGCGGTCGATAATCGAAATCGTGTCTTGCAAAAAAAGCGTGTGAGATGGTTACTGCTGGCTGAGCCACTGCTGCTCATCGTCGTCCTTTGCTGGCATCTGGTCGTCGTCGCCCTTTTGCAAGGTCTCGTTGATGGCCTTTTTGAGCAGGCTGTAGGCGCGTTCGAGGTCGTCGTTGACGATAATCCAGTCGTGCGCGCCCTTTTGCCTTGCGTACTCCATCTCGTTAGCGGCCATGGTGAGGCGCTTGTGAACCGACTCGGCGGTTTCCGTGCCACGGCCCGTCAGCCTTTGCTTGAGCGTCGAGAAGGAGGGCGGCGAGATGAAGATGTAGATCGGGTTGAGTGATGGGTGGTTGGCCTTGATCAGCTTGACGCCTTGTGCGTCGATGTCGAGGATGGCGCGGCGCGCGTCGGTGCTGCCATCGGCTCCCTTGACGCCCTCGGTCGACACATCGGCAACGGCCTTGGCGGTCGTGCCGTAGCGGTTACCGCCAAATTGAGCGTGTTCGAGGAAGGCGCCCTGCTGCACCAGCGCCTCGAACTCATCGCGCGTGACGTAGTGGTACGACTGACCGCGCACCTCGCCGGGACGAGGGTCTCGTGTTGTGTCTAAAAGCGGAGGGCAGCGTGGTCAGCCAGGAGCGAGCGATTCTAAAGCAAAGCAGCGAAGCACATACGAGAAACAGAGAAGCCGAAACTGTCGGGAAACTCTTCGAACAGCTTCTTGAGCAGCGTGCTCTTGCCCACACCCGAGGGACCCGAGAGGACGATCGGTCGCTTGTCCGAAGGGATGGGCGGCGTCGAGGCCCAGTTGGAAGTCGACATTCTAGCGGAAGAGGCGGAGATGCGCGTACTGATGTTGGAGGTTCGTGCAAGGTGAGCCAAAGGAGCAATGCGGTTCATCGATCGCCAGCACTTGGTAGGCAGCACAGCGGCAATGATGTAGGAAGACGGTGATGGTAGAGGGCACCGCCGTGTACGAGCATGCCAAAAAAAGGTGATTTCTTGTGGGGAAAAGGTTAAAAAGCTTAGAGCCTCCTCGGCTCCGACTCGAATTTTATTATACGCCAAAAGAAAGCCGCGGCCAAGCCGACGGAGCCAGGGTCCGCTCTCTCGTGCTTTTTCGGCAGGGTTACGCGTCAAGTCGAGGGCCTGTGTCGAAGAACAACACCTGTCGCGCCCTGCAGTCGAGTGCAGACCTGCAGCAGAAAACAGGCTCGGCTGGTCCGAGATGAGACTCAGCAGCCTTCACTCCTTCACTCGTAGCCAACACAAATCTGCACTCCCTCCCTCCAAACCACATGCTATCAGTGCAGACACATGAAGGACACGGCTGGTGACCATGCCGAAGCTTGCACGATCCCGGCTGGACGAGGCAGACGTCAAGCCTCGCGTGAAGCCTGAACCCGACATCATCGACCTGTGCGACTCGGACGATGCCACAGCCACTCCCTCGTCAAACCCTGAGCCAAAAGCAGCACCTGCACGATCGAGGCGGAAGGTAGTCAATCGAGGACGGGTCAAGTACGAGGATGATGACTCTGATGCCACAGACGGACCGAACGGCGGCGACGGAGATGACGGCGACGAAAGCGACGATGACTTCCGTGGCAGGAAGCGAAATGCCCACAAGAAGAGCAGGACCGCTTCAACAACCCCAGGACCCTCTTCGCACAAACTGTATGCCATCGCACGAATTGCCACTCTCGCCACCGACGGGGTCGCTTCCGTCTCCGAGTCCGAGGCCAAGCTCGCTGGTGTCAGTGCCGGCATCCTCTCGCGTATTCAAAAGTCGCTCGCCCTCGCCAAGCATCCCGGCACTGGCGAGGCCGAGGCGCAACAGGCACTGCGTCTCGCCACACGACTCATGTCGTCCCAGAACCTCACACAAGCCGATCTGCTCGCATCCTCCGACGCCGAGGCCAACCAAGCACGCGCAGGCATGTCGATCGTCGAGATCGTCTCCCAGACCAGCGCAAGCCCGCGCAACGAGAGCTGGGCCAACCAGATTGCCGTCGCCGTCAACCTCTTCTTCGACGTGAAGGCCTACTCCACCTCGTCTGCCAACCGAAGCCGTCTCAGCTGGACCTTCTACGGGCTCGCAGTCAACACCGTCGCTGCCGCCCACGCCTTTGAGATGGTGCACAACCAGGTGCTCACGTGGGCCTACGAAAAGGCGGCCGCCAAGCTGGTCTCTGGGAAGACGGGCAAGAACTCCTACTGCCAGGGCGTCGCAGCCGGTCTCATCGCGCTCGCAAAGAAGGAGAAGAAGGAGGAGATGCGTCTCGCCATCGAGGCCGAAAAGAAGCGCCTCGACGACGCACACAAGACCGAACAGGCGCAGGTCAAGAAGGAGAAAGAGCGGCTTCAAGACCCACCACAGCCCGCCTCGGTCAAGCCCGAACCGTCGCAGGATTTGCCAAGGCAGTCCCAGTCCGGCTCGCGCAATGTCAAGCTCGAAGACGTGGTCGATGAAGACGACGTCAAACCGTCCCGGAACGGGGTCAAGCAGGAAATGTCCAATGCGGATGGTGCCGGCTATGGGCGGTGGAGTGAGGGCTACAGCGGTAGCGCTTTCGCGAATGCCAAGCTCGAAGACGGCATGGACTATGACGATGACGACGACGACGCTGGTACCGATCGCTTTTATGATATGGACGACGGTGCGCATGGCTCCGATCCACACGGCGCGTTGGGCGACGACATCAAGCCGCACTTTGACGAGGCGCTGGAGCGCGACATTATCGATCTCACCGACGATCTCGACACAGCCGCCGGGTCGGAAGATATCAAGCCGAAGCTGGAGCCCAAGGTCGAGGCGGACGACGGCGCGGGTGGTGCGGGATGGCATTCTTCCGGCCAGCTGATGCGCTTCCGGCAGGATGCCGAGAAGATCGCCGACGACTACCTTGCGTCTCAGCATTCGGGGCTCAAGCTGCGCAAGCGCGCCAAGACGACGTACAAGCGCGACTCGCACGCGTTTGAGCAGGGTCGCGTCGACGCACGCAAGATCGACGTCAAGCGCAAACGCATCCAGAACTGAGCTCCAATACGATACCCTTTATCATCTCGTGTTCGACGTGTGTTATTGCTGGATTCAGGATGACGGACTGTCGCCGTGAATGGTGTGTTCGGCATCGAAGCGGTGCGAATATTTATATGCGTCACCCACGTGTGCTATCACCTCGTGCTGCGTGAGGGGATGCGGGAGAGCAGCGAATCCAGGCAGACGACCTGGAGCATCGACTCTCACAATGTTGGGTGGTTCGACCAGCAACTCGTCGCCGAGCCCGAATCGGCGTTTGGCTTTTTTGAGGAGTCGTCGACGCAGAGTCTGCATGGCTGGCCGCGAGTACGCCAGATCTTCGTACACTGTCTGGTGGCATAGATGCGCGAAGATGTCCAGCTCGGATACAGATTCCCGCGCTACATCTCGACTCGTAAGCATGCATGCTCGGACTGCGGTGGTGGAAGGGGGGACTTACTGTAAACACCATGTTTCAGACCACCGGTCCGGATGAAATCATCAATCGGCTTGTCTATCCCCCAAAAGCAAAATCTCGTCAGGACCTCCTGGTAGCTCCAATGGCTAGCGCGGGGACAGACTTACAAGCGGCACGATCCTGCCAAGCTGGATCGCGAAAGAGATACTTGAGCAAAGCAACCGTTTCCTTCTGCTCGACCCGCTGGGTTGGGTACATCTCCTTGGCAATTCGCTGAAAAATGTAGAGCTGATTGCGATACTGCATCGCATCCACCACCTCCAGCCACAGCACAACCAGTGCTACCCAAACCAAGCGCATCTTGAGAATCCCGTACCAAGGATGTTGTTTTTTTGTGGGGTAAGATGGACTTCACCCGACGGGGGCCTTTATATGCCTCTCAAAGGCTATTGAGCCCAGGGTGGCGTTTGGCCTGGGGACAAGGTTGATGCTCACGTCAGACCCGACCCCCGGCTTGTGGCTGGCAAATCTTGTTGTCGGTGGGTCACAAGCATCGATTGGGCCACATGAGGCGCCAAGGCGCCCAGCCGTGCGATCCGCAATGTCGTGACGCAAGGAGGGCAAATGAAGATCCAGCGCGACGTCGACCAACTCAAATGTGGACCAGCAGCCATTCTCACAGCAGCCATGATCCTTCACACGACAGTGGTGATACGGGCGCCAACCAAGAGGCGCCAACCTCACGAGTGAGGTGCAACCGGCCAAGCGTTGCGCCTCGAATCTCATCTTCCGTGGCGTAAGCGGCGCCGCCCAGATCGAACTCGTTTCGAGCGGCATAAGGCTGTCAGGACGATCTCCAATGACCACTGGTCTGCAGTCTTCGCATATGATAGATCGGGTCTTGGCATGCATTCATATGATCACCAGAATCGTGGGAAAAAGTCGCAACGAGGTGCGAGCATTGTGATGAGCGCGGAGAGTCGGCCGTCATCTAAATTTAAAGGCCACGCGAGTCGCCACGTGGAGACACGAGACTCTTCAACCGTGTCGCTCGAAGTACTCGTTCCAGTGCGAGCCCGAGGTGGACAGACCGCGGTCTGGGGATCAGCACGCACAAGATGCGCGTCAGCGTCTGTATATCTTGTTTTACATCAACGATCGCAACTTACTGTAGCGAGGAATGGCGTACTTGGTCCAGAACTTTTTGGCCAATCCGTGATGTTCCGAGCCTATCGAAGCGCAGAGCAAGAGCCGAAGCAGAGAGAAAGAAGTCAGTATCGCAAGGTCTCGAATAGCATGGTACGGAAAAACAACAACGTACTGATCCTGGCAAGGAACTCGTTGTACGCAATCACGGGTCCGTCGCCCTCGCGCACAAGAGGACCGAGCAGCTCCAGGGTGGGCGAAAGCGTGGTGGCAACAGCACACTGCACCATCAGCACAGCAGCAGCCAGGGCAAAGAAGGCGGTCTTGGGGTTGAAGAATCGCATCTTGAATGTTCTTTGAGTCGGGAAAGAAGGCGGAGACGATGAGTAGAGCAGCACGGGGAAGTCCTCCCTGGCCAGCCTTATATAGAGGCAGCTGTCCCTGCTGGCAGCGTCCGTGCTGCACAGATTTCTTTGAACCTGGGAGAGCGGGTGGCTACAAAGCCCTTGTGCTCATTGAGGCTCAGTGGGTCAAGTGCATGCTCGAGCCCACCCTCATTCGAGAAGAGACAATCTGGCACGACCCACATCGAGGTATCGACGCGGCATAGCCTGTGTGATGAGGTGGGAGACGTGTAGCTCCTGCTGTGATGCTATTGTATCGCTGGTGAGTGCAGACACTGGCCTCTAAAGCCGTGGTGGTGCATACACGAGAAGGTGGGGTGCAGCGCAGTATAGCAAAATGTCATATCGCGGAACTTCATTGCCCCTGCACACCGCTCAATGCATCGTGGTGATATCACAGGGCACCTCGACTTCCTCGACAATCAACCCCGTCTATGCACCGTTGTGGGCAGAACCATCAACGGCGTTAGTCTCTCCCACTCGCCGATCCAGTCCATCTTTCACCGTGTTCCCGTTCGTACCATAAGATACGAAGCCTCAGCCCTGCTTCATGTCAACGTACAGTTCTGGTGACAAGCTCACGTTCATACCGCGATCACGATGCAGACGAAGCAAGATCTGTCATCCACTGCTGAACAATGATCGACGCAACAAGTCACCGATGAATGGCAAACGTCTCGTGATAAGCTCTGCAGGCACAAGAAAGACATGATCCCATGCTTCGTGTTCAAGTCCGATCGGATACCCAGTTCGCATGAATTAATGTTGAAGCCCTGAGGGCCAATTGTCGAGGTTGACCTCGTCCAAGACAATTCAAGGCAGACGCCCATCTCGTGGGAGCCTTGCGGCAGCGGCGTGGGTTTCTGCAACCGAACGCTGGTAAGCCTGCCCATCGGCATGGATGCGTCTCAGCTCGCCCTCGTACCAGGTATTCCACTCCAGCCCCGTGATGGGATATCGAGCGTGCCGACCAGCTTTGTCGACGAAGTTCCCATTGGCAGAGCAGTCGATTAGCATCGTGCACCAACGTAATCTGCAGAAATAGATCACTTACACATCCTGTTGATCAGGTTCATGTCTCGGAAAAACTGGGGAAAGGCATCCAGGTGAGGAGCTTTCAGTTCTGTTGGCCCACAAAGCATTTTGCATCCGCAATGTCAGTCAGTGGTCCCGATTTGCTATCTTTGGGAGCTGGCTGAGAAGTACATACGGCGGTTCGACTGCATGGCTTCGGCTACATGCCCTTTCAAACCTTCGATAGCGTCCTCGATCGGCATTCCGGCTTCCCAAACGAGCTTAGTTGGCTCGATCAGGTATGCTTTGATGCTGGTAGCGACAAGGGCAAACCAGAGAAGGGTGAAGAGTTGACGTGACTGCATCTTGGCGTGCTGCTCGAGAAGTGTTCTTGAATGTTGAGGAAGTTGCGGACTGCTTGGAGGCATATTGGAATGTCCGAGCCCTCTTAAATGCTTGACAGAACCGTAGAATGTGACCGGCGCAACTCAGCCGGCACGGGCTCGAACGCTCGTTCGCCCCACCTGTCACCTCATCCCTCTGTCAAGCATGTCAAGCCACCCACATGGCTCGTTTTTCCGCGATGCCGCAGGCTTCCTGCTTGGCGAATGGAGGAAGATCACAACGTTGCCGGTCTCTCTCTCCCGGCGATTCATCCCTCTGCATCCCCACCATTCGTCTCGACCACAGGATTTGCTCTTCTCAGCGCCTAGAAGGACTCTGCGGTGACTCAGAAGCCTCACAACCGCGCGGTGTAGCGTGCGGTTTGCTTGACGATCACTGCACAGTTACCGCGAGATTAGACACAGAACGGTATTGCCTGCCGTTCGTGCATAACGTGCATTTGCTCATGCACGGAAACCGAAAGCCTCACCCCTATCAACCGCCATCATCCGAACCCCTGCATTGTACTGTACAGTACATGCGATAACGACCGAATGAGCTCCGAACAGAAACGATGCCGGTGCCGGCATGCAGCATGCAAGTATCGTACAAGGCTCTCAGAGATGCTCGCGCCCGAGCCGCGCGTGCTCCCGTCATGCCGAGACATCTGCATTGATTCTCCTGCAGCCCGTTGAAGGGATTGTGAATGGAACGAGCGTATCGCTCCGTACTGGGCGAGGCCGATCAGACCTATGGCTGCAGCCGTGACCTTTTAGCGCTCCAGCCCGCTCGTGAGACATGCAATGCAGAACAGTACAATGCCGTGTTTCATCATTCTGGCGATACGAGCGACATGGAGGTAGCGGAAGTAGTGTGTGTCTGGCGCTGCGTGCATATCTATGCGGCAGCACCACCGCGATGGAGGCCAGGGTTGAGATGACCGGCGACATTCGCAATGCGTCCATAGCTCTGCTGTTGACGAGCCCATCCATGGCCCTCCCGTGCGGCCTGTGCAATTCTCTCTGCCCGATAGCGTCTGAACCAACGGTTCCAGTCCGAGCCCTGAATACGACCTGCCTCGCCTGCGATCCGAGAAGCATACAGTACAACAACGAGGTCAGCTCACAGTCTCACCAGCAGACATAGATCCAGAGATTGTCGCTTCTCACCAATTCTGCCTTCTCGCTCCATGTTTCGGTAGAATGCACCAGTCAAGCCTGCGGGGAGCCCCGTCGCGTCTGTAAAACATGAAAGACAAGCCATCGTCCACAGCTGTGTCAGCTTTCATGTGGAGATCGACGCAGTCAAGTCTGGTTTCACTTACGTTCCGAAGTTCCTGAACGCCCCAAAGCCTCTGAATAAGATTTGACGAGGAGTTTCTGCTCGAGCCGGCCTGGCGCATTGTCAAGGTTCATTCCAGCATGCCAAAGAAGTTCACCTTCAGGAAGGTTGACGGCGTGAGCCAGTCTTGCTACGGTGAGGATTAGGAACACAAGGATACGAGCTTGTCTGAACATGGTCAGGATGGGTTAGGTTTGAAGTTGCGTCGCTGCGGCTCGAGGGATGGAGGGCGTTTTCCAGGCCAGCTTCTATACCTCGGGATCGGCGGCTTGGTCTGGGACAGCACGCAGCTTTTAACATTGTTCGCGACACTACCGTGGGAGAGAACAAGCCCCTAGCGGTCCAGGCCAACACGGTTGCTCCGGTGTCTTAAGGTTACCGAATCATGGGAGTCGTAGATCCAGCCATTGGTGTGGCGTCGAAAGGGGTGGCTAGGGGTCTATGCAACCCACGTGGGCTCGAAACAGACCGCCAGCCCACCCTTGTGGCTGAGGGCATCGGTTCATTCCGAGTGGCGCTATGGGGTGGCGCTACGCACTCGGCGAATTCGCTGACAGCGAGGCCGGCACCGAAGCAGCGCACACCATACAATAGCTTCGAGGACCCTCGCCTACTCCTCAAGTTCGACCCATCGAAATAAGCCATTGTCTCGAAGGCTCCAACATCGCCCCAAATTCGAGTGCCAAGAATCCAGTCACGAATGTAAGCACGGTTGAACTCAGAGCGAACGTTCTTTGCAACCAAGTCTCGGCGAGGTAAATATGCTGGATCAAAACTAAAACATCATAGAATTCGAACGAAGGAGCTACGGCGCCTATGATCACGGTGTTAAGGGATCTGAGCGCAATACGATTGTCGAGCGTACCAGTGACGGAGGTAGACCTTGAGCGATGTCGCAAAGATCTCGAGTCGCGAGAATCGCGAGAGTGGGCCCGACTTGGGGCTGGATCAGAACCTAGGCTGCCTGATGTACTCGTTCCAGTGCTTTCCCGTGGTCTCCAGGCCAGCAGCTTTTCATGCATATGTGCCCGTTCAAAGGCAAAAGGTTCAAGAGTCAGTTGATTTGCCTGCAGGCCGCTATCTCTGTACGCTTCGTACTTACCAGCTCGGGGAACTGCGTGCTGAGTCCAGAACGCCTTGGCGCTTGGGCGGTAGTAGCGATCTGAAGGAAAGAGAGAGGGATGTTCACATTAGGAATTATGGTCGAGCACACGTACGAATGGCTGCATGGCACGATGAGAGCTTGGCATGCACCGTGTATGAGCTCCTGGCTATGAAGATACGTACCGACCATTCGAACAAAGTCTGCTTTCTTGGAAGCCAGAGTCTCTGCGTCTTTGACGTGAGCCTCCAAGAGCGACACGCTCTCGCTCAGGATGGTGGCCTGGACGAAGCAAACGGCCAGTACGGCCACGAGGACGATCGACTTGATGAGCTGCATGCTTGAAGATGAGAAGCGGTGAAGAAATGGAAGTATGGCGAGGCTACAGCGACGTCGTTTGCCAAGCGAACGCTCGAGTCGAACTGCTATTTAATCGTTTCTCGAGCGAGAGCAAGGATATGCAAAGCTATTCGCGCCACAGGTTGCAAGAATGAATCCTTCCGCCTCGGGCCATCGATCCCACCCTACCCACCATGGTGGGTCTCAAATCTCATCTGCAGCAACAAAAATCGTTGCCGTCGCAATGCTTCAATGACACACAAGTGAGCCCACTGTTGTGATATAATTCTGAACACTGAAAACGAGGACCGCATTGTACTGTAGTGGCATTCATTGGTATCAAAATATAGGCTCAGGTACTCAGACAGCAGGGAGCGGAGTCGATCACGTGCAAAAATTCATTCTTCTACACGCACGATGGACGAAGTGGGGATGTCACAGCGACGAAGTCGATGCAAAAAGAGAGTATGATTCCAAGAAGCTCAAGAGATTATCATCTCCAGAAGCTTAAGCACACAGATCAACATCTCGAGGCCGAATTCCAGACGCAAGGAACAACGTGCACAGGAGCTTACGAGGCCGAGGACGCCTCGTCGACATAGACGACATCGGCGGCGTGAGAACAACATGAAGCCATTCGGCCTTGGCTGTCCGGGTGCAGGATTACCGGCTCTGGCTTCCCAATCATACCGAGAAGAGGTGACTGTGGCTTTCGAGTCAGCGCTGTGAGTCAAAAGGAGGCCCTCCGTTGAGTCAGAGCCCGCCATGGCGCACAATCCCAAGACCTCGTCCTACATCCAACAAGAACAAGACTTCTTTTTCTTTGCTATCTGATATGGAGCTGTCCTTGCGTCTCCGGTGCCAGCTTGGCGCTCTCATCACCATCCTCTTCATCGCTGCTATTCCCGCTGTACCTACTGGTGGCAAAGGCTGGCATATTGGCGATATCGTTGGTCACGGCGCTCGGGAAGGGGGGCTTTGGGGGCAAAATCCTGCTGCATGGCACTATCGTGATCCCGCTGCTAGCTCGAGCGGTAGTCCAGGAGGCCAGAGTGAAGACCCTGGATCTCATGCCTCGCACGATTCTCGATTGCAGGGTGCAAGCTTCGAAAGTCATACTCAATCGCCCTTTTGGGGAGTTCCAACCCCGGATGCTACCGAAAAGCGGTCCACGATCTTGCGGGAGCAAAGCGTTGCTCCGCTCCTCCCTGCAGCACCGTTTGTCACTTCAAAGAGTGATTCGGGTCCTACCAGTCTTGCGATCGCATCGACCTCCTCGCAGCCTCCCGTTAGAAATAAGCAGCGGCTCTCAAACAACCCAAAGGCACCGCTTATTCACGCATGGTTCGGAGAGGAAGCTGGCCGCGCGCTTATCGAAAACGGTCTATACAGACTTGATAGGGCAACCACCATATTCAAGGACGATGTAGGGGAGTGGGAGAAGTGGCTGGCCAATATGCGAAGGGCAACTGGACGTCCTTCTCTGAAGGTATCGCCCATTGACGTTTCGGATTGGGCGAAAGATCAGGTCTTCCTAGCCCAAGACCAGGGCCAAGACGTCGTTGATTATGTTCCTCTGCCTGAGTCGCAACTTGACTTGAGCTGGTCTGGCAGACTCCTTCTGACTAAAGATCCTCCCGGTAAAATGGAGCATAACATGGAAAGGGTCAGATCAAGGGATAGGGTTTACGTCTACCTAAACAGCCGCAGTAACATGGACTACATCAATCACGAATACTTCTTAGGCCATGCTCGGCCCCTGCCAATCCGTTATGGTGGTCTCACCCGCAATAACCTCAACAAGATCTATGCCTCCCGGAACACTCACATCCTTCTTCCTCCACGCACTCAACACGGGTTACCGCTCCTCGTCCTTCGTCACAGTGGCTCCGAGTACACGTTGCAGCACATTCACAGCATCACCGGGCTCGAGCGAAAGATGCACCTCATGTCGCTCTGGTCTCCGCTCCTTTTTGACGGTCAGAGGTACACTACAATGCTATATGGGATTGTCGGCTTCGACTCGAGGCAGACCCCAGAGGTACTGACGCACTTGCACACGATGACCGAAGCCAGGCACCCCGATACTTATGCCCCATTGTATGCATTAGAAGAAGTGGCTCACATGTTTCAGTGAATGGTGCGCCGTAATGGTAACTTTGATGGCTTCAGTGCGATGCGACTGTGAACGGTACTGTACAGCTGCGAGCATGATCCAAGGTGGTTGAAGTATCGACCGCCCGCTTGATCGGGAAAGCAGCGAAGCTGCCAATACTTAGCGTGACGCAGCTAATGAAGTTGCTTCGGAAGCCGTCAGCAAGCTACAGTGCCCGGAGCGGAAGCTGTTGTGCACAAACAGCCTCGTCACTCACAAGCAAAAGAAGGAGAAACGTCAAGAGGGATGAAGGAATTACTTCACTACAGGAATCTGCGATGACCATCACAGCTGAGCTCAGATTGCGATCTACGGGCAGCGCACTGCTCGTAGATTTGGCTGTTCAACAGCTTCGCCTTCTTATTCCTTCCATTCCCAAATCTCAAGTCTCATTGTGGCACTGTGTTCACTTGTTACGGGCCAGACCCGTAGTGGCAGGGCTTCGCACTGCTTCTTGGACAAGATCTGCGTAGTCGCATTTCTCATAGTCACAAAGGAAGTGAGAACAAAGAACAGGCAGTCGAGGTGAACGGAGAGCATCGAGAGCATAAGATGTGTTCGCATGGGAACAATGTTGGAGCACGACAGCATTGAGCTGAAAGTAACCTGGTTACCGCGTAGAGTAGGCAGTAGAAAGGCGTTTGTGCCAGAGTGCGTCGAGCGGGTGACAGCCGTGAGATCACGAAATGCGGAGCGGAATCGGAGCCGAGCCGGGGCAAGCGTCCGGGTTAGAAAAGTCAATCCTGGCAATGTCCTTGCCCACAGGCGTGCTCCATTCGACCAACACGTCAAGGCAGCGAGGTTTAATGGGCGCGTTGATGGTGACTAGGTCGACCTCGGTGGCGAAGGACTGCTCACCAGCCTGCTGCAGAATCACAAACGTGTCACCCGCCTTGTTGTAGTAGCCGATGACGTTCTTGGGACTGTACATATGCTTGCGAATGTCACCGTTGATCTTGAAGCAGGCGTAAGCAATTTCTTTGCCCTCGGGCCGACCAGAGCAAAAGCTCGACACTAGCACCTCGCTCTCCTGGAGGCCTGTGGTGGTGGGGGGGCCGGCCGGCCAGGTCTGGGCCTGGACTGCGGCGAGCGAAAGGAGCGAAAACGCGGCGAGAGAAGCGAAGTGCATGTTGATGTGCTAGAGAATCCGGAACAATCTGACTGACGGGATTGCTTGCGATTGAGCAAACAAGGTCGTCCTACTTATACGTTCAAAAGGCACCGTCTCAGCGAGATCCTGGAAAACTGAACAGTGAAATGTGGGGCTGCTCCCACACATTCAATCTGCACGACCCACCAAGCGATTCGGCGTCACCCACCAAAACATTGACAACAGATCTTTGGCGGCCCCGCTCGCGCCTCTGAAATGAAACAACAAGCCCATCTTGATCCCGCTGCAGCCACCGCATTTCAGGTTTGCTGCCCGGACGTTCGAGCCGCTGCTTCATCGCCGGAGGTGCCAAACTTGCATCCTTGCGTACTGTACGGTGTTGTAGGGATGCAGCCATTTCGGCCATACATTTGGCCTTGCTACAGTGCGTCCTGCGGCGCGACTTTAGCCCCGCCTCGGGACGTTGCGGGGAATGCCCAGCTGCCGAGCGGTGCGTTGAGCCCAAGCATCAAGCTGCTGCTGCAGTTGATCTCCCTGCGCCCACGTTTCGCCTGCTCGTGCGTGAGAGGCGATGACACAGCGGCGATAAGTGTGGAACCACTGATTCCAATCCCAGCCCACGATGTCGAATTGTTCACCTGAAACGATAGCATAAAGGTCACGGTGAGTCACGAGTTTGCTGCCTTAGTTCTATAAAGGGAATCAGTGCTTACGCGTACGGCCCTGGCGCTCCATGGAGTTGAAGAACGCAACGACAGCGTCTCGAGGAGGTGCGGCAAAGACTGAAAGTTCGATCCAAGTCCAGGCACCCGGGTATCGGTCAGCCGAAACGTCGGTATGGACGTAAGCGTGGGGCCGAAGGAAGGAGCTTAAAGCTTACCGTCTGGGTGGCTTCTAGCTCGGTTCACGAGTCTTTCGGCGAGGTCGTAGATCGCGTTACCGACGTCGGCGCCTGGTCGCCAGATGACTTCGGCGTCTGGCAGAACGGTCGCCTTTGCCGTTTTGACTGCGGCGCAAAGCAGCAGAGCGACCGCTAGAACGCGCTTCAGAGCCAGTAGAAAGACCATCTTGCCTTGAGTGACGAGGAATGCGAATGGATGGGATTCGGACGAAGTCCACACGGAGCAGCTGGCTCTTAAATGCTCCTGGACGATCTAGGGGGCACTTCTTCTTCGGCGGAGAAGACCGTGGATCTGATCGACCGATGCTCGTACCTGACAATGAGGCATATGCGGAAAGCGCACCGGGCGCTTTGCCGCAGTTTACTTTCTGTGGCGATCGCCGAGGCGGTGAAGCACACAATGGTGCCTCATAGCGACGTACATTCCTTGTGGAAATGCGCTGAATCTGGCTAGCGAATACGGTATCTTCCACAGCAGAAAAGATGCGTCAGACTGCCTCTGTTCCACTTTGCTCCTCGATGCAATGCGAGACTCCAACAGGCGGCGGTGACGGAATGAAACGCTTGAGCTGTTACGGGCTTCAGTTGCCGAGCTTACGGCACACTTTGTCAACGGTTGCTTTCTTGTTCCTGTAACCCACCTCGTCTTGCGAGGCCGCCTTTCCGCGGTTGTGATGTGATAAAAGAGCGTCGATGGTACTCGTGCGCTGTCGCTGTTATGCACGAGCCTCGGCGATCCGAGAAATGTCGCCCTTTCTCCGAAATGCGGTGCTACGTGAATTATGCTCATCGACCGTGGCCGCATGTCGGTATGTCTCGGCATATCAAGAAGTTGTTGTTGAGAGAGATGTGGCGGTCAACTTGATCGAGCACGCATGCCAGCCACGGCGTTGAGAGGCTGTGCAACACCCAAAGACAGCGCAACGCCGAGAGGCTGTGAGCAAGCGCTCGACCACGTGCCGCCATCTCGGAACGAAACGCGCCTGCCGCGGCTAAAGAAGCCGACATCACCAACGGGCATCACGTACGCGAATGCCTGCCATCAAAGTGTCCATGAACATGAAGCCCAACTCAGTTCGGGTACTTGCAATGCAGGAGCGCAGGATGCCGTGGTCGGGTGGGATGCTCCTCTGGAATTTACAACAGAAGCGATGGATGACTACAATTGGCCGGCGGTATCAGTTCCACACAATCAGCCTCGAGACGCAAGCCCTCAGGCCGATCTCAAGACGGCGTGCATCCATTGGTGGCCGGGATGCATCAAGAGGACCCCGGTTGACTCTGGGTCAACGGTGAGAAATGCACCGGACCTTCCCGTACGCCCACAACTTCATTCGACCGACGCAACGGACGGCTTTCGGCTGGCAAGCGAGCGTCAAGCTGTGCCGTCGACTCATAAGTCGCCACTGGAAGCGCCGGTGGGTTGCAGCAAGCTCTGCATCGCCAAGGCTGCCAAGCATCGGTGTCAATGCTTGCCGGAACCGGATGTTATTCACCGCGCGCAGTCGCGTCATATCACCTGTGCCCTGATCCGCTGCTAGTGCAGCTGTCCATGTCCGAGTCGGCATGGATATGGACGCAGCCAGGCAGAGTGGGCATTACGCTGCTGCGACTGACGACGTTTCGGCGTACAGCCTTGGCCTTCCAAAATCGTTCAAGTGGATCCTGCTTGTATCACGCTTGGCACACGTCGCGATACACTTACACTGCTGAAGAGTGTACATCAATCACGAGCAAGGCTCTTTCAATGCCACGGTCTACCATTCAGCCTTTACGAAGATGAGCATGTTGGGCGTTGTCGAGCTTGTCGAGCTTGTCGAGCTTGTCGAGCTTTGGTCTAGACGGACCCGGCCTTGCGGAGGGGATTCCTGACGTTGGGATGATTCACCTTGGGCACGGTCACTTTGGGAATGGGCACTGGGATGCTGTTCGGGGGAGCAGCGACAATGATCGGATCGAACGCCGGCGGGGGTCGCGGTAGACGCACGTAGGCTGGGCCAGGTCGGGGATGGAACTGCTCGAGCAGCCGACGGAACCGGTCGAGAGCTGAGCGAGACGTGCGCACCATCTCGGCCGCCTCGTCACTGTTCACCGCCCCAACCCCAACAACCAACACCAACACCAAGATCGCGTACACCTTGACCATCGTTGAAAAAAAGACGGATGTGTGGTGGTTGAGAAGCAAGTTGCGAACGCAACACCAAGCGAAAGAAAAGCACAAAGCAGGGTGAGCGAAAACGAGACAAGGAGGAGGGACGAGGGAGGTCAATTTGATCCATCGACGGCCGTTGTCCAATCGACACCGGCGTGGCGTGGGAACTCCCCCGGCTTGACCGGCAACCGGTCTGATCTCACAAGGACACCTGCACGTTCCCACCCTTGGCACATTGTACACAGCTTCATTGCTTCTACTCGAGGGCCATGCTATCCTCGACGTCGGCCGTGTCGTGACCTGCAGCGATGCGCGCCAGTTCCACCGCGAGGCGGGGCAGATCCGAGTCGTCCAAGAACGCCGCTACGGTCGCCTGCTCCTTCTGTCGATCGTGCCAGACGGCGTCAACCTCCACATCGCCCTTATCTGCCATCCTAGCCGCCACGAGCGCCTTTGCATCTTCGCCATCGCCCACGAGCTCGTGCACATCCAGATACGCCGACCGATTCGCATCGTCCGCAAGCACCTCGCCCAGCACCGCATACAGCGCCGTAGCCTGCAGGTCGGCAAGCACGGTCTGGTCCGAAACATTGGTGGTCTCGGACAGCGCGAACCAGTCGTCGCGCACCACTGCGCGGCGCCACACCGCCTTGAGCGCCTCGCGCAGCCGCGGCTCCGGTGCATCCTTGGCGCGAACCAGAACCTTGAGCGCCGTGGCAAAGTCCTCGAGCTGGTTCTCGGGCGTGTCCTTGAGCGTCAAGACATCCACAAGATCCTCCGAGCCCAGGTAGCGGTTCTCGAACAACAGCCTCTGCACCAGCTCCACGTAGTGCTCCCGGTACCCTGGGTACTCTCGCAGCCTCGTTGCTACGGCATCGACGATCTCGGTCGCAAGCTCACGTGCCTGCGCACTGCCAGCTGCGGGTAGATTGGCGGGAAGCCCGCCCAGCGCATTCTCCCACAGCGTCGCCAGACTGTCCTGCACGGCGATGAGGTCGAGCTGGTCGTCGAAGAACTCGATCTGCTTTTGCGTTCCCACCGTCTGCAGGTCCTGCAGCGCGAGCGTCGAGAGCACGCCGAGCTTGCCCAGGCTCATCATGAGCTTCCTCTGCGCAAGCACGCCCTCAGCCAGCGCGAGACGCTCGAGCGTGTGGGCTGCCTCGCCGTAACGCTGCAGCGCAAGGTCGTGCAGCCACGCGATGCGCTCGTGCCCGGGCTGCGCGAGGAAGTCGAGCACGAGCTGCGCATGCTCGCTCTTCTGCTCAAGCAGCACGCGCGGCTGGCCGTGCGCGAGGTAGTACGCATACAGCTCGAACGCAAACGGCTGCTTGTAGCGCTCGAGGTACGAGTCGAGGCGCGCGGGCGAGCGCAGCTGCGCCTCGTTGCAAAGCTCCACCAGCGTGCCGAAGTCCTCGTACTGCTCGGCGAGCGCAAACGCCCGGTCCGACCGACCGATCCCCACCAGCGGTCGAATGAACAGCGGCCGCGCAGAGCGCAGCGTAGCGCCAAACACGCTCAGCTCGCGCTCGTACGCCGCATCCGCCGCCGCCGCCGCCTGCAGATAGCGCAGACGCTCCTCGTAGCACGCCATGGCGACGTCAGCGAGCGTACACAGCTGCGCCTTGAGCTCGGCCTGCACGCGCTGCTCGCGCTTCACCTCGTCGCCCGCGCCCGAGTACTCGGTGGGCGCCACATCGATGCTCGAGCCCAGCTCGCGCGTGCGGTCCGGGATGAGGTTGACGCTGATCGAATAGAGCGTCTCGAGCAGCTGCACGTTGCCGCTCTGGGCGGTCCACGCTTCGAAAGCCGCGTCCTTGTTGGCGTCGATGCCGTACAGTCGGCCGTGCTCCTTGCGGTATCGCAGAGCGGCGCGGAACGCAGCGAGCACGGTGCGGTTGAGCTCGAGCACGTCGGTCGAGCGCGTGCGCAGCGGCTGCGCCGACACTGTGCTCGCCTGGCGCAGCAGCCGGTCCAGCACGCGCGGGCTCAGGTCCGCATGGTGCCTAAAGAAGCGGCGCACCACATCGTCGCTGCCGACGCCGAGCCCCTGCTCGGCCATGACCGTCTCGATCGCACGCGCCAGCGGGCTCTGTGCCGCCGAAGCCTGCGCGTGCGAGGCCGAGTAGAACTCGTTCTGATACACCCACAGCTCTGCGAGCGCCGCAGCCAGCTCGGCGTCCGCGCGCAGCTGGCGCTTGGTCGTCTGCGGCAGCTTCTCCAGGTGGCCGCATCTCGCCACGAATTCCACCAGAAAGCGCAGCTTGCCCAGCCGGTCCTTGAGCGCAGCACGCAGGTCGACGGGCGGCGGCACGCTCTGCGCAATGGGGTTGGAGAATGTGAGCAGCTCGCGGCTGAGGTCCTGGCACGCGGTCATGAGCGTGCCCTGAAGATGTTCGGGCAGGCGGAAGGTGAGAGGGTTGAGCGGCGACTCGGAGTAGTAGAGTGCCTGCTCGAGCTTGCCCTTGAGACGCTCGGTGTCTGCACGCTGACGGTCCGCTGCAGTTGCGGATGCGGTGCAGCGCTTGCGGATCGCGTCGATGCTCGTCTCGACCAGCAGCGAGCCCGACGCGGCCGAGATGAGCGAGAGTGCAGCCACGGCATTGTTGGCACCGACATGGACGGTGTCGCAGCCCGAGCCGATGAATCTATTCTTGACGTCGTCCTTGAGCTTGATGAGTTCCTCGAACGACTCGCATCCGTTTTCGAGCTGCTTGGCCACGACGGCATCCGCGAACGTGACGAACGCAGCAGGCCCACCGTTGGGCAGGCTGAGTGAGGGGGTTGCGTACGGCCGGGGATCCGCGTAGCTGGTGTACTTGATGGGCTGGATCGCCGCAACGACGAACGACGCCGCGTCTTTGACGACGTCGAGTGCGGCAAGACCGTACTGCAGCGGCTCGTGCTCGGTCTTGGACTGGGAGAAGAGCAGCACGAGTTTCCCATCGGCCTGGACGGCGCCGTCGAGGAGATCGAACGCCAGACTCTGTGCGGCGCTGTACCGCTCGTCGTTGAGCTGGAGCACGCTGCTGGCGACGACCTGCTGCACGTCCTGCTCGGCGAGCAGGCGTTCGCCACCCTGGTCGAGCACGTGCCACTTTTGGAGCGTCTTGCGGCCGATCGCATACACCTCGCGGCCCTGCTTGGACGCCTGGGCGGGCGCTACGGCGATGGCCTGGATGTGGTCGTTGGCCGAGCCCATGGCGGAGCTCGAGCCAAAGATGCGACCGAGCAGACCGCGCGGTTGGGAGAATGGCCTCACCTCGGCCTGGAGGATGCCCGCTCTGCTGCCGACCGAGACGCGAAGCAGGCGCGACGCACTCGTGGCGAGCACGACGGTCGACTCGTCGATACGCTGCAGCTTGACGATTGCCTCGCCCGACGAGAGCGGTGCGGCGATGCGCTGTGCGCGATCCTGGCGTGTGAGCGACGACGAAATGCCTTCCCACAGGCACGTTTGACCGTCGGGCGTGACGAGCAGCAGAGCGGGTTCGCGCTCGGACCCGCCGCGCGGCAGGAAGCACGCGTGCGACAGGTCGTTGATCGCCGACATGCTTGAGGATGCGTACTGAGGCACGGGGAAGACAAAGCAGGTGGGCGAGCCGGTGCCGATGCCGCGGCTGGCGTAGTTCCACACGAAGCACTGGGTGCGCGAGAGCAGGCATGCGTATCCGGTGTGAACGTCGAGGTGGCCCTGAAAAGCATCAATGTACATATCCGCCTCGGCCAGCAGTTCAAGCACCTCGGTGGGCAGGCGCGAGTAGGCCGAGACGTGGAGCCACTGGTCGCCGAGGAGCACGGTGCCCTCGTCGAGCTGCGCCTTTGCATCCTTTGGTGCGGGCGCAGGGCGACGATTGTAGCCGGCGTGAGAAGCAGAGTGGACAGTGTCCGCAACCGACCGCATCTCTGCGTCTTCGCTGACCACAGACCCCTCTCGATCGAACGCGGCGCTTGGGCTGAGCAGCGAGGCGCTAGGACCTGCGCTGGCGGCGAGCATCGACGATGGGCGTGGGCGTGCGCGCGAAGTGCGCGTCCTTGCGCCATTGAGGAAGAGCGAGCTGGCCGAGACGTCGCCGGCGTCGTTGTGCGTGTTGTCGTCGCGGCGGAAGGTGGATGGCGAGAGGAACGAGGGCGGGGAGATGGGATCGTGCGATCCAAACACCGGTGTACCTGCACGCGAGGGTCGGTTGCCCGAGCGTGCGGCGCCTGCTAGCGGCGTCGACGAGCGCGCATCCCTCGCTCGAGACGGTGTGGTGAACATGGTCGCAGGTGCGGGTGCGAATGCGGGTGCTGATGGTGGAGAGGCGGCAGGGAAGGCTGCTGGAAATTCTTCGCGACGACGACCAACACCAAAATCGCGTTTCGCTGCCTCGTGCACCGTTCTTGCCTCTCGAAAAATCGGCGATCCGACGATCAGTTCGTCGAAATTACTGTAACATGTTATGCCGATTCGCAGCCGGACAAGCATCAACGCCAGGCAACAGCGTCAAAGCCCTTGGCACTTGGCGCCCTCGCCACTGCCTCCAATCGCAGAATGATGCGTCCACACACAGCCGCTGCACCACGTCTGCCAAAAGACAAACTTGAGCGCCGGAACTAAACATGAAACAATGTGCGACCAACAAACATGCGAAGAACGAAACAAGACCAGCAAGTGCCAAGGAAAGCGAGTACAGCGGGGAAGTGAGACAACAACAATGCGAGGAATGGTTCAGGAGGGGAAGGGAGAGAAGGGAGAAGGGAATCACGTCTCGGGCTCGGAGCTGTCGGGCGCGTCGCCGCTCTCGACGTCCATAGCTTCGTGGATCGAGCGCATCATGTCGACATCGCCCGTGCTCGACGCGTCCTCGTGGCTCCAGGGGAACGGATTGGCCGCACCGCTCATCTCGGAATCGTCAGAGGCAGGTGCCTTTTCTCTGCCTCTATCCGCGTCCCTTGCTCTCGCGGCGGCAAGCGTGCTTGCGGGGACAGCACCTCCGGGCCTCCAGATGCGCACCGTGCGGTCGTCGCCGCAGCTCGCAATGGTGAGTGCGTCTCTGGGATGCCATGCGACGCCATTGACCGGACCCTTGGCGTGCCCGCTCAGCGTCTCGATGAGCCGGCCCGTGGCGCGGTGCCAGATGTAGATCTTGGCGTCCTCGCTGCCGGACACGACAAAGTTCTCGTCGATGCCTCCGAAGCCGCAAAAGATGACGTTCCTGCTGAGCTGGTGACCGTTGAACCTGCGCACCAGGCACTGCCGGTTGATGTCCCACATCTGCAGCTCGCTCGGACGCACATTGACCAGCACGTACTGCGAGTCGCCGCTCACCGCCAGACTCACGACCTCCTCGCGCAGGTAGATCGAGCCGAGCTCGTCGCGTGTGCGCAGGTTGATAAAGTGAATGCGGTTCTTCTCTGTGCCCATCGTCCTCGAGCCGCCGCCCAGATCGGCGTGCGCATCGTGACCCAGCCCCGTCGACGTGGTCGTGTGCGTTGTGGTGGACGAAGAGCTGTCGCTCAGATGATCCGAGGCTGTCGAGGCGCTCAATGCTGTCGTCGACACACCCGCATGGCCGCGCCCGACCGACGTGGGAATTGTCGAGGGCGCCACTTCGCGCTGACTGAGTGCGATGAGATGCGCGCCGTCCGGTGAGGCTGCCACGGCGAGCACGCGGAAGGGCGAGGTGGTCTTCTTGTGCAAGACGTATCCATCGGCATCCCAGTAGACAATCTTGCCGTCCATACCGCCTGTGACAAAGCCCGAGCCGTCCGGAAGCCAGGATGCGGTGGCGACCGTGTACTGGTGTTCGCGCAGCGTGAGCATGGTGCCTGTCTGAATGCGGCACAGCGTGACGTCGACTTCGGAGGTGGCAAGCAGCTGCTTGTCATCCGGCGACCATGACACTGACGAAATGCTGTCCGAGAGCGGCACGAACTTCTGCAGCAGCTTGTAGTCGTCGGTGACGCTCCAGACGAGCATCGTCTTGTCTGCGCCTGCCGTGGCGAGCTTGGTGCCGTCGTGTGAGAATGCCAGGCACCACACCTCGTCGTGGTGGTCGGTGATCGTGTGTGCTACGCGCGAGGGGAACACGGAGCGGTCGGAGCGGTGGTCTGTGAGCAAAGAGAATGGCGCGCCGTGCGGCTGGTTGTAGAAAGGATCTTGGTGCTTCTGGTAGCTCTGCGCCTGTTCGAGCAGCTGGGGCAGCCGGCGACTGGGCAGCATGACGAGCGGCGACACGGCTGCCTCGATGTCCATCATGAGCTGCCTGCGCGACTCGCCGTTGGCGCCGTCCCATTGGGCGCGCTCACGCAGCTGCTCTGGCGAAGCGGTGACGACGAGACTGGAGAGCAGGTGGAGCTGCGAGGTATCGTTGTTGAGCGGTGTGAGCTTCTCACGCAGCACGTTGAGCGCCTTCTTGGTGTGGCGTGCCTCGAGCAGTTCGAGGTAGCGTTGTTTCTGGAGCATGAAGCGGATGGAGCGGAGGCTGACCACATCGGGTCGGCGCAGGACCGAGTCGATGAGGTCCTGGCTTTGGGCGTCGGACGACGGGGCGGTGGACGAGGACGGCTGAGGCTCGAGTGCGATGCTAGCGCCTCCGGGCGGAGAGCGCGCGGCCTGGATGCGTCTTGCGGCATAGGTGAGACCGTCAATGAGCAGGCGCTCCGCATTCCTCCAGTCGCCGCTCAGCACAGCCGTGCGGAAGGCGGTGATGGAGGGGTGCTCGAGCGTGATGCCGGACTCGGCCTCGAGCGCCTTTGCGGCCTGATCGTAGCCCATCTCGCGCAGCGACTGGAGAGTGAGCTTGACGAGCTCCCTGCGGTCGATGGGGCTGCCCACGAAAAGCGGAGTGAATACGGCAGCATCTGCATAGTCGTCTACGGGCGCAGCTGGCGGCCGGGTGGAACGATGGCCGTTGCTCGACGAGCCGCCGGATTCCGAGTACGACGCCGCATGCTCGGCCGCACCGCTTGCCCTTCCATTGGAGGTGCTGCCGTTGGAAGCCATGGCGGTGTTGTTGGTCATAGCCGTGATGGAGTCGCGATCGGCAGGAGCGGCGGGAAGCAAGGTACGAGACGAAGAGGAAGAGGAAGCGCCGTTGGCCGCAGTAGAGTGGGTGGCAGACAAGCCCAGCCTGGCCCTTTTGGGCAAACGGGCCTCGGAGGGACTTGTGGATCGCGAAGGTTGGCGCGGCGTGCTGGAGAGCGGGTGCTGGCTATGCCTGCCAAGAGGATGATCGGCGCTCTTGCTTTCTATCGACTACCGATACCCAGGGATTGAGGTGGCTGACTGCGGGGTACAGTTCGTAAGTCCGTGTGCCAATCAAGATGAGCTGATGGATGTTGGATGTCTCTGATCCTACGGAGGCCCTTCGACGCTCCGATCAGGTATGAACGAGGTGAGGGAGGTGGTCGTGCGTGATAAGGCGGTCGAATAGCAGCTCCTGCTGTCGTTGAGCGGCTCAGTCACAGGGACAGCGTATATGCGCTGCGCTGCGCACGCGCCAGCCCACGGCAGCCCACGGCAGCCAGGCAAGCCCAGCCCGCAGCCCAGCCAGTCAACCCGTTCGACCCTGAACCGACCCTGACCCTGGCCCTGACGCTCAAGTGCTGCTCTGGCCCTGAGCCGCTCTTGTGAAATTTGGCGTCAGCCGGCGCAATTCAGCTGCAGAGGTGCGCGCCAAAGTGGAGGTTTTTCTCCAGACCCTGCGCGTGTCTCGCCCGACTGAAACCTCCCCGCCTTTGCTCCTGGACCCTCACACCAAGTGTACCCTTCGCACCCGCACCGTCATGGCATCAACAGAACCATCATGATGAATAGAAAACAACAAATAAATACAATCAGCCCCCTCGAAGGACTGCAGATGAGCGCCGCTACTTCTCGCCGCTACTTTTCGCCGCGCGTGACAAAGTTCTTGGCAAAGCGCAGCATGGCTCGAAAGTCTGGCATCTCGGGCCCGCCTCCCTTGGCTGCAAACGCACCGTTGCGCCCCGCTGCGCCCATCCTGCCCTCGACACTGCGCAGCGGCAGCCGCTGGTTCGATGCAGCGTGCGTCACCAGCACATGCGCCAGCCAGTACAGCGGCAGCGCATCGTCCGACAGCGGCGTCGCCCCCGACGCTGTCAGCGGGGTGAAGAGCGTCGGTTGCAGCTCCGTTGGCCACGCCCACTTGTTGGTCGGCGATCCAGAGTGCGTGCTGAGGCTGTCGTCGCTCATGTCGCTCGCCGCACCGCTCGTCTGGGCCGTCTGCCCTGCCTGCCCTGTCTGCCCTGCCTTTTTGACCGACGCCAGCCTGCAGGTGGCATCGCCATCCCACGCCTTGCGCCAGCGAGACAGCGCGCGCTTGTACAGCGCCACCTGCCCGTCCACCGTCGAGCCTGCCGCGCGACTCGCCAGTCCCTGCTTGAGCCACTTGCTCAACGACGACGGCCGCGGCACCTTGTTCGCCCGGCCCTCGAGCATCTCGATGATGCCGCGCAGCAGCGCCAGCACCATTACCAGCCGCGCAAACGGTCCGTGCTCGCCATAGATCGACGGCACCTCGGCGACGCCCGGCGGCGACATGGAATCCGTCTCGCCTGCCACAAGCAGCTGATGCAGCGCCTCGTCCAGCGTCGGCGCACGATACTGCTCGAGCGCCTTGCTCCACACCGTCGACGTCGGCGCACGCCACAGCGCGTCCGGGCTCGGCAGCGGCAGATGCGCCACCTCCTTGGTCGACAGCAACGTCGGCACCGCCGCGTCCAGGTGCGCCACCGTGTCCATCGTGTACACCACAAACGCGCTTCTTCGCCGGCCCTCGAGCTCCGCCCAGCGTCGCCACACCGTGTCGCCCTCGTCGTCTTCGGCGCCATACGACGGCATGAACGAGTACGAGAAGCACGTGTCGAGCGTCTCGAGCATCACCTGCTGCGTCACATCGTCGGCCGAGATCGCCACGTTGCGCTGCGCATGGTCGGCCTCCGGGTCAAAGAAGCCCGCCTGGCGCGCCAGCGTCACCACCGTGCCGTGCGAGATGCCCGCCACCATGCGCGTCGTCGCATCGCTGCTGAGGAAATTGTTGCTCTGGAAGAGCATCAGCGCCTGCACCACCGAGCACTTGTCCTTGATGCTCTTGCACCGGCTTGCAAACGTGCGCATCAACATGTCCGTCTTTTCGCTCATCACAATCGGCTTGACAAGCTCCTGTCCGTCCTCCTCGTCCACGTACTGGCTCGGATACTTGTCCGCAATGATGCGATGCACCTCGTCCATCGGCTCGTGTGCCCCGCCGTTGCTGTTGATCAGATTCACCGCCGACTTGGGCACAACCTCCTCGCCGCCCCACCACTTGCGCCCCGCCTCGTGCCCGCCGAGCATGCAGATCGCAAACGCCAGGCAGCCCGGTTGCGTGTCCATCCGGAACGTCGGCTCATGGATCACGGGGAAGTGCTTGAGCAAATTCTGCTGCGCATGCAGCGCCAGCATGCTCAACCGCGTGATGGGTGGCAGATTCCAGTGCAGCACCGAATAGCAAGGTCGGAACATGTCGGGCGGGATGAAGAACGGATTCTTGGTATCCGTCAGCGCCTTCTCGAGCGGCGTCGGGATGGGTCCTAGCTCGAGGCTCGCCGCCACATCCATCGCGCCGTCGACGTCCATCGCTGCCGTCGAATGGGCGGCGATGTTCTTCGAGTTGAAATAGTCCGACGTATTGGTGAGGTCCACCGCGCCAGACCCTGCCGTAGTGGTGCTGAGACCATTGAGCAGCTGCTGGATGCTGGGACTCATGAGCCAGCCGAGCGCGCTCATCTGGACGCCCGGCGTGCCGCTGTTGGCGGCGGCCGCAGCGACGCCGCCAGCGCTGGGGTTCGAGAACATCGAATGGTCCCAGTTGGGCGTGGAAAACTGCGAGTTGCCCAGCGCGGCCGAGCCAAATGCCGTCGTGGGGCCGTTGAAAAAGGAGATTTCACTTCCATGGATCCCGGCTCTCAACTCCTGGGCGCCGCCCTGAAGCCTCAAAAGGAAGGCTTCGGGACCTGGCGTGAGAGCCCCTCCATCAAAATATTGCTGCGACTCGTTTTTGACGAAGCGACTGGGCGTGTCGATGCCGCTGCCGGTGCCCATGGACACGGGCGCCGACGTCGTGGTACTACCGCCGCCGCTCGAAGAGGACGAGGCCGCCACCACTGCCGACGACGCGGAAGTCGATGGTGCTGATGTCGTCGCTGTTGTCGCAGCTGTCGATGCCAAAGTTGCCGCAGCCGAGGTGGCAGCCGACGTGGTCGGTGCCGATACAGCCCCGGCTGCCGATGTTGTCGACGACGTGGACTTTGCATCGCCCGCGTCGCCTGCGTCGGTCTTGTCGGAGGAGCCGCTGAGCTTCTCGCTGGACGAGCTCTTGCCGAGTCTGGCGGAAGCGGAGATGCCGTCCGACTGGGGCGAGGTGCTCTGACTGCCCGAGATGTTGATACCTTGGAGGCTGTTGTGCCGGCTGATCGTGCGCGAAGGTGGGCGCATGCCCGTCCACTGACCGCCTAGGTCAATCGAGGCGAGCCCGCCTCCAGGCGTGGTTGGCAAAGCCGAGCGGGGACTCGAGACGAGGGGCGTGTCGCGCGCGTTGGAAAAGGCAGACAGATACGGCGACATGGACGAGTTGAGCGCCGTGTTGGAGAAGGGAGAGAGCGGGCCGAGCGTCGAGACGGAGAAGCGCACGGGCTCTTTGGGCGTGGTGGCGCCCGAAGCCTCGGTTGCTTGTGTCGTTCCGCTCGCCGCGGTGGCTGCCGAGCCAGAATGGTTGGACGACGATGCGCCCGTGTCCGCCGATGATGCCGAGGTGCCAAAGGAAAAGGCGGGACTGTTGGCATTGTTAGAGGCGTAGCCGCCGAGGTTGGACGAAGAGGCAGCACCGACGCCACCCGAGAGGCCGGGAGCGGTAGAGCGGAAGTAGCTTGCATCGGAGCCGAGATGGGAGGCGGTGCGCGAGCGGTCGCCGAGATGGCTCAAGGGCGAGGTGACGGGGAAGCCGAGCGATGCGAGCATGCTGGCGGTGGCGCGGGCGGCGGAACCGGGCGTGGTGACGTGACCTGGAGATGGGAGCTTGGCGGTATCGAGGCCTTCCCAGATGGCAGCGTCTGCGGCACTGGCGAAGGAGGTGGCGGGGCGGGCGGCGTACTGGTCGTAGGCAGACTGGCGCATGTAGCGCGAGCCCGAGTTGCTGCCATGGCGGGCCAGAGGCTGGCCAAAGCGGGGGCTTCCGTGCTCGCTTCTCGGCGCGTTCGACTCGGGGCTGGAGGGCTGGTAGAGCTGCGGGTGGAGGGCAGCGACGGCCGAGTGAACGGGGAGCGGGAAGGGAGTCGAAGCGTACGGGTTAACTGCTCCCCTCCCCATATGAAAATCCGGGGGGTCCATGGAGTTGGCGTACTGATACGCGGCCACGGAGCTGATGGCAGCTACGGTGGTGGCGGCAGCCGCAGCCTGCGCCTGGGAGTCGGCAGCGATGGCAGGGTCGATCAAGGCGGAGGTATCCTCATCATGGCCCTGCGCACCTGCGGGCGGATGGCCCGCGGCAGCGGCTGCGGCTGCAGCAGCGGCTGCCACAGCGATCGCGTCGTGGGTGAGCTGGTCCGAGTGATGCGGTGCGGGCGGTGGCGGAGCAGGACCGTCAAGACCATCCGAGTGGGTCATGCTCGAGGAGGCTGCATGTCCATTGCCGTCGGCACCGTCGGCCGCGCCATTGGTGCTGCTGGCAGCAGCGGCTGCCGCCTTTGCAGCCTTTGTGGAGCCTTTTGGACGGCCGGGTTTGGCGGTGGAGGAAGAGCGACGGGGCTTGGTGGTCTTGGGTGGAGAGTCGCCTTCGGCGGGTTTTTCGCCGTCGCCAGTGCCATCTTGCTGCAGGACGACGCGACACTGACGCCTGTGACGGGAGAGAACGTCACTGGACACGCGGAAGATGCAGGAAAGGAGCGAAGGTCCGAGTCAGATACGGCTCGAGCCGACAATGGCAAGGCAATGGGTGAATGAAACAAGATGCATACCTTCGGGAGAAGCCCTTGCCACAATCGCATACAAATGGACGGATGTCGGCGTCTGTGTGGTCACGGCGAGGGCAAGAAGGATCAGAAAATAGCGAGAACGTTGGCAGAAGAAGGAGAGAAGAGGACGGCACCAGAATGATCAGCGAAAGGGAAGTTCTTTGCGGCTGGCAGCGAGGTATACTCACGTCTCCTCTCGTGACGCCTAAGGTATTCGAGTCGCGAGTAGCTGGTGGCGCAGGTGGGGCAGATGAAAGGAGGACCGTTGGGCACGGGACCGCCCGGGTTGTCGGCGTGGTCAGCGTCGGCGTCGTCCTTGGTGTCGTCGTTGTCGTCGTTGGAGGCGATCGAGTCGCGCTTCTGTATTTTGCGCGCCGGGCCGGAGGGCGTGGGAGAGTCGGGACGTGCGCGAACACGCCCGTTCTCCGACTCAGCAGCGGCGCCAAAGTAGTCGCTCTGCATGATGGTGGTCGCCGGAGGCGTGCCGAAGCGGGTGGGAAAAGACGTCGGCAGCGCCGCTAGCTGGAACGGTTGGATGTCGCTCGATTAGCAAAAGCTAGGTGAAATTGAGATGGCCGGTGCGGTTGGTTTTTCTGCTTCGTCGGATGCCGGTCGACCACCGCGGGTCGATGGAAGGAAGAGTGAGCACGTCTGCGTGCGGACGGAGTTGGGTAGATGAGCCGGATGACGGATGGCTGCACTGCGGTTCGGCGCCGGATGGCGTCCACAAGGGGCGACGGTGGGACGCGACGTCGACGATGTTGCGCACGATGTCGATACCACCGAAAGGATCCGATCGCGGACGAAGCGAGCGGATGAGGGAGGGTGAGGAGAGGAGACAAGGCCGTCGGCGCGGTGAGTAGGGCCGTGCAAGAGGTGATGTGGTGAGAAGGAATGGCAGTCGGCGCTCCGCGACGATGTGGGTGTGTGGAGGTGACAATGGCGCCGAGGTTTGGCCCTCTCTGCTTCCCTCTTTCTCCACCCTGGCTCTAGGCAGTCAGCCGCTGGGCGAGTCGGGCGGCAGCAGCAGCGGCAGGCACCGATGGAGCCAAGGCCAGGGCGAGCAGCAGCGAGGCAGAGAGAGAGAGAGGCGGACGGGCAGTCTCTGACCGCCGAGCCAAAGACGCGTGCCAAAGGTGGAGGCATCGGAACAGTCAAAAAAAAATGCGCGAAAATTGATTGGACTCGCCAGACGCAGCGTGGGTCGGCCTTGCCTGCCCTTCGATTTCCTCGCCTCTGCTGAGTGGCTGCCCTTTTTTTTTGCAATCCCCTTCCCCCCCGTTTTCTTGCCTCTGCCTCTCTGCGCACCTCTTCATCGTTTCGTCGACATCGGCTTGGCCGTTGCCCTCGTCAAAATGTCGCTTTGGCTAGACGGAACTTTTGCCTGGCTTCAGACTCGCTGCTGCCTCTGTGGCAGAGCGAGTGGTCTAGTGAGGGTGAATCGGTCACTGTGGCTCGAATCGCTCTGGCTGCCATGAGGGAGGAGCTCACTCAGAACAACAGTCACACAATATTCAGCCATGCCGTGGAGCGGGCGACCAGGCGAGCAAGCGAGGAGACGGCGACTGCTGCGGCCTCCACGCGCACTGACTGGCACGGAAAAGCGGATGCGGCTGCCCATCAGCGTGCGGTGCGGTCTTTCGGCGCGTTAGTAAGCCGCTCAAGTGCGGCGGATGGGGCGCCGCAAAAGTGCGCTGGAGCTGGGCGGCTGAGTCGCGGCTGTGGGTGTCGATCGCGGTCTCACACCGCTGCGCGCTTCCCCGTCGGCCGCATTCACAGCCGCCTGCCTCGTCTGCATCGCCTCGCCTGCCGCACCTGCGATCGATCTCCTTCGAACGACGGCACGCTGCACCCACGACAGGGCACCAGCCTCAGCTTTTCTGCTTTTGGCCCTTGGATCAGTGCGGGCTTCGCGGTGTTGGTTGGGCCAGTTGAACCCTTGATCGTCGCCGCGGACTCTACTTACTCGTACGAGACGTCTTGGAGGCACTGTCCGGGTTCCGAGATTTGACATGTGGGGTCCACCTCACCGACTGTCTGTGCGCATCTCGAGCTTCCACACCACCGCTCCATCCGCACTGGCTCTTGGACACGATGGCAGACTCATCCTGGGACGCGTTACGGCGCAAGACGCGTCAGCTGGAAACCACGATCGATGCGCGGCTCACCACCTACTCGTCGCTAGCGTCGCAGATCGCGCGCACTGCCGACCCCTCGGCGGGCGTGTACGCGGACCATACGACGTTGGACATGGACGGTACCTCGCGCACACATGACAGCGAGCGCGTTGAGCTCGAAACGGAACTGGACGGGCTGATCGGTCAGCTCAGTGAAGCAGTAGATGCTTTGACCGCAAAACTCGACGATCCAGATACACCGCCCAGCGCAGCACAGTTGCATGCGGTTCAACGGCATAGGGAAGTGCTGTTCGACTTTACACGCGACTTTCGCAGATCAAGATCCAACGTCATACATGCGATCGATCGCAGGGATCTTCTAGGCAATGTCCATGGAGATATAAAGTGAGTCCATCCACTTGCAGTACTGTGGAGCATGGAGACTGACAGGTTGATGGTCCCTGCAGCGCGTACAAGGCGGCACATGCAAGTGATGCAGACGCCCTACTGGCTGAACGCGGACACATCGACAATTCACACGCCATGATCGATAGCACTCTAGAGTACGTACTTTCCTTTCCAACTTCCCACCATGCATCGTCGAAAGCTGACACGTTTTTGGATCGCGGGTGGGGTTCGCAGACAAGCCTACGCAACGCGCAGCGAATTCGCAGACCAACGCAACGTCCTCTCGTCCATCTCGACACGCATGTCGTCCACCGCCGCACAGGTACCCGGCATCAACAGCATCATCACCCTCATCGCCCGCCGCCGTCGACGCGACTCGGTCATCATCGGCTGCTTAATAGGCTCCCTCACCGTCCTCCTCCTCATGTTCACCTTCCGCTAGCCTTCGCGCTCGAATGCACATCCACTCCACCTGCAAAAGGGACTAAAACGACACGAATGGTATGAGCAGAAGTAAGGACGTGTGGAACAAATTTTGGTGGGTAGCAAAGGGCCGATGGCAAAATGCTTCGGGCCTCGCCGAGCTTGCGGCTGCGACTGCTCAGTAAAGCAGCTCGCGAATCAGTCACAGCTCCTCGTCCTCCTCCTTGATCTGCGACGGCTTGAGCATACCGGGCACCTTGGCCGCAGCCTCCCTCTCGGCGGCCGCCTTCCTCTGCGCCTCGGCCTCCTTGTCCTCCTGGAAGAGGTCCGCATTGTCCACCTGGCCCGCGCTGCCGCCAAACATCTCGCGCGACGTGATCAAAAAGTCGCGCAGATGCAGCTTGTACGCGATCAGGTCGCTCGAGTGCATGCAGAGGCCGTTGACAAAGTGGTCCACGTACTCGGCCTGCATGTGCGGGAACGCCGTCCTGAGCAGATTCGACGTGTACTGTCGGATGAACAGCCGATTGTTCATGCTCGCATCCGTCTGCGTGCTCGCATCCCACAGCGGCGCCGTCACGCGGTCCGTCTCGATGAGCTCAAAGATGCGCGCCAGCAGCTGGCACTGCGTCTTGAAGCCGCTCTTGTGGTCCGAATCGGTGAGCACAAAGAAGATGTCCTGGATGATGTTGAGCAGATACTGCTGGTAGAAGCCGTTGGCCACCTCGAGCGGCGAGCCCGAGATGTTGTTGAGCAGCTCGAGGCAGATGTTGAGGCCCGTGTCGGCAATGTCGCGCATGGTGTGCTTGATGGCCCAGATGATGCTGTCGACCACCAGCTTGAACTTGGGTGGTGGAAGCTCCAGCAGCGCCGGGAAGCAGTAGAGGTTGATGGCGCGCAGCAGCTTGAAGAAGCCGACGCGGTGCTCGGGGAACTCGGCGAAGTCCTGGTTGATCATGTTGAGCGTCGGCTCGAACACGGCGTCCAGGATGGGCGCGATCTTGTCCGTCAGCAGGCCCTGCAGCCGCGACGTGATGGTGGCCATGACGTTGAGCACCTCGGCGTCGCGCGCCGCCGGCACGTTGCGGTTGTAGTCGCCCAGGATCGCATCGAGCAACGACGGGATGAGGTTGACGTTGACCGCCTCGAGGTCCTCGGCGTGGCGGACGTACGTCTCGACGAGACGCAGGATCTCCTTCTTGATGGTTCGCAGGCCGCGCACCATCGGCGTCTTGGTGGCGATGAGACCCTCGGCCTCGACCTTGGCGCTGATGATGCCGCTGACGCTGCGGTAGAGCGCGAGCATGTCGAGGTAGATGCGGCCGATCTGGGGCAAGAAGTAGGTGCCGATCGAGACGCACGCCGAGACGTTGGTCTTGAGCACGTTGGAGAGGATCTTGATGTTCTCGGGGCTGCCGAGCACGTCGACGTTGTTGTGCGCCTGCTGCATGAGGCTGTCCCAGGCGCTGTTGGGCAGCTCCATGAGCTTGGCGATGAGACGCTCCTGGGTGGGGCGGTTGGGCTGCGCCGCGATCATGTAGCCGACGGCCTCGTAGAAGGTGTGCACCTGGAGCGGCGAGAGGTCGAGCGTGATGCGGTGGAGGTTGCGCAGGATCTCGTCGATGAAGGGCTCCTGCTCGCCCGCCTGCTGGATGACAAAGTGGCGTCGGCACTTTTGTGCGATCTTGATGTAGGTGTCGCACGCCATGTCCTGGACGCCCTCGTGGCTCTCGTGCATGAACTCAAAGTTCTTGTTGACGACGGTCTTAAGGAACTTCCAGTGCGCCTTGAGGAAGCGCGGATACTGGCCGACGATGTACATGATGTTGGAGGCGACGACGGCCTTGTTGTCCTTGCCGCGCTTCATCTCGCAGAGGCCGAGGAGGTCCTTGATGACGGTGACGAGGAAGCGCTTCTCGGTCTCCTCGTGCATGGCGCCCGAGATGGAGCCGATGGCCCAGCAGAGCGTGTTGAGGTTGGCCCACGACCACTCGGAGCCGTCGACCTGCTTTGCGAGCTTCTCGGTCATGATGTTTTCGGTGTCGAGGACGTCGAGGTGGGTGAGGTAGACGAGCACCTCGCGCATGCTCTTGTAGAGCACGATGGTGTCGCTCTCCTTCATGAACTCGCGGACGATCTCGCCCTCGTCGTTTTCGACGATGAGCACCTCCTCGGGCTTGACCATGCGCTCGATCATGACGAGGCGCAGGTTGGAGAGGATGTCGGCGTAGATGTTTTTGCGCAGGTTGGCCGAGTTGGCCGAGTTGCTGAGGCCGTTGCCCAAGTTGAGGCCGAGGAGCGGATTCATGTCTGCGATGGGCTGGGACTGCTGCTCTGCGTAGAGCTCGCTGACGAGCTTGGACCAGTACTCGAGGCAGATCTTGAAGACCTCGCGCTCGGGCACCTGGGAGACCTTGATGAGGTACATGTGGGCGTTGAGGAGGACGTCCTTGTTGTCCGGGTTCTCGACGAGCTTGAGGTGGGTGGTGAGGAAGTTGGAGAGGAAGAGGGCGAGGTTGAGCACGAGCTCCTGCTCTGCGTCGGAGCTGGACTCGTAGGCGGCTGCGATGTTGGTGGCGGGCGGGATCATGCGGTTGACCGAGGTCATGACCATGTTGAAGAGGACGATGAACTTGGGGTCGTACTCGGGGCCGACGCTGAGGTTGGCGATCTCGGAGAGGCACTTGAGCGTGACGTTGCGGAACTCGGGCTGCTCGAGGAAGCGGCCGATGAGGTTGTCGATCACGTTGGTCTCGAAGATGTAGCCGAGGGGGATCCAGTTGAGGAAGCGCAGCATGGTCTCGAGCGTGGCCTTGATGAGGCTGGGCTTCTGCGCCTTTTCGAGCACCTCGGAGCAGAGCTGGAAGACCTCGCCGAACTCGCCGCACATCTGGTTCTTGAGCGACTTTGTTTTGGAGGTGGTCATCTGTTCGGCCGAGTAGTCGAAGATCTCTTCGGAGAGGAGGCGGAGGATGGCCATGTTGTTTTCGCAGATGGAGAGCGAGCCCTTGGAGGAGGATACGATCTCGGGGATGAACGAGGGCCAGTTGTGGGGCCACTCCTGCTTGAGGATCTGGATGAGGGTGGTGTTGAGCTTGCCGACGTAGGTCTTTTCGCGCCTGAGGCTGTCCTCGTCGGAGGAGTGCTGGATGATCATCTCTACAATGAAGTTGCGGATGCCCTGCTGCTGGTCCTCGGGGAGCACCTTCCAGCGTGTGGAGATGAGCTTGTCGAGGATCTGGAGGGAGATGTACTTTGTCTGTGGCGACGAGCTCTGCTGGAGGATGGGGGGCACGCGCTGCCAGGCGTCTGGATGCTCCTGGAACTGGGCTAGTGTCTGCTGCGCCATCCTCTGGTCCTGGCCTGCGCCGGTGTACATGGCGGCGACGACGCGGTCCAAGAGACCGATGTCGAGGTCCTTGTCAAAGTCGAGGATGGCCTCCATGGTGGCGGCGGATGATTAGCAGGAGGTGAGCCTATGGAGAGTGGTGAGGAAGCGAGCGAGCGACCAACAGTGAGCCCTGTGACTTTGCTTTGCGGGGGGGGCCCTGACTGGAATCGGACGCAGCGACCTGCGTTGCCACTTGGCACGGAGCACGTGCGAGACGATGCGGACCCGGATCGATCGACGCGTCGAGGTTGGGATGAGGAGGTGTGCGACGATTGCCCGGAGCGAGGCGAGGCAATGCGAGGCAGAAACGAGATAACCTGAGTGGCGCTCGGATAGGATGGGCACGGCCTCGGAATGGACGAGATGGCGCACGGCTCCAGCACAGATGATCGTGGAAAGACGACGAGGGTGCGATGCAGAGCGATGCAGTGGGACACACGACGCGGTGCAATGTTATGCGATGCGATGCGATGCGATGTGATGGAGGCGGGTGGGGAGAGGGATGGAAGAGGGTGTTGACCGGGATGGGAGGTGTGGGTGGAGGAGGAAAATGGTGAGCAGACGCCAGATCGATGATTGAAGGACGCGACGATGGACCGAGCGGAACGAGCAAAAGAGCAACAGAGAGAGAGAGAGCGCAAGATGCCGATGCTCAGCCAGCCAGCCAGCCAGCCAGCCAGCCAGCCAGCCAGTCTCAAAGCCAAGGCCAGACAGAGGCAGCGAAAGAGAGCAAAAGAGGCGGCTGCGCGGTTGGGTGGCTCCGGTGGGTAAATTGGATTTCCAATTTCGCTTCCGCTGCGCTGTGCTGCGCTGTCGGTGCCCTGTCTGTGCCCTTTCTTTTCTTTTCTTTTCGACGGTGGTGGCCATAGCCGCGCGTCGCAGTTGAGAGAGCGCACTGTAGCTTAGCATCGGGCTGAGCCAGAACGCGCGAGCCGATTTTCGAGCCAATTCCACACCAGTCAGCCAGCCGGCATCAGTAAATTGGCCACGGCAACCTCCTCGAGCGAAAATTGAACGGCTTTCTACATATGAAGACCGGACTTTGTCGTGCGCTCCAGGCAACTGCCGATCTCACAAAGTGAAAGCCGGCTTCTCTTTCTGTTCGTAAGTCGAACTCGACATTGCTATCGTAAATTGCCGCCCAACGMAGGCAGGCAGCTAGGCGAGCCGACGAATCAGGAGCGAAACGTGCGCACGTGTGCTTCCTCATGGGCTGTTCCCATTGCCGCCTCTCGTTGCTTTTTGGGCTAGCAGAGTCATAGCTTTGAGCCTCGCCGTCGCTGCTGAATCCAGCCGACGATCGTCCTGACCGATCCTTCCAACTGGATGCATCACTGAATGCAAGCCTAGCGATACCTCGGACCTCCTCCGATTGTGAGGAAGGATGAATGAGATGGACGGCGCCTTCAAAGCCAGAGTGCCCAATCTCAACTGGACCCTGCGGCAGCGAGCCCGCTTTTTTTCGAGAGGTTAGAAGTCAGCGTCTGCCGGAGAGCTCTTTTGGCGCATGGAAAGAATCCTGGCTGCGTTGCTCGGGCCAATTTTAGGCACATCCGACACCGCCAGACCGTCTGCGGATGTTCCGGGTGTATGAGCGCGGTGCCACTTGCAGCTGCCCCTGCTCAGCCAGATCGACGTCTTTCTTCTCGCCGTCCGAAAGCGCTCGGCTTGCCAGGCAGCCATCATCATCATCACAAGAGCAATCTTCGGAGCACCCGGCCTCTGCCTTACTTGCACCCACGCTATCACACCGAGTCCAAGCGGCCATTCACAAACTCAGCTGCTGATACTGGGTTGCACTCTTGGCCCGGACCCACCGCTTTGTCTGGCTGTGCTCCAACATGCACCTCTACTAGACAGAGCCCTTCCGCTCCTCCTCCTGACTGTTGTTCGCGCTGCTGTCAGCTCCCTAATCACAGCTGCCCAATCGCTGCCACAGCTTCCCCATCCACGGCTGCGCTGATTCATTTGGCGCCTGCATCGACCCCCCCCCCATACCCACTGCCAGCATATAGCAGCATCCTACAAGCACCATGAAGTTCGGCAAGTACATCCTCAGCCAGCAGATCTCGGGCTGGGGTGCCTACTACCTCGACTACAAGTTTCTCAAGAAGATCATCAACTCGCTCGAAAAGGGCCGCCTCGCCGATGCCGCCCTCTTTGCTACCGGCGTTCGTCCTGAAGATGCCACCACCGCCAACGCCAACGCCTCCATCGTCTCGCCGCCTCAGCCTCAGATCCTGGCGCAGCTTCAAGGCTCGGACGAGCTCCAAATCCATAAGGCCGCCTTCTTCTTTAAGCTCGAACGCGAGCTCGAAAAGATCAACAACTTCTACCTCCAAAAGGAAGCCGAGCTCAAGTCGCGCCTCCAGACCCTCATCGACAAGAAGCGCATCATATTCGAGTCGCGCAACTCGTCCAAGCTCTCCAAGGACTCGCCCTCCTACGTCGCCCTCTACGAAGGCTTCCGCTACTTTGAAAAGGACCTCTCCAAGCTCCAGCAATTCATCGAGATTAACGCAACCGGCTTCCGCAAGATCCTCAAAAAGTGGGACAAGCGCTCCAAGTCCCAGACCAAGGAGCTCTACCTCGCACGTCAGGTCGAGGTGCAGCCGTGCTTCAACCTCAAGTTCATCGCTCAGCTCAGCGACATCGCCGCCGCCAACCTGCTCGAGCTCGAAAACCTCTCGCACGGCCGCTCGCTCAACGAGGCCATCACCACCAACGGCGCCAGCCTCTCCGCCGACCACCGTCTCGACTTTGCCGCCGCGCAGAGCCAGGAATTCGATGCGCTCGCAGACCTCGAGGCCAACCTCGCAGAGGCCATCAAGGCCGGCCGCGTCGCGCCCGCCACAGAGATGATCCGCATCGCCGCACAGAACGAGGACGCCACCAGCGTCTCGCGCATCGTCTGGCGCGCGCTCGTCGAAGCATCGCCCGACGCAGTCGCCGCAGCGCTCCAGCACGGCCTCGCCGACTACACGTTTGTCGACGACATCAGCTCGCGCACGTGCCTCCACGAGGCCTCGATGGCGGGCCAGCTCGTGCTCGTCCGCTCGTGCATCCACAACGGCGTCGACGTGGCGCAGCAGGACATCTACGGCCGCACCGCCCTCTCGTACGCCGCCATGGCCGGCCACACCGACGTCTGCTCCTATCTGCTCTCGCTCCCCTCCATCTCGGCCGCCACCTACGACCTCGACGGCTTCTCGCCGCTCATCCTCGCCGTCATGAACGGCCGCACCGACGCCGTGCGCATCCTCCTCGACCACGGCGCCAGCGTCGAGCCGCGCGACGCCACCGACCTCATCCCGCTCTGCCTCGCCAGCTCGGGCGGGCACGCCGACATTGTACGCCTGCTGCTCGCCAAGGGCGCCAAGATCGTCGCCAACGCAGAGGGCCTCTATCCGCAGGCGCTCGCTGCGCGCGCCGGCCATGCCGAGTGCCTGCGTCTGCTCGTCGAGTCCGGCGGCGACCCCAACGCGCCCGAAAAGGGCACGCAGTGGACGCCCATCTTCTTTGCCGCCGAGAGCGGCCATGTCGACTGCCTCAAGGTGCTGCTGCAAGCCGGCTGCAACGTCGGCATTTTGGACGAGAAGGACCGCACCGCCGCGTTCTACGCCGCGTGGAACGGCAAGATCACCTGCCTGCTCCTGCTGCTCGAAGCGGCGGCGGCGGCGCAGAAAAACCCTCCCGGCGAGACGGCGGCGAGTCGCAAGGCGGCAAAAGCCTCGGCTGCTGCTGCGGCGGCGGCGGCATCCAAAGCCAACGCGGCAGCAGAAGGCGGGATGGGCGACGACGAGCTGGAGCTCGAGATGGACGGCATCCCGGACCTGTCGCTGCCGCCTCCCATCATCCCGTTCCGGACGTACGGGCACAACTACCTGGACAAGCGCGCGCTGGTGTCGGTGAGCCTGACGAACAACTCGGTGAAGCTGTACAAGCACCAGGATCCGAACCGGCCGGAGCAGTTTTCGACGTCGTCGCTCAAGCTCGTCATGACGTCGCGGCCGGACGCGTCGCTGACCACGGCGATCCCGCACAACGTGGTGCTGCCGCTGGCGGACGAGCGCGAGGTGTTTTCGTTCCAGGTGAGCCGGCTGGAGAGCTTCTCGATCGAGTGGGAGCTCATGCCCACGTTTGGGTCCAAGGTGATCGGCAAGGCCGTGGCGCTGCCGAGCTCGTTCGAGGGCATGACGGATCGCAAGCGCTTCGTGCTGCCGCTGCAGGACGTGTATCTCAAGGTAGTGGGCGAGGTGTCGTTCGAGCTCGACTTTGTCAAGCCCTTCGACAGCGTGCAGCTCGAGATCGGCGGGCGCGTAGAGACGTACTGGAAGAGCATGCTGCCTGGCGTCTCGGCGCCCTCGACGGTGGGTCCGACGAGGATGACGCCCAACAGCGGCGTGGGCAGCATCAGCGGCGCGCTTGGCGGCGTGTCGGGTGCGGCGGCTGCGTCGACGCCGAGGGGCGCGGACAAGGGCGTGTCTAGCGCGGCGAGCGCGAGTGGCACGCCGCTGGCGGCTGGCTCGGCGGGTGGAGCCGCGTCGACGGCGGGGGCAGCGGCGCAATCGACGCTGGTGACGGGCTCGTCGCTGGCGGGCGAGTACGTGCGGGTGGTGGTGCAGGTGACGAAAGACGCGGTGGCGGTGGTGTGGCCGCATGCGTTCATCCCGCTTGTGGGCGTCGAGGTGTACGTGGGGAGCGTGCGTGCGGACGAGCTGCTGGGTGTGGCCAAGCAGACGCACCACCTGCTGGAGTGGACGCCGGCACAGGCAGCGCAGGCGTCGTGGAGCGAGTGGCAGGCGGCGCTGCAGACGTCGGTGTGCACGCTCGAGACGCTGCTGTCGCTGTTGCCGGTGAGTGTGGGGATTGATCTGGACGTCATGTATCCGTCGACGGCCGAGGTGCGCGCCAACGCGGGGATGCCCAAGATGGAGGTGAATCAGCTGGTGGATACGATCCTGCACACGGTGTATGCGGCGGGCACGAGCAATCGCGAGCAGAGTCGCAAGATTCTGTTTTCGTCGCGCTCGCCCACGGTGTGCACGGCGCTCAACTGGAAGCAGCCCAACTATGCGGTGTTTTTCGCATCGTACTGCGGCATCGATGGCGAGGCGAGCGGGCAGGGGGAGCTGCGCGCTTCGACGCGGCACGAGACGGATGCTCGACGCGAGAGCATCGGCGAGGCGGTACGTTTCGCCAAGAGCAACAATCTGTTGGGCGTGATGGTGGATGTGGCGCTGCTCAACCATGTGCCGCATGTGGTGGAGAGCGTCAAGGCATCGGGACTGCTGCTGATTACGATTGGCAAGTTTAGGCGTCCGGCGGAGCTGGCGGAGCTGCCGGATGTGGATGGCGAGGCGTGCGACGGTATTGTGGTTTGCAAGAGCTAGATCTGAATGGCATGCGTTTAGAAGAAGGCGCGAGACCGACTGAGATGATTGCAAGTGTTGTGGAGAAATCTATAGTACAAGAGACGAGAAGGATTGAGATTGATGATCTAGCGTCTTCGCTTTGGTTTACCGCCGTTCTTGGACTTGTGTGCGTCAAAGAGGCTGTTTCCGCCCTTGTTCTTGAAGGGCTTCAAGCCTTTGGAGGTGCGGTATTCTTCGCGGCGCGAGTTGCGTGGGCCGGAGGTGGAGATCTTTGGCTTTTCGACGGCGTCAGCATCGTCCTTGATTGCAGCCTCGTCTTCGGCAGGGATTTGGTCGTCTGTTGGCTTGACGTTTGCTGTGAGACGGGCCGAGAGTGCAGCTACGCGGGCGGCTTCTGCCACGGCATAGTCGCTCTTGGGGTTGGTGCGCTTCTGGTTGCGAGCCTTGAGCTTGGAGCTCGAACGCAGCGATTTGGCCATCGTGGCGTGCGATTGACGGTGTCTTGAAAAGTGTGCTGGTTGAAGCTGCGCTGCGGCTGTTGAAGGTAGTGTCGATGGCGATGAGTGGCGTAGGTGTGAGGAGTAGATCAAGTGATGAGGTCGGAGAAGGATGAGGAGAGGACCCTTTTTTTCCGGCAGCGGTTGCAATTTTTGCTTGGGCGGCGTTGGAGTGCGAAATTTCCAAAAAGAGAGCGCACGTTGCAGCTGCCGAGCTGGGGCCAGATCGGGTTCAAGTAGACTTGCCCATCGGCGATGAAGGCAATCACGATTCGCCTGGCGTCGCTTCCCTGCCAGTCCACTGCAAGTCCACTGGATAGCTGGATTCGGAAGCTTGCGATAGCAGCAAGCAGTCAGCACGGCTATACAGCGCCGGGTGAGCCGATGGCAAGCGTTGCAAAGGCGAAAGGGGAATGTGGCTTGCTGGATTCCGAGGAAAGAGAATGCAGCTGGACCGGACTCGCCGACACGCCGCGAGCCGGGCCAAAGCTCGAACCCCAGTCGTGGAATTGGCATGCCAACAGCCGGAGCCGAAAAAGAAGGCTGAGGCACAGGCACAGGCACAGGCACTCGGCGCGGGCAGCTTCGGTGAGCGCCGCGCCGCCAGGTCCCGCGGTTGCGGTTCGCGCTGGAAAACGAAAACCCGCGCCAAAGAGGGTCCAACGGCGGCGGCCAAACCCTGTGCAGCTGGCGGTGTCCCCACACTTCCCTGTCGCTCGGGAACCAAAGGACAACAAAAGATCAGGCGGGTCCGCGCTGCAAAGGCCATGCATGGTCTGGATTTCACACTTTGTCGCCTCATCAGCTCGCGACTGCGCCTAGTCGGTGGTGGCGGTGGATTGCCGCGCTTTGGTGTCCCTTTACCCACATCCAACACGGCGTGCCTCTTTGCTCCCTCTCTCACCCTCACCCTCTCTTGCTCGCTGCCAAGGCCCATCTATTCGCTCCCTACAGAGTGTTCATCCTCGGCTGCACATCTTCTTGCCCGCGGTGGTCACTCCACTCGCTCCCGTCCGAGCAAAAGCTTTCCACCAGCCAGCCAGCCCCAGCAAGGATCCTCGCTTCCGTCAATCGCATCCGTACCGCAACACGCCACTTGAGAATCTCCAGCGATCGTCGCCCATCCTCGCTTCCACCACCCACGCCACACGCCGCGCTCCAGCCTCACCTCGGCGCTATTAATATCATACACCACCACCCTCATCTCGCACTCGTCCGAATCGTCCCCGCTCGACGCTTGCTGCCGGCGTCCACCTCCTCGTTGATGCGCCCGTCCTTGTGCTTCTGGCGTCCCTCTCCATCTCGCTAGTCGAGCCACACACATACACAACACACATCCGCCCGAGCCACCGCCCGAGCCACCGCCCGAGCCACCGCCCGAGCCACCGCCCGAGAGCGGCGCGCGCCTCCCGCCACAATGAGGGAGACCAAGCTGCACATCCCCATGACCACCGCCACGGGCGAGACCATCGGCATCGTCGGCATCCTCGCACAGATCGCCCTGCCACCGCACAATCCACAGGAACACGAACCGCATCCCATGTACACCTCGCGCTCCACCACCGCACCCATCGAGCGCGAGCGCCTGCATCCCGCCCACGCCCAGCATCGCTCCGACATTTCGAACGATCCATCGTCGTCGTCTTCGCGCTCCCAAACCACCAGCATGAACCTCGACGACGACGCGGACACCATGCAGCGTCTGCGCAACAAGGACCAGGCGTTCAAGCGGCGCGGCTACCCCATCTATCCCATCGACAAGCGCGACACGCGCGGCCTCAAGATCGCCATCATCCTCCACGGCGTGCTTGCGCACAAGGACCAGATCTACCACAAGCAGCTCGCGCGCGCCCTGCCCGTCGACTCGTTCCGCTTCGACTTTCGCGCCAACGGCGAGACTCCCGGAACGTGGTCCATGGGTAACCTCGCCGACGACGTAGAGGATCTCGTGGCTGTCGTCGACTATCTGCGCACCAAGCTCGAGTATACGGTGGAGATCGTGATTGGCCACTCGCGCGGTGGGCTCGATGGATTCGCGTGGTTCGCAAAGCACTGCCCGGATGCGCTGCCGCCGTCGCTGCGCGTGCCGTTCTTTGTGGGGCTGTCGGCGCGATTCAACATGGCCAACATCCACGAGCGCGATCCGGCGTATCTTTCGGCGTTTGCCAAGGAGGGATTCTTCCGCTGGCAGGCGCGCGTGGCGGGGCAGGACAAGGAGCTGCACGTCTACCCGGAGCAGGTGGAGCAGTTTGCCGCCTGGCCCACACGAGAGATCGCACTGGCTTTCCCGTACAATACCGACGTGCTGCTCATCCACGGTACGGCGGACAAGTCGGTGCCTGCGTCGGACGTGGCATCGTACGGTAACATCCTGAGCGGCGTGCATAGGCGGCCGGGCAGTTGCAGTATCAAGCTCATCGACCATGCCGACCACCTCTTTCGCGGGTTCTATCCGCAGGTGGTCGAGGCGATTGTAGAGTGGCTGCGCGAACGCAGCGAGTTGACCAAGATGGGTCTTTCGGCCGCGGCGATTCGCGACCGCGATACGCTCGGCCTCGCGAGGTTCAATCCGACGCACCTGCAGCAGGGAAGGTCCGGTCCGCAGATGTGGGATAACAATTTGGCGGCGGGCAATGCGCGTGGGCCTGCACAGGCGGCACCGCCATGGATGGACACCCCCGCCGCAGGTGCAGGGGTTGCAGGACAGCTGCCACCCGGTCATGCGTCCGACTCGCCGTATGCACGCTATCTCAGTGCGGCGGTGGCCACGGCGCCGTCGGCGCCGGATGTGCGGTCGAGAGCCCAGCCTGACGTCGAGCAGACGGATGCATCCGAAGAGATCGGTATCGATGCTTGGCCCGCCGGACATCCACTCGCACGCTCCAGGTCATCGCCATCGTCAACACCACCGCCGGCGTCGGTAGCGGGCACCGCATCCCGCACACGCACAAAGGCGCATCTATAGCACCGGCTCATCTTTGTTCGCATTCTCACGGGGGGTATTTTCTTAATGTCACGCTAGGGTTTATTTTGGCTACACTTTCGGTGCGGGGGGGTATTAGTCGGAATCCGAGTCGTGCACCGTGATCACCGAGGCTCTGGGTTTGCGTGGCGTCTTGAGCGCGGCTACGAACTCGACGGACGAATCTGCCTCGGGAGTGTGTGCTCTTGGTGGTGGGGGGAGTTTGAGTTGACGTGGCGTGCGCGTTGGTGGTGGGGGTGGCGGTTTGGGCATTGGCTTGACGAATCCGTTGAGCGTGGTTTGACCCTGCGCCTTTGGTTTGCACTTGGGTTTGGGTTTCGACTTGGCGTTGAAGAGCTGCAGCGGTTGGACGCCGCTCGTGCTGAGCTCGAGAAACGGCGCGGCGATCCAGAGCAGCATCGGCTTGAAGAGCTCTTGGTCTTCGAGGGGTGAGGATTCGATTGCAGCCTCAACCTCATGCAGCATGCTCTCGACGGCGACGAGCGCGCGGTAGTCGAGGTACGGCGCCAACGCTGCGTGACGACGCACCATCTTGATCGCCACAATCTCCACACTCGCCTCTACATCCCTGCTCACACCCTTTTCCTTGACAGGTGTGCCGGTGGTGAGGGTCGACTTTGCGAAAAAATCGGTAATCCGCGTGGCGTTGGGACTATCCCACAACGGCTTCTCCTTTTCCTTCTCCTTGCCCTTGCCGGCTAGATGCCTCTTGACCGCCTTAGTTGCTGGGCTCTCGACGAGTTCCGCCCAAGGACCTTCCACCGCGCCACCATTGAGCTCGAGAATCTCGCTCCTCAACCTCCGCACCACCACGCCCGGAACGACGGTGGTCCTGAACTTGGCGAGTACCGCGTCGGGGGTCCACTTGAACAGCGCCTGTGCCAGCGCTGCGAGTCTAGCCACGTCCGGGCTGGACTTGGACCAATCCACCTCGCGCCGAGTCGTGACGGGGTAGATGTAGTATGCCAGCACCCTGCGCGAATCTTTGGTGGCAAGAAAGCCGTCGAGTGTATCGGCGAGTTTAGGCCGACGTGACGGAAGCAGCCCGCGCGCATTGGTACGCAGCTCCTCCCGCACACCCTCGAGCCAGGTCCCCAAAAAGGCACTGAATGCACTCGATGGCGTGGCGGTAGAGGATGACGTGGGATACGCCGAGCGGAAAGCGCGCACGAGCGCCGTGCCGAATCCCGCCCTCGCGAGCGCAAGCGCGATCTTGACGCCACACTGCGCAAGACCCGTGGTGTCGTAGTCGCCACCGGACATGAGCGCGATCAGAACCAACGCATCGCGATCCAGTCCCAGCTCGTCGCACTCTACAAGATCGTGTGCGGTGTACATCGTAATGAGGTGGTCTTTGTCGGATCCCGACAGCTGCAGTTCTCCGTTCTCTGCTTGCGTTGCTTGCGTTGCTTGCGTTGCTTGCGTGGGCGGATCGACCTCCTCCGGTGTTCTGCTCGCCTTGGTGCCGGACAGGTTCTTGCCCCAGTTGCGGATGACCACCTGAGCGCCAAACAGCAGCGCATCGGCATCGTCGGTCACAACCGCATCCAGCACACCGTCTCTACTCATCGAAGCCAGCTGCGCCTCCGCCTCGCCCGGTGCACGCATCCAGCTAAACCCAAACGCCTCGATGAGCTCCGTCAGCGGCTGCTCCACCGCATGCTGTCGCCCTTTCACCTGCTTTCCCCGCTTCCACGCCGGCCGATCCGGCCCATCGAATACGAACAGCACCAGCACCGGTAGAGCAAGCAGCTTGGCGAGGCGGTAGAACAGCAGCCGCAACGCCGGGTTCGAGCCGCCGCTCGACTGCTGTGCGTGGAAGAGCCAGAGCGACGCATCGATGCCGAGCCGCAGTGCGCGCAGCGAGTTGGCGTTGGCGGTGAGTGCGTGCAGAGTGTAGGCGGGTAGCGTGGTGGAGTGTGCGGCAGGATGCAGACACGCCCACAGGCCCGGAATGCCCATCACGACATTGTTCGCGCACACACTGGCCGAGTCAGTGTGCGGAGGATGGTGGAGCAAAGCCAAGACCAACACCTCGCACAAGGAAAGTCAAAACAACGTGTGGGAAAGTGCGGAAAAGTGCGGCAAAAAGCGCGGTCGAGAAAAAAGTGCGGACCCTGAGAGCTGTCAGACGCGACTCCGGCATTCGGCAACTTGGCATCCTGCGCGGGTCGCACAGACCCACCTTCTTCCTCCCCACCATCCTCATCTCCTTTGCCGCAATGACCGACTCGAGCGCAGCCTGGGACGTCGTGCTCCCGCTGCAGGGCCAGATCCGACCGCGGCGCGTCCATCTGCCTGCATTCCTTCCCTCGTCCTCCCCCGGCTCGGTGCTGGCGTATCTCGGCATCCCCTTCGCACAACCGCCCGTTGGCGCACGCCGGTGGCAAGCGCCCCAAGGCCCTCTGCCCACATGGCCGTCCGTGCGCCCATCCACCTTCGGTGCCGACCCGCACCAGGACTTCGCGGCGATGGAGGGCATGTACCGCGGGCGCACGTCTGCCAAGACCGCGATCCCGCGCACCGAAGACTGTCTGTACCTCAACGTGTGGGCCCCCACCACGCCCGCCTCTACGCCGCGCCCCGTGCTGGTGTGGATCTACGGAGGCGCGTTTGCGGTGGGCAACTGCTCGCGTCCGCTGCACGACGGTGCGCGCCTGGCACACGAGAGCGGCTGCATCGTCGTCTCGATCACGTACCGCGTCGGAGCCATGGGCTTCCTCGGCTCGCGTGCGCTCGTTGCCGCCGCTGGTGACTGGCCACTCGTCAGCGTGGATGCACTCCACACCAAGCCGAGCGCGACCCAGGTCGGGGCTGGAAACTGGGGGCTGTGGGATATCGTAGCTGGTCTTGTATGGGTGCAAGGTTCGATCGGCGCGTTTGGGGGCGATGCGCGCAATGTGACCGTGTTTGGGGAGAGTGCAGGCAGCATAGCGATCCACTATCTGCTTCTGAGCAAGGTGGTACCGGCGGGGCTGTTCCACAAGGCGGTGCTGCAGAGCGGTGTGTTAGCGACGCTGCTGCCGCGCACGACGCACGCGAGCCAGGCATGCTGGGATGCCCTTGTGCGTGCGCTGTGTCCGCATCTCGAGGGAGACGACGAGGCGCAGGTCGAGTACATGCGCACGCGCGTCCGTGCGGACCAGATCGATGCTGTCCTGCGCCCGCTCGTCGGAAAACGGCCCAGGTCCGAGTATACTCCGACTCGGGCCGATGTCCAACGCCTCCCGCCGGCTCGCGAGGATGCAGACGAGCCGCTCGGCGTCACGGATCAGTGGGGCCCCGTGTGGGATGGCGTGCTTGTCGACGCCGACTTTGTGGCTCGTGCAATGGGTCCGTTGCCGCCGCGCAGCGAGCTCCGGAATGGACGCGGAGGAGTGGTGCTGGGGCTGTGTGCCGACGAAGGCACCATGTTCAACTTTCTCGTCGCCACGTCCAATGCGCTCGTCGAGCACCAGGCACTTTTCCACCCTTTGCTCGCTGCCGACATGGCCACGATGTACGGATACGATACCGCTACGCTTGCTCAGCCGACTCGGGGTCGCGAAAAGACGGAGCGGGACCGCGCGGCGGCGTACACGTGTGCGACGTACACGGGCGACGCGCAATTCACCGCGCCCATCCTGGACTATATGGCCGCACAGCGGCAGCAACGGGGTGACGTGGCGGTGTACGGGTACTTGCTGGCGCATCGACCGTCGTGGGGGATGTTGGATGCACTCACGGTGGTGCCCGAGATGACCGAGGACTGGGCGGCGTTCCACACGCTCGACATCCCGCTCGTCTTTGGCCTTACCGGCAGCGGCGGCGGCGAGGAGCACGCGTGGGTGGGCGACATTGCCCACTACGGAACAGATCCCGCCCACGAGGCCGAGTCAGCTGCTGTTCTGTCGGAGCAAAGAGGCATGTCGAGTGCCGAGCGCCAACTGAGCTTGACCATGATGCACACGTGGGCAGCCATTGCGCGTCTCGACGGCGAGCTCGTACTACCCGATGCATCGATCTGGGCACCTCTCGGCTCGACTGGTACCAACGGCGACCTCGGCAACATTGAGCTGCTTGCATTCGGCGAGGCGCCCCAGGCACCCGTCCCGCTCTTGCGGGACAGCAACCAGGTTCGCGTTTGGCAGACGCAGCTGGGCGAGCATCCCTTCGCCCAGCACGCACCCGTGGGCGCGGCGTCGTTGCACGGGCGCGTGCAGTTCTGGCTCCATCAACCCATCTCCGGCACGAGCACACAGACGTGCAGGGCCATGCAGAACTATTACGGCTGGATCAACGAGCCACCGCGCTTCTTGCCGTGGCCGCAAGCATGAACAACAGCCCAAATGATGGCGACGCACTATGGCGAGAGATTCTATGTGTACGGTACTGCAGACGTAACATTCTGAAAGTTCGAGCTTGCCTCCGCGGATATCTGGCGGGGCCTCGGAAGCGCATTTTTTTTGGCGCGCGATGCCCGTTACCCCAGCCTGCCGTCAGCTTTTTTTTTATTTAGAGCTGCCAAGGTGGAGGCATGAAGTCGTACTTTGCTCACTTTGCTGCCGCTGCTCAGCCGGGTGCAGTCGACTCGGGCCTCGACAGCATCGAGCAAGCAGACTCAGGACATCTCTCGCGAGAAGACAACGGTGTGGCACCAGTGAGAATCTGCATCGGCGCGGACGGTTCTGGGGCGGGAGGGAAAGGAGGAAGAGCGAGGGGGCGAGGCGGATTACAAATCGGAGCGAGCGGCGCGGTTCGTCCACGATCGTGCTGACCCACCGAGGCGGCAGCGTGGGAAGAGTGGGGTCGTGCACGGCTTTCCTCAGCGCTGCACCCCGGATCCCACTTGGCGGAGACAAGTATATAGTCTTGCTGCTCCACCCACCTCGTTCTTGCTCCATCACACTGCGTTCTGTGCTTTGCGACCATGAAGATCTCTGTCGCCTGGACGCTTTCGGCCGCCGTATGGTGTGCCTCCACCGCCCATGCAGCGCCGTCTGTGGGCGCCGACCAGCTGAGCATTAGCACGGCAGGCTCCGGTCTGGACACGCTCACTCTCGGACTCTCCACCAAGCTCTCTTCTGCCTTTACGCGCCTCTTCCGCAGCGCCAGCGCGGATGCCGGGCCGCAGACGGGGGACAAGACGATCTGGGAGGTGATTACGACGTCGGACGAGTTTTCGCAGCTGGCGCACATTCTTAACTACTCGTCCGACGCCACCAAGGACGTGCTGAAGCACAGCAAGCATCTTACGCTCTTCGCGCCGCTCAACTGGCATCACCACCGCGACGGTGACGACGCCGAAGCGTATGCGGATCTGTCGTTTGGTCCTGCGTCCATCCAGACATTCACGCAGATCGAACGACAGATCGAAGAGCTTGAGCGCGAGTATGCCACCAACGACAAGGACGGCGAGAAGGAGAAGAAGCGGGAGCTTATTAGGCACCTTATCGACGCACATGCCATGTACCACCTGGTGCGGTCCGATGTCGAGTTGGACGCACGAGCGATTGCGGACAACTCGAGCGTCGCCACGTGGCTCAACACTGGCAAGGCGCATGCGAACAACGACGGCACCGACTGGAGAGTGCGTACGGGCAAGAGTCTGTTGCCGCTGCCTGCCGTGTATCTCAACTTTTACTCGCGCGTGGTCAAGCCCGATATGCGTGCGGAGAACGGGCTGATCCACGCGATCAAGTATCCGCTCATCCTCCCGCCCGACGTGCTGCAGAGCCTGTTCTTTGGACAGACGACGTTCTCCACCACCACCTCGGCGCTGCAGAAGGTGCATGCCGACAAGTATCTCTCGTACCGACCCTATTCCCACCACCACCACCATCACCATGATGCGGGATTGAAGGAGGGACACAATGTCACGGGCGTGGCGGCAGAGACGGTGTTTGTGCCTACGAACCTGGCATGGTCTCGTCTGCCGTGGGCCTTCCGCGCATACTTGTTCTCGCCGTGGGGCTATCACCTGCTGCAGAAGGTGCTGATGCTGCATTCGCTGCCGAACGACATCGTATACGCCGACTTTGTCCATCACATCTCGCACTCGCACAAGTCGGTCGCAATCGTCGAAGGTGGCGCCAACAAGACGTCCTACACTTTCGACACGGTACTCCCCGCGATCGATGGCGGCAAGGGACACGAGACGGTGGATGTGGACGTGTACCGGTACCATCTGCTGCCGGGCGGTAGGGGCCCGCTGCAGACGCGCATGGTGGTGCAAAACGTCAGCGTGATCCTGCAGGACATCCCCGCCAGCAACGGCGTCTTCCACGCCATCGACAAGTTCATCAAGCCCAAGGGTCACCCCGACAAGGGAATCTGGGCCGAGGTGGCGCACGAGGCGAGCATCGCCGGGTTCGGCAGCGTCGATCTGCGTGCTCAAGCTCAGGCGGCGCTGTGGTGAGGCTGCCGCAATGACAGCTGTCAAACAAGACGAGCCCCATCGCTCGCTGCCCGATGCCGATTTTGAATCGATCTTCACTCTGCGTTTGCTGGTCTTTGTAGGTGTGTGGTCTGCGGGCACGAAGCGGACGGCCACGTCGGGCTGAAGCTGTTCGGGGAGGTTGAGGTTTGACAGCTGTCCGAGGCAAGGCGTGTGTGTGATTGGGCAGGGCGCGGCCGAGATTGCGCCGTGGCATCGTCCAATCGGGCGCTTGACTTGCAAGGTCACGCCATTGCGACGGGGCTCTGTCGTGCTCATACTGTAGCCGCGCGTGGGGGAGAGAGCAAAAGCTTGACGAGCCAATCCGGCTCTGCTTGCGGGCGGGCGGAAGAGCTGATTGGACGCCTTGGTGACCGGAAAGAGGCCGATCTAATCGGCAGATTGCGCGGCGAATTCGGGCGAGCAAAAAGTTTGCACCGGTTTACCGGCCGCGCGTGGCAGCGAGGCCTCACGACGACACGTGCAGCTCTGCCACCACCAACTCATCCACGTCCCAAAACTTCTCTTATGACACAGTCCCGTGCGGCACAGCTGAGAAGCCCATACGACACATTTGAGAAAGTAGTGAGCGTGAACTGTACACAGAACCAGTGGATTCGAGCAAGGAGAGCAGGTCAAGGCGTCAGGGGAGCGGGTTCGAGTCATTGCTGTGCAGGACGACTCGCTAAAAAGGGCGGCTGCATGCGATGCAGTCTGCTGCCTCCGACCTCGCCTTCCCGCCCGCCCTCTCACCACCCGTTCCTCGGCAACGTGCCCACACCCACACACACTGTTCACCCTGCAATTGCCGCGGAGTACGTTGAGCGTGGCATGCTACTGTAGTTCATCGAGATGGCGGTGCGGGATGTGGGGACCAGCACCGTTTTCAATGGCTCGCACATGGCGCTGTGATTGTGGGGCCGTCCCAAGGCGGGGAAGGGGCAACAATGGCAGATTGGGCGGCGTGTGGAATGCGCATATGCACGAGCGCGCGATGACTCGACCTTCTCAACAAGATCGCCGCGGCGTGGGTGTGAGTGGGTGTGGGTGTGTGCACGCGACGCTGCAGCTCGTCGTTGATCCGACGCTATGCCGACGTGCTTGCGACTCCTCCCGAGGCGCTCCCTCGAAAGCGCTGGGGCTGCTCGTCGGTAAGTCCGACCCCTCCGTTGGAAGAGCTTGGCCTTCCAGCTCATCGCCAGCTACCGTATGCTCGCGTCCCACGCACGCCGCATGAAGCCTCGTGAGCAAGGAGCTACCCATCCATCCTCGCCTCAATGCAACCACCCAGCCGACCGCGGTTCGGGCAGGCAGCAGCATTGAGGAACGACCGTCGCTGCTCGGCTCGCTCCCGGCTGCATTCCTCGGCCAGAGCTGCCGATAGCCTTCCCGCTCGTCCACATTGGCTCCCACAAAGCCGACGCACTATCCCACCTCGATTTCATATCCCTTTTTGATTGCGCCGCCAGCTCGGTTTCCTCACACAGCATCGCATCTGCCAAATCATCCTTGGAGCGTGTCTGTGTTCTTCGTGAGTGTTGACAAGTTGACGAGCCCGAGCAGTCATGGCACTTGCGCAAGGTGCGGGGCCTCGGCGGCAAGGCATGCGATTGCAAAAAGATCGAAAGAGCGTTGGACTGGGATGCAGCGCACTCTCACACGCTCGTGTCGCGAAACACGGTTCAAACTCATCCAAACTTGCCGGGCCAGTTCGACCGAGCTGAAGCACGGCTCGGCGCCAGTCAACCGCCCGCCCACACCCACACCGACCCCCGTTTTTGTATTTTGTATTTTGATTTTTTTCCTTTCTCAGGCACCCCACCAGTCCAAGCTCGTTCCTCTCCCTCCCCCCTTTTGTGCCGGCACATCAGCCGTCTTCATTCGGGAAGCCCACTCGATCTTCCCGGGGCGTGGCACCTGTGTCTGTCCTGATCGTAGCATCGCTACACTGCCATCCCGCCTGATCACCTCCAGCACCCTTCTTGCTACACTGCTCTTGTGCCCCTTTTTCGCTTCGGACGCTCTGCCGACCAGCAACAATCCTCAAAGCCTCTGACTGCCCTCTGCTGCCGCTTCCCTTATAACCAGCTGCCCCCTTCGATGCTACCCGCCTCCTTCCCCTCCTCCATATCCAAACCAAATCCCAATCCACACCTCATCTTCGACATCCAGCGAAGATCCTTCTTGACCGGAAACCACTCCTCTACACCCTTTAGTGGATTTCCGTCCCCTAGCCTGCCTTAGCCCATCGCCCCGAGCGATCTCACAATCTCCTACAGCTGCTTTTTCACCCCGAACCACGTAGCTGGCCCACCATGCTCTTCTAAACGGTCATCCCGTCTAGACTCGCGCTCCTCTTCCTCGTCACAGAACGAAGAAAGGACAGACTCCCTAACCTCGTCGTTACAGCCTCTCCCCCTCCCCACCAATCTCACATTGTCTTCGAATCTTCCCTTTGGGTCGATTTCTACGTTGTCTTCTTGGACCAACTCCCAAAACGTCAATCTGACAGCTCCTAACAAGCTGTCTTCGTCATCGCCATCATGGTTGCCCCCACTCCCCAGTGCAAGCCCCGCCTCGGCCTCTTCCAACAACAATCCGCAAGTACTCAGCAAGCCTCCCCAAAGTCGCTCCCCGACTGCGCATCCACCCTTTTTGAAAGGTGTCCACCGCCCGACCAACGATAACGCATCTGCGCCATCGCCCTCCTTTTTGAATATCTCTACAAGTCACCACCGACGTTCCAGCACGCCTGTAGCTGCTGCCACCGCCGCGCCCATCTCTCTCCGCGCCCACCTCGAGGCCGCCATCTCCAACCCGTCGTCTTCGTACGCACAAGCCAACCTCCTCCGACAACTCCAGTCCACCTTGGCTGCCGTCCGTCCCTCCCCTCCCCACGTCCACGCCGCCGCCGCCGCCGTTGCCCCCGCCAACAGCCCGGCCCCTGCCACGCCCGCCCAGCCCACGTTTGCCCGAGTGCCCAGCATCACCCCCGCCGCTGTTGCTTCCGCGCTCGCCGCTGCTGCCGCTGGTCGTCGTCACACTCTGTCCTCCTCCTCCTCTGCCTCGCCCGCTGCCGCCACGATCAACTCGTTGACGCCAGCTCAGAAGCAACGACTGGAACAGATCAGGCACTACCAACAGCTCATCGCTCAGCTTAACGCCACGATGCCCGCTGCTGCTACTTCTGCCGCTGACACGTCGGTCTCGGCGCTGCTGCCCTTTGAGGCGCGCGCCGCAGACCCAGTCCGGTTTCAACGCCGCCTCGCTCGGCCTCAACCCCATGTCTGCCGACGACCCTTCGTGGATCGGACACGGATTCCAGGCTCACGCCGCCGAGGACTTCCTCTCTTCACCAGACTGGACCGACCCCTCGCCGGCGCTGACCGACTCGATGTCGTTTGAGATCGACTCGTGCGGACCCAGTCCGCTGCTGCCCCTCGACAGCTACGACGACGATTTCGGAGTGCCCGGCATTGCCGGCGCTCCGCTCTTCCCTCCCCAGGACGGCTACGCCTCGTCCAACGTCAGCCCGCTCGAGCTCGCCAGCCACGACTTTGGCGTCCACACGGCCGGCGACTTTGGCGCGCCCGAGATGGGCAGCGACTTTAGCCTCTTCCCCGACGCCAAGCCCACCAAGCTTCCCGTCGAGATGGCCTTCAGCAAGCTCGGCAAGCCCGCTGCCGGTAGCGCCTCGTCGACCGAGGACCCGGCGCTCACTCTGCTCCGCGCGCTCAGCAGCGCGGCGCTCTCGAGCTCGGCGACCACGGCGGCTACCAGCGTCGCCACCTCGACGCCTTCGGCACCGGCGCTCACCGCCTCGCCGCTGGCATTCACGTCGATGGCCGCCCCCCTCGCTCCGGCGCCGGCTCCCGTCTCGGCTGCTCCTGTGCTGGCTCCTGCGCCCGCGCCCGCAGCCCAGTCTACCCCGGCCCCGGCTGCCCCACGCTCGGAGTCGAGCTCGCCCGACGCTATGGACCGCCGCACCTCGACGTCTTCCAACAAGACCGAGGCTCGTGGCACCAAGCGTCGACTCGACACGACCGACCTGCTTCCGCTGGATGCGCCCATCCAGAAGCGCAACTACTACACGGTCTCGGCCACCTCGCGACGCGACACTGCCGCTGAGGCCGACGAGTTTGCCGAGGAGGAGGCGGCGATCCGACGCGAAAAGGACCCGCGCGTCGCCAAGCGTCTGTCGAACACGCTCGCCGCACGACGATCGCGCCACCGCAAGGCGGAGGAGCTGCGTCTGCTGCACGAGAAGATCGAGGCGCTGTCGGGCGAGGTCGAGTCGTGGAAGCGACGCTGCGAGCTCGCCGAGCGCGAGCGCGACGAGGCCCGTGGCCTGCTCGGCTGAGCAGGGTCTTGCTCTGCGATTCCTTTGCGATCCCTCTCCGGTTTTCTGTTTTCTTGTTGACTGCTCGCCAGCCGTGCTCGGCAGCAGGTTTGCGCCCCCCAAAAGGTCTTGTTCTCAGGTGTTGCGATGATCCGTTTCTCCTCGTCCGCTCCGTTGCCCCTTGACCAGAACGTTGTTGCCCGTATGTCTCCTGTCTAGCTTCGTATCGTTATGCTCCGAGATTCTATGATTGCTCCGGAAATGAAGCCGTGCTACCGCCAAAGCCTCGAGTGTGTGCGAAAGTTGCGATGGTTCAGTTGCGTGGGCGAGCGGGACGGTGGCTGATCGGAGGGCAGACGCACGGTCAGAAGGGAGATACTGATGGTGATAGAGAGGCTGATGTATGGCAGAGTGTGATGCGGCATAGCGCACGAAGGATGACTGAGCTGTGGTACGAGCGTGGGTGGAGGGAGAGGGTGTGGGGTGCGGCGATGGGGGTTGAGCAAGGGATGATGGATCAGGGGGCAGCTTGGACGTGGTATCGAGGCTCGACGACCATTGCTACAGCTGCCGTGTCGAGTGAGCATACGATTGCCAAGGACGGGCGAGAGATCTGATGCTGTCCTGGGCTGGGAAGGGCGCGGCGGCTGAGTAATGGAAGATCGCGGAAAGGCGCGCGCGCAGTGGATCGATCGGGCGCACATTTTCTTCCTCCACAAGTGCGCTGAACAAGCCGAGCCGCTCCGACACTTTCCTCCACCACCACCACCGTCTACAATCATGCTGCGTCAGAGTCTTGGTCTTTTGGTACGTTGCCGTCCTCATCACGCACCATTCACACTGGAAGAAAGTGCTAACCTGCAAACGCCTTTGCATCTTTGAACATGACTCCTCTTACCGCTTTCTTTGCGCGCTTGGTTTGCCACGTTGGGATTGGGGATTGGTAGCGAACGGGTCTTGGGCGTCAGACTGGGCTCTTGCCATCGCGCGCGGCCATTTCGCCCTCTTTTCTCACAGTCTCTCGACTGCTTAGCACCGAAGCACGCGCCAAGATCGACGGCGCCGTCAAGGCGAACCCGCTGGTGGTGTTTATGAAGGGTACGCCCGATATGCCCATGTGCGGATTCAGCCGTGCCGTGATCCAGGTCATGCAGGTGCAGGGCGTCAAACCCGAACTGCTCAAGACATTCAACTGCCTCGAAGACCAGGAACTCCGAGAGGGCATCAAGGAGTATTCCGACTGGCCCACCATCCCCCAAGTCTACGTAGATGGAGAATTTGTTGGCGGCTGCGATATCCTCATCAACAGTAAGTCAAAAACCCCCACTCTAGACGATACCAGATGGAACCAAAGACTAACGGCGTCGATCGGGTTTTTTTGCAGTGCACCAGTCGGGAGAACTCGAGGAGCTGCTGCTCAAACACAACCTCCTCCTCCCGCTCGAAGAGAACAAGGCCCAGGCCTGAAATCGTCCCACCTCCATCGAATCTTTACAATCAAAAAACGATCACTCGATCTCTTTTTCACACGGACAAGGGTGGCAGACGCACAAGGATCGGCGTGTGAGATTGCGATGCGGCGGCCTAGATCTCGATTCCGGCCTGTACAAGTGCCATGGTCATGTCGGCATCGAGGTACGAAGCGAGCGCAATCGTCTCGGGCAGACCCTTTCTCCTCCTTGTCTTGAGCACAAAGTCCTTGGCCAGTGCCAGTGCCGGCGCGGGCTCAAGCGGTCTAAGTTTGATGCTTGAGTCCGTTGGGCTGCCGGGGACGATGGACCAGTGGCTGAACATGAGCAGACAAAACGCCTTGCCCTGCGTAGCGATGCGCAGATCCGTCTCGAACCCATTGGCGTCCACCACAGGCACATACGCCTTGACGGTATACAGCGTCGAGCCGGGCTTGGGCGTATCCTGCACGACGTGACCACGCCTCTTGGCAAGGATCGTATACACGGCAGCGATGCCATCTTGCGGTGTCGAGACCTCCACCTCATAGATCGGTTCCATCAGTCGCGGGGTGGCCATGAGCAGCGCTGCGTAGCACGCCCTGCGTGCGGTGGGGATCATCTGTCCTCCACCGCGATGCATCGGTTCGGGCGAGAGCGAGGCATCGAGGATGCGGAACTTGACGTTGCGCACGGGCTCGTCGCAAAGCGGTCCCTCGCGACATGCCCACTGGAATCCCTGCACAATGCTCTCCTTGACAGCGTACAGCAGCGTCTTGTCCACCTCGCTAGGCAGCGTATCGTCCACCAACACGTTGGCACCGCGCTCACCAGGCCCCCACGCCCAAACGCTGCGACTCGCCAACACGTCCCAGCCGTACTTGGCCTGGAGCAGCTTGGCGAGCACCTTGGGTGGCGCATGCACATCGATGGCGCCCGATTCAATGTCCTCCGCCAGACCCTTTTCGAGCGGCTCGGCGATGATCGTGAGCCGGTTGCGCTTGTTGGGCGTGGCGGCGTAGCATTTCACCGCCGACGTCTCCACCACCGTCTCGCAGAAGCGCACCACGGGATCCGAGACGCGGATCTCGATGCCGGCAAAGAGCACGCGCAGATCGTGCAGCACACAGTCGAGGTACAACTCGCCCGAGCCCAGCACCACGTGTTCGCCCGACTCCTCGACGCGCGTCTCGGCGAGCGGATAGCTCTTGTTGACGCGCCGCAGCGCATCGAGCATCTTGGGCAGCTCCGAAGGCACCAGCGGCTCCACGGCCACCTTGAGCACCGACTGCGTCATGTGCTCGAGCGGCGCAAAGATACCCATGCCCTCGGTATCCACTGTCGCATCCACCAGCGTGCCCGTCTTGGTGAGCGATGCGTCGATGCCAGAGAGCAACACCCAGCTGCCTGCCGCCACACCGTCGACGTGCACGCTGTAGCGCGTCTCGCTGATGGCGACCGAGTCGATGGTGGCGCCCACCATGTCTTCGTCGTCGTCGGGGCTGAAGCCTTCGCCGAGCACGTTGACGCGCATGCCTGCGCGCGCGGTGCCGGACATGACGCGACCCAGCGCCCGGAACTCGAGCGCATCCACGGTGGCGTAGAGCTTGCACACCTGCACCACCAGCGGACCATCCGCATCGCACGCCGCCATGGCCTCGTACGCCGCACCCTGCTTGGGACCCGTGTAGGCATCGGCAAGACGTGCAGCCGCGGCGGCGCGCGGCGAGGGCACATGATCCACGACCAGATCCACCAACCCCTGCGCAGGCCCAAAGAACTCGCCGAGCACGATCTTGAGCAGCGGCCTCACGTCGATCTTGAACACGGCCGGCTTGAGGCGGATGCCGAGCGTCGCCAGCGTGCGGCGCAGCGACGGCGTGTCCGACGAGAGCACGGCGGTGTAGATCTTGTAGAGCGGCTCGAGGATAAAGTGGACGAAGGAGCGCGGCGTGTTGGCGTCGGCGGGCGTGCGCGAAAAGTTGCGCGACTCGGGATTGTAGTAGATGTTGCCCCAGAGGCGGTGTGCAAAGGCGTCCACGTCGACGCCCGCGCCGTACGTCTCGGCGTAGAGCTTGGCGAAGCTGCGCAGCGTAAAGCAGTAGCCCATGTGCGTCGAGGCAAACGCGACGTTGCCGCGCTCGGGCGCGAGCTGCAGCGCCGGGTCGGCGTCGATGGATGCGATGAGGTTGTTGACTTCCTGGATGGCGTGTCGGATCTTGTAGTAGGCTTCTGTGGGCGGCAGGCGGAGCTCGAGCACGAGGCGGTCGATCTTGTTGAGCACGAGCACGATGGGCAGCTTGTGGCGCAGGCAGTGGCGCACGACGTGGGCGGTGTTGCACATGACGCCCTCGACGACGTCGACGACAAGCACGACGCCGTCTGCGAGACGACACGCGGCCGCCACCTCGTCCTGGAAGTTGGTGTGTCCAGGCGTGTCGATGAGGTTGACGAGATACGACTTGCGCCTTGTGTTTTCGAGCACGAGCGAGAGCGGCGCCGACTTGATCGAGATGGCGCGGTCGCGCTCAAGCGTGTGCGCGTCCGTGTAGCGCAGATGGTTGTCGATGTCGTGGTCGATCTTGTGCGTTTCGTATACGAGCATGTCGAGCAGCGATGTCTTGCCATGGTGGAGATGGCCAACGACGGCGACGTTGCGCACCATGTCGGGGAAGCCCATGAGGTTGGCGAGGAAGGAACGGTCGAAGCGGGTCTCCGGCAGACCGTCTTCCTGGACGGCGAAGCGACGCTCCACGACTGGCTCGACGATGGGCACCGACAGAGGCTGTGCGTCTTCCTCCTGCACCATGGTCTCGACGTCGTCGCCATAGACATCTGCTGCGGACGGATAGTACTGCTTGTCTTCGTGAAGCACGACGGCGTTGGAGGGGCCCTCGTCGACGCGTATCAATTGGCGCTGTGGGATGATGTTGCCGTCTTCGTCCACCTCGATGTCGGCCAGGCGTTGCTCATCGTCGTCGTCGTGCGCATCGTCATAGCCTTCGAGAGGCGCCGACGGTTGGAGGGGAGGCGGCGCAACATTCTGCTGATAGTCGTCGCCGTCATCTGAGCCGATATCCGAGTCGGAGAGCGGGCCGATGTAGTTTCCAAACTCGTCGTAGTCGTCCATGGTGGGCGTGTGCCCTGAGGCCTCGGTTGCGTGCTGGGCTGGGCTGTGCGGGGCGCTGCTATTGCGTGGTGGAAAGACCTCAATTCGCTCGCTGTTTTGGATGGGGTATAAGCAAGGCTGGATGTGGTCAAAGCAGAGAGGGAGCCGTGGTGTCGAGGATGGTGGTCAGGAAGATGGCAAACTTTGGCCGCCGAACGCTCCTCCGAGTGCCGAACCAGAAAAAAAGGCAAAAATGGGAGACCGCCGATATCCAACAGAACTCAGCCCTTTTTCGGCGTCGACACTGCCAAACTGCCTGAGATGATCAACCCATGCGGACCCTGAGCGGAGCCGCCGACTGTGACGTCCGAGTGGAGGTTTTCTGTCGTCCTCCTCCTCATCTCCCTCCTCCTTCTCCTTCACCTTCATCCACCATCAACTCGGAAAGCAACCGAGCGACCGTCGACATGGCCTCGAAATCCTCTCCATCGCCATCGCGATCACGGTCGCCGGCGCTCGACAACGACACAGCCACCACCTCACAGTCAACCCTGCAGGCCAGCAACCGGCGCGTCCAAATCCAGACCCCAGAAGCACCAGCCAGTCTCGACGATCTGCTCAAGTCGCCTCACAACCCTGCATTGCGACAGCGCGAGTCGAGCTCCACCCTCCGTGGTGCATCGCCCACCGACCACCGCAGGCGCAGCGGCTTTCACCTCTGGCGCACCGAGTCCGAAGATGCTCGCAAGGCTCGTCTGCGTCGCGCCCTCGAGGCAGCAGAGGCACAAGCAAACGCACCGCCCAGCCTGGCTCATCGCTTCATCTCACCGCTCAAAGCGATACCACACCGCTTAGGCTCTTTTGTCCATTGCAGCCTCTACCGCCGTGTCTCTCTGCCCGATGGTCCACACTCAGGCTCGCCATTACCGCACGACCATCAACCCAGGCTCACCCGCCTCGGCCTCGTCATCCTCACGCTCAGCCTTGCCGGCGCTCAGCTGGCATGGACGCTCGAACTCGCCTACGGCACCCCCTACCTCCTTTCGCTTGGCCTCAGCGAACAGAGCACCAGCCTCGTCTGGCTTGCGGGCCCACTCAGCGGCCTCATCGCACAGCCCGTCGTCGGCTCGCTCTCGGACCACTCCTCGTCCTCGTTTCGCCGCCGCAAATACATGATCATCTCCGCCGCCCTCCTTACCATCTCCACCCTCACGCTCGCCTACTCGATCCCTATCTCGACGCTGTTCGTCGATCTGTTTGGCGGCGGCCTCGCCGACTGGGACCCGCACCGCCACCGCCTCGTCCACTCCACCACGCAGGCCATCTCCGTCATCGCATTCTGGGTGCTCGACTTTGCGCTCAACGGCCTGCAGGCTGCGTCGCGCGCGCTCATCCTCGACACCGCGCCTTCGGAGCAGCAGACCATCGCCAACGCATGGCAGGGCAGGATGACGCACACGGGCAATGTGCTGGGCTACATGTGCGGATGGCTCGACCTCGCCAGCTGGCAACGCCTCCGCTGGCTTGGCGGCGGCCAGTTCCGCCGCTTCGCACTCATTTCGCTCCTCGCCATGATCTCGTGCGTCAGCGTCACCATCGCGTGCATCGACGAGTCGCCCGCCGATCCGCGTCTGCTGCATCCGGGCGCGCGCGCTTCGCCGTGTGCGTCCGCGTGGCGCAAGTGCACGCAGACCGTCGACGACGTGTGGCACGCCATCCGCAGGCTGCCGCGCTCGGTGCGCAGAGTGTGCCTCGTGCAGCTGTTTGCGTTTATGGGCTGGTTCCCGTTTCTCTTCTACAGCACCACGTACGTGGTCCAGATTGCGCAGTACGAACGCGCGCTCCGGCGACACGACAAGCAGGACGCTCTGGCAGTGCAGCAGGGTTCGGGCGAGTCGGGCGGGCATGCCAGTTCGGACCACGATGCCGAGCGTGGCTCGTTTGCCATGCTCCTCTTTGCGCTCGTCTCGCTCGTGTCCGGCGCGCTGCTCCCCTACCTCGCGCTGGCGGGGGAGGACAGTCGGCAAGCCACGCCGCAGGGCGAAACACCGGGAAGCGAGCCAGGATCGCCGCTGCATGTATCCATCCCCGATGCCGACTGGGAAGCGCAGCAGACACACCTCGAGCCGACGGATAAAATGTCCCGCTCGCAGCGTCTGGCGCGCGGGGTGCGGCAAGGACTGACGCTGCGTACGTTTTGGACGTTGGCGTCGATTGCATTTGCACTGCTCATGCTCGTTGGCACCGCATGGGCATCGACGGTGCAGCAGGCCACGGTGGTGATTGCGCTGGTGGGGTTGCCGTGGAGCGTGGCGGCGTGGGCGCCGTTTGCGATGGTGGGTGAATTCGTACGCGAGGCCGAAGACGGAACATCGCCGTTCGAGTTTGATGGTGACCATTGGAGCCCGGTGCGCACGCGCGAGCGGTGGGTGCGCAAACAGCGTCGCGAAAGCATCCGACAATCCGTCAGTCGCGATGACGGTGCACTTACCTCACCCACGAGTGCGGTGGAGGGTAGGACGGGGTTCAAGTACATTGATGAAGTGTCCGGGCGAAGTCCGGTTAGGGAGGAGGATGCGAGAGATCGTATCCGTGCATCGCTGGTTGAATGTGCCCCCCTCCCACATGCGCACGACGATGATGCAGACAGTCTGGATCTGGATGCTGGTCGAGCTGCTCAAGCACGCAGCACGGGTGGAGCAGGTACGATTCTGGGCATCCACAACCTGGCGATTGTAGCGCCCCAATTTGTCGTCGCCATCATCGCAAGCCTCATCTTTAGCGCGGTCCACTCGTCGCACAACAAGATCCACCTCGTCCTAACCGATCCCCTACTCAACCTCGCCGCTGCCACTTCGACTCAAGACGTTGCAAACCCAGCCGAGGGTACCGTGTGGGTGCTCAGGTTCGGAGGCACAATGGCACTGCTCGCCGCGGCTGCAACCAGGTTGGTGCCCCTCACCCTCAGCGAACGCTCCAAACGATTCGCCCCCGCCCGCCACAACAACGACCAAGACGCCGAGTAAATCGCCGACCCGCTACCTAGTTGCTCGCCATGCATCCATCACACACACACACAGCCACTGTCTGGGTTGAAGAATGCAGATCAATTTGGTACAAGTACAGATGCAAAATGCTTAGAAAGGTACAAAGATGCAAGAGTTGGCTGACGTGACGAGAAGGCGGGGGAGGGACTAGGCTTCGTCTTCGAACTGGGCGAGGATGAGTTCCTGCTTGGCACACTCGTCGGCGTCGTTGGGCGGGACGACGCAGTCCTTGCTGCACACAAAGACGAACGCCGTGCTCCACACCAGCCCGGACCTCGAGTCGAGCGGCGCCGAGTCCTTGCTGCCCTCGGTGGGGATGCGTCTGCCGAGCGCCTGCTCGATCGCGCGCTTGCGGTCCTCCTCCCCCTCGCCGCCCAACTGCTGCGACGAATCGGTGTCCACAGCTCCGTCGGCAGTCTGGATCGTATGCGCACGAAGCAGGTTGATCAAATTCGGCATGAGCTGCGCCTCGAATACGCGCTCGGCACCGCAGTCAGGACACGGCGGCACACCGCGTGCGCTAAACGCCCTCTCCCCCTGCGCAGCAGCCGCACCGGCTCCAAACTGACCCTTGGTCACCGCCACGCGTTCGCCAGCAGCAGGCTTGTGAGCGGGCCAGAGCAGGTTGTACACGGCGCCCTTGGCGTGGAAGGCGATGGGCTGGCCGGCAAACTCGTAGCGCACCGCCTGCCTCGGCTCCACCTGGACGCGCTTGAGGAAGCGCTCAAATGTGTCGTCGATGCCGTCGAGCAGCATCTTTTCGTAGCCCTCCTTGGCAAACCCTTTGAGGTCCGCGTCGTCGACGTCCACCATGGCGCCCGACTGCGACGCCGCTTTGAGCATCTCCGCCTCCTGCTTGGACAGCTTCTTGGAAACCGACGACGACGACGGCTCGGGCACGGTGTTGAGGTACAAAGCCGGGTAGCGCGTCGCGTCTTCGACCCACGATCCTGTCGCGGGCGCCGCCTCGGCTAGGTCCGACTTGAGCGCAAGCTCCTCCGCCAATCGCTCGCTCTCGCTCTCGGATTCGGACTCTTCGTCGTCGTCGGCCGAGTCCTCGTCGGACTCGTCTGCCGCAGATGCCGCCGCTGCATCGGTCGCAGGTGCGGGAGCCGCGGCAGCAGGCGCAGCAAACGGGTTGTCGGCCGCATTGCCGAAAAGCATGCCGCCCAGACCGCCCGCAGCACCGGCAGCCGGCGCGGCAAAGGGGTTGAGCTTGGCGCGCTCTTCCTGCTCCTGCTTGGCCTTGGCGGCGGCAGCCTCGCGCTCGCGCTTGGCCTGCTCGCGCGCCTCACGCCGCGCCTTCTGCTTCTCCAGTTTGGCCGCCCAGCGACGGTTGAATTTGAGCGTGCGGATCACCTTGAGTCTGTGTAGCATGCAGCGGAACGAGGGCGAGGTGTCAGTGAACCTTTTCGCCAGGCTTTCTGGACATGATCAGCGACGGCAAGACGAGCAGGAGCTTGCTGCGACGAGGCAAACGCATTGGCGTGCTTGGGGGCATCATTGTTAAAAAGCTCGGTTGTCAAAGTTGTAAATCTTTTCAGAGCCCGAAGGGGCGTCAAGTGAAGAAATTGAAACTAATCCTGTGCCCCGGCACGCCGAGTGCGCACTTGAACGCATGTGCTCCTCTGTCGCTGTCGAGATGAGAGAGAGTGGGGAAGGAGACTTACGAAGAGACGTCCTTGCGTTGGCACGCGGGTCGCGCGCAGCCCCAGACCATGAGGCATCGGTCGTAGGCCGACTCGACTAGCGGCGCAAAGATCTGGACGAGCAGCTGCATCTGCTGCTTGCACACGCCGCACTGTGCGATGTCGCTGGCGGGCGTGGACTTCATGGGCAGCCAGGCGGGGCGTCCGCCGATGCGCGAGACGAGCGGGTTGGCTTCGTCTTCGGCCTCGAGAGGTCCGTCGGCGAGGCCGAGCTGGACGTCAGACGACTCGAACTCGGAGCCCGAGTCCGAGTCGTAGCCGTCGTCGGAAGGGGGTCGCGGCATCTATACGCAGAAGAACATACGCGAGCGTATCAGTAAGCTGCGTCTTTTTCCAGCGTTTGCGCCAGCACCGTGCCACGTGAGCAACGCTGAGAGCGGAGGTGTGTGTTTCAGGAGTAGGTAGCCTAGGGTTGTAAGCATAGAGTCCCACAGGCGTCTCGCCGAAGCTCAACGTGCCTCCCGTGTATAATTGGGACTCTAAGACTCGTCATCTAGTTTTTGTCATCATTTTGAGGGGAAGAATGGTGGTGGGAGGAGCGTGGCCGGGGAGAAGAGGGCGGGCGAGGTGGAGATACGTACGATGTGGGGGTGATGGGGTGATCGAGTGTTCTGAAACCACAAGTCTCAGAACGGGTATATGGTGAAGGGGATCGATGGGGAGAGGAAGGAAGACCGACTAGTCAGCGCGAGAAGCTTTGACCTCTGGGAGCCTCTGCCGTGCAAGAAAAAAGATGCGAAAAGAAAAAAGTTGCTCGAGGGGCGCCCACGCAAAAAACTGCGGGAATCTGCATTTTTTGGGATTGCAAGCAGGCGACGGGCTAACACGTTTGCTGAAAACCAATCGATCACAACGCGGCCGACAACATCCACGCCAGGTTCACCGCCGCGGAAGATGCACACAAAAGCTAGCCTGCTGAGGCAGGATGGCTAGCTCGAGCGTGTCGAGCTGTGCGTCAAGCTGCGAGTGACGCTCCAGCTCCGAAAGATCACGGTGAAAAGGCGGAGAAACGCCGAAAGAACAGACGACGCGGAGGTTACTCGGCCCATCCGACAAGCGGTCGGGTCTTCCCACGCCAAATCACACCAGCGTGGGATGCAGAGCAAAGGTAGGAACAGTTGCATGCAATCATCGTTCACCAGTAGCGGAAGGAGTTGCGGAAGATCCGGCGGTGGAGAGGTTGGGCCGCGAGTGTCTTCTTGTGGCCCCCGCGTAAAGCAGCGACTGGGCAATCTCCACATTAATTGGTTGACCGCCCTCAGCCGCAATCACACGCTCTGTCAGAAGAGAGCGAAACCAGCGCCCACGCTCAAAGCCTTTGGAAATCGCAGCAGCAGCGCACATCGGATCGGCCGTTTTCACCATCCGTCTAACCCTCTCCTCATCCACATCCTCCATCTGGCTGCATCTTCAACCTGCTCCCACCCGCTCCCTCGGCATCCACGACCTGCAAAACCGCACGACATCGGCACTCGCAACGCAATCCCCACCACCCCACCCACTTGAACCTCGGGCAACTCGGCAGCAAACACTTCATATCCCTCGCAACCCGCACGTCCCTCTCTCCACATCCCTCGATAACCCCCTACGAATCTGGCCCATCATGTCTGGCGAAGGTACGCGCATCATTCCCAATCACCCTAGGCTAGCGTGGCCTGCCGATCCGCTGTCCACCACGCCGCCCACCGCATGAGCGCACCCACTCACACCAGCTTCTTCTTCTGCTTTGCCTTGCATCCATCATTCACCCCGCTTTCGATGACCATGCCACGATTCTACTCGATGAACCGCCTCCATCACCACAGGTTGGCTCTTCCTTTTGTCGGTCCTGCTCTCGGCGGTCCTCCTCTTCACCATGGTCTTCTTCGTACGTATCCAAGCCGAGCCGCCATCCCTCGTACTTCTCCCGAGCCCATGCTGACCTCTGCCCTTGCGCAATGTGCCCGTCTCTTGCATCATCCGCAGATCATCATGTTCTCCGACTTGGAATGCGACTACATCAACCCCATCGACCTCTGCAACAAGCTCAACCAGGTATGTTGCCCCGCTCAACCATGCTTTCAGCCTATCACCCTCGACGCTGATCGTTCGTCCACTTTGCCGCACTGCAACAGTTCATCCTGCCCGAGATGGCGGCGCACGCGGTGCTCACGCTCTTCTTCCTGCTCAGCGGGCAGTGGGTGGCGTTCCTGCTCAACGCGCCGCTCGTCGCCTTCAACGTGAACAAGGTCATGAACAAGAATCACACGCTCGACGCCACAGAAATCTTCCGCACGCTCTCGGCGCACAAGAAACAGTGCTTCATCAAGCTCGGCTTCTACCTCGTCAGCTTCTTCTACTACCTCTACAGGATGATCCTTGCGCTCATTGCCGACACCGAGTAGACTACGCGTCGCGCACTGCCATCACCTCGCCACTTCTACCTCCAGCAGAGCGCGAGCCCATCCTCTTCACATCTTTTTACCCCTCTGATTCCGTCTGTATCAAATCTCAATGCGATCGGTGTAAATCCATCCTCTGCACTTCTGGCCTCCTGCGAGGCTCGCACGCGCCACTTGTCTGCAAGCTCTCACGCACGCACTGCTGTGGGGGCACACTTGAATTGGATCACACACAACCGCTACGAACCGGCGACGAGGATCGCATCGCCCGGATTGACGCTGCTGCCGGGCGGCTTGAGGATGGCCTTGATCGACGTTGCGCCCTCGGGTGCCAGGACGTCGATTTCCATCTTCATCGCCTCGAGGATCGCCACCTTTTGACCCGGCTCCACCTTGTCGCCCTTCTTGACCAGCACCTTCCACACATTGGCTGCCAGTCCCGACGTGATTGGGATCGCACTCTCATCTAACGCGCGCCATCACCATTGAGTCAGTCTGGGTTCTTCGATCTCGTTTCGAGGTTGGGTTGGGCGACTTACCGTTTGCGAAATCCTCGAGTGTTGCAGCGTCGTAATCAGTCTGTCCTGCAGCTTTCCGCTTGGCGGCCTCTTCGACTTCGTGCTGCCACTCTGCAAACAGCTTCTCCTCCTTCTGCTCGGCCTTTTGCAGCGACACGGCCTGCTGCTTTCGGAACGCCTCGGTTTCCTCCTGAATCGACGCCAAAAACGCCGACTGCTCGGCAACATCGAACACCGTCTCGCGCACCTTCCACCTGTACGTGCCCGCATCAAACTCGCGCAGCGCCTGATCGTACGTCGCCTGATCCACCTTTTCGAACTGGATCGTATCAAAGTTCTCAAACAGATATGGCTGCGTCGGTTGGAATCCGGGCTTGTCGCCGAACGTCGACCAGCAAGGCAGCGTTCGTCCCAGCAGAGCATAGCCTCCGGGACAGCTCACCGGATAGATGGCAAAACAGCTGCCGCCGTGACCGAGTGCGCCGGCGGGCGTGGTCAGTCGCGTGGGGTTGTACTTCTGACACCGCATGCGCTTGCGCGGGTCGAGCGGGAGCAGGATGGGCGTACCCATGAAAAAGCCCACCGCCACCGCAAGCTGGCGACATCCCACCACGGCTTCTTCCACCTCGCGCGTGCTGGCGTATCCATTAGCCTCGGCGAGGTACTCGCAGTTGTCCGGCAGATACACCGCCTTGGACCGCACCGTCTCCATGTATTTTTGGATGGACAGCTTCACCTCCGGATCCTCAAACGTCACGGGCAGCGTAAACTCGCGCGTCGGGATCTTGACCTCGCGTGCCGACGGGATCTGCGTCTCGATCTCCACCAGCCACTTGACAAGCGCCTCCAGATCATCCACCTTGGTCGGATCGATCTGGATCGTCACACTGCGCAGGTTCGGATTGAGATCCACAATCCCGCGGCTCGCCTTAGTCTTGGTCAGCTCGCGCACGAGCAACTCGATGCGGCACCGGTTGATGATGTCCGCCGTCATGTCGCCGTATTCCATGACCACGAATCGGTCGCCTGCCGACCGGATCTGCACCTTGGGTCGCTCGCCCGCCACCTCGTCGATGCTCGCGAGAATCGACTTGGACGCACCATAGTCGGCCTGCGCATACACCGGTGCATCGACCGCCATCTCGAGCGGCTCGACACCCTCGCTGCACTGCGTCTCGACAGCCTTGTGCACCTGCGAGAGGTAGCGAGCGATGCGACGCGCCACCTCCTGCGCCTGCGCATACGTCACCGCCACAAAGTGCAGCGTGTCGCTCGGCTTCATCTGTCCATCGCGCCACTCGCTCGCCACGACCGTGTTGGAGATGAGCAGGCCGCCCAGATCCGGTCCGTCGCGGCCGAGGATGACGGGCACGTCGCCGTTCATGTTGATGCCGCGCGACGAGTAGCCAAACTCGAGCACGTTGCTCGGATGCGAGCCGCCCTCGCCGCCGTCTTTGCGCGCCCACTTGTAGCGCGCGCCCTCGAGCCGGATGCCCGTGCGACTCGCCTGGTGCGACACCTTCCACGACCCGCCGTACAGCTTCTGCCGATCCTCGGCCGTCAGGAATCCGTCGTCGTCAAACGGTCCGGTCATGCACAGCAACGGCCAACCCTTGTCGCCGTTGCTCTCGTCGAACAGCCGGCTCAGTCGAGCCGCCTTGGGCAGCGAGTAGCTCGCCACCTGGCCGCTCGCAGCCACCTCGCTCGCGGCCGCGTCGAGCTCGAGCGTGTCACCAGCCAGCAGCGCGCGGCCCTGGTAGCCTCCAAATCCGAGCGACGGGCAGGTTGACTTGGAGTTGAGGTACACTGGCACCTCGGGCAGCCCACCGCGAATGCCCAGATACGAGCGGCATCCCGCTGCGCCCTGCGCGACCTTGGTGATCTTGAGCTTGCCGCCAGCGGGCACCACAAAGCGCGTGTACGCATCGACAGGCTTACCGTCGAGCGACATCTCCATCTCGGCGCCGGCGAGCGCCACGACGGCCGGGGCGTGGAAGAGAAGCTCGGGTCCGGCCAGGGTGATTTCGAGCGCCTCGGTTGCAGGCGGGTTGCCGACGAGCAGGTTGGCGATCTGGAGCGAGAGCGGATCCATGGCGCCGGCCTCGGGTACGCCGTGTCCGACACCCTTGCGGCCGTGCTGGTCCTGGACTGTAGTGCTGATGCCGCCCGTGATGACCTCGATGGCGCACGGGCGGTAGCGGAATCCCGAGGCGGGCGTGAGGAACGAGGTGAGCGTTGCACCCTGCGCAAACAGCTCCGACTCGACAATCGCGCGCAGCAGGCCCAGGTTCGTCGGCGTGCCCTGCACCTTGGAGCTGCCGAGCAGCGTGCGTGCGTCGCGGATGGCCGCCTCGCGCGACTCGGCCCACACGCACATCTTGGAGAGCATGGGATCGTACGATGCCGACACGGTGGTACCGCTGGCAACCCAGCCGTCGATGCGTGCATTTCGCACCTGGTCCGTTGCATACTCGACGTGCTGCAGCAGACCGGGCGTGGGAGCATAGTCACGGATCGGGTTCTCGGCATACAGACGCGCCTCGATCGCTGCGCCCTTGGGCCCCTCCTTCTGGAACGAGCGCAGCGTCTCGGCTGGGATACCGCCTTGGCCCGCGAGCTCGGTGTCGGCCTGGAGGAGCATGAGTGCGACCAGGTCAACATCGTAGCACAGCTCCGTGACGCAGTGCTCCACCTGCAGCCTCGCATTGACCTCGAGAAAGTAGAAGCTGGCCGTGTCGTCGTCGACGAGCATCTCGACGGTGCCGGCGCTGCGGTACTTGGCCGACTCGGCGAGCGCGACCGCACACGACGTCACCTTTTCGCGCAGCCCGGCCGTCTTGTGCACAAACGGCGACGGGCATTCCTCGATCACCTTTTGGTGGCGGCGCTGGATGCTGCACTCTCGCTCGCCAAAGTGGATCGCCTGGCCTTGGCCATTGCCAAACACCTGCACCTCGACATGCCTTCCCTTCTCGACGTACTTTTCGAGGAAGACGGAAGCGTCGCCGAAGAGCGCCTTGCCGCGCGAGGTGATCTTGTCGAACGCGCCTGTGAGCTCGTCGGCGCTGCGACACACCTGCAGACCGAGTCCACCGCCGCCTGCGGTGCTCTTGAGGATGACGGGGTAGGTGATCTTCTCTGCCGCCTGCAGTGCTTCGTCGGCGCTGTTGAGCAGGCCGGTACCAGGCACGCAGGGGACACCGGCGCCTTCGGCCAGCGCACGCGCCTGGTGCTTGAGGCCGAACGAGTTGATCGTCTCGCTGCGCGGGCCGGCAAAGATGAGTCCCGGCGTGGACTCGACGAGCTTTGCGAAACCTGGGTTCTCTGATACGAAGCCGTAGCCGGGCAGGATGCAGTTGGCGCCGGTGCGCTTGCAGATGTCGATCATCGCGGCCTGGTCGAGGTAGCCCTTGCCGTCGGATTCTTTGCCTTCGAGTAGGAAGGTCTCGTCGGCTGCACTTGCGTGCGGCGCAGCGGCATCGTCGTGCGTGTGCACCGAAACTGTCGCCAGACCCAGCGCCTTGCATGTCCGGATCTATAGACGCAAAGGTACGGGAACGATCAGCGTCTGTCGGATAAAAAGCCCGGCTCCCTGATTGCGACCTTGTGAACTTACCAGACGAAGCGCAATCTCACCACGGTTGGCGATGAGGACTTTGCGCAGGGCCTGCGGCCGGAAGCGCGGCTGCGAGGCCGTGAAGCCCTGTTGCTCGATGCCAGCCATGCTGTCTTGCCTCTCAGCTGGCTGCCAGTGAATTCTCGAAGGTTGTGACGGTGTAGTTGTCGTTCCTGCGTCTTTTCGGCGGTGGGAACGCTCCTTTGTAGTGTGTGGATGGTGTGAGGGTACAGAGCCGGAGATATTACACAGCTACACGTAGCTATGAGCAAGGAGGCGGTTCGTGCAACACCGAGTATCTTGCTGGAGCGTTCAGTCGTGCCTCTGCTCGATGTAGGAGGCTGCGGATTCGGAAGTGCGGGGCAGATTGGCGCCATGTGCTGCTCTGATGTGGGCAGGCAGACGCTATCTAAGCCCAATGGTTTGCCCGCTCATCGGCCAATAGAGCCGGCCAACTCGTTAGCAGGCAACGGCGATACATAGCCGAATGCTCGCAAGGCGGGCAGCTGTCCCACGAGGCCGCATGACCTCTCCGTCTCGCTTGAGTGTGGAGGCAACCTGGCGTGTGCACAGGCCACATGCACGTTCGGCCCTTACGTATTCCTCGGCAGTGGTGTTATCGCTCCGCCACGTGCATGGCTCCAAAGCCGGAGCGGAGACCTTGTCCATCAAGATGAAGCTGACGTGAACACCCGCTAGCCCTGCAAGCAAGCATACTTTCGAGCTACATCATATCACGGTGAACTCGCTGGTGTTCTCGCTGAAGAGCAGGGGGGCCGGGTGAATTGCTTTTTTGACAGGGTCGGACGGCGAGCAGACCAGAATTGCGGCTGCGTGCTGTTGGAGCCCGGAGTGGAACGCTGCGAGTGCGAGGCTCGGGATCGGGTTGTAGCGCGGGGAAAGTGGGGCGGTTGGAGGCGCGGTTGGAGCGGCTAATCTTGAGACGCCTGGACATCTCGGCGTTCAAGTAGCGCCGATGGCGTGCCTCCACTCTGCAGAGCCGAATGCGAGCCAGCGACCTGCCGCCTTGCTATCTTGTTCGCTGGCGGCTTTCCCTTTTGACTTCGACATACTCGCAACAGGAGCATCCCTTCAAACATCTTTGCGCGAATTGTGACGAAACATGTCGGCCAGAGCTCTGCCCCAGAAGATCGAGGTAAGCTCGAGTCTTGGCCAGCCAGCGCGAAATGTTTGGGAGGCGCCACTGACCAAATTCCCTTTGGTTGGCAGATCAACTCGGATATGGGCGAGGCGTTCGGGCGGTGGCAGCTGGGCCCGGACGAGGAGCTGATGAAGTATATCGACGTAGCCAACGTGGCGTGCGGCTTCCACGCGTCGGACCCAGTGACGTTGCACAAGAGTGAGTGCCGACTAGCACTATAAGCAGCGCCGACAGAATGCTGACAGGACCCTATCTTCGACAGCCGTCAAGCTCGCCAAGAAGTACAACGTCGCCGTCGGTGCTCATCCTGGCTTTCCCGACCTAGCTGGATTCGGTGAGTCGAGTCGTGTTTTAGCGCTCATGGCGGTCGAGGCATTGTGCTGACTTTGCGCCTCATCTTCACGACGCCGTGCTCGGTCTTTCAGGTCGTCGACGCATGGAACTGACAGAGGAGGAGGTGGCGGATATCATCACCTACCAGATCGGAGCGCTGAAAGCATTCTGTGACCTGGAGGGAGTTCCTCTGAACCACGTCAAGGTAAGCTGGGGTCGTCTATTTGGCTTGTAGTCAGGATCGCCGCTGACACGCCAGCACGGTTCGCATCTGTCGATCTGCGTCAACGTGCCTGCAGCCGCATGGAGCGCTATACTTTTATCTGAAGAACTCGCGCAGCCACTGCGAGGCGGCCTACAAGGCGATCAAGCCGCTAGGCGTTCCAGTGTGTAAGTAGCAAGAAGTGCTGTTCGCTCGTTGTTGTCGAGATGATCGGCAAGGCTGATGCGCGTTCCTTTTGGTTGACAGACGGACTGGGTGGAACGGTGCACGAGGAGGTGGCCAAGGAGCTGGGCATAGCGTTTGTGCCGGAGCTGTTCGTGGACATCGAGTACAGCAAAGAGGGCGCTCTCATTCCTCCTGCGCAGAGCAAGAAGATCACGCCGCAGGAGAGTGCGGAGCGCGCACGCAAGGTGGCCGAGACGGGCAACAACTATGCGCAGGGCGGCGGCGAGGTCAACATGCCCGAGTTTGGGCATGCCGACAATGGAGGCAAGTGCAAGCCGTTTTCGATTTGCATCCACAGCGATCTTCCCGGAGCGGAAAGTAGAGCAGCAGAGTAAGTGGGCCCAAAGAGGGAGCAAGTCCGCATGGCGACATGTGCTGATCGTGCTTACCTCTTCATCGGACTGCGGGAATGAACAGGACTCGAAAGACGGTGGACGAGCTCAACGCCAAGATGTTCCCTGGTGCCTAGTGTATCAAAGATAGGTGCGCATGCGTTGCAGCTGTAAGGAAGCTGTTTCGTCTTCGAGGCACAAGTGCATCTGTGAATGATTCTCTCGGGAGAGAGACTCGAGTGATGATAGCGGGTGGTGAGGTGCGGGCGGTGCGGGAGGCGAGCGGCGCTTTGATCTGTTAGCGCGCGCCCAAAAATAGCGTCGTGTTTGATCGACAGGTCCGGCTTGGGGCTGCCTTGGTCGGTCGGAGGCTGCAGCCAGCGATCAGCAGGCGGTGGCGCGTGTTGCACTTTGAATTTAAAAGCGGGACTTGAGGCCCAGGCAAGCTGGCAAGAAGGCACTTGAAATCACTTTTGAAATGTGCGGCCAAGCGCGTTGTTGGCTTGGTTGCTGGTTGGTCGCGAGCCTTCTGGCCCGCACTTGCGTGTCGATGCACGGCGCGTATGCGTGAGGTTGGCGTTTCCCAAAAGAACGTTCGGAGGTGCCGAGCGTGGCTTTGCTGCCGTACCGTACAGCTTGGCGTGGCTAGTCGGCCATCTGCGTCACCGCAGTCTTACAGTCACGCGCGCTCTTGCGAGTGACAGCCTCGGATCGTCCGAAGAAGGCAAATGAGGATGATTAGGGCAGAGCATGAGAGAGAGAGGGTGTGTTGGTGGTGGGGCCGCTGCTCAGTGCAGCGGAAGAGCGTCGTCGGTGCCAACCAACGGACGGGCGGGCGGGCGGCGCGCTGTTTGCGTGGAATTTCCAAGCTGGACGCGGTGTGCGGTGTCTCAGGTCAGAGCGCCTGGCAACACAGTCGGTGGGCGGCTGCGAAGTTGGGCTGGCGGATCGCATCGCATCACGTCGCATCTCGCCTTGCCTCGCCCCCGCCCTCGCCCTGGCCGTGTTGAATTTACTCGACTGAGTGACTGGCTGGCTGGCTGGCTGGCTGGCGGGCGCGGGCAGACCGACGGTCTCTGAAGCGCATCGACCGCACAATCGCGCTATCGGGACTGCACCCTCTCACCCACGCCGTCGCCCGCCGCCAACACCTCCTCACTCCTTCTCTCCACTGCTCATCGTCACTCTTCACACACTACCCGTCGCCTCTTCCGACCTTCGTGCTTGCAGACATCTCCGGCACCTCTCGGCTTCGTCCTCCAGCGGTGCACTCCAACGCTCGCGCGTCGTTCCGCTCGCCCTCCGCCAAACTCCAGCCAGACGCTCATTTCGTCAGCTTGAGCTGTCCACCTTCGGCTCGTTCCGTCATCCTTGCACATCACATTCTCCGTCGTCCAGCCGGCTTCCAACACCTCTGCACATCTCACCAACGCACTTCTCGTCCGAGCGCATTGGCTGCTCACCGTGCTTCCCGCAGCGCTGCTTGCCTGTCTAACCTCAACCACTCCGTATCGCAGCATTCTTGACCACGCACAGTCATCATCGCAGCGGTCGCTTTCCGACCTTTCGACGTACACCACTCTACCATTCACCAACCACCCTGACGCAGTCCACATCGTCCCTGTTGATCAGGTCCATACGTCACAATGAAGGGCCTTAAGAAAGCGATGGTACGTACTGGCCCGCCCGCCCCGACCACCCTTCCTCGCTAACTGCCGACTGATCCGTATCGCCCCTCCTTCATCGCCACTTCTCCATGCTCGTCCCCTTCAATGCTCACCTTTGCCCACCGCACAGAATTTGTCGCGTTCCAAATCCAACGACTCGAACGGCAACCGAGGCGCATCGGCAGGCGGAGGTAGCGTCCCAGCCCCGCCTCCCAAGGGCGGTTCTGTCCCTTCCAATCCAGCGTATCAGGGCTCTCTCAAGTCCGCCGCCAGCAGCAAAGACGCCGCATCCAGCTCCGCCTCCAGCTCCTCCAGCTCCCTCGCCGCTTCCAGAGCCAACAACGTCGCCGCCAACCCCATCTACTCCAACAGCAACAATAACAACAACTATCCCGCTGGTCAAGGTACGCCCGATCGAAAATTGAACCCCGCCGGCGTGAATCACATCTTGGCTGACAAGACGCCACCTGCTCCCCCCGTCGTCGTCGTCTCTCCAGAGATGCCCGCAGATCCCATCCCACACTCGGTCGCCACCACCTCTCAGCCCTCTTCTTCCATCACCCCTTTCCATCACACAGGATCTCCCGGTTCCCCTCCACCCCCCGGCGCCGCAATGGCCTCCTTGAGCAGCACAGGCATCGCCGCTTCCGAGCTCGCCACCCCTCCCAAGGCTGGAACCCTCAACCGTCTCCGCCAAGGCCCCTCCAACCCTGGGCCCAAGGACACCATCCCAATCACCGCAAAGACGCCCCCGCGCAAGCAGAGGAGCTCCCGCTTCCACGTCACAGAAAAGGTCGAGCTCGAAAAGCTCCCGCACTTCAACGGTACGTTCCGTCGCTCCCAACTTCACTCTCCCTTTTCATACCAACTGACACCACATCTCATCCTCTCCTCCCCCCCCCCCCTTTTTTTCGCCAAACAGAGGTCATGCCGTCCGACCGCCCCGACCTCTTTGTAAGAAAGTTGCGCCAGTGCTCGGTCGTATTCGACTTCAACGATGCCAGCCAGGAGCTCGAAGGCAAGCAGATCAAGGCGGCCACCTTGCACGAGATGCTAGACTACATTACCACCAACCGCAAGGTCATCACCGACGAGGTCTACCCCGAGGTCGTCGCCATGTTCTCCGCCAACCTCTTCCGCTCCATCCCGCCACAGGTCAACCCCGTCGGCGAGGCCTTCGACCCCGAGGAGGACGAGCCCGTGCTCGAGCTCGCCTGGCCCCACCTCCAGATCGTCTACGAGTTCTTCCTCCGCTTCGTCGAGAGCCCAGACTTCAACACCAACATTGCCAAAAAGTTCATCGACCACCACTTTGTCCTCCAGCTCCTCGAGCTCTTCGACAGCGAGGACCCGCGAGAGCGCGACTTTCTCAAAACCACCCTCCATCGCATCTACGGCAAGTTCCTCAACCTCCGCGCCTTCATCCGCAGGTCCATCAACAACGTCTTCTTCCAGTTCATCTACGAGACCGAGCGTCACAATGGCATCGCAGAGCTCCTCGAGATCCTCGGCTCCATCATCAACGGCTTTGCGCTGCCGCTCAAGGAGGAGCACAAGACCTTCCTCACCCGCGTCCTCATCCCACTCCACAAGGTCAAGAGCCTCGCCCTCTACCACCCGCAGCTCGCCTACTGCGTCGTCCAGTTCCTCGAGAAGGACAGCGCCCTGACCGAAGAGGTCCTCCTCGGCCTCCTCCGCTACTGGCCCAAGGTCAACTCGCCCAAGGAAGTCATGTTCCTCAACGAGGTCGAAGAGATCCTCGACGTCATCGAGCCGTCCGAGTTTGTCAAGATCGAAGTGCCCCTCTTCCAGCAGCTCCAGCGCTGCATCAACAGCCAGCACTTCCAGGTCGCAGAGCGAGCGCTCTACTTTTGGAACAACGAGTACATTGTCAACCTCATCGGCGACAACGTCCAGGTCATCCTCCCCATCGTCTTCTCGGCGCTGTACCAGAACTCCAAAGCGCATTGGAACCGCACCATCCATGGACTTGTATACAACGCCCTCAAGCTCTTCATGGACATCAACCCGGCGCTCTTCGAGATGTGCACCAACGAGTACAAGCAGCAACGCCAGATGGAGAAGCAGAAGCTCCACGAACGCGAAGAGGCATGGAAGCGCCTCCGCGACACCGCCATCAAGAACAGCAAGGCCATCGGCGTCGAGCCGCCCGCCACGCTCAAGGACGAGCAGGCAGCCCCCGCCGGCAGCGTCAACCCCTACGACCTCGATGCCTTTGACTCGGCGGCCGATCTCACCGCCGGCGCCGAAAGCTTGTTCGAGGCCATGGGCCAAGGCATCAATGGCGAGGTCTCCACGGCGGACTTTGACGATGTCGAATCCAACCGCCTTGCGCAAGAGGGCGCGGCGCAAGAACCTCAAGTCGCGGGCGAAGACAGCGTCGACGATATGGTACGTTGATTCCTGCTTGCAGCAGCGCGCAGAAGCCTGGCAGCCTCGCCCAAGACGCACTTCAAGACGCGGAGCTCTCCTGGGCTCGCAGTGCGCCTGGCAACCGTCAGCCTGCGAGAGCTGGCAATGCAGCGTCAGTTTGGTTTGCGGCGTGCCTAACTCGCCCACCGCTTTCATTTTCTTGATGCACGTCATTCTCGGTGCTGCCCTGGGTCGAACGTCGACAGAAGGACTTCCCAGAGACGGCGCGCCAACAGGTCGGCAAGCAGGAGTCGCCACACGTCCGACGCAAGAGCGTGATACCCATGGACCCCACGGTCCTGGCCGAGCTCGCCGGTCACAAGAGCCTGGATGGGTAAGTGCGCGCGTGCGCGGTACGAATGCGATGTCGTAGCGCTTTCCACTGACCATTGTTGGCTGTCTCTTCTCGTTCTTGCGACCACAGTGCGGACTTGCCCAAGCCATCAGGTGATGCATAGATGCTGTCGCGCGGCAGTAGGCTCAAGCAGGCTCAAGCAGGCTGATGGGAGGACGCGCTGGAACCGTTGTCTCTGGATCCACAAGCCGCATATGCAAGTGTGAGCGCGGTTTGGACCACCCGCCCGAGGTGGGACGACCGTCTCCTAGATTGCTTCATAAGACGTGACCGTCGACGCCCACAGCTTGCGCGCATGTGCGACCACACCGCTTTCCATCCGCAACCAACCCTGATGCCCGCTCCCTCTCCCCTCTTTCCTTTTTCCTCTCCATGCCCTCAATTATGTTCGTTCGTGCTGTTGGTTTTGTTGGCGTTTGGTGTTCTTTCTTCAATCCCACATGGTTTTTCGCAAGTTGCGCTGGTGATTGATGAGGAGCGGGTTGTGCAGGTGGGGAAGGTGGGATTGGAATGAAGTCGCAGGGGGTTTTGGGGGGTGGTGAAGGATTAAAGTTCATTTGGACCCACGGTTGGTGTGTGGTGGGTTCGTGCTGCGATTAGGATAACAAGCCGTCACCTTTCCAGATGGACAGCAACTTGCCGTCAGACCACGATCTACAACGACACACACGATGAAGGTACTGTCTACGATTTTGATGCTGGGAGCGTTTTGCATGATGGTTGTGGCCAGTACGCAGAGGGTTGGCGACGAGTGCAACTGGTCCAAGAACTGCCAGCAGTATGCGGATGGTGTAGGACCCGACTGGGCCAAAGGTCGCATCACCTGCGCTGTTCCCCAAGACCACAGCCCCGACTCTTGCGGTTCCGGTAACGATAACAGAAACAACTTCTACGGGTAAGTCCTCCCCAAACCCCCCCTCGAATCACGATCATCATTCTGACGATCCGGCTCGATCGATATAGAACTTGCAAGGCTGTCGGAACTTTATCTGCTACCGAATACGGTTGCGAATGCGGAGTCCACAAAGGCGACTGCCCCCAAACTCCCCCTTTCAACCGCATCTTCTGGCCCCAGAACTGGATGGCCGACGCCTGGGCAAAGGTCGGCCATTAACCGCAGCCTCAACTCCTTCCGCACCCCATGGCTCCACGCACCGTCCCAGACTCTCGGTTACTCCTTTCATAGCCCCTTCAAGATCGCAATCCTATCTCATATCCGTGACAATGCAGCACACACGCCTGACCTCGTTCTGCTACGTCTCGCATTGCGCGCAAGCCTAGCTCGGCCGCGGCCGATTGTGATTGCGCGAGTTCTTGAGCGGCATCGGCGCGATGTTGACCGCCCCCCGCGCGCCCGCCGCTGATGGCATGAACGTCCGCGGAAGTGTCAACCGCTTCGCCGACCCGCCTGCCGCCGAGTCCCTCGACCCTCCGAGTGAGCTGCGAGCCGTCTTCGATGCGGCCGCTGGCGCTGCGGGCCGTGAACTTCCGAGCGACGACCTGCCCGTACGCGCCGCCGCTGCAGCGGGCGCCGCCTCGTTGTACGTGTACTGTTCGAGATTTGCCGCGGCCAGTAAGGCGCTCTTGCGCGGAGCCGCGCGGCCCTGCGGCGTGGATGCCGCCGTCGCCGTTCTTGCTGGCGTGGAGGTGCTCGAGCTGGCCACCGGGCGCGGTGGGACGTTGCTCGACGCCTGATCCCACATGCGCTGGTGTTCGCGCTCGCTGCCTTTGTGTTGCACTCGAGTCGCCTCGACGTGCCGCCTGCAAATTCGGACGAAGCGAGTCGCGTACTTGCGGAACCAGCGGTTCGGGTTCTCGAGCTTCGCCAGCGCCAGGTCCGTGTTGGTCGGCAGGAAAGCGCTGAGCTCGTACAGCAGCTCGTCCGGCACGAACTGCGATACCTGCACGCCTTCCTTCTCCGCGAGCTTGGCGTTGAGCTGCTTGAGCTCGCGGAAACACTGGTCCTGCATGTTACTGCTGCGCTGATGGTCGATGACAAAGTCGTCGTCATCGCTGTCGCTGTAAGCATCGCGCGTCGCATCGCCGCCCGTCGCCGCTAACAGCCCGTCGTCGTCCGAATCTCGGTCCGGGTCAAAGTCTTCGTGCAGCACCTCTTCGGGGATGTCAAAGTCTTCGTCGCCGGCGGAAGGGCCCGCGTTCGCGCCGCGATTGCCGTGTGCCCCGCGCGGGCTGAGGCTGACGTGCGAGATGTCGTGAGCGTCGTCATCGAATTCGGCAAAGTCGGAGTCCCGTATTCTGCGCTGCTGTTGTTGCGGGTTCGGACGGCTGGAGCTCGCCTTGGCTGCTGTGGGCGGACCATCCTGCTCGAACTGCATGGTGATCTTCTTGCGCCCGTCAAGCACCGTCTTGGCCTGCGGACCTACGTGCAGATACGCATTGTTGAAGCCCATCTTGTTCTTCAGCATGCGCTGCCGGAAGACCTTTTCGGCGCAGAGCAGCTCGAACAGTCGCTTGGCTTCGTCGACCTTGAACTGTGATCCTGCTCCGTGCATCTCGATCTGGTGGTGACCGGCCCGGGTGATCTCCTTCCTACGGCTGCCGCGAAAGACGTCGACGCAGTACGACAGCGTCAGCTGCGACCGATTGTCGGTGAGCTTCTGCACGAGCCGCACCGCCTTCTTGGCCATCTCGGTGACGTCCTCCGTCCGGATCGTGTCGCCCTTGCGGCAGCAGTTGTCGCATGTGTTGTGACACATGGCCGCAGAGAAGGTCTCGCCGAAGTAGCGCAAGACCTGGACGCGACGACACTCGATCTTGTTGTTGCAGAACCGTGCGATGTCGTCGAGCGACTGGATGGCGCGCTCCTTGGCCTCGGGGCTCTTGTCCTCCTCCTTCTCGATCATGCTCTTCATCTTGTTGATGTCGGCATAGTTGTAGTAGAGGATGCACACAGAGCTCTTGCCGTCGCGACCAGCTCGACCCGTCTCCTGATAGTAGCCCTCGAGCGACTTGGGCGCCGAGTGATGGATGACGAAGCGGACATCGGGTTTGTCGATGCCCATACCGAACGCGATGGTGGCGACGATGACCCTGAACTTGTTATGCTGCCACTTTTGCTGCACCATGGCGCGGTCGTCGGCGCTGAGCTTTGCGTGGTAGTGGTGCGCCGAGATGCCGTACTTGGTGCTGAGATCGTGAGCCACCGTCTCGCAGGACTCGCGGCTGAAGCAGTAGATGATGCCGCACTGGTCCTTGTGCGACGTCAGGATGAGGCTCGAGATCTCCTCGAGCACCTTGTTGCCAGGCTTGGGCCGCACCTGGTACTCGAGATTCGGCCGGTTGAAGCTCTGCGAGAGCTGGATGACGTCCTTCATGTGAAGGTGCTCCTTGACGTCCTTGATGACGCGCTCGTTGGCGGTGGCGGTGAGGGCCATGATCGGGACGTTTGGGTAGTCGTCGCGCAGAGCTCCGAGCTCGGTGTAGTGCGGACGGAAGTCGTGGCCCCACTGGCTCACGCAATGCGCCTCGTCGACGACGAAGCGAGCGATGCGCTTGCGCCGATGAAGATCGTTGAGCAGCGTCTTGGCCTGATTGGACTGTCGGATGAACTCCGGCGTGACGTAGATGAGTCGGACCGCGCTCTGGCTGGAAAGGGCCTCGGCGCAAACGGTCTGCTTGTCGGCATGCTTCATGTCACCTGTGAGCTTGGCGGCGATGATCCCGAGAGAGAGGAGATGGCGGACTTGATCCTGGATGAGGGAGAGGAGGGGCGAAACGACGATGGTGATCCCTTTCGTCGAGCCTGAATCGACACACGCCGGGAGCTGATAGCATAAGGACTTGCCACCACCGGTAGGCATGAGCACGAAGACGTCGCGACCCATGAGCGTACCGTTGATCGCCTCGAGCTGGTTGGCACGGAAGCGCTTGAGCTTGAAGAAGTGGCGCATCGTATACACGACGTCTCGCGTCCACTTGTGGTCTGGCATGGTGCTGACGACATCCAAGGAGAGCGTGTTCTGCATCGACGGACCGCGTTGCGCGAACTTGACCTCCTCGGGCAGGTCGTCGTCGTCGTCCTCCTCCTCCTCGTCGTCCTCCTCCTCCTCGTCGTCCTCGTCGCCTGCGTGGTCAAACACGTCGCTATCGTCGTCGTTCTCGTCCTCCTGGTAGCCACCGAATGCATCCGGAAGGCGATCGTCGCTACGACCAGCCGAGAGCTGATTGAGCCCTTGAAGAAGTCGTGAGGTTGGTGGCGGAGGTGTTTGTGGCCGTGGGGATGAGGCACGGACGGCTGCTGCAGGGGGCTGTTGAGACAGCTGCCGGGCGAAGTCGGACGACCATCCGTCGTCTTCGCTCGAAGGGAGGTCGTTTCCCGTCGTGTCCGGGAATGGCGCGTCCTGAGGCTGGACAGGCGCCGTTGAGGAGATCGACGCGATGGGCGCTTGTGGTCGCCATCTGCTCCGCTCCGATGACGACGGAGGGCCTGCGTCAGTTCGGAAGACTGACGAGGGAGTCGGGTCGTTGGCGGTGTTCGCCGGCGCGGGAGTCAAGGCTCGTCGTTCTCCAAGGACCTGGAACGAGTCCGAAGCGATGCGAATGGCCGACTCGGGCTGGCGCGGCGGAGGAGGTCTTGAGGCCGGCTGATCGGGCTGCACAGGGCGCCTTCGAGCGCTGTCGCTGCGGGCCTCACCCAAAAGACGTGCGCGTTCGGCGGTTTCGCGATAGCGCAGCATTATGTCGAACTCGTCGTTCCATTCACGCCAAGCATCGGCGTCTTCGAAGGCGTAACGTCGCTGAGCCAGGCGCATAAGGCGATCGAACAAGGAGATCGTGTTGAAGTCGAAGTATGCCTTGAGCTCGACCTTGGTCATGTAGTCCAGCTCGTTGTCGGGGGCGCTAGAGCGCGCGAGACTTGAGGCGCGGGATAGAGAGCCGCTAGATGCAGGCTGCGGATCGCGTGCTGCGGAACGCGGGCTGTTGATCGCGCTGGTGCGGGACGGATCGGCACCGCTGGGCCGCATCCTCTTGTGCGCAGCGTCGGACGAGGTGACGTCAGCGAGGTGCCTTTTTGGTGAGGGACGCTGTGTCGTCACCGTGGTGTCCCGATGGTTGGAGCGATCCGCGAATGCGGGATCATCGTCCTCGTCGTCGATGAAGATGGTTTCGGACGTGCCGTCTGCGGCCGTTTGACGGCGATATGGCAGATCGTGCATGGATGTAGATGCTGGCATGCTGCTGTACGGGCGGCCAAGTCGATCAGCCTCGAGAGCGGAAAGGGAAGAAGTGATCTGTTCTGCCACTCCTACTCACCTCGACTTGTGCGGATCACGCGGGTGGCGTGCCTCTTCTTCAGGAGTCGGCGTGCGTCCAAGTGGACCGGGCACGTCCAGAGCTGTTGTAGATGCCGACAGGGGGGCTTGATGATGACGATGAGATGCGAAGATGAACCAATCGCGATCGATGAGCGGGATGTGCTTCGCGGCTGAGTCGAGGCCGCAGCCAGAGTTACGCGATGCGGTGTTCCAAGGCCGACTCCGCTGCCGTGAGGTTGAAGTCACGGCTAGGACGAGAGTGTCCAGAGAGCTTGGCTGCTCCTTTCTGATGCGTTCAGCCGGCAATGAGGGTGCGAGAGTGGATCGTAGTTGATTGATGGTGTTGGGACAAGAGCGGGAGCGTCGACCGACTGGGGTGCGGATCGGGACGAGCGCGGGCTCATCAGACGCGTCCCGCTGGCGTTAAAAGTGCGGTTTGGAACAGGAAAGTGCTGTGCGGCAGAGGATGGATGGCAGCGATGCTGTTGCTGCGGATGCTGATGTGGGCGATGGCGATGCTGAATGGAAGACGAGAATGAAGCTGCGGCCCATGCATGCGTGTGCTGCGGTTGCTCCGCTTCGCAGCCTTAAAGTCACGCTAACACTTCCCTGTGATGTTCGGCTTCGCGGTAAAAGTGTTAATTGCGGGTTCTCGCACCGAGGGCGCATCACTCGGGACGCGTTCCGCGTCGCCCAAATTTCGTGAGCCTGCAGCTTGGGCCGCAGGATGAGCGCAGAGGGGTCGGCGCAGAAATTCGCAGCTCAGCCACCCCAGAGGGTGGATCTTTTGAGTGAGGCCTTGTTAGCTCGCCGTGTGGAGGCAGCGGCCAGGCTCACGTGATGCTCGAGTGGAAAAAAGTGGCGGACGGAGGACCCTTTTGAGATTTTTCCAACGAGGCGCAATGGAACTCTCTCCCATCCAGGCGACTCGACCACCACCACCAACCCAACTTGGCCGCTTCAATCTCGCGCCAATGAGCCTCTGAGAAGACGCATAGCGAGCGACACGGATCTGGCGACCAGGCTCTAGGACGACGCAGAGGAGCCCGAGAGGAGACGGCAGAGCACACGGCTCCAGACGGGCGGATGGACGCTTCACTCGGCACGGCCTTGATCGCGAGTCCGGGCGCGTGCAGCGACCCATTCTCACTCACGCCGGAACTGATCCGATCGCAGTCGATGGCCGGCGAATCCGACGATGACTCGGCCCATCCGACACCCTCCGCCATGACGCCCGCCGCAACCTCCTGTCCGAGCGAGTCTTGGCCCACCGCCAAGACGCGCAGCGATCCACCCCACCGCGCCGAGGACGAGGTGCGCAAGATCCACTACATCGACTCGCCCGCCCAAACCATAGCTCCACAAGCTGGTCTTCCCTCCGCTACGATTCCGACGGCCGTGGCTCCCAGTCAGGCTTCGGCTGCGGCTGCCGGCTCGGAACCTCCGGCAGCGACAGCACTGGCAGCGATTCCGTCGGCACCAGCGCCCGACCAAGCCCAAAGCGCTGCTGCTGCTCCCGTTGCAGCCCAGTCTATTGCGACTGCACCATCCTCTGCAGCATCCACCCCTGCCTCGACACCAGCCGCCGCTCCGCAGACGTTTGCTCGCAAACGAGGAAGGCCACGCAAGCATCCGCTGCCCGATCCCAACAATCCTCCGCCCCCCAAACCCAAGCGCAAGCGAAGTGCGGATGCCGACTCAGCCTCTCTCCAAAGCAAGGCTACCGCTGCCGCTGCTGCCGCTTCCGCTCGGTCCGCTGCCTCCAACACCGGCTCTCTGCTCTCCGTCCCCGACCTCGGCCGACTCATCCCGCAAGGCTCCTCCTCGGACAACGCGCAGGACTTTATCAAGAACAACCTGCGCCTCTTTGCCGACCTCTTTGTGGCGCTGCAGAAGCAAGCCATCACCGATGGTTCCGGTCGAGATGAGCCCAGCATTGAGGCCAGCCACCCTGCTCCCACCGTCCCACTTCCTGCCAGTGGTACGTCCACCGAATCACACGCAAGTGCGCAAACTGGCTCTGCGTCTTCCTCGACGACATTGCCGTCCGGCGCCGCCGCTCCACGAACCAGCATCTCTGCGCCGAGCGACGGTCTACGCGACGAGATCAAGAAAAAGATGGCCGACGTCACCAAGGGGCGCGAAGCGATCCAGGCCGAGATGCTCCAGATGCGCGTCGACGCAAGCTTTTTCGAGAACGCGCAAAAGACGGTGGACGAGCGCATCATCATTCTACGCGACCGCATCGCCAAGCATACCGCTACGCTGCAGCGCGAGCGCGAAGCCACTCGCCAGGCGCGCGAGGCGAGCCGCCAGGCCAAGAAGCATCGCAAGGCAAAGCAAAAGGGCCTGCGCGACTCGGAGAGGGAGGAACGCCGGCTCGCTCAGACCTTCATGCAGCTCGAGCGCGAGATCGCCGCAGAAGAGGAAGAGCGTCGGCGACTCGAACAGGCCGAATCCAGCGCAGACGAAGACGACGATGGCGATGGCGATGGCGAGGCTCGTACGGATGCTGCTCCGGACAGCGCCACAGCAGGTCAGACCCACTGGGACACGCTCGAGCAGCTGCGTGCTCTCGACCCGGCCATCATTACCGCAAGCCCTTCAGAGGCTACCTCGATGTCGGCCACCGCCACTCCGTCCGTTTCCAACGACACGCCCTCAGCACAGGATCGCGCGATCGGATTCAGCGACGAGGAGCTCGCCAAAGTCCTCGGCATCTCCACCACCGAGCTCGCCGGCTTCAGCCAGACGCTCGACATCCCCAGCTTCCAGCCTGCTGCGCACGACCAAGGCAGCGCCCAACACGGCTCGCTTCTTGGCATTCCAGCGGCACACTCGGACCAGCCAGCAGACAGTACCGACGGCGCATCTCAGGATGCCTTTGATGTCGCCGCCTTTCTCGAAATGGCCTCGTCACTCGGCGCTGTAGCCTCCACCGATGCGGCTCAGCCTTCATCCGGCGATGCATCCTAGCAAACTTCCGCGTGTTAGGGCCGCCTCAACACCAACCCAAAAGCATCTTGATTTATCCCGCTCAACCCCACACACTTTTGTACTTTTACACAATCATCGTCCCACCATGCTATCGCTTCCGTGTAATCATCAAGCGTTTATCCCTCAACGTTTGTGACCGAGCGTGGGTTTGCCAAAGGTAATGAATTGCGCAGAGGTTCTAGAAGTCGGTGGCACGGCCGCCGTAGGTCCATTCCTTGTCGTACTTGAGTGGATCATTCTTGGGGCCGCCGATTTCGCCCGTGCTCGGGTTGGTTTCGCCCTCAAACTCGGGGCGGGGTTTCCTGCGCGCGTCGGGGTGCATGTCGCCCTTCTCAGGATCCGATGCCAGGAACGGCGATGCATCTGCAATGATACACAGAATGAAGGATGTTCGGTCAGTCTACGGAGCTTGGCTGAGTTGGATGATCGCTGCAAACTTACTCTGCTTCTGCTTTACCAGGTTCTCAAACTCCTTCTGCTCCTGCGCCGGAAGAGGCGGTGGGCCGGGACGGTTGAATCCTCCCGAAGCTCGCACCGCGCTGGTGACAAGCGTCCTGCGAGCCACCAAGTGAGTAGCCATAGCCGTACGCGGAAGCATGCTTGTTGTCGCCTTGAGTAATGTCATGTTCGAGTGGTGGGATCAGTCGGATGATAGATGGAGTGAAGGTGTGAACCAGGGTCAAGCCCGCACTTGTGGAGGTTTGGTGGCGAGGTGAGCTTGTCCCGAGAGCGTTAGAGTTGCTTACGTGATTCGGATCGCGCCGGAAGCCTTCGTTCTAACACTTTCAATTTATTCCGTCCGGGCAGAACCAAAGCAGCGCCGAGCAAGACAGACAGACAGCCGCGCCACCTGCCAGCTTGTGCATGCCGACCACGATGCGCCTTCAGCTCACGAAGGGGTCAAAGCCACCGTACGCAATGGCACTTTTCTGCTCATCAGTTGCAGGTCCTCCATTAAAGCTCAAGTGTAACAAATGCCTCGCAATGGCGCATGCAAGCTCCTCTATCGTTTCTCAGCGTCTGAGCTGCTGCGGCGTGGGATCCACCTACCCTTTGTTCGTCTGCCCTTTGTTCCCGATGAGAGCTTGACAGATGTCTTGGCTCCCTCTACCAACAACGGCCGCTGCTCCTTTGCTCTGTTCTTCCATATCAGCTTTCGTAGTCGACTTGCAACCGTCTAGACGATGCCGTCTGAGTCTGAGGCAAAAGAAACTTCGGCAGCGAAGCCAACTCCTCCTGCGGTCCACTTGGGTCAAGGTCCCGGCATCGGTTTCCGGTACGTATGGCCAGGGGGTGAAGCTCCTGTCTACCCCTACGCCTCTCTTCCTGACCCCTGCCGTCCCCAAGATGTCGACCACACTACTATACGCTTCAACTTCACTGCGCCCATACCTTCCGAGCCATCTCGGAAAGCAAAGGCCATCAGCGCGATCAGGCAGCAGCTCACTGAGGCTGGCATCAAGCTCTTGCGATCTGAGCCCGATATTCGCTTCCCAGCCGGGCCCCGCTCCTATTTAGACGTCAAGTCTTTCTCAAAGGAAAACCTGGAAGCAGCACAGAGCGTCTCTCTCAGCTGGGAAGGCCAGAAACTGGAGTGGCATTCCTCCGGTGTCGCACTACCCGAAGGCGTCTTCATCGGTCTCATCGATGGCCTGCCGCCTAACACGAACATGACACGGTTCCTGCACCACTTTTACCGGTGGTTTCGGCATGATTTAGACATCCAAAGTATGTGGGCCAACTACGATTTTGATGCATCCGGCGAGGGTTGGTTCCTTGGTCAAGTCGCCTTCTTGGCCATCTATAAGCTCGACTGCTTCGGAGACTACTGGATCCCCGGGTATTTCAACTTCGAGGGTAGAGACTTCGAGCTGCATTTCCGCGGTCGTGGCAACGCCTGCACCTTCTGTCTCTCCGCTCGCAGACATCGACACGATACGGAAGACTGCGAACATCGAACGTGTAGCGTGTGCGGCCAAGAGGGTCATCCTCAGCGCGTGTGCCCAGACGATGTTCCTAAATGGACTCCGAGCGAGAACGAATACAGCTCAAGGTCGGCATCAGGCTAACTGTAGATCCGCACGCACAATGTAAGACAGAGGGCCCAGAGCCAAATGCATTGAAAGTCATTGATACATGAAACAGAAGCATGGAAGCCGGGTACCCGGGATATATATGAGCAAAGAATGGAGCAGACCACGACCGGGACGGTGACAAGATGGCGGAGCGATATGAACGCTGCCGCAATTTTACCTAGGGGAAGAAGAAGCTGGAAGACGCAAGCTTAGACGCGAGAAGGGACGCGAGCAGCGGTGTTCTGGGCCAGGGCGCCGACAGCGTCGCCGGTGATGTCCTGGGGAGCGAAAGAGTCGCGCTGCTGGTACTTGATCTCCTTGATGTCGTCGTCCGAGTGCACGTCGGACTCCTCGTCCGACTTGAGCAGGCTCTCGTCGATCGCTTTGGGGTTGAACGAGAACGAGCCGCGCGGGATAAAGGTAGCGGCGATGATGATGACCGAGAGGATGGTGAAGTGCACACCACCCACGTACTTGAGGCAGTCGCGAGCCTGGTTGATAGCAGCAACACCCGACTTGCCGCGCAGCTGCTTGTCAACCCATCGACCCAGGAAGGTCGAGATGAGCGAGTACATCACAATGTACGTCACGTACAGGAAAGCCATCACCGCACCAAGAGCAGAGACGTCCTTGTCCTTGGCCTCCATCTTGGCGAGCGTCGACTGGATGTAAGCAGCCAGCGAAACATCACCAGCAGCCCAACCGTACGAGATGGGCGTGAAGACAGCGGCGAGCTTCCAGGCCGACGAGACCGCGCCGCGCGTGTAGGGGAAGAAAGGCATGACCCAGACGAGGTTGAGGAGGAGGGCGTCGAGACGCAGCCAAGGCATCGGCGTAGGGATGGCCTGGGTGAAGAGCATGACCGAAAGAGCACCGAGCAGCTCACCAAAGTTGGATCCACCCACGATGATCTGCGAGTAGGACGAGACGCCGATGATCGACTTGGCGTAGATGGGAGCAAGACCGTTTTCGAGGTATCGGTGTCCGTACAGCGCAAAGGCGTAGCCGGGCACGAGCCAGATGAAGCGACGGTCGGTAAAGATGAGGTAGCCACCGTACCAGAAAGCCTTGCCAAAGGCACGCACACCGTCCACCATGGACATGAGCAGACCGCGCTGCTCCACCTCGACGCGAGCGAGCTTCGACTCGTCCTCGCTGCGCTGGCTCTCGCCGAGCGACGAGATCCAGATCCAGGTACAGGCAGCAAGGGTGAAGAGAACGGGCGAGAGGAAGGCCGAGTAGTTGTAGCCGAAGTAGCCGATGAGCGATGTCGAGGTGAAGGCACCGGTGGTACCGGCAACCTCGTACATGACGTGGACGAAGGCGTCCATCTTCCTCAGCCTCTCGACATCACCTCCGACAATATCACGGGGGATGACACGACGGATAAGCTCGACAGTGCCGTACGAGATACCAGAGATGACGTAGATGGGGAAAAGACCGTTGGGGCTCCAAGTACCGTACTTTGTCTTGTTGTTGGCCGTCTTGTACTTGAGCACGCCACCAGTAGCAGCGTCGGCAATAAGAGGGATGCAAGAGATGAGACCGAAGGTGAGGACTGCAGTAGCAAGGACGGATCGAGTTGGGAAGCGCTTGATGAGGGGAGCGACGATGATCGAGCCAATGCACTGAGCGGCATAGTTGGTTCCGGTAAGGACGGCGATCTTCTCGAAGCGTCGAGCTCCAAATCGCTCGTTTGCCTGCGTAATAAACGAGCCATTGAAGTACTCTAAGGCGAACTTGTACATCATGATGCCGAGAGTGTAGATGGCGATGTTTCGACGTTGGTCCGCCGTGAAGGCGCTCCAGAACTTGACCATGATGGTTGAGGAGAAATAAATTTAGTGCGGCCGTAAATTAATTGTTTTTTTTTTTAATTTGGCGCACGTCCAACACCGCGAGTGCTACAAGTTTGCAATGCGGGGGAGGGTGGATGTGGTCGAGTGGTGTGGATGGAAGTTGGTGAAGGGGGATGGATGGATGAATTGATGCCTGTGATCTTATACAGCGGGATGAGGCGAGGCTACGTGGTTGCCACCACATTGACTCCGGCTTGCGATTTAGCTACGGCGACGCGTTCTGTCCGCGTTCCTGCCTGATGCGGAGGCTAAACCAGGGCAACGAGGGACAGCCGAGTTCGGGGCAAGAACAAGACGAAGTGCGATCGGTCAAGTGTAGCCCGACTGTGCGGAGGCTGACGGGGATCGTGTGCACACGTTCCTGTCGTCTGGGTTCGGGGGATTCTGGACCGCGACGAATCTCACAAATCACGAAACAGTGAAGCCTGGATCCAGCTCCGCTGAACTAGAGTCTTCTCCGTCTGTATGCGTCGCGCGGCCCAGAAATGAGGAGAAGCGGGCCAGGAGTAGCACTCGAGCACATCGGAGAGCAGGAAACAGGAATAGATCTGGAGAGTACGTGCATGAATTGCAAATTGCATCGAGCTGGCTCGAGGAAGGCTGGAAGCTACGCATAAGGCTGTGGCGGCGGGGTACGGAAGTCGACAGACAAGGGCGCGGGCGCACGTTCTTAGCGCCGGCTTGGTCGGTATCGGCGGCTGGTGAAGACAATGAGACACACATCGACGGCGGAAGCTTACGGCAAAGACTGGAGTAACGAAAAGCCGTCGGGCTTCGGATGGACCTAGCTTTCACGAGAACGTGGGCAGGACCTGGGAGCCACGAGATGGTGGAGACGCGAGGCAACGGGCCAGGAAAACCGAACCAGCCGAGTCTACGCAGTGTCTCCTGTCTTGGATCCGTCCCGTTTGACTGCGAGGCTACGTCCGTCCGCCTCTACGATGGCCACAGGCACGTCGTCGGCGAGTGTGTCGTTGCTCTCCAGCTCTTCGTGCCCTGACAGACCGGCTGCATACACTGGCGTCTGCACTGCAGCTCGCTTAGTCCGCTAGCCCACATACACCCTATTGCCACGCTGAAGTGGCGAGCAATGACCTGTGCCACAGGATTCCGTGCCACGGCGAATGCGGCCAGTGACAAATTGCCCCTGCGACATTATGCAGGGGATGCGCCATTTTCGAACGCTTTTCGCTATGGTACAGAAGCACTTTCAGCCAGCTTCCTCTGAGGTGCAGAGACAGATCGATCTACCCGACTCCTGTCAGGCAGGCCCAGGACCGTGTGTGCCTATGAGCAGCATTCCGTCTTGCACGATCGCGCTCGGAGGACTGACTGCCGGTGCGCGTGGTCGAGATGGGAGGCTTGGCACAGTCGAGGACGTGAACGTGCTCAACCTTGGATCGCTCGTATGGGAAAGTAGATGGATGCACGTCGATGCTGTCAGCTTTGTGCTTCGCTCAGTACGTGCCTGTGTGCCTGTGCGTCTGTAATTGGTACTGCGGAGTCTGCGGGCTGGATGTATGCGATGTTGCTGTGGACGGGCCGCGAAGGGCGGCGGCCAACGTGGGTCAGTGAAAGCAACTGTCCTCCAACGCGGCACGTCGGACGACTTGGGCTGGCTGAGGCCCAAATTGGCGGACTGCGAACTTGGGAAAGCTGAGCGAGGCGCGAAAGTCTTGGCGCTTGTTGGACGAGGGTACGAAGGGATGGTGCTCTGCCATCTCCCAGCTGCGTTTCTAAGCTGGGTCACCACGCGGCCTGAGGCGGAGGAAGGACAATGTTGTGCTCGATTGTGACAGCGGCGCCCGGTGGGAACTGGATGGAAAGGTATGGGCAGAGAGCCATGGAACGTGAAGTCTCCGCATCGAAGCTATGCGCAAATGGATGCGCACAAGTGGATGTGGGATGTCCACGTTCGCTTCTTGGCAGTTCGATTGCTTGCCCCGCTCCCGTCGAAAAGGGTCCAAAAGCGCAGGCGAGGGACCACGCGACAGGGGAACCGTCTGCGCCAAGACCGCGTGGGCGTCTTGGCATTTTTCGGAGTCCAGAACATCCGCCAGAAATGCCTGTGGCCCGCCGACCATCGACAGCTCCTCTGTCGCAACCGCAACCCTGCCGCCCTTGTGTCGACTTGCGCCATCGTGAAGGTATCGTGCGCAGCTGCGCAGCTGGCTCTACCAGAATGCGACGACTGGTGGCACATGCACCAGAGCAGCTTCTGTAATCTAGCTACGTGTCGATCGTCCCGGGATCTGGTTAGCGCGTCCCTGCAATCGGAGATTCGGTGTCAAGCAGTCTTGAAGATGGCATTGAAAGCTAGAGCAGATGTCGTCTTTCCGTGGAGGCGGTGAGTGGTCGAATTTGGAAAGCCAGTATGAGGAAGCCCAGCTGCGCGAGAAAACTGAGAAGGAAAAAGGAAAACAAAAAATGGGGAAAAAGAAAAAAGAACTGCAGCACCTAGGATTCCCGCGTGGTCCCCCACCGCAGTACTGACTAGGCGATACCTTGCTTAACTTCGCAGATCGGACGGGATGCGGTGCTTTCAAGGTTCTATGGCCGCAGATGTCAGGTGATGGAAGACAAAGCATTATATTCACGTCAAAGGTTCATTCCCCGGTTGGACCGACCAATTCCGTACGCTCCAGTTTCAGCTCGCAGAGGGGTAAAGGGCGGGCTGCTCAGGCATGGAGACACCAGTGATTGCGACGAATGAGGGTATATAGGTACATGTGCTGGACATGGCCGACGCTACCGGAGAAGGGGAGGTATGACTCGTCAGCAAACGAGATGAACGCGGCGGCCTCGACTACAGAGGCATTGTCCGCAAGCGCTTGACGAGTTTCGCCTGTTCGCTCGCGGCTGTCGCTTGCTCGAGAATCGACTGTGGCGAAGCAAGAGGCACCGAGGAAGAAGAAAGTCAGCAACATGAACCAAGATGCCGAGACCGGAAAGTGCGATGACAGTCGCTTCGACTCCAGGTTGACCGTCTGCGACGGGTGGACTTACGACTTGGAGGCTGGTGATATCGAGGACGGATTGCTTGAGCGTGTCAGCCGCTTCCGCCTTGCGCTTGAGATCGAGAGCGATGGGTCGGCTTTCTTCGCGGAGTTTGTTAGCGTGCTCCTTCTCCACTGCGCGGCGCTGCTGCTCCTTCTTGGCCTCGAGCGCACGGATGACCGCCGCACGCTTCTCCATCGCTTGTGCCCTGCGTGCCGGCAGACTCTTGCGGAATGCAATCACTTCGGTCGTGAGGTTGTTAGCCTGGTCATTGAGCATCTGGAGGCGTCTCGAAAGCTCCTCGTCGAATGGCTCGACTCCTTAGCATGGCCGAGAGCGAAGTGCAACGGCAGAAAAGGTGTCAGTCTTGTGCTCAAATCAGGAAAGTGGCTTTACATCGCTTGGAAAGGCGGACCTACCTTTGCTGTGTCGAGCGTACTCGTGTGGCGACATGCCGTTGTATAACAAGTTGCGTTCGATCTTGGCTCTGGTTGCTCCCGTTAGCTGCAACGAGAAGAGGATGGAGATCAGTACCGGCTAAGGGCCATGGCGGAGACGCAGCTACATTTGTACACTGGCGCTTACCCTTTTGGTCATCTTGTCCACGACGGCCTTCAACGCCTTGTCGCGCCCAAGTTCGCTGCCAAACTCCATTTGCGCCACCTTGGTAGCATGCTGGTGGATGACCCGGAGCACATGATCCAGATCCGCTGGGCGGTCCAGATTGAGGCGTGGGAAGTGGCTCGACATTGCTTGGATGCGCTCGCTTTGGCAATTGGTCGGTCGAGTTGCGGCGCGGCGCCCAGATTTGTTCGGATGAGCCGACCGACGAGAGACGCTAGGGTGACCAAACACTCCGTTGAGAGGCGCGGGTGAATTGTCCGAGTGATGTGATTGGCGAAAGCGTGTGTGCCCGTCACAAGTTGGTGAGGTGAGAGTTGGTGGTCGCAAAGCACGATCAGTCGGATCAGCCGACGGCTGCGAGATCAACACCGACTCCACTTGACTGCTCTCCGCTCCACCAAACCGAGTCGCGCTCAGGTGCTGCAAGGCGAAATTTGGGAAGCGTCCCAAAAACACGCACCCTGCGTCGCTCGACGCGTCGCAACTGCAAAATAAGCCGAAGCCGCGGCGTGGCGCTTCTTAGCCGAGGGCCGTGGCTCGGACCGGATCTCACTAAGCCAGACAATCCAAAGTGCGGAAGCGTGAGTGCGGAAGAGCAGGTGCGGCAATTCTTCTTCCAGGCACGCACCCTCGAGCCACGCATCCCACCGTCCGAGGTGGATCAGAGTCCCGGTCCCCGGCGATGCCCACTTCCGCATGCCTTACTGATACTACCACCACATAGCCTTACGCCACCTCCGCTTTGCTCCCTTGCCCTCCGCCGTCGAGCCGGCTCGCAATCGCGATGACCGAGAAGCTCGATAGTCCAGCAGCAAACTCGGGTCGGCCCTATGTGGTGCTACCGCCCACGCTCGCTCAACTCGTTGAAGACCGCTTCGACGAGGACCAGCACGAGCAGGCCGTGGCACTCCTCGAGCAGGTCCTGACGCAAGGCTTGAGGCCGTCTGCCAAGATCATTCAGAGGATGATGGCTCTCAGTCTCTGCTCGCTCCCTCCCGGTCAGCTTGCATCCACCTCCAGATGGACCCTGGATGACCACCTCCATGACGTGGCCACGGGGCTGTTTGCCCACACGAAACGCAGTGGCGGCGAAAAGAACGATATTAAGGCTGCCGCTTCCTCTCACTCCGAGGGACCCCCTTCCGAGGCTGTGGTCAAGGCGACATCGCTGCTTCACCAATATGCTAGCGCAGCCGCAGCGCGACCTCCATCCGATCAAAGCAGCACCAGTCAACTCAGAGAGGATCGTACAGCATCACTGACCGCGCACCAGATTCTCGAGTCGCTGCCGTCTCGCAGGAAGCCGCTGTCGTCTTCTCGCAGGAAGCCGCTGTCGTCTTCTCGCAGCGGCTCTCCTAGGCCCTCGCGACAAACACGCCGAGGCTCTCTGCCGTCTGACGGTAGCGGCAGGGATGAACCCTTCGAACAAAGCTCCGTCGAGCGCTGGATCTCCGAGCATCTGTACCAAGCCGAGGACATCTGGGACCTCCTCTCTGGTCGGCAATTCTCAGCTGCAACGGCTTCCAAAGGCGCTTCATTGACACATGTGTACGAATTCTGGATGAACACATCACAGCGCAAACGATTCCTCAAGCAACTGCAGAGTGCCGACCCTAAAACCCACCGCCTCGAGGACAAGCTACGAGAGCTTCAACGCCAGAAGAAGACCGGCGAAAAGATGGACTCGTTGTCTTCAGGTAGCGACGAAGACTCCGACGACGACCTGCCCTCACTTTCAATCCCGGGTCGCGGCAAAAAGGGCGTAGCCTCACCCGAGAAAAACCGAGGAGTCAGCGCTGCCGTGCCTCCTCCCAAAAAGCGCCCGCGCACAGACAAACCGTCTACATCGCAGCGAGATGATGACGAGACAGGGAACGGTCAGCTTCAGATGACCGAAGGCGCTTGGCGGACACTTGCCGCGCTCATCGCACTCTGGGAGCGAACCACTCCATCAACCTTGTCGACCGACAATCAGCAAGGCTCCACACCCATGAACAGCAAACCACCGCTTCTATGGCAATTCCCTCGCAGCCATCTCGCCCGGAGGGGAGCGCGCGGATCCATCCCCAATGACGCTACCGACGATATTGACCGCGCTTTGGACCTCGCATTCTCCTTCCCACGCATCTTGCCCGCATTCACACCACCCTCGGCAGAGAGCGGCAACGATTATAATCTCTTCGATAAGGCCACAGCGAACCGAATCCACAGCCATGCACGCCCCCTCTCTTCAGTGCCGCAAGCAGAGCTCAAGCAGCGTCAGACGATTGGCGAGCAACGGCAGCAGCAGTGGATGGCCGCGCGGGCCGAGACTGCGGCCCGATTGCTTGCATTGATGTACGGACTGGTCAAGCAGGGATACATCCAGTCCGGTGTCTTTACGGAAGGAGTCTCGGACCGGCTCGAGGCTCTCGATGCCGTCGAGGTCCAGTACATCATACTGCCTCTGCTCCGTCAACAGCCCTCAGCCGTGGCCAGCGCGCTTGTGAATTACCTAGAGGAGTTTGCAAGGGATCCGACAGGGTCGAAGAAGCGCACGGCATCTTCTGTGGTCCCGATCCGATTCGCCGACAATGTGACCTTGGACTTGGACTTGGCTCTTGCACAGGTGCTGCCCGAGGAAGAGGCTGCGGCGTCGCGCCTGCGGAAATGCTTGACGCGAGACCAGAGTGGCGATGCCAAAGCCGTGCAGGCGTTCCTCTCGCTCAATCGGCTCGAACTGGACGCTTCGGCAAACAGCAGCAGCCCACTCTCGTTCCCAGAGAAGGCGGCGGGAAGCGGAAATGAGATGGTGCGGAAGCTTCCCTCCAAAACGGCACGAGTAGTGACAATTTCTCGCGTCAAGGGCCGGGCCACCACTGCGGCCGTCAAGGACACCAGCGGCGGCACGAACGACGCTTTGACCAACGACATGAAGAAACGGGGAGTCGTCGCATTTGCCTTTTTGCGCATCCTGCAGATGCAAGATCGGGACCGCCTCAACCAGATCAAGTTCCTGCTTGCTCGATCATTGGCCAGTGCGCAGACGAGCTCCCGTGCATCCTCCAGTGCCGTCAAGGCGGAGGACAGCGGCAGCGGATCTCGAGAGGAAGCTGCGGCAACGCAGCCGCGTGACGTGCGATCGTTCCTGTCGCGACTCGTCAAGGCGTTCGAGCGCGATGCCGACGAGATGGAGCAATGCCTCTCCGCCATGGACTCGCACGTCGACAGCCAGGCGGACTCTCGACGGACCAAGTCCGAGACGCAGGATAGCGGTGCAACGCAACTGCCGACCTTGCAGTCGCTCGTCCACCGCGGCTTCAAGTATCTCGAGGCGACGCAGACGTTGGCCCATTCGAGCCGTGTGTTGCGCGAGTGCCTTGCCTGCGACTAATTCTCGCAATTTCAAACCCTTCACGACTGGACAACACGACGCGGCAGCTCCCGCACCGAGCAGAACTTGCCTTTGAATGCCGCACTGCCACCCTCGTCCGGAGCTGAGAACAACGAATGATGTTGCAGACCGTGAGAATAGGGATACGATACAAAGAAGGCAGAACACAAGTACATTTTGGATCGGCGAAGAGAGGGCCCTGTGAGCGGCTCAGTCGATTCGGCCCATCTTGCGTTCCACGGCGCCGACGACCTTTGCCCACGCGCGCAAGCCCTGGTACCTGGCTGCGGGGGCAAGGTCGCCGAAAGTCTGTCGCCACAGCTGGCGGTTGTATGCACGGTGTCGTGCGGCATTGGCTTTGAGCCAAGCCGAGTAGAATGTGGCGAGCGAGTCCGAGTCCAGGTCGAGTTCGGATTCGGTGCTGTTTGCAACCGCACCAGCCTGCTGAGTGTCTGATGAAGCACTGGGAAGAGTCGCAACAGCCTTACTCGAGCCCGTGCGCGATCGGAATGCCGAAAGAGCCTGGATGAAACGTGCGTTGTTGTCCTGCCAAAAGCGCTGGTTGAAGTTATCGGCGCGAGCCATGCGTAGCTTGTGAGCCAACTCGGCTTCTTCGAGCTTGGCAAGCAGACGCTCAAAGTAGACCGACGGCGAGCGTGCGCCCCTGCGACGAGCGTGGTTTGCCGACCAACCCAGGTTGGAATCGCCCGAAGTGGTGAATTCGTGCAGCGAGTAAGGATGCGACATGCTGAGCGATGCCGAGGATCCCAGCTGTGAGGAAGCAGCGTCGGAAGAGGCCGATGAGGACGCAGCCGCCTCTTCAAACGCAGAGCCGTATCGAACGGGTCGAAGGTTGCTGAGCGGGTCGGGTGGGCCGACCATGTCCGCACCAGGTCGGGATGTGAAGCGTGCAGACCGGCGGGAAGACCTGGCTGAAGGCGACGCGGATGCGCTCGAGGAAGAGGACGATGCGCCCGCGGTCGAGGAAGAAGCTAGCGAGCGTCGGCTCTCCTGAGCTGCAAAACTGGTTGACGCCATGGGTCGCAGAATTGAAGGGCGAGCAGCTCGAGCTGCAGGACCCACGAAGGGAGTCATCGCGCCGATAGCCATGGTGTTACAGCGAAAAGGAACAGTGAGTGATGGAAAGAGAAAGGAGAGATGGCGTGGAAGAGTCGGTGTTGACGAATGTGGGAAGAGGCAAGCAAGTTGGGCATAGAGGCGAAAGGGTCGTCGGGAAAAATTGCAAACTGCCTCAAGACGCCGGGACTCGCTTGGCCGCGTTCTGCTTCTCGGCCCTGCGTTCCCCGCGCTTTTCGCAGCCCGCCCATGCCTGGCCTCGCCACACACACGCGACTGCGCCCCGCCCCTCTGCCGCCAGTTGGCTGCGCGCGCGTCGTTTGGCTCTCCCCTTCCCGCCGGTCAGCATGCGGGAGCTCGCGACATGTCCCTCCCGAGCTGCCAAGAGACAGCGGCAAAGTGTCGCCGACCGCCAGCTGACCCTACATCGCTGTCGCCATGCAAACAAGCCGCAGCTCAACCTCTGGATGGCCATGTCCAAGTGCGCGATTCCCGACAACCAGCGTCGCACTAGCAAGCGAGTGCTCAAAATAGCTGCATTGTTGTCCCTCATCCATTCCTTCCACTCATGCGAAAACTCGAGGCTGTGTTCTTCTACGCGCATTCCTGCCCTCATCTTCAATGCCAAGCCACTGGAGTTGACTGCAATTGTACCACCCGACGGTTGACAAGTGGCCGTTCGCCCTCCAGCAGCTGGCCAAATGGCTTCGATGGCCAGCAAGATTACCGCAAGCGTGCGTTTGCGGCCACCGAAGAAGGGGCGACGCGCTGCTCGGGCACTACCAGCGTCGCTTGTCTTTTTGTCACTCTGGAATTCCACTCCCGACGTTGCTGCGCACATTCCCGCAAAATGCGGGGAAGGCATGTGTGGTTCGATAGCAAATTTTTCGCATTCGTGAATGTTTCGCATCGAGGTCTGACACACACAAAATTTCGTGGTCGGATCCGATCTGTGCTCAACAGGAAGGTGTGTTGAGCGCGAAGCTGTTGGAAGAAAGACCCAAACTCCACCTCGACCTGCAGCTCGACCTCTTTTTCATCCACCACCACCCAGAACACGGTGACATCTAGAACAGCGTGACTGCGCCAGACCAAGGCTGTCGATCCCTGAAAAGCGCGCGTACCATTGTGTGTCTGTTCTGGTCCTACCTGTGCGCAACTCTTGCACCATCTCTTGCAGTGCGCCAAGCTCCGTGCGCAGCAATAACGCATATCAAGCCCGGCTGCATCATCATCGACCCTGCGCAGCAGTCAGAAGTCCTGCGCCAGCCTCTTTTAAAGCGGTCTGCAATCAGAGCAAACCCTGTTGCATTTCAACGTTGCGATCCTGCATCTAAAGTCAAGCAATCTCGTCCGAACACCAAACCCGCGTCTTCGCAAAACATCGACCCATCACGATGGTTGGGCCCGGTCCTGGAAGGGGGTCGCGCGTCGTCTTCGGTAAGTCTCCTCGCAGTCGGACGGTGCTTCTTCGCAATTGAAGAGCTGCCAGGACGAAACTGACCTCCACCGCTCCAAATCGCTTCACGAACGCAGTCGGCAACATCCCATATGACATGTCAGAGGAGCAGTTGACTGACGTCTTCCGAGAGGTGGGCAAGGTGGTCGGATTCCGCCTGGTCAACGATCGCGACACGGGCAAGTTCAAGGGATACGGATTCTGCGAGTTTGAAGATCCAGAGACCGCAGCCTCTGCGGTGCGAAATCTCAACGAAGTCGAAGTGGGCGGCCGCCCCCTGCGCATCTCGTTCGCGGACATCGACCCGCTCATGGAAGGACGCTCGACACAGCACGGCCAGTTTGACCAGGATGATCTGCGCAGAAGGGCAGCAGCGGCTGGACGCGCTGGCAGGCCAGGGACATTCGGCCATGCAGGCCCGACCCGTGGAGGAGGAGCAGTGGGCTCGGGCTGGCAACAGCGCGATAATGGCTTCGGCCAGCGACCTTTCGGCGGTCCTGGCGGCGCTCCATATGGTGGACCTGGCGGACCTCCTGGTGCGTATGGCGCGCCAGGAGCAGGGCCCATGGGCGCGGGTGGTGGACCGATGACATTGCCGCCGAATCTGCCAGCTGGTGTGCCGCTGCCACCAGGCGTGGGCGCGACGGATGCCATCACACAAACGCTGGCAACGCTACCGCCCAACCAACTGCTCGACATCATGAGCCAGATGAAGTCGCTCGTCACAACATCTCCGGACCAGGCGCGGGCTCTTCTCACTGGCCACCCGCAGCTTGCCTATGCGCTCTTCCAGGCCATGCTTATGATGAACGTCGTGGACCCGGACATTCTGCAGCGCATCCTCGCCGCATCGGGTACGCTGCCTGGTGCACCGGCCGCTGCTCCTGCTGGAGCGCCTGGAGCCGTTCCGCCTCACATGCAGCAGGCTGCCTCCAACAATGGCGGAGGATCCGCGACACCGCCTCAACACTACGGCGGAGCACCTCCGCCCGGAGCCTACCCGCCTTCTGCCCGCCCACCTCCCGGGCCATACGGTCAGCTTGGCTACGGCGCCCAGCCACCTGCGCCGCAAGCGCCCGCTGCCAACGATCCGATCGCAGCGCTCGCCGGCCAGAATCTTCCCGAGGAGCAGAAGGCGCTGCTCATGCAGGTACTGCAGCTTACGCCGGACCAGATCAACGCGCTTCCTGCCGATCAGAAGGCGAGCATCATGCAGCTCAAGGCGCAGTTTGGACAGGCCTGATCGTGCCATTTCTCAAAAAAGGCTGTAACACTAGGCAACATGAATGTCGACGACTTGACGTTGCCATGCATCGCGTTCGATAGGCGTCAGGATCGTGTGAAGGCTGTGATTGTGATTGACCACCTGTCCACCGACGAATCGTCTGAATTCACGCTCGACTTGCCTCGAAACAGACTTCTTGACGATATATTCGAGCTAATCAGCAACAGCTGGGCAAAGCTTGAAAGATGGTGTCACGACTGGCCACGGTCAGTCCGAGCTCGTTGCGGGCGTTGTTGCTGTGCCCGAGTTCATCGTCACGAGCCGCAGCTTACGTCGTCAGCGTCGAAGTGACCAGGTCGCTCAAGGGACAGCCCCTCCTCTAGCCATATTTGATTTGACGTGACGAGCGCTATCGGGAGACAACCGACCGATTCCGATCGGAACTGCCCAAGTGAGGACCTGGTCCTGCATGGGATCGGTGCCCGTCGGGAGAGCCGATGGAGAACTGTGAAAAAGCTTTGAGGCGGATGTGCGCGAAATTTGCGGAGGGCGAGGCGAAGGCGGCCAGGGTCGAGAAAATCCGAGACACCAGGGTCAGATGCGGAGAAGCGCACTACCATACAATACTGCAAGTGAAACCGACGTGAGCGCCCACGATCGTCACAGAAAGCGCGGTGGTGCCCGCAGTCGTCGCGCTCGCGCTCACGCTCACGCTCATACTGCAGGCTCTTGTCGGAGTACAGCTTGAGGCAGGTCGACGTGCAGCGGGCGCGACGCTCATCGCAGCGGAAGCACCACCTGCTGCTGTGCCTTGTTTTTTCAGAACCTCCACTTGGCGCGGAGGAGGCTGCACGGGAAAGGCTGAGTGCCAAGTAGGAGTTGATGGATCGCATGCCAATCCCAGCGTCGATCCGCCACCTCTCCGCTTAGGCTCGGATGTGACCCGCAAAGATCGAGCGAGCCAAGTCACAGCGGCAACCTTTTTTTTTGGGGCTTTTGGCTACGATTCTGCATCCGATCCGCTCCACCTTCGCCTTCCAAATTGTGCGGCGGGACAGCCGAAGCGAGCAGACGATGGTTGCCATGGCTGCACGAGGCACATGCATCGCGAAGGCCTTTGACTTGGCTCGCTTGTGGGCGCCTTCTACAGAGCCAACCAACTGCAGCTGCAGCCTTTGATCCTGCCGATTGTGATTCTCGAGGAGTTTTTTCGTTTAATTTTTAAGATTTACTCTTTATTTTTAAATATTTTTGCTCTCCACAAAGAGGTAAGGCAAGCGGGCAGGCAGCCAGCGGCAAGGAGGAGCGAGGCTGCTTTGTTGGCTTGCAGCACGAGAGGATCGAAAGTGCATCGAAAAAGTGCAGGTGCAGCAGCACCGACTTGAGCCCTGAACCACCCTTTTGCCGAGGCGAGCAGCATGACACCCACCACCGCTCGCTTTGCCCTCCGCCAGCCCTGCGGCACACACTCACACATGTCGAGGAGGAGGGCACTGGTGGGCCCTTTCACCCTCTCCCTCTCTCCTGCACCTCGTCCTCGTCGCTGTCGCCCCGATCCGCCTCTAACTGCCGCTTGGTCATGCTGCGTCGCTCCAACGCGTGCATCGTCTAGTCCCGATCTCGTCGGCTAAGCTGGCCAAACGCTCGCTGCACGGGCTCGCGCTCCACATTTCGTGCTCTTGCTCGTGCTCGTGCTCCGCCGTCAACGTCCACCTGCCACAGCCTCATCCGTCGATGCCAGCTGGTCTTGGTTGCTCCATCTCCACCTCGCTCTTCCTGCTTCGTCTGGATATCCTATGACTGCATCGCAACCGACCCCAGCAATTCACGTTCGGAACATAACCTGACGCCCTCTCAGCCAGAACGAGCATCTCGTCCTGGGCCTCAAGCACCGATCGCACGCCCTGTTCTTCGTCTTCCGCTCCGTTTTCTCACGTTCATCCGCTCAACATCGACATCGACTTCGACTCCTGGCTCTACATCGCACCGAAATGACTCTGCAAATGGCTGCCTGACACCCGTCGCAACCTCCAACCTTACGCGCTCCGCGCACCCACTGTCGGCACCATGGCTCCTCCTAATATACCTCCGGGCCGCGCGCTGCCTTCCAGCTCGAGCTCTCCACCGCCGCTTCCATCGAAGCAGCGAGGCGCAGCTACACCGTCTCGCACGCAGTCCAGCGCGGAAGCCGCATCCCCGTCTTCCTCTCGCCTCGTCAGAAAGCCGTCCGCCTCGTCGCCTCACCACGCCGCCGCGAGCCAGCAGCCGCTCTATTCCAGCCGCAAACCGTCGCACCCTCCCGTCTGCCCCTCCTCGTCCCGCCTCGCACTGGCCAACCCAACGTTGGACGCGTCTCAGGATCACCACCGCAGCGACTCGGGCAGATCCACCGGATCCTCGCGATCCACCGCCACAACCGACAGCTTCTTTCTGCCCCAGCATCCCCATGTACTCAACCGCCGCTTCAAAGAACTCCCGATTCCCCCGACTATAACTCCTTCCCTCGACACGTCGCGACCGGCAAAGCAGCACGAGACAAATGCCCTGACGCAAGGGCTCAACATCGCGGTCCCTAGCTCCTCGCCCGCTTCGGCTGCACTGCCGGCCACCTCGACACTTTACCGCAGCAAAAGCTCGGCGAGCACCACTCCAACCAGCCCAGAAGAAGCTGAAGGCTCCCCGTACGAGCAGCAGCTGGAGTCGGAAGAGCTGACGCCGCTTCAACCCAAGGCTGTTCGAGCCCACAGCACAGAAGCAGCGCCCGCCGACGGTCTCGACGACTTCTGGAAGTCCGATTACTCCTACGCTCGACCTTCGCCAAACGGAGCCGAATCATCGCTTCCGCCTTTGATGCGCGCCAATGCACCCATCCCACCTTCACGCTCCCAATCGCTCGACCCGCTCGCAGTTCCGTTGGATCAGGCCTCGGACGAACTTCATCTACCTGCTCGCCATGACTTCACCGACGCGGATGGCGTCGATCGACTCGGCAGTCCGGGAAGCAAGCTCGTTGCCGCCAATCTCCGAAAGCTCGAAGGCGAGGCTCTGCATCCCGTCTCCTCTCCACCGGCTCAGAGCATGTCTACATCGAACGACGCCGCCAAAGTCGCAGCCAGACCGCGTCTATCGCCCTACCAGCAGCCGACTGCATCCACCAGCTCTTCCTCCAGCTCAGCAGTGGGTCACAGGTCGACCGCCAACAAGTCCACCTCCAGCCTGTCGACGTCGTCCGCGCACGGCGGCGACAAGACCGCGCTTGCTACGGCTTCCAAGCGCTCCTCGACCTCCTCGAGCAGCTCATTCCGCATGACCTTGTCCAGACAGGCCAAGAGTCTGCGCAACTCTTTCTTGTGGAGTCCACCCTCGGCAGATCAGCCACAGCCTGTCGGTTCGGAGCGCATGGCTCTCGGCCAGTCCACCCGCACGCCGGGCGATTCGCTGGTGCCGGGCTCGCAAGGGATATACTCGGGCGTGATCGATGCTGCCTCTAGCTCCACCCACACCGGATCGCATCCAAGCCGGCCCTCCTCGCGGTTAGACCGTCGATCCACCGTGGCATCGAGGGCTACCGATGTCCGTTCAAGCGAGGCGCCAAAACGCGGTTCCGTCAGCTCTTCTACGTCGCATGGATCCCCGGTCGCACCCTCGCTGGCCAAGCAGTCGAGCATTCCCCGGCTGCAGAACGCGGTTACGGCCAAGGCCTCTTCTCGTCCAGCCAACCCCGTGTCGGACGCGAAACGTCCAACAGATTACAGCAAGATCGAGGAGCGTCCCAAATCCCGGCTCTCATCTCGCCTCTTGCTTCAAGGCTCCTCGCTCTCGCTCAAAATCCCGCATCTGAAGAACAGGAAGCCCCTGGAGACGTCCAAGAACAAGACAGTGGCAGACTCTGCGCAAAGCAAAACGCAAAACAATCCCACTTTCCGAGATGAGAAGGTGGCCACTGATGCAGTCAAGGCCAAAGCAGCCGCACACATTTCAGCAGTGCCGGTGCCCATGGATCTGCCTGCGAGTCAACTTCTCTCCACCACGCCCATCAGCGGTGATCCACAACTCTCGCCATCGTTCGCAGAGACGTTTGCGTTCCTCAACAGTCACATCTACACTGTCGATCAGCCGTTCACGCCTGGGACAACAGTTGTGGAGCTGCCGAGCGATGCAGCAGGGGCAGAGGCTGCGACCCCCTCGGTATCGAAGGCCGAGGACGCAGCCCTGTCGTTGACTGCGAAAACAATTGAGAAAGTTGCTGCAAAAGGCCAGGCGGTCGTTCTCAACGATGCCAGCGTGGTTCTACCCCGACCTCAGCGAACCGAGCCGGAACACGAAGGACCAGAGGGCAAAGCACTCAAAGTTGCGATGTTCGATCGACTTGCAGACTCGCCCGAGGCTGTGTACAAGACGCTCGTCTTTCCCGAAGTGCGGCCTGTGCCCCCCTCACAGTCACTCGACAGTATCGTGCCGCCCAAAGGCCGATCAAGCATGCAGAAGCCTGGGCACAAGAAGCAGATGTCGCTTGGCTCCGTGACGTTGATCTCCAAGTCTGCGCAAAAAGCAGCGTCGGACCTCGACAAGCGCGCTAGCGGTGCACCGGTCGTGCCTTCCGGTCTTGCTTTGACGCATGGCCAAGCCAGCACGCACAGCCTATCGAGCGTTCTGCCCGCATTCACGCCCGTTGACGAAGAGAGTCGCTTCTTCGACGCCTTGACCTCCCCGCTGAGAGAGCAGCCACCGACCGCTGGCTCGAGCCCTTCTCTCGACAACTCTGCTTTGCCATCGTTTGCAACTGCAAGCGAGTTCTTCCCACGAACCAAAGCGGCTGATTCCAGCACGTCGCCTGGCAGCAGATCAATGAGCATGGCCAACATCGCGGCTATGACGAACTCCACGACCGATCCCAGAAGATCATCGCTGGGCAGACGTCTTTCAGGCGTCTTTGATACTCCGCGCACTCGTGCTGCGCAGCCGGATGCGACCATTTCGCCGCCGCAAGGCTCTCGTCCTGCCTCGCCTTCGCATGCTCTCGCAGCCCGGCCGGAAACAAGTCTGGGCTTCCATCTGCGAAACCCGCTGCGCAGAGATCGCAAGGTCTCGCTAAAGAATACCAAGCCAGAGCCAACCGCAGGCGCCCTTGATGCCCTTGAAAAGGTCAAAGCGACATCGGCGCCAAGAACAATGTCACCTGCAGCCGCTCTACGCAAGATGTCATCCGGCTTCAAGACCGAACGGATCACGCCCAGCAGGCCTGCTTCCGAACGACCCGGGACCTCGCTCGGCTTTTCGACGTCCAGCCTCGGTCGCGGAAAGACTCCGCGCACTTTCAGCAGCAGTGTCCTGGCTCCAACCAAGAGCTCGCTGGCCAGGAGCGTGCAGCCACTGACCCAGTCCAACGGTCGAAGCACTGTGCGGTCCGCCTCCGCCTCGACGCTGACAACGCCCGAATCGCAGCGTCCTTCGCGCTCTCCACAGCGGCCCGCGAACCCTCCGTCGTCTTTCCGCGCAGGACCTTCGGCTGGCTCTCGGGCCTCTCCGATTGCCACTGGTTCCCCGAGTAAGCCCAGTGTGAACAGATCGGTGCCGGCAGTAAGCAAGCCGAGGTCGGCCGAGGCAGCCAAGCACGGCCTGTCTCGAATCGTGGTCTCGGATTCGGGCAAGCCGACAGGCGAGAATGCTCAAAGACTGTCTCCCGAACCGTTATCGCCTATGGAGTCGAATACCGCTTTGGTGGACTCGAATGCCGGCCGGATGGATATGAACCGGCGACGCACGCTCAGCAGGCCGGTTCTCTCTCCCATCCGCACTTCGATGGTGGAGGATCGCCCGCTTGCTCGGCCGTCCACTGCGCTGGGATTCCGCGGAGGTATGAATGAGCGCAAGAAGAGCCAGCCGACGCTCGACATGGTCGATGATCGCGAGTTCCTCGAAGCGCTCGAGTCCGTGCGACAGATCCACCGCGAGCGCATCCAAGCACATGCGCAGGATCTCGAGAACAAGACACGCCTCGCGCGACTCGGCATGATGTCTGGCAATTATCTCAAGACCAAGATCTCGGGATCGATGATCGACGATGACGAGCCGGAGGATCGAACGAGTACCCTCTTGGGCGAGAAGAGCAGTTCAGTCAACGGTCACGCCGACCGTGGGCGCTCGGACAAGGTTGGTGCCTCGACCAAGGCTGTAACGAGCACGCGGCTACGCCACAAGCGTTCGGCTAGTGCGGGTGCCAAGCTCGGTCGCCCGCGGTCTGCATCTTCAGTCTCTCGCAAGTCTGACCAAGACATTGACCAGCGTCAGAAGGACATTGTCAAGTCGTACGCCGACAAGGTATCGCCCGTTGGTGGACCGACGACCGGCTTGGAGTGGGGCGTGGGCAAGGCGAGCGGCAATCTGCACGACGGTGCCTTTGTCAACGACGATGACTGGAAGAAGGAGGTCAAGGCGCTCTTCCTGATCCGGGAGCTTGTGCAGACGGAGAGGTCGTACGCAAGGCATCTAAGCAGTCTGCTGAGCGTGGTGCGCAACATCCAAAACGCTCCGGGAGGCAGCAGCAGTTCTCTTGGCGCCAAGCGCAAGTCGGCGAGCAATCTGTTTGCCGCCTACTCGTCTGCCTATGCGGCCAAAACTTCTGCGAGCGGCTCGCCGCCGGGCCACATTGCTCTGCTGCGGCTGCATCTACCGCAGCTGATCGCGCTCAGCAATGCGCTGGTGCATCGGGTCGAGTCGAATCCGACGAGTGCGGGTGTGGGCGCAGCATTCGATGCGCTGGCGGTGCAGTTGGAAGCCACCTTTGTTGGCTGGTCGGGAGTGGCATCGCAAGCGTTGAAGGAGCTGCGCTCGACTGAGCTGGCCAAGGGCAAATCACCGTACAAGATCGGCTTGGTCCCGCTGACGCCTCGCGACTCGAGCGAGGTGGGTGCGACCACCAGCGACGCTTCGAGTGCGAGCGGAAATTCATCGCCCGGGCTCGGTCTGCACCGCCAGACGCTGCGGATGACTTCGCTGACACGGCCACCCTCCCCAGTCGGCGCTCCCAAAGAGCAGGAGCGCGAACTGGACGGCTCAACGATGCCCGCGAAACGATCAACAAAGAGGCGGAGCACAATCACAAGCACCAGCTTCGTGCCTCCTCGTGTTGTCGTGGCCTCACCCTCCACGCAAGGCTTGGGTCTGACGCAGGTGCAGGATAGCGCGGACTCGACTAGCGCGCTTGAGCAAAGCAGTGCGGGACTGTCACCGGGCGCGGAAGGCTCGCGTACGAGTGTGACGCCTTCGCGCCGGTTCGGCCATTCCCGCAGCCAGTCGACACTGGTGACGCCGCTGCCTACTCCGACGTCGGGTGGCGTTTCGGACATGTGGCCGGGGCTGACCATGACGCCTTCGGCTGGAGCAGGCCCAGGCATGGCTGGGCAGAGTCAGCTCGGACTCACAAACGGGGCGACGGCCAAGTGCCTGACCCCGATGGACATTACGATCATGCCGACGCAGCGCATCCCGAGGTACGGGTTGATGCTGCGCGATCTGTTGCGCAACACGCCGCCGGAGTCACTGTCGCATGCGCGCGTGCAGCGAGCGATCGCGCTGATCCAGAAGGTGGCGTTGCTGTGCGACTCGGCCGCACCCGCACCGGCGCTGAGCAGGACAGGTGGCTCGGGAACGGCTTCGCCGTCACGGGCGAACAGCGTGCTGGGCATGGCGAGCAGGGAGTCGCTCAGCATGGGAGGCTCGCCACTCTTGCCTGCATCGAGCTTCTCGATGACCAAGAGGTCGTAAGTGCTCCGCCCTTGCGCGCTGTTTCTGGCTGCTGTCGGCGGCATGGTAGTTTCTTATTCTTGTATCGCAACCGACTGTATTTGTACTCAATATTGATGCCGATCTCACGATGTCATCCGATGGGTCTGTGGGAGGCGACTTGTTCTGGATGTCGGTATGGATACATGGTGGGCTGGGGGCTGGTAGGGTCAGGCTTCTTGTTGCTGCTGACGGTTGACGCTGGAAAAGATGTCTTTGAGGTGGGCCTGTGCGTCTTCGCGTTGTTTTTGGAGGTACTGTATGTGCGAGGACGTTGTGTGAGCCAGACTTGATCGGAGTGAGGTCGAAGAGGGGAGGGGGGACGTACCTTTTGCTTCTTCTGGAGGGCTTCAAGATCTGATGTGATGGCGGTCTGTTTCTGCTCAAGTTCGGACAGCACGACGGGTTGTGATTCTTGCAGGAACCTAAGAGCACCAAAAGAGCAGAAGTCAATGTGAGTTCGGGTGGCATTTGAATGGGAAGGCGGGAGTGATGGACGTACATCTTTCCAACTGAGCGGTAGAACGGTGCGTTGGGATCCTGAATCGCCTGCAGCTCGGTGAGCGTGAGCGTGTTGAGCTTGGCCTCGCGCTCGCGTGCGGCAATCTGCGCCCGAAGCGCACTCAGCTGCTGGTTCGTCTGGTATACTTGCAGCTGGATCTTCTCGAGCACTTTCGAGAGCGTCTCGTCCGGAATGCGCGACGACATGGCGAGTCTTTGCTGGTGGTGTGCGGTGCTGATGCGCTGAAGAGATCGTGTTGTGACCAGCGATGGGTTTATCAGTCGAGTATGGTTGCAAGACGCTGTCAATCGGGAGAGCAGCGGTGCTGTGATGGATGCAAGGCGGGTCGGTGTGATCTTGAGCAGATGCAGGTCGCAAGTAAAAGTCGTCGGAGCAACGCATCTTCGCTCGCCTGCAGGTGTTGCTCTGGGCGCGCTAATTCCAAAGTGTTAGACCGGCTTACAGAGACTTAAAACATTGTTAGATTGGTGTTGTCCCTTGTCGGCTGCGGGGGCGGTGCATGCACGCACCTCCTCAGCCACCGTGGCCACTTTTGGACAGCGAAACGTCTTGGAGCTGGGCATACGCGCGGTAACTTCACCCGACACTCACACCCCTGCCAGACCCACTTCACACACAACCTCCATCAACCTACAACATGGGTCTATTCGGCAAGAAGAGCAGCAAAATTCCGCCCGTCGAATCGGCGCCTCCGCCTCAGTCCGGCCCACCTGGCAGATACAGTGCAGGTGGCCCAGGCTATGGCGGTGCAGGCCCCTCGGGACAGGGCGGAGGCGCCGGCTATGGCTACGGCAATCAAGGCTACGGTGGTGGTGCTGGTGGTGCTCCCGGCGGACCAGCTCCGTACCAGGACCGATTCGCCAATGCGCGGGCACCTAGCGCCGGCTTCGGCTCGGGATACGACCAATACGCGGGCGGCAGTGCAAACAAATCCTCCAACCTCTCTCGCAATGTCCGGAGTGGCGCGGGTGGTGATGACGACCTAGAAGCCGAATACGGCCGAGGCTCGGGTGCGAACGCAGCTTCTAATGCAGGCTACGACGGCCTGGAACAGCAAGAGGAGCAGCGCGATGAGGAAGACGACGAGGTCGAGGCGATCAAGCAGCAGATGCGCTTTACCAAGCAAGAGTCGCTCTCGTCGACGCGAAATGCCCTTCGCATCGCGCGTGAAGCCGAGGAGACGGCGACCAACACCATGTTCAAGCTCTCGGACCAGTCGGAGAAGATCGGCAACACCGAACGCTCGCTCGACCTCGCAAAGGCGCACGCCTCGCGTGCCGAAGACAATGCCAAGGAGATCGTGGCTCTCAACCGCTCCATCTTCCGGCCCAACATTCAGTTCAACAAGAAGGCAAAGCGCGATGCCGAGGAGGCACGCATCATTGCGCGCCACATTGATGAGCGCGAGGAGCGCGAAGCCGTGCGACGCGACGTCACTGCGGCGCAGTCGAGGCTCGACGCGAGCATGAACGGTCCCGGCACAGGCAAGGCCAACATCGGCCGATTTGGCCAGGACAGATTCGGCACGGGCAAAAAGGCCGAAGAGGTGCAGCGCAACAAGATCGCCCAGCGCGGCCGATACCAATTCGAAGCCACCGAGTCGGACGACGAGCTCGAGGACGAGCTCGACCAGAACCTCGACGAGATTGGCATGCTGAGCTCTCGGCTCAACCAGCTCGGCAAGGCGATGGGCGCCGAAGTCGACTCGCAGAACTCGAGGCTGCAGAGGATCGGCGACAAGGCCACCACGCTCGACACCAAGATCTTTGCCGGCACACAGCGTCTGGGCAACATCAAGTGACGCTCTCGCTCCTCACTCGCTTCGTCTATGGAGCCGATCCGACGATTCGGACAATTGCAATCCATCCTTGATTAGAGAAGCGCAGGGTGTTTTCAAATACTAGAGCGAAGGGGGCAAGATCAGGCCTGGACGGGGGTGTAGTCCTTGTTAACCATGACGTATCGGAATCTGGGCTTGCCGGCGTCCATGTCGGAGACGACCTGGTTGGCGTCCTTCATGTCGCGTTCTTCGATCATGGGCTTGAGGTTCTGCTTTGCTGCGAGCTCGAGCATCTCGGCGATGATGCCGGGGCCACCGATGAGCGAGCCGCCGAGGAAGACGCCGCTGAAGGCGAGGCCGGGGAGCGGAGTAGGCTGGCAGGGCTCCTCGGGTACGCCGACGGCGACGATCTTGCCGCGCGGACGCACGAGGGTGAGGTAGTCCGAGATGGGCATGTTGGTGAGGATGAGCAGGTCGAGCGAACGCTTGTGCGCCGAGTACGGGTCCTTGTCGCCCGAAGCGATGAAGTCGGTCGCACCCAGCTTGCGCGCCAGCTCCTCCTTGGAATGCGTGTGCGAGATGGCCGTGATCTTTTCGGCACCCAGCGCCTTGGCAAAGATGAGGGCAAAGTGACCAAGACCACCGATACCCACCACACCGACGTTCTTGACACCCTCGGTACCGCAGCCGTTGGATTTGAGCGGGTTGTACACCGTGACACCACCGCACATCAGGGGGGCAGCGACGGCCGAGGGGAGCGACTCGGGGATGTGCACGGCAAAGTGGGCGGGAACACGCGAGTAGGTCGCATAGCCACCCATCGAGTAGCCCGAGCCGTCGGTGGCAGAGTAGTCGCCGTTGTATGTGCCAACGATGCCGTTTTCACACCACGGCTCCAAGCCGTCCTTGCAGGCGGAGCACTTCTTGCACGAGTCCGACTGCGCACCCACGCCGACACGGTCGCCGATCTTGAAGCCCTTAGTCTCCTTTCCGACGCGCGAAACGGTACCCACGATCTCATGGCTGTCAACAAGCAACATAAATCCGTCAGAAGTTGGTTCGTGCGAGTATGTCGGTCTGCATGCGAAACTTACCCGACGACGCAGGGGTAGCGGGTGGGACCCCAACCGGAACGAGCGGTGTGCAGGTCCGAGGCGCAGACACCGCAGCACTCGATCTTGATCTCGATGTCGGTCTCGCGCCACTGCTTGGGCTCAAACTTCTCCCACTTCATGTTGCCGATGCACGACTTGTCGTGGCCGACCCAGCCTTCGAAGTGTGCGTCAGTGTTGGACATGGTTGCTGCTGCTTTCCTGAGGTGTGAGCGAAGAAGGAAGGAGGCGAATGTTTGTGTGGGAAAAAGGAGGTTAAGGACGTCGACACTTGGAGCTCTATATACGGTACAATCAGCGAGGAGGACTCGACATTGAATAGCAGGTGGAGCGTCATCGGCCTCCTGCCCTGAAGCGTCTCAACCGCCGTCTCAAGATCTCGGAGCGGACAGAGATGTGCGATGTTCGGCAGGGCAATTCTGAGTCCTCGCTTCGCACCTCTTTCTGCGGCATTTGCTTGGTCTGTACCAGCCCAGCTCCGCATGCATGAGCAAAGGTCTTGGACAACAGACGTGGAGCCTCCCTTCGAGATCGGAGGCTTGCCGTCCGAGCAGCTCCAAAGGTGGAGGGCCATGCCGAGGGATGATGTCAAACGACACGCGAACAAACTTCGTCATGCACCAAAAAACTCGCCGAAATCCTCCACATCCCGTGCAAGTGGAGGCTGTCTCCCTTGTCCGCGGCGACCGAAGCGTTCATGCCGGAGATTTACAGCTCGGCAATGGATCCAGCACGGCTACTCACTCGATCGTCAGGTGTGCATGCCGTTGGCACTCTTCTCGGATGCGCTGCGCGTGAGAAGCATTTGGGTTTCGAGTCGGCATCTCCACGACCGAGCGGGGACCGTACGCGGATCTCATCTCTGCCTCGAACTCACAGATTGTAATGGGCGAGGACAGACCAGACCACTGACCACCTGAATAAAGGGACTCTACCTCTATCGGGGGCTTATGATGTTGCGCACGGTCTCGTCCTTGAGTGTCTTCCGCTGCTGCTCGGGCGCCATCGTGAGAAAGGTTGAGCAACATGCAGGCCGAGTCAATGGAGGATTGCCCACCTTGAGCTAAACTTTCTCCTTTTGCATTCGAGCTTTTCTGCGCAACGAAGCGAGGGCGAGCCAGTCCGCAGATTTGTGCGCGTGTGCAGTCAAGAGTCAGTCGCCACGCGTGGCAGGCATCCCTGATCAGCCTTGTCCGTCATGCTCTAGCGAATCCGCGACGATGTGTTTGCAGACCTCATTAGTCGGCGTCGAGCCAAGAAGATTGTCTGGGAATCAGCCTTCACGGCGACACCACTGCTGTGGCTCTTGCTATCGCTGCGCGGTCACTAGAGCTCCAGCTGCTGCTGCCGTCGCAGCTGTCCACCGCCACGCTCGCTTCCCTCTGCTAGTTCTGATTGCTACAGGCGTGGCAGAAGCTCCGCTCTTGCCTGGCCGAGTCAAATCTGGTCTGCGCACGTGGCCTGCCTGTGCTTCGGTTGCCCGCTCTCGTCTGTGCTGTTGAAAAAGCACATAACTTAAGGCGATGATCTCTCGACCACACTTCGCTCATCCCACCAAGCCCCGATCTCCTCGCTCGATCTTTTCTCTCTCATGCCTTGCCCATCCTGACGTGGCTGTCAACGGCTTACCATCTTCTTGTGTGAGTGCACTGGCCTTATCGCTTCCTAACTTTACCACATTGTGCAACTCGTCTAACTCGTCCTCGCTCGCATTACGTTCATGATGAGCGCATAGGATCAAATGCATCGCGACCTCACGACCTTCGGCTTTCGCGCTGTGCCGGTGAACGAGAGGTTGGAGGAGTTCCATGTCGGTAGAGCTCCCCTTCGGCGGCCCGTCCTCCAAGCTACGCGCCTGTTGCTGGGATACTTGCGCGTGTTCCAGCAACAAGCTCTGAGCTGGATGACGGCCACAAAGGGGAGCTGTGCCGTTAGGGGGCTCCTTTAGCATGTCGGACAGCGGTACATCGCCGAGCCCGATGGTTGTGAGTTCGACAGGCGACCTGGCTGACAATTGTCTCGTTGGAGCTCGGTTGCGGATGGTTCTCGGTTCGGCACGACTGCAGGACGCTCACAGCCATCGCATTCCGTCTCCCTCACCGCCCGATCAAGCTTTGCTCCTGCCCTTCACTGCTCAACGTGAAGAAGGCTGTTGCAAGGCACTTTGTTCGCGAGCTCAAGTATTTCTTTCAGGACCTGGACGAAGCATCTGAACTCTCGAGCAAATGGCTTTGACGCTCTACTTCTCTCCAAGCTCCAGGCATCTGCTAGCCTCGGAGCGCAATCCTTGTTCGAAAAGCAGTGCCATTTCTCCTTCTCATTGCTCTGTGTTTGATGAAAGGGGCGGATTGTGAAGCAACGTGAGCGAGAGTTGCATCTTTCGGGCTTGTGCACCTGCCTCTGATCTCCTTTTCTCTATGCTCGGCGGTTCTTCCGTGTGCAGACCGTTGCAAAAAGCCGAAGAATGCACGGGTTCGCGCTTGGAAGGTCGCCGCGCCCGCCATAAAGGGGCAAAGAGGCTGGTGCACAAGCCGGAGATCGCTCGATGATTGTTTTCGGTGTAAGACGATCCAGTGCGGACACAGTGGGTGCGGAACCAGCGAGCGCGGAATCAGTCAAGTCTGCGGTGAACACCACTTTCGCGCCTTTGCGACCTGCCTTCAAGATCACACGCTTGAAGTCTATCACTGGCATGCATCTGCTGTGGTTCATTGATCGAGGTGCTGAGGACGCGATGGGATCATGCTACACGCCAAATTGGACCCTGTTGTCGAGCCACCATCGGAGTCCCTCCTCCCTCGTGGCTGCGTTGAGCGCCTGGATTGCGTCAAACGTCTTTTGGCACAAGGCCAATCGGCTGCCTCCGGCCGATCTCTCTGCGGACGCCGAAAGGGCTACCTCCGAGCCGCGTCCCTCTTCTTGCTGCTTTTGCTGCGCAATGTACGTCTCAACCTTTTTGAGAGCGGATCGGAGCAGCACGAGGTTGACGCTCGGGATGCAGCTGATCAGGCACATCTGCAAATGCGTCAAGCGGTCGTAAGTGTCAGCACTGGCTTCAGAGTCCCCTTCACCGGAGAGGGCGGTGGGATTGGTCGAGGAAGGGTGGGACGAGGCGCTGCCCGCGGTAGCATCTGCTACATCCTGCTTCGTCGCTCCGTTGGACTCCGCATATCCGCCAGCTTGAATCTGTTCCTTGCGAGAGTCGCCATCGGCCGAAGACGATGCAGCTCCCATGCGCTCCCTGTCGATCTCATCGGCGAGCTTTGTGATGACCCACCATGCGACCGAATCGCTGCGGTCGCTGATGGCGGAGACGACGGTGGACATGGCGTATTCCAGCTGCACCGACGTGAGGCGCTTCGGATAGCTTGCGATGAGCAGCTCCACGTAGAAAGGCGTCAGGTTGAGGATGCATCGCTTGTGGTTCGAGTAGAGCGCCAGCACCACCGAGTGGGCCGACTCGAACGTGTCGCTGAAGCGAGTGTTCTCCAGGTACGGTCGGCAGATGGGCAGGATGAGCTGTTCGACCACTTCGTCCGGAAGAACGGCGATCAGCTGCTCCGCAACGTTGAGGAAGTAGGTGGTGGAACTTCGTTTGGACGCGTTCATCTCCAAACCGTCCGTCGAGGTGGAAGGAGCGGTCGGATTGGGTGATACGGGCGCGATGAGCTCCAGCAGCTGGATGCAAGCCTCGCCGTCTCGACCGAGAACGTCGAGTGCGGAATAGAAGACCTTGCGGTACACGTCAAAGCCGTCCGCGCCGAACGTGCTGGTGATCCAGTAGAGATGCGAAAACGTTGCCAGCATGAGCTGGACGAGCAGCAGATAAGGTGCGGGCAGATTCGACGTCGATGCGCGAGGCCATTTTCGTTGCTTGCCCTGCAACGCGCTGCCCACGCCTTCCTCGGGCTCAGGGTCAAGCGCGGGCGGCATGGTGAGAGTCGGGCTGGGGCACATGTCGACGAGCGCGTCCATCATGGAATCAAAGACCATGGTGTAGCTGAAGAGGAGCGTTTTGAACACGGTCCACATCTGTTTGGTGAGCTGTCGGCTCGTCTCGGCGATCTGAGCCTCGTCTGCGCCCGCGAGCGGGCTCGAGAGCCAGGCTGCTTCCAATTGCGATGAGAGGCGCGACATGCGCACAAGCACCGGGAAGAATTCGACCTCGCCAGTCTGCGGCTCCAATGCCGCATCCGACGTTCCGAGGAGCATCGACGAGAGCTGCGCGGGCGTAAGGGAGGTGACAGCTTTGGCAAGCGCTCGCGACATGAGCTTGGATAGAGGTCCCAGCACGGAGAACAGCGTCGAGTCGATGACATGCTGGAGGGACCTCGCGGTGCTGCCGTCGGGATTCAAATGGATTTGACTAGCTCCCTGGTCGCCGTCTTTCGCATTGCTGACATCCTGAGCAAGATCAGACAGGAAGGTCGAACCATCCGCGCCTTCAAAGAGGGACAAGATGGCGTCGCTCGTCGCCGAGGCGAGTTGCACTGGGTCGAGCGCATGGATCTTCCGGTCGGGCACGAAAGGTGCAAGCTGCGCGGCCATGTACAGTGGAACGTCGCGGACGTCGCGCAAACCGGCGCGCAGGGCCCGCTTCGAGGCAAGTGCGGTGATGCCGGCAGGTCCTGCAACCTCTGCGGTGCGCTTTCGAAATTCGACCTCCCAGTCGTCTACGCCCTGATCCTCGTCGCTGGCGGCATCCGCCTTTGCTTCGCTGGGTGCGGTCTCGCCGACGCTGAGAGCTGCCGAGGTAGTGGGCCCGTGAATATGATCGAGGATTTCGGCGAGAGCAACGATCCACTCATCCTCGATGATGTTCAGATGGCGACGCACGCTGAGACCGAGCGAAGGATTGGCCCGTACAGCGGCCACCTCCTCGAGGATGGACATGTCGCGCGTGCGTCGACGCTGGTCCTTGAGTACGTGAAGAGCGTTGAGCAGGCCACCGACTACGGCGAAACGAGGGATGGGGAGACCCTTGGCTGCTCGATACGATTCGGGAGTTCCATTTAGCTCGGTGTCGTCCATCCCTTTGACGATGGCACTCAGGTATTGCGACAGGGCCGTGCTGGATGCCCAACCGGTCGAGTTCTTCTTGGAACGGACGATGAGATCGACGCGCTTAGTCAGAGCTGCTGCGACGGCTTGCGATATGCTGGTGGAGCGTGAAATCAAAAACGCGCTCAGCGAGCTTTGCGACGCTGGCTTAGGGGTGATGGCCGAGTTGCGCTCGTTCGCCACGCCGGTGCTAGAATTTGATGGCGAGCCAGGTTCCGTGGTCCATGTGACTTTGGGTGCGCTGTTCGAGGAAGGAGTGGGAGCCTTCCCAGAAGCTGCAGTGGGAGGCTGACCAGCAGGGGGCGGTGGGGTCCAGAGGCATCCGCTGGAGCTGATGACGCCCGCGAACTCAGCGACGTGGTCGAGCTCGAGCTTGCTGAGATAGTAGGTGATGCTGCCGTATAGAGTGCTCTCTGAGAGGAGGCTCAGGTGCTGTGTGCTTGTGGCCGGGGCAGAAAGCAGCTTCTTGAGAGACAGAAATGTTGCATCGTCGGATGGGTCGACGAAGAGCGGTTCGGCGTCCTCCTTGGATGCGGATGTCCTGGACCTGGACGACCGGGGACTCGATCGCAAGAGGCCAGACATTGTGCTAGCCGACAAGAATGCTGCTCCAGGCAATTCTTCTCTATTTGAAGAGCGATGTGCCGAAAATGCGGGTAGCTGGCTGGATTACGAGCGAGGATATGGTGAAAAGCTGGTGGAGCTCGTTGCGGAGACGATGGACACCGGAAGTGCCGGTTTCGGCTTTCAACCCGCGCCAGACGCGGGGAGGCCGACTGAGCCTTGACGTAACACCTTCGTGATTTTTGCCGTGTTCCGACTTCCGTCCGGAAATTTGGTTTGCTCGTGCTCCACTCCCTCCTCGTGTTTGGCACAAATTGACCACCTCTCTACAATCACTTTGACCGCAGACCTTGGGCACGAGTCTCCAATCACAGGCGCAAGATGCCTTCTCCCGCCCCAAATAGGCCGTCAGCGGCTGCCATGTCTCCGTTCGGAAGGAACAGCCAAAACGCAGCCCTGCTCGCCAAGGCCGGCAAGGCGGGAACCCCACCACGACCTTCCGCATCTTCGACACCGAGCGGCAAACCAGCGCCATCAACTCCGAAAGCAAACAAGTCGCTTGGAGTTGCGGGAGGGAATGGAGGTGGAGGCGGAGGAAACAGGAGCATCTCGCTATCTTCCTCTTCACGTGCGTCTCCCCAGCCCTCGAATCGCTTCGGCTCACCGTCGACTCCAGGAGGCAGTGGAGCCAACACCTTGCTCGGGGGAGCGGCTCCCTCAATGTACGACTCAACAGGACTCCTCAGTAGGGACTTCGAAACAACCTACCATCGGCAATGCCGGACGTTGCTGACTGCATTTGTGGCAGCGGCCAGGATGTGGGAAGAGATCGCCACGTTTGATGGACTCAAATGGGCGAAAGAAGCTGTGGATGGATGGGAGGAGTTTCACGCTGCAACAAGGCTCAACAAAGACGATATGGCGCCCGTTCGAAAGGCCAAAGGTCCGGCGAAGCTGAGCTCAAGCACACAAGACACGAAGAGGGCGATGGCTCTGGATCCCAAGCAAGCCCATGATCCGGTGGACGGGCCAGGCGGACTGAAAGAATCACGTATGGCTGATGCAACTGCTCGCATCGAGGCAGCGCACGACGGGCTCGCGGTTGTTCTGGATCGATTGGTAAGCTCAAGCTCCAAGTGGCTGCACGACAGTTTCGGATGCGAGTAGGCAACTGACACGGCGAGTTAATCTGGACTTGACAGAACAAGGCGCTGGCCAAGTTGACCACAGCAAGCGACTCGCTACGCAGCCTGCTCGAAGAAGCCGCACAGCGCAAAGGCCTCGAGTTTGCATTCCAAGATCCACTTTGGGCCTCTTGGCCACTGGAGCGCTTCGGTAAGTCGATTGTTGGCCACGGCATTGCGGACATCGCACTGACAATCTGTTCTGTTCAAAATCTCTCTTTGTCGCAGTCGAGCGGGTGTTTGATCTGACATCACAGTATCGGGTGTCGACACAACACCTGGATCTTCTTGTGCCGACGCTGATCCAGTCAGGCGAACGACCGGCGTCAACGAAAGCGCGAGACACGAACGAAGCGCAACAGTCGACAAGCAAGGCTCGCCGACAAGCGTACGAGGCCTGGATCAGCCTTCCGCACCTCGAAACGAGAGGCTCACAGAGTTTGGTCGGCCTGGAGGAGTTGTGCGAGGTCGAGGTGGGCCGTTGGAAAGAGTAGATCAGCACAGCCAATCTCGTGATCGATCCGCAATGGAGTGCCGAAAGCACAGGCATGCCAATCTCAGCACAGAGCAAAGCGATTGTCCATTAGAATGCTGCAAGAGACGTGAAGCGACAGGTATGAGGTGCACAATTACGTTAGACGTAGTAAATGGCCATCTGCTCTCCTGCCTTGTGGTAGCCGCACTTTTCGTAGAAGGGGACGTTCTTTTCGCTGCAGTCGAGGATGACCTTGTAGCAGCCACGCTCCTTTGCGATGTGTGTCAAGATTTCGATGATGCGCTTGCCCAGGCCCTTTCCCTGGCCGTCGTTGTGTACGACGATGTCTTCGATATGACCACATAGGCCAGCACTTCGGAGGAACTTGTACTCGACGAAGACCGTGCCACAGGCAACGATCTGGTCAGTCGAAGTGTTGATGAAGACGATAGGATAGTAGGTGTTGGGAGCGGCGAGCTGGAGCGCGAACTGCTTCGACCATGCAGCCAGACCGACGTCGGGTGCTTGTGTGAGGTCGGAAAGGACGCGCAGGTGGCCGCGGTTATAGTCGTCGCTGGCGAGCGGGCGCACGATGATATCGGAAGGAAGCAGATCCTTGCTGGCCTGCGGTATTAAGCTGGAATCGAACGACAGCTGGAGTTCGGATTCGGGTGTCAACATAGATGTCGTCGTCGGCATCGTGTGCGAGCGGCGAAGCAATCGAAGCCGGGCTGAGCGTGGATCGTGGGGCGATGATGGTGAAGGGAGGAAGGGACGGGACGTGTAGCCAACGAGATGCTAATTGTGCTGGCGGTGCGGCAGAGAGGTGTTGGTTGGCTGTTTCACAGGGGCGCGCCTCCACTCTCCTGGCTTCAGGAGGCATCGCTCGTTCACCACAGCTGCATGAGGCGAACAAACACCGCTTCACGTTCCTCACATTTCGCTATCTGGCCACGGGCATGCACGCGCGCGCTGTCACTCTGTCGCCTCGGACGAATTTGCACTTGCAAGCAGAGACCCTGAAGAGACTGGCCGTTACAAAACTCAACGGAAGCGCTTCGGCTGTGTCGACTCTAACAATGAACCACTTTTTCCCACGTCCGCTCATGCACGAGCCCAGCCGCAGCTGGCTTCTCGGAAGGTCCGGCTCGGCTCTTCCGTCACCACTGAGCTCGATTCACTCTCTTCTCATCACACTCAACTCAGGTCCATCCGACCGCTCACGGACCGTCAAAGACTATGCTCGCATCCAACACACAGCTCCTCTCTCGAGCGGCCCGGCTCATCGTTCCTCGATCCGTCGCGTCAAGGAAGCTCTCGACGTTTACGCCGTCCTATCCGCCTTTGCCTTCTTTGGCAGCAGCGGGCGCAGCAAGGCCGGCCTTCTTCCACAGCTCATTTCATCCGATCGCCGCTTCCGCCTCGGCAGCATCATCGAATAACGCGCAGCGCAGCACGAGAGGTGCATCGCTCGCTCTTGCACTTCTCTTCGGCTTCTCCGCTTCAGTGATTTCTCTGTCTAACACCGATACTCTCAAGCTGGATGCAGCACCAGCAGCCCAAGACAAGTCATTGACGAGCATCGCTACGGACGCTTCCAAGCAGCTCGTTGTCGATCCCGACACCAGTCTCGGATTTCCCCTGTATCTTCCCACGCCCGTGTCATTCAAGTCCTCTTCGGCACAGGACCAGTCCAAGCTCCGCCTCGTTGGCTTGGGTGTTCGCACGGTCTCCTTCCTCCGCGTCCGCGTCTACGTCGCTGCTCTGTACATCGACGAGAACAAGCTGCAGGAGCGCTTGACACGCGCTTCTAACGACAAGACGCTCGAGCAGAATGTCAAGGAACTGCTCGACGACGGCACCGCCGCTGTCATCCGCATCGTCCCCGTTCGCAACACCGACTTCAACCACCTCCGCGACGGATTCATTCGTGCGCTTCAGAACCGCCTCAAGAAGGCCATCAAGGATGCGCGCGTGCAAACCGACTCCCCGCTCGAGTCTGCATTTCAGCTCGCTATTCAGCAGATTAAGGACTCGTTCCCGCGCGGCTCGGTCCCCAAGGGCTCGCCTCTCGACCTTGTCATTCTCCCCACCGCCGTCAACTCCAAGCCGGTTCCCGCGTCGCTCAACTTTGAGTACGACGGTCAGGCGTTTGGTCAGGTGACGCCGAACAAGGACGAGATTCAGCAGTCGTCCGCAAACGCGGTCGACCCCGCCTTCACGGTTGCCAGGGAGCTCGCGCTCGCCTACTTTGCCGATGTCGGAGAGATCAGCACTCCTTTCAAGAACTCCGTCCAGCAGGGATTGCAGCCATAGTCCATCCCCTCGCTCGCAGCATAAGCGTGGTGTAATTGACTAAGTTGGCACACCCTTTCGAATCATCTGTGCGTTTGCCGTGAGCCGGAACAGCGAGACTCGCTCAAATCCCTCGAGCCACTGACCAGCTTGCGTGAGCAAGTCAACACAGAGCTGGATCCTCTCCTCGTCTGTTTCGTGTGGGAAAGTCCGAGGAATCAGAGCGTGTTGCGGGTGCACATAGATCGTTAACTTCAAATTAAATGCTGACCATTGATCAGAGTTTCGACACACGGGCCGCACAGGAGCGGAGCTGTTGGCTAACGGAGACTGTGTTGCGTGCCCGCACTCCATCCGCACCCGGTGTGCCTGCACTCAATTGCGAGACAAGGAGCAACAACCGAGAGATTTCCGGCTTGTGCCGCTGACCCTGGTCTCCTCCTTCTGTGGGCGGCGGCCCTTCCAGCGCGGACCGTACAGAGCGGCCGAGCGATGTACGGTTCCGCTCTCGGAAAGGTCGGCAACCACAGAGGGAGGAGAGCAGAGTCGGCAGCACGAGCAGGGAAATCCGAGGAAAGCTCAGTCAGCAGTGCTGGATTTCTCCACAAACAGAAGCCTTATTTTTGCGCTGCAAATCCCGCACCTGTCAAGCCGAGCCGAGACGCGATCGACGGTATTTCCATTTCTGTACAACGCGCGAAGCATGCGATGGTATTCTGGTGGAACAAGGTGCCCGCGGGAGGCAAGTTGCACCGATTAAAGCGCACTCTTGCCGCGCGAATCGAGGGGGATGAGGAAGGAGAGCACTCCCGACAGAAGGAAGAGCGAAGCAGCCACGTAAAGCGGCGCAGTGCCTCCAGCGTAAATTCCGATGATGGGAGCCATCGCTCCGAAGATACGGTTGAGCGCAGCAGCGATTCCGTCACCTGTTCCTCGATGCGGAGCGGGGAAAAGCTCCGGAGTAAGGCAGTACAACGTTCCATACATAATGTTCTGAGTCAACGCCGTTACGGCGTTGTATCCAAGCACAGCGCCTTCGGTCGAGGCGGTGGTGAAGAGGAAGAGGAAAACGCCGGTCAGAAGCGTACCGACGCCGAGCGCACCACGTCGGCCAGAGCGGGGCAGCTCCACGGCCCAGGCGGCAATGATGGAGCCTGGAACACCGCAGACCGAAATGATAGCGTAGTTGCGGTAGGTGGTGTAGACGTCCGAAGCACCGTCGAGACCCTGAGCCTCGGAGAGGTAGATGGGCAGGAAGGCATTGTAGAGCGGGTAGGCGAGGCCGATGAGCGACCAGAGCACCCAGAGCAGGGTGGTGGTAACGGCCATGCGCCAGCCGACGAAGAGCGGGCGGACGTGCGAGAGATCCGGGGTGAACGAGACGCCCTTAAAGTTGTGGATGAATTCCTTGGGGGCCGAGGTGATGCGCTTCATGCCCTTGGGCTTGTGCTCGATCTCCTGTGCGTCCATGCTGGCCTCCTGGCCGGCAGCGGAGCGGAAGATCTCGACCGAGATGACGTCGTCGCCGAGCGGCTTGCCGTTCCTCGCGGCAATGTCCTTGAGCACGGCGACGGCATCGGCGTCGCGACCCCTGGAGAGGTAGTACTTGGGCGACTCGGGCAGGTTGAAAACAAAGTAGCGCGCGACAAACATGGCAAAGGTGAGCGCGCCAAAGGTGTAGAAGCTGTAGCGCCAGCCCTTGTTCTGGCTGACGTCGCAAGCGACGGTGTTGGGGCCGGTGACCGTGTTGGACTGGTTGTCGTCGCACGAGTAGTTGGCGATGAACGCCCAGGCAACGAGCGAGGCGAGGAGCTGGCCGAGCGACCAAAAGACCGAGAGGAGCGTGAGGAGGTACTGGGACTTGGCGGGGACGAACTCGAGGAACATCATGCCGTCGACGGGCAGGTTGCCGCCGAGACCGAAACCAAGCGCGGCAAGGAGACCGCCGAGACCGACGAAGCTCGGGGCAGCACCACCAGCGATACCAAAGATACCAGCGATGCAGAGGGTGATGTTGAAAGAAGGACGGCGGCCGATGACGTCGGCGAGGATACCCCAGGTGGCGGCGCCGAGGATGAGACCGCAGTAGAGCGAGAAGGTCATCCAGCGGACGTCGCTGGAGATGTTGAATTCACGCTCGACCTGCGGAAGAATGATGGCGACGCCTTGGAGCCAGAGGTTGTCGGCCATCCAGCCCCAACCAGAGAGGAGGAAGAGCTGCCACTGGACCTTGCCCATGCCGATGTGGTCGTTCATGACCTTGTTGAGGATGTAGACCTTGCGCTCGTAAATGTCATCCACCGAGGCGCCGTCCGGGCGCGAAAACACCTCGGACTCGAGAGGCGAGACCTGCTTCTCGAGCTGGTCACCATTGGCGGGCTTGACGTGCTGGTTAGCTTCGTTGCCCTTCGCGATGGTCTCGTCGCCGACCTTGACCGGTTCGACGGGAGAGTGGCTCATCTTGGACCAGTGTCGAGCGGAGGACAGGGAGAGGGGATTGTCGGAGTGGGCAGAGGGCAAAGGGGCTACGCTCTGTGGATCCACGCGATGGGGTCAAAGTAGGAGCTGGTTGCTTCGCGAAGAGACCGGCTTGGATGGGGGATGAGGGGGAGAAAGGTGACGGGCTCAAGGATGCAGTGCGGTATTTGAGGCGATCGGCAGGGAATGGCGGCGGGGCCTTGTGAGTGTGGCTCAAGACTGAACCCTTTGCTGCTCCGACGAGTCAAAATGCCAAGTAGCTCAGGGTGGCGTGGAAACCGAACCATCAGGGCTCGAGGCAGAGTGGGGAAAAAAAAGAGAAGGCTTGGAAATGAAGTGCCGGTGGACGGATTGGCGGGCAGGAGCGCAGAGGAGGAGATCATCTGCACGAGGAAATGGGGGTGGGCTCAAAGACTCAGGGCACACAAGGCACAAGCGAAGCGGTCGGGTAGAGGCTGGCGAACACCGTTGCGATGCTGTAAGCGAGGGCCGCTCACGGGAGGGTCCCAGCTGGGAAAGTGCAAGACGGAGTGAGTGGCGGACGGCTGATGGCGAATAGCTCGATTTCCTCTGCACATCTGAACAGGCTGGCGGCGTTGGCCGATTCCGCCAAAGCCGCGTGCCAAACACGCTGCGCGTTTACGCCGTGAAGGGCAGCGAGCGCGGGCGCAGATGCAGGCGCGAGGTGCAGGCGAGGTGACGGGGTTGTGCGCGCGCGATGTGCATCCACATGCGGGTCAGCAGGGCACCTTGTCGCAGCCACACGCAGGCACGCGATGCAGCCAAAGCAAGGAAGCAAAGGTACAGCCTTCGAGCAGAAGAACGACGTGAGACAGAGCGGGTCACGACCCTCCTGGCACAGCCGACACCGCTGTGGATCGAGAGACATCCCCGCCCGGGCGAGAATGCGCTGCTGACGATGACCGACGGCGTCTGACCAGTGTGAAACGGAGAATTTCCATTATAAAAAATCAGCGATGCGGACCACGGGACCAAGGCGAGCGCCTAATCCTGTCAATTCGCAAGCCGATTCCACCGAGGTCGACGACACCCTCAACCGCTAACTTACGCGCCCGAGCCGCCTGAAAAGCAATTTTGGCGGATTGCTGGAAAAAAGGGCCTTTTTTTCTTCTTTTCAAACGCCCTCATCCCAGTCGAAGGGTTTGGGGGTGCCAGCCACAACGCAGAGTTGTATGCAGTGGGTTTCCACTGCAGCCTGCAACCGAAGTGCAGCAAACCAACGCCCGCATCCAGGACAAAATGAACTTCACAGAGACGATGAACTCACAGCAGCAAGATATCTTTTCCGCGCCGCTCGAGTACCATCCTTTTCTCGGATCCGGTCCACAGAGCTCCGAGAGCGTGCATCTCCTGCTGCCTCGTCGGCGCTGCAAAGCCCCATCTCGAGATCATTCTCATTCGCAAGCGCCATGAGAGGTTGGGGGTAAACAACGCTACGATCGCCGCTGGCCTTTCTGAGTAAATTGCGCGATGAACTCCGGCTGCCAAGCTTTGCCCGGGTGGAACTGCCAAGGGGGATGAAACACGACACGGCGACCCGGGCGGAAGAAGATGAAAAGTACAGTACACGGCTTCGGGCGGGATCACAATCGAGGGGAGTTGGGAATTCAGACTCCGGTCTCGCACGATGATGCGCGAGTGCCGACTGCCAAGCTGGAGCGCATTTTCAAACTGCACACACCGGAAGGAAAAACCTCGAACCGCGCGCGCGAGACGCTCGGAGAGCCCGGTGTTGCCGGTACTGCCGTTTTCTTCCAGACACCGCCGACAACATGGCTCTATTCTACGGACACACTCGAGCATGTCACTTTCAGAGTGATCGGGAAAGATGTATCGCAGATCGAGATCCTACGATGATCGGGAGGCTTCGACCGTCAGCGTGAGAACCGCGTCGGTCAAGTACCGCCATCTGCAAGTATGCAGCGAAGCACGATGTCGCTTTGCATGCCGCTCTGCCTGCCTTTCGATTCCGCTCTGCCGCCTGTTCCGCTCCGCCCGATGTTGCTATCGATCAAGATCCCACCCACGAGGCAGCGGGGTCGGCTCTTTCCGAACACCATTCATCGAGCCGCTCCGAAATCCACCATAGCTCGTTTAAACTCATCGTGTTGCTTTTACCCGCTCATCAACTTCCACGCTCGCAATAGGAAATCAGAGACAAACATGCTTTCTTTCATCGTCGAGCACAGACAAGCGACGGTTTTTGAACAAGTACAGATTGGACAAGGAGCAGAGCAAGACGGGTACAGGAACGAGCCGTATCACATCTGCCATGGCAACGGCATAGCCTGCCGCAAGCCCGCTTAGGCCGACTTGGCGGCGGCAGCCATCTTGTTGAGGGCCGAGCCGTGCTTGAACCACGAGATCTGGTTGTCGTTCATGGTGTGGGTGAGCGGCAGCTCGTCCTTGGAGCCGTCCTTGTGCTTGCAGACGAGCGAGACCTTGGAGCCCTCGGCGAGCTCGGTAACGCCGATGATGTCGACGAGGTCGTCCGAGCGGACCTTGTCGTAGTCGGCGGGGTTGGCGAACTCAAAGGCGAGCATGCCCTGCTTGCGCAGGTTGGTCTGGTGGATACGAGCAAACGAGCGCGCAATGACGGCACAGCCACCGAGGAAACGGGGCTCGAGAGCGGCGTGCTCTCGCGACGAGCCCTCACCGTAGTTCTCGTCACCGATCACGACCCAGGGCTTGCCCGACTCGCGGTACTGGATGGCGGTGGCGGGCACCGGTCCCCACTCGCCCGAGAAGACGTTCTGCACCTCGTTGGCCTTGCCGTTGGCGGCGTTGATGGCGCCGATCAGGCAGTTGTTCGAGATGTTCTCGAGGTGACCGCGGTACTTGAGCCACGGGCCACCGGCCGAGATGTGGTCGGTGGTGCACTTGCCCTGCGCCTTGATGAGGACGGGGCAGTCGGTGGGGTTCTTGCCGTTCCAGGGCTTGAAGGGCTCGAGCTTCTGCAGACGGTCCGACTTGGGGTCGATGGCGACCTGAACCGACGAGCGGTCCTTGGGGGGGTCTTGGTAGGTGTTGTTGCCGGGGTCGTAGCCGCGGGGAGGCAGCTCCTTGCCGCTGGGGGCGGTGAACTTGAACTCCTTGCCGTCGGCACCCTTGAGGCTGTCGGTCATGGGGTTGAAGGTGAGGCGGCCGGCGAAGGCCATGGCGGTGACGAGGTCGGGCGAGGCGACAAAGGCGTGGGTGGCGGGGTTGGCGTCGTTACGGCCGGTGAAGTTACGGTTGTACGAGGTGATGATCGAGTTCTTGTCACCCTTCTTGATGTCCTTGCGGTCCCACTGACCGATGCAAGGGCCGCAGGCGTTGGCAAGCACCATACCGCCAGCCTTCTCGAGGGCCTCCATCTGGCCGTCGCGCTCGATGGTGGCACGGATCTGCTCCGAACCGGGGGTGATGGTGAACTGCGACTTGACCTTGAGGCCGTGGGCGGCAGCCTCCTCGGCGATCGAGGCGGAGCGGCTCATGTCCTCGTAGGACGAGTTGGTGCACGAGCCGATGAGCGAGACCTTGAGCTCCTCGGGCCAGTCGTTCTTCTTGACCTCCTCGGCGAACTTGGAGAGGGGGGTGGCAAGATCGGGGGTGAAGGGGCCGTTGATGTGGGGCTCGAGCGTGTCGAGGTTGATCTCGATGTGCGAGTCGTACTCGGCGCCCGAGTCGGGGAGGAGGTTGCGCTGGAAGCCCTTGGCGAGGTCGGCGATCTCGGATCGGTTGGTGGCGCGCAGGTAGTCGCCCATGCGCTCGTTGTAGGGGAACACCGAGGTGGTGGCGCCGATCTCGGCACCCATGTTGCAGATGGTGGCCATGCCCGTGCACGAGAGCGACTCGACACCGGCACCCTTGTACTCGATGATGGCACCGGTACCACCCTTGACGGTGAGCTCACCGGCGACCTTGAGGATGACGTCCTTGGGGGTGGTCCAGCCGGACAGCTTGCCCTTGAGCTCGACACCGATGACCTTGGGTGCCTTGAGCTCCCAGGGGATGTCGGCCATGACGTCGACGGCGTCGGCACCACCGACACCGCAGGCGATCATGCCGAGACCACCGGCGTTGGGGGTGTGCGAGTCGGTACCGATCATGAGACCACCGGGGAAGGCGTAGTTCTCGAGGATGATCTGGTGAATGATACCGGAGCCGGGCTTCCAGAAGCCGATGCCGTACTTGGCGGTGGCAGTGGCGAGGAAGTCGTAGACCTCCTTGTTGATCTCAATGGCGCGGGCCAAGTCCTTGGCACCACCGACCTGGGCCTCGATAAGGTGGTCGCAGTGGACGGTGGTGGGGACGGCGACGGTGGGGAGACCGGCCGACATGAACTGGAGGAGGGCCATCTGGGCGGTGGCATCCTGGCAGGCGACACGGTCGGGGCGGAGCTTGAGGTACGACTGGCCACGGCTGATCTCCTGCTCGTGGGGGTTGTCCAAGTGACCGTAAACGATCTTCTCGGCGAGCGAGAGAGGACGGTTAAGACTTTGGAGCGGAGAACCAAGAGAGGGAGGGCGGACAAAGGTCAGCATGCTGGTTCTTTTTTCTTGCGCGCGATCAACGCATCTCGAAGCGCTGGTAGCACGAAAGCGAGTCTCGCCGCCGAATCAAGCTGGACAATTCGGCACTCCTGCTCGCATTGCGCGCGCGGGTTTGCCGAGCCAGCTGATCGGGCGCTGAGGTTGCAAACACAGCTCAAAGGCCTCCCAGGCAGAGGCTTTCATGAATCTTGCCGGCTCTGGCTGCGGAATCAAGAAGGACCGCATTGGCGGAGCTCCTAGTTTCAACAGCAGCATAACAAGGAAACGAGCTGGAGCTCGCACGATGGTTCCGCTTCGCCTCTGCATTCCATGCCATGGACGCCTGGGGTGCAAGACGCGCAAACGCATGCGAACGAAAGGAGAGGAGCGATAACATGAAACTTACCGAGATCGGACGACCTTGAGGTTGTCCTCGATGCGCTTGTAGTTGACGTAGTAGCCCTTGCCCTTCTCAACGACCGACATCTCGACCTTCTTGTCAAAGAGGGAAGGCGAGATTTCGGCGGCCTCCTCGGCAACGGTAGTAGCGTAGCCGCGGGCCAGGGGGGCCTTGGCGGCCGCCCGGAGGGACGAGGATCGGAGAGCTCGGAGGGGAAGCATGATGTGTGGTGAGGATACCAACTACCCTGCTCTCAACTCTGAATGCAGAAAGGGATGGGGATGGAAGGAGATGATGGTGGTTCGAGATGCAGAAGCGGCCGGCGCGGAAGAAAAGGGGAGATACGGGGCAGCCGACGAGACGAGACGGCGCGAGCTACCAGAGGGCGGACAGGCGGACGGGGGAACCGCTCACCCACTGCACTCTGGATCACACGCGAAAAGAGCCGACAGAGACGTGGGCCGGGCGGGGGGGTCTTTCCGTCCGGTCTGATCCTCGCTCAGCAGCAGCACCTGGCGCGCGCGCACTCCGCGCTCTGGCAGGGCCACACAACGACATGCGTGCAAAAGGTGAAAAATGCAAAAACATCCAGGCAGGACACGGCAGGGAACTGGGGATCGGGCAGGGCGGGGGACGCCAGCCAGCCACGCTTTCTGATTTTCAACCGAAGAGATGCACCAGCAGTTTCGGCTGAAGCGTGATTCACGAGCCTCGAACAGGCTGCGCAGCTGCTGGGACGGGTCACCGGCCACCAACGGCACTTGCAGGCCGAGCGCCATCGCCAAGTCGCGGCGTGAGAGCACGGTCCAATCAACACGCGCGTTTTGGCGAGAGCTTCACCCAGCGGCACCGAATTCAAAAGCCTGCAAGTGCCGCGTCTCGAGCCAGGGCTGAGGCTGTAATTCCTTGTAAATTCGATTCGGCTGGCCGCACTGCAGCCTGCAACTACCCAGCCTCGACCCTTGGTCTCTGGGCCGGTTGGACCGACGCCGGCCACCTATTCGTCCTACCCCTGTACAGCAGACGTCGATGCCATCATCTCGAAAGCATCGAGATGGTCACAACTATTTGGCTGCCAATGTCAAGCTGCCAAGCATGAAGCACAGAATACAAGGGCTGGCATGACATCGCCCAAAGACAAGAAAAGTGGAACACGAAACAGCCGAGCTGGACGAGGGCGTGGATTCCGTGAAAGGCACACCGAGATCGGGCGCGCTCATCAATCTGAGCTCCTTCCGTCCGTCGCTATTGCGGCTGTCTCCGTCCTTCGCAAGCAACCCCAACTGTCCGTGATGGTGAGCAACACCGTTCTTCCATCACGATAGCGCACAAGCATGGCGTATTGATCCATCACGTGGAGCTCGTATCTATATGAAACTGGCATCACAACCTGTCGAGGGCAGCAAGCGGAGTGTGGTATCAAAGCTTTCCAGGGCTCGAGGGTGGTGGAGCCGGCCCAATCACGAGGCGGCCAATTCAAACATCGGCTTTGCGCGTCTTCTTGCACATTGCAGGCGGACCCTGCTCAATTCCGCAAATGACCGCTACGCCTTCTCGCGCGGGAATGCCCGATACAAATCGGGTCTGGCCCAACTTGGACCTTGGACGATTGCGATCCTCCTGACGCCGCACGAACATAGTCTCGGGCTTGAGCCGATGAATGCTCGCATGCTAGCAGGATCCTTGTCGACCAGGCCTGTGGGAGTGCCACATGTCCAGCCATGCATCTATGTGGACAGTCAAGTGAAGACGGCCAAGGAACGATCAAACTGGCCAGCTTCAACACGAAGCGTCGAACTCGATTGATCGTCAATCAAGGAAGCATGCAGCGTCTCAGCATGATCACACAAACACAGCTGCCGAGTCTGGGACCAAAGAATAGTTTTGTTTGCTGTCATAGCGGATGAAAACGTATTTGACAGGAGCTAGTGACAAGCGTCGGTAGCATTGCCTCCTGCCGCGTACGGTATCGACCAGGCAGCCGCGACCGAGCGTGAGGCTATGATCGGGCTGCAAGACCCATGTGGAGCGAGTCGGACATGGTGAAGGTGAAGTCTAGACGAACGTCCCTGGCCGAGGCTTTTGGATGCGAGAAAGACGGGGGATAGGGCGGATGACGATGGGTTGCTGGACGAGAGACCGGAAAGTGCTTTAACGGTACTTGTGGAAACCGATCTGGTCGGCGCGCTCGCGGAAGCACTGACGGCAGATGTCGAGGCCGTACTTTCGGATGATACCACCCTGGTTGGCGCAGACACGGCTATTGTGGAGAATCGAGCGAGATCCGATGTGGTCAGTACGAGACGTTTAAGCGATCGAACATATCGACAGAACAAGGCGCCGACGGGTTGAGCATGGAGCAGCATCGAGAGCAGTGTCGAGGCGTTGCACATTGGAAGCGAAGGATGGCGTGTGACCAATAAGAATGCGGAGGGACACGAGGTCGCCCAACCCGGAACAACGTTGTAAGACGAGCCCGATGGCAGATGCGCCACGACTTTGTCGAGGAACGAACGTTGTCGGTGAACGAACGGCTGCTGGAATAACATGATCTTTGCTGCAGAGATGTCGCTGTCCGCAGTCTATCGTCTTACTGCCGGGATAGCGCGTCGAGCAAGTCTGCGTCAAGAAACCCAAACTTGTGGACCATAGTCGCTGTGGTCCTCGATTGTCCCTGTCAACACTGCCATCCACGCTGATCCATCCGATACGTGCACTGCGATCCCTTGAGGATGACGTAGCATCGACGCGAGATCTGGTTCACCCAATGCTCTGTTCTCCCATCTTCCATCTTTGAACAGCTGTGCAGGACCTTCCAATGTCCTCCTGCCGACTATCTCCGTTTCCATTTTCTCCGACAGATATGCCATCTGCATAAGCAGAAGAGATGAACTGCTGCTTGGTCGAGGTGTTCTGGGATCTCTGGCGCTGCACCGATATCATGCTTGGTCGTGGACGTAGTGGCGGCGGCGGCGGAGGAAGCTGCGTCGATGCTTCGTCGATACTGCGGGTCGATATACGGTGGTGATTCATGCGTTTGGTGCTGTCGATGTGCTCGTAGCTGTGCCCGTCGGCCGCGTATGTGTCGGTGCCTTTGTTGGTCGGGGATGCACTTACCACTGGCGCGAGCCCTTGCCGAACTTTCGGGGGTGGCTGTACCACAGAGTAGCGAAGGTCATTTTGTCGGTGGTATAGAAGTGATGTCTTGAAGATACGAGAGATGGAGGGAGCAAAGGGAAGCGATGACGAGCGCGCCGAGGATGCAGCGGACGCGCGCTGCCAGCCTTCAGCCTCGAATCTCCAAGCCCAAGTCGACACTTCGGCCAGGGCTGAGTCCTCTGACTGATGGGACGCCGTCCAGTGCGCCAGGTCGGCACCTTCTCGAATTCCAGAGGGGCGCCTCGACTGGGCGAATTAGGCCATCGCTGCTTCGCGACGCTCTTCAGCGCACTGCTGGCTGCAGGCAGGCGCGGATTCGAGTTGGCAGGCGGTTCCGACACGCCTACGCGTAAGGCATCAAATTCGAAAATGCTCGGCCGAGGTTGTGGTTACATCACGTGCACTTGTCTGTGGGCCCAATGGAGAATCCCAAAAAGTCGGCATCGCACAAGTCTCTGCAGACCTCAGCTCTGACAGTACAGGCCGCTCAGCCTGCTTGCGCCCAGAAGGCGAGAAGGATGGCATTCGCAGGCGAGCAGCCGTGGGGCTTCAATTCAGAAAGCGGCAGCAGAGGGCAGCAGCACGCAGCCCAACTGACGAGCGCCGAGAAGCCAACAGCCACAACGCAGCCCAGCGCCCAGAGTGCGAAACAAGCAAAGCGCGTTGGCTACTCAGAGCCCGCCGTCACCATCCTCCTTGGAATCATCCACCAACCATCTCCTTCAAGATATCGAAAATGGCTGCTAGACCCAGTAGGTATCTCGTACAGCCCATCAGCAGCATCAGCATAGCATCAGCATCGCAATCCGACCACAGCATCCAGCATCATCGGCTCTCATCGTCAGCCACAGCATCCCGTAACAAAGCACCTTCGGCATTTCTTGCAGCCTCGCTCTCAGCACAACATCCGTCGGCGACACTGGACGGCCAACCGATACGTCGTATCAACGTCTGCATACATAGAGTCGATCTCGCACGTTTCCGACCATTCTCAGCACGGTCGAATCGCTTCATCATTCTAGTTGCGCTCATATGAGGCGGATCTGCGTCAGCGATGGGAGCATGCAGGCTCAGACCCGTCACACGCCGGACACGGCGGCTGCAGAATGCCGTTGCGTCACAGACGAACAAGTAGCCAGGGCGATCGAACCGCCAAAAGGCGGCAGCATTGGCAAACAAAGCATACGTCCATACACTTCGACTTCGATTAGCCAAGAGCGCCAGACTATCGCCGTTCAGGTTTTCCGCCACAACAGTTCGATCTGGTGCTATCGCTGTGATGGGCCCCGCAAGCCAAAGTTTTACAGGACCAGTCATTGACCTTGTCCGCATTCGTGTTCACTTATTCTCACCACAGCCGTCAACGTGAGGGGCCTCGATGGCGCGGCCTCGGGCTCGCTCCCCCTCCCCGCAGTCTTCACTGCCCCCATCCGACCTGACGTTGTTCAGCTCGTCCACACCAACGTGGCCAAGAACAAGCGTCAGCCTTACGCCGTCTCGACCAAGGCTGGTCACCAGACCTCTGCCGAGTCGTGGGGTACCGGTCGTGCTGTCGCCCGTATTCCCCGTGTCGGCGGTGGCGGTACCCACCGCTCCGGCCAGGCCGCCTTCGGTAACATGGTCCGCGGCGGTCACATGTTCGCCCCCACCAAGCTGTGGCGCCGTTGGTTCATCAAGACCAACCAGAACCAGAAGCGTTACGCTACCGCTTCGGCTCTGGCTGCCACCGCCGTCCCTTCGCTCGTCCTCGCCCGCGGTCACCGCGTTGAGGAGCTCGAGGAGATTCCCCTCGTTGTCGCCGACGCCGCCGAGGGCCTGACCAAGACCAAGGAGGCTGTCGCTCTCCTCAAGGCCGTCAACGCCTACAACGACGTCGTCAAGGTCTCCAACTCGCGCAAGATCCGCGCCGGTGTTGGCAAGCTCCGCAACCGCCGCCACACCCAGCGCCGCGGTCCCCTTGTCATCTACAACAAGGACGCCGGTATCGTCAAGGCTTTCCGCAACGTTCCCGGTGTTGAGCTGTGCTCGGTCGAGCGCCTCAACCTCCTCCAGCTCGCCCCCGGTGGACACCTTGGCCGCTTCGTCATCTTCACCCAGTCCGCCTTCGGCCGCCTTGACGAGGTCTTCGCTGCCAAGTCTGGCTTCACCATGCCCAAGGCCAAGATCGCCAACACTGACGTGACCCGCATCATCAACTCGGACGAGATCCAGTCGGTCGTCCGCGCCAAGGGCCCCGCCAAGACCACCCGCCCCTTCACCCAGCGCAAGAACCCCCTCAAGAACCGCGCTGTTCTCTTCCGCCTCAACCCTTACGCCCAGGCCGCCATCCGCTCCGAGATCCGCGCCCAGGCCCAGAAGAAGTCGGGCCTTAAGAAGGAGGCCAAGCAGCCCGTTGCCAAGGAGTTCCTCGAGCTCCTCCACGCCAACTAAGCGGATGGTGCACATTCAGCTTTTCGATAGCTCGAGTGGCGTCTTCGCCGCATTGGCATGGCTCGCTTCGTTCTCTTTCTTCTCGCATCCCCCTTTGTCGGATCGATGCGTGCAGGTTTTGCGGGTGGTGGACTAGGATGGAGCTGCGTCTCCTGTCCTTCTTGAAATCTTGTTGCATTCACGCATCTTTTCATGTCGCATCATGACATTCTTCTCACACCCCGGTCCTTTGTTGTATCTCGCCCCACAAGAGAAGGACAAGATCGGCTCCATTCTCATCGCCCTAAGCTCACCTGTTCGTCACGACTCGATCATCATCCCTTTCATTTGGTCGACCGTCTTGCCTCGGTCGGCCTTTGTATACAATTCGCACCACACCCCCACATCATCCCCCCCAAAAAATCGCAACACAAAAAAGGCCGGGCTTATCGGCACGTTTTGGGACCCTTTCCATTCTTCTCTGCGTGCGATCGGCGTGTGTCGCGACTGAGTCTGCAGTGCCATTGAGTCCGGGCTGAAGTCGCAGGCATCTGAGCCAGGAACGAGTCAAGACGTTGTGTATTCAGGCTCAGTAGAGTGGCTCGTGTCTCAGCAGACCGCTCGTGCCGCACACTCCTGTCGAATCCTCAGCCACTGCATGCACATGCGAATGAAATACGATTCGTCGGTTTGCGCTCATTGGAAGCAAAGCTAGGGCTCGATGTTGCCCGACTGTGAGAGGGTCTTGCCGGCAAAGCTCTCGAGGCCCTCGCCGGTATATGTGAGGAGCGGGCTGAGCTCGACCTCGGTGCCATCGGAGACCGTGGCGCCAGCAGCGGCGAGCCACCTGCTCTGCTGAGCGAGCAGATCGCGCCGCGAGGTGTCCTGATCATCCACACCGGTGCCCTTTGCGTTCTTGAGCGGGCTGAACTCCTCCGGCCTGGCCACCTCGTGCACGGCGAGCTTGTCGCCGCAGAAGGGGAAGACGTCAAAGACAAACAGCTCGAGCTTCATGCCGTTGGGCGTCGAGGGCTTGACGGGGCTGCCCGTGGCGAGATCGACGGTGGGGATCTTCTTGCGTGCGATGTGGAAGGCCATCTCGGGCTCGAACGCCGGCACGTCGTCGGCGAGGAACTTGGTGGTGTAAAAGTGGTTGACGATGTTGGCCGCACGGAACGAGAGCTCGCCGTTGGCATCGCGTGCCTCGCTCAAGCTTTCGGGGATCTCCGAGTATTCGACGACGCCAAACTTGCCGTCGCGCAGCGCCACGACGCCGACCGACTCCTTGGGGTTCTCCTTCTTGACCACCTTTACGCCGGCCTGGACGCCCTGCTCGAGGCAGACGCCGAGGAAGATGGGGTCGCCGACCTTGACGAGGCAGTTGTCGACACCGTAGGCGTGGAGGTACTTGATGCCGCGCTTTCCGAGGTCCGAGATGACGGTATGAGGCTGGCCCTTGTTGTACGGCGTACGGAGCGCGCGGTAGAGGCCGCCGTTGCCGTCTGGGGCTGTAGCCACTCTGCTGGTGCTGTCGAGCAGGATCTTGCCCTCGAGCGAGAGGCAGGGCAGCGTGCCCTGCTCGAAGAAGATGATGTCCTCCTTCTGCAGACCAAAGTAGTTGTGCTCTGCGAAGAAGGCCTCGGTGTCGCGGCGGGTGGGGCCCGAGGTCATGATATACCATGGAATCACGACCGAAGCGCTGGAGCCGTCTGAAGAGCCGGAAGGAGAGCCGCGGGCATGCTGAGCGGCAAGGTGCTGCAGCCTGAGGATGCGCTCGGCCTGGATCTGGAAAAGGCTCTTGTGGGAAGGAAGGCCGATGTCGTAGCAGCCCTTGGGAGCCGTGGAGCCGAGACGGGTACCCTGGCCTCCGGCCATCAAGAGCACGCCGACCTGGCCGCGAGCGATGGCATCGAGGCCGACGGTGCGGAAGTGCTCGACCGTGGCGGGATCAGCCTCGCCCTGGATTGTGTTGACCACCGACGACGGCGGTGGGGGCTGCACATCGTGCGACTTGCCAGCGCGAGCCTCCTCGTCAGCCTTGATGGCGGTTTGGAAGACCTGGTTGACACGTTCGACGTCGAGCTCGTCGAGCTGCTGCGCGAGCTGTGCCTGCTCGTCGGCGTTGAGTTTGTCCCAGAAGGCGAAGAGGTGGGACTGACCCGCCTTCTCGTATCTCTGCTTGAGGGATGAAACGTCTACTGATGAGATCGACATGGTGTCTATGACCTCTCGTGTGTGGTCGAAGCGATGAACGCAGATGTTGTGGCGCGGAAGAAGAGGAAGTGTCAAGGCGCACGGTTTGGTTAGCGACGCAAGATCGATGCCAGCAGTTCGACAGGTGGAGTTGACACCCAAGACGCTTTGGCCGCTGCAAGTCGAGCCAGCACATGTGCCTCTCGTCGGAAGAATGTGACGAGTGGCAGCAGCACACACGCGCGCGCTTGACCGCTCAGGTGCTGGAACGACGTCGCTGTGCAGCCCAGCACGCAGGCTCCGAATTTCAGGAGGCGGATTTCTTGCACCTGTCGAGGAGGTGTTGATCGACAGCGCTGCCTGCTGCTGGATGCGGCACTGCGCCCCTGAGATTCGGCCTCGGAAATTCGCTTCAAAAATCCACGTTCGCTTCAAAGCTCAAAGTGTTGGTCTCCGGCGCGTCGCCTGTTGGCTTGATCCTGCAGCCAGTTAGTTGGCTTTGCGGGCGAATTCGCCCAAAATCGCACCGCTAGGCGTCGGCGCAGGCCGACCTCGAGCTGTCGCTACTCCTACACAGCTGGAGCTCCTCCGACATGTGGCTGCATTGGGCTGGCACAACCCACGTTGAAGCTCTCCTTGGGCCGCATTGAGTCGATCGTCGACCTGAGAATCGCTCGACAAACATACTGGGCTTCGTGTCAAGGTGCTCGGATTATCGCGACAGAACAGAGGGCGAAGGACAGGGCTAAGCAACCGGAGCGTGACTGTTTGGTCTACAGAGGAGGATCGGAAAGAAGGAAAACGACAGATACGAGTGATACAAAGTCTGATGGCGGGGATCGAGAGGACGGTGGCGTCCATGTGTCGACCAAGCTGAAGAAGCGGAACAACATGCGAGAGACAAAAAAAAAATGCGGAAAAGGGAAAGAGGCAAATGAAGCGATGCGAGCAGTAACTGTAGGACAAAGACGAGTGCGGGCAATTGCGGACGAGCGGATGGGCAGGCGAGACCGACTGTGAGCAGCGAGCAGGAGCGAGAATGCGCAGGGGCAGGGCGATCATAGGCGGATGGGATCCTCGCCTCGTGCCCTCCTCCAGCGGTTTGTGGCACGCAAGATCTCGCCGTCGACCATGTAAGGGTACTTGCGGAAGAAGCTCTCCTTGAACTCGAAGCACTCGCCGTCAAACACATCGCCGGCGGGCGACCAGACGCGCAGCGTTTGCACGATCGCGTAGAAAAACTCGTCCAGCCAGCGCTGCGCTGGCTTGCGCAGACGGTGCGAGCCCTTGGGCTTCTCCAGGAATCCGTACGAGTAGATTCGGCCCTTGTCCGGGATCACCACGGCGCCGGACGCCTCCTTGGGCTTCCACGCCGACATGTCTGCAACCAAGGCGGTGCGCTTGCGAATGTCCTCGTCGTTGAGCTCGGTCTCCTCGGCGCTTGGAGCTCGGGCACCGCCGCTATTGCCCAGCGACTTGTCGCTGCTCGACTCGTCCGTGAATCGAGCGGCGTCCTCCTCTGCTTGAGCCAGCTCCTCGATCGCATGGAACGCGCTGAGGATCGTCAGGACGCGGTCGCGCATCGCCGGATACGGCAGCACTGCGATCTCGACCGGGTGGAAGCCGATGCGCATCTGCATCTCGGTCGGCATCAGGTTTCGTGGCAGGTAGAACTCTTCGCCGACAAACGATGGATCTCCGGGGAAACGTGGCAGGTCGTCCATTCCGCCAATGAAGCCGGGAGCCTCGCGCGCTGCGCGCAGGTTGATGATGCCCGACTTGAGCTTCGTGGTAAAAGGCAGAAGCGTGCTAAAGTAGAGACGACACACCTTGTATAGCACCAACTCGGGCACTGCGACCATCGAGGGGAAGCTCTGCGCGGCTTTCTGGCGTTTCTGATTGAGCGAGATCTCCCAGGTCGCCTTCTTGCCCGCTTGCGAGTCTGGCTGCGACGGTGCGAGCGAGCTCTTGGCCTTTTCGGTCGCCACCGAGGATGGTCCCTCGAATTTGGTCGACCCAGAGGCCTGAGTCGAGTCAGCTTGTGTTGCCGCGTTGGCTGGACCTCCTGCGTCTTCTCGGCTGTGCTCCTCGTCCGAGTCCGACGCTGAAGATGCGGCACCGAAGGTGGGGCCATCCCAGTCTTGCGCCGACGAGGTCTGAGCAGGGAAGCGATGGCCGATCATACCCTTCCACTCGGCCTCGGCGCTTTCGTCTTCCAGATGCGACTCGATGAGATCGAGATGGAATGCGCCCGTGAACTTGGTGAGCTGGATGGGAGCCACCTCGGCGCCGTCGGCGCCACGAATGCCCGCGCCGTTCGAAAGGGCGTGGCTGAACTTTTTCATGTCGGCGAGCGCCTTGCGCAGCGCCGCATTCTCGCTCTCCAGCGTCTCCATGCGATCCTGCTTTCGCTTTCGTGACTCGCGTTGCGACGCCTTGTTGCGCTCGCGCCTCTCGACACTCGTCTTGAAAGCGGCCGAGGAGGATGCCGAGGCGTCGTTGGAGGCCGAGCCAGGATGGAAGACAGCACCAGTAGACACTCGTGTGGAAGACGGCACGCTGCTTGCAGCTGAGCCACCTGCTGGCGAAATGTTTCGTGTTGTGCCGTGGGAAGACGTGGAGTTGGCCGCAGCCGAAGCGTCGCCACCAGCAGTGGTGTTGCTGTTCATCGAAGCAGGGGGTGCGGGAGCCAGCCAGGAGTCGATCGATTCGAGGACGGAGCTGGACATGGGCGCGCCAATCACCATGCCTGTGGGCGGACCTGTTGAAGCTGAGACGTAGTGAGGATATCCGCTGGATGAAGCGAGGGCCTCAGGACTGCCCGACATGCGAGCGGACGAAGTGGGCGAGAGAGACCCGTTGAAGCCGGCAGCCTCGGAACCCGCCCGGGCGGCGATGGACATCGGCACGGCACCAGCTGGAGGGTGGGCGTCGATCATAGGCAAGCCAGTGTTGACCATGTTGTGCACTGAGTCATCGCTAGAGCGCCTCTCGCTCACGGCTGGTGGCGGAAGAGCCGATGGGAGCGAGATCGACGAAACATTGCCAGCCGTGCTGACGGCGAACGGTGCGGCTTCGGAGGGACCAACGGGATGAAGACCGGCAGTTGCTGGGGCTGCAGAAGCACCTCGTTCGGGTGGTGCGCTCGCAGATAGGGACGAGACCGGAGGTGCCGAGAGGCTGTTGGTGGCTGCCGATGCACCGTTGGTCTGTGGCGGATACGAGTCGAGCGAGAAGGGGAGGGCGGCAGCAGGAACGTTGTGCGATGAGCGATCCTGATTCGACTGATAGAACCACGCCGGTACGTGCGAGGGGGCTGTGGCATCGAAAGAAAGCTGCTGGTCGTATGGCGCCCTGGTCGCGGTATGGTTGTAGCCGCCGGCAAAGTCTGGAGCCGGATGCGAATACATTTGTTGCTGGTGAGGATTGTGTAGATGAGATTCCGAGGCGAAAGGTTGGCCAGCAGCCAGGTAGCGAGGATCGCTGCCGGCGCCTCCAACAAAATCTTGCGGGAACGCCGAAGCTGGCCGGCGATCCAAAGAGAGTGGAGCCGCCATGTTGGTGGCAGGCTGCTGCATCATGCTGCAGAAAGAATCGACGGAGCACCAGCAGCGCTCTCAAAGGTTGTGGAGGCGAAGTGTGCTCTGAGTCTGCTGGTTTTGCAAGCCGGGATGAGTGGAGCCAAGCTGATCCGGGCCGCGCTGTGTGCGATGTGTGTCAATGTTGAGAGCCGCAGATGAACCACGACAGAGTCGAGATGGAAAGAACTGAGGTGAGGATGCGGATGCACCGTTCTGAGAGGTGGCGTTCTGGATGCGCAGAGGTGCTGAAATCAAGTGTGGCCAAGAACACGCCAGTGACAATAGCGGGAGCAGTGTCAAGAAGCGGGTGCAGGTGGCGTAGTGGATCCGGGCGAGCTAGGCGAATGAAACGAGATGCGAAGAACGGACGTGGGGGAGACGGAAGCTGTAAAGGCTCGAGGGACTAGGGATTCGGGGCAAGGCGGCAGAAAAGTCTGGGTAGGTGAGGATGCTGAGAGGGGCGGCTGTATGGGTGGAAGGGAGCAGGACAATGGCAGCGGCAGGCGGTCGAGCGGAAGTGGGCGGGCTTGGAGTGAGCGGAACGGAGGCCGTTCCAAGTCAAAGCTGACCAGCAGAGTCGAATATTGGAGACAAGGCGGGATGCCAGTGAGCACGGAAACCGGGGTTAGGGTGCATCCAAAGGTTTGGTGCATAGAAGTCGAGGCGGCGCGTGGTGGGGCTGCTGAGATCTTGTCCAAAGTCGGATGGATGCCACACCAAGCAAAAGGGCTTTCCTCTGTTTGCACACGGTCGCTGGTGATTGGCGATGTCCTGGCGGCGGCACAGGCTGGAGCTGCTACTAAAGCCCGAAGAGGTCTGGGATCAGATAGCCCAATGCAAGGTGAGGCGGCGTGGGGCGGGTTGCATTCTGCACTCGAGCCAGGCGGGGACTGAGGATGCAGCTGCCATGAGCCGAGCCAGCGAGCGGGTGAGCGTCGAAACTGTGCTTGGGCGCGGCAGGCAGGAGCGCGCGGGAGAGGCGAAGCGCGAGCCAGGGCCAAAAGCATCCGAGCCACTGGAGGGACCAAGAGCCGAGCCGAGCCGTCGAAGCTCATCATCCCAGAGCGCCGAACGCGATTGGGCTAAGTTACGGCTCTCGACCAGCTGTGCTTTTTTTGGTGGGCCAGGTCACTCGCAGCAGCAAGGCTGGCTACAGCCGCAGCCCGAAATGCAATGCTGCTCTCCCGCTCCCCTGCTCGCCGCCGGGCGGATGGAGCTTCGACTTCAACCGCTGATCCGCGAGTCTAGCACGCTCCAAGTCTGGTTGGTCGTGAGCGGCGGGTCTAGACTGGAGCGGAGTGTCAGAGGGCCGCATGAGTTGCGGTGCCATATGGCTATTTGCTCGAGCCGGGTGCCGGACGACTGCGCAGCACGCAAGCCGCGGCACAAAAGCAGAGGGACATCGAATCGGCTGCTTCCTGCGACAGTGCGCAGTTACGCTGCACTGCAAGTGGGCGCTGCAGCAGCCAAGCGAGCGTCCGTCGAACGGTAATTTCGGGCGTAAACCCTTTTTCTATTTTTTTGTGTCTTTTCTCGTCTGTTTTTTTGTTTGCACCCCTTGATTTCCTAAGGAAATGTCGAATTGGGTTTGCGTAGGCGACTTGGCCTTGTGGCTGCGCTTGATCTTGACACGAGCTCGCGAAGCGCCAGGGCGTGTGCTCTAGGTCAGGCTAACTTACAGAACAGGAACACGCTAACAGGATTTGCTTGGCGGGTGGCTTCCGCTGCGTTGGGCGGGTATTGGCGCTCATTGGCTGTCAATCCTGAAGAGTTCTAACGATAACTAGCGTCGATTTCGCATCGAGCTAATGAACTTCGAATCGCTCTGCGAGAATCAGCGAAATCCGTGGCAAAGTCTTGAACCTTGCTCCCAGCTCTTTCGAGAATGCACGGATGCCAAGTTTGGATTGCCGCCTAACTTCGGCTCAAAAGGCTCAGTCGGATCGTTGGCAATAGGCTGCGAATGAATGTGAGTCGGTACGAGAGCTCGTCTCTCCCAATGCAAAGCGGCCAGAAAACGCTGGCGAGTGAGCACACGGATCAATCTGCTGGCGGGTCTCGTCTTTTTTGATATTGGTTTGGTAGAGTTGCGCGACGCGTGTCAACACCATTGCAGCTTGCGACTCGCGGGCATATCTTTGTTCGTATGCAAAGGAACGAACTCACAAGCTTGGACCTGTCGGGTTTATCGTCGCCATATGTGCAGCGGTGCTCTAGCTTGATCACTCCAGCTTGATCACTCGACAGCGGATGATCCAGTCTCGCCCCGAGGTGCTCAGCGCGCGTCACCAATCTTGGGTTGGTAGGACCGCAATGTGACTTGAAAAGTTGGCCCAACGAAATGGGCGTCCACGGCCTCGAGAACCTCTTCTCATCGGCTTCCTCCATTCCAAGACGCCTCCGCGCCGATACGAAGCTCATCGCCGTACCTCATTTGCATCTGGTGTGACAGGTGCCCCTTTTCAAGCCGAAGAACGGTCGTCACGTCCATCATGTGCCAAATCCGAGCCCATCCATGCCGAAGCGGAGCCGTTCACACGGGTAACAAGCTCAAAGTATCTATGCGCGCTGCACCTCTTCGGCATCAAGCTTCTCATTGGCTATCAACGGAGACGAGGCTGTGGCGATTGCGATCTCTTCGACCGTGAGTACACTCTGCGCTCAGCAGACTTGCCACGCCTTCTCGACCGGCAAGAGAATCGCTGAGGAGCGCCAGGCGCCGTGCTATCTGCAGATGACTTGGATCTTTTGGGACCGCGGATAGATGGAAGCACCGCAAGCCTCGTGCTCGTTCGCCGTCTTCTCGCCTGCTGGGTGGAATGGTGGGACCGGCTGTTCACTCGTGCTGCGATGTTGCCATTGCTTTCCCTGCCGTCCATCTCTGTGCTGAGCAGCTCGGGGCCAGGGACGCCTGCCTCGTCTATTAAAGCCAGCCGTCTTCGCTGCTCAGCCCTCCCCTCCGTCTCTTCACTTCCATATCATCCGCTCTTCAACCCCTTCATCGCTTCTTTTACTTCCTCAATTCACAATTTTCCCTTCCTTTCCGCTGTACATACCGCTCAATCTCTCTTCTCTTCGCATCCTTTACCTCCACCTCCTCTCTTTGCGACTCTACGCTCACCATGCCTCGCACCCGAGGAAAACGAGAGCCGCACGAGCACTTCAAGGACAAGCCGCCAGACAAGCCCAAATCGAAGTCGTCGGACAAGGTCAAGGTCAAGGTCAAGGACAAGGGCAAGTCCAAGTCCGAGTGAGCATCGTCTTGCAGGGCTAAAGAGTCTGCGCACCGCGAAGGACCCTCGGGTACTTCAGCTGCCGACTTGGCCGACGTTGTGATGCAGCCACCCGAAACCAACGATGCCAAAGCTCCTGGCCGCGACTCGACACCCGAAGTGGCGATTGCCGACGTCGTGATGACCGACGCTCCAGTCGCTGCTGCCGACCGGCCCAGCGCCGCCTCTGAGGCGCAGCTCGTCACACCCAAGAAAAGGCCTCGGACCGCCATGCCCCCGCAAGAGCAAGGCACCGGCAGCCAGGCGAGCCCTAAGAAGCGGGGCAAAAACAAGCACAAGCACAAGGCGCAGCCTTTCGGCTCGGCCAGGCAGGGTGCTACAGCTTCGACGGCCAGCGACACGCGCCGATCCCGTCGTGACGGCGGAGCGGCATCTGCCACGCTGGCCTCACCTGCACGATCGAAGGCTCACGTTCGGCCTATTGCTCCTACACCGACCACAGCAAGGACCTTTCACGAAATGGTGTCGAGTGCAAGCCCGCGTCCCGGCATCAGCATCAACATTGCTGGCGCATGAGGCCAACGCGGATCCGACAGCGCGCGCTTGTCCAGCGGAAGTGCTCAGGACGTCAAGAAGGCCAAGCAGCTCATCACGATGTAAGTGCAGTGGTCAGTCTTTTCGCGCACAAGGCGCCTCGGCGTCCATAGACACTCGAAGACATGTTTGGATGTGTGGTGTGTTCCGAGCCGACGCTGACATTCCTCTTGCTTTTTGGTTCTCTTTTGCAGTGGTCTGCAGCAGATCGATACGTTCAAGGATACTGCCGAGCCAGGTCAGCCCAACTGGGCTTTCCTGCGCCAAAAATGGCCGTACGGCTACGTCGAGCGGGTGGTCGACGATATTTTCTATCGCGGCCTCACGCTCAAGGACGGAAGTTCGTCGAGCAACTGCACTGCCGCCGAGACCATCGCTCGGCTTGGCTTCGAGAAGGACGACGTGGAGCAGGTGCTCAGGGTCTTCAACGTCGCCTTCCACGCCCTGCTTGTGCGCCAGATCCGACTGACTGGACGCAAGACCATTCCTCGGGACTTCAAATTTTTGCGCCCTGGCTGGGTTGCCGACGTCAAGGCGATCTTTTAGGCGTACCCGCTCCTCAAGACTTGGCGTGATCCTCCGGCCGAGTTTCCCCTTCTTCCAGTCGTGGGTTCTCGTTGCTCTCGATGATTTCGGAATGATCGGAATCAACCAGAACCTACAGCTCGAGGAAGGCGATGCTCGCCCGGCGCCTCTGCCAGGAGCCGACGCGACTTTCATCTTTCAGCAGTGCGCTCTGGAGAGGAGCTGGAGCAAGCTGCGGAGCTCCTCATCAAGTCCGACCACATGCGACAGTACGAGGTGATTCATCTGGGACTTGTAGCAACATCGCTGGCCGACTCGGAAGACCGCCCGCTCGATCTAAAGGCACGGGCCCACGCTGCGTTCAGGGACGTGCCGTCCACCAGGGCGCAGGTCGCAGTTGGCCTCATCTATCGCATCTTGGCTTGCACAACCGAGAGAGACTTCAATGTGAAATTCTTTGTGACGCTCCCCGACGAAGTGCTCCCAAAGCAGCTCGACCGAAGCGAGAGACCGCAGAAGAACGTCGTCTTCTGTGTTTACGGCACTGTGTGTCTGCTGCTGGCGTGCATGCTAGACCTTGTCGGCGTCGGATTCTTGAATCTTTTCGGCGGAGACCAGTGTGATCTGGCAGATCGCCTTCATCGTTGGGCGCAGATTCCCAATGTCCCTGTTATTTTCATCTCTCCGGCATTGTAATCGACTCGACGCTGCCCTTGCATGTCTACGAATGAGCCGCTTGCTGATGTACTGGGGGCCGCTCGGAAATCCAGCCGAGAACTGGACTCAAACGCGGATTTCGCATTCGCACGCCAAGGGCCGCATGAATGAATCCCGGGTGATCTTGCACGCGAATCTTCCCGCCAGGGTCCAAGCTCCACCGGCAGTTTGGTGCTAGCTTATTACTGTAAATTTAGTTCGTTCACCCTGGCCATGCCCGGGTAAAGTTCTTCCTCTCGTTTGTTTTAGCACATCAGACACCGAGAGACAGGCCTGGAATGCTCCGTCCTGCATCAACTTTGACTCCGTGCGAATTAAGTGGCTTCCCGAGTCTCTTCGTTTTGGCTCGGGGTTGGAGGATTTTTGGCGTTGTTTTCTCGCATCGATTTTTTTGTGCTTCATTTTTCACTTCTTTGCTGGGTTTCTTTCAAAACTTTATTCCCAGACACGACACAAGTTCTTGGCTCGCGACGAAAAACGTCGGAAGACGGACAACTTGCAGGAGGAGGTGGGGAACAATGGCAGCGTGCCTAGTGAGACTGACAATTGGATCAGTGCATGTCTACGAAACAGCAATTTCCGGCCAAGCACAGTTAACGTTGAGGGGAACGCCCGCTCTTCCCGCATCGGCTACGGCAGAACGAATGCACCATACCAGAGCGCTGTGGGCAAGCTTTCTGGCTTACTGCACCTTCTCCCACTCGTCGCCCGACGAGCCGCTGCTGGGCACAGTGGTTTTTTTGAGTGTGATGACAGGGTCGTCGTCCTTGGACTGTGCGGGAGGTCGTGCGTCTTGCGTATCGAGAATCGGCTGCGAGTCTTGTTCGTCATCGGTGGAAGCCTGCGCTGCATGTTCGCGAACAACAAACTCGTCTCCAGCGAGCGAGCTCCAAGGAGGCAGATCTCCTTTGCGGGCGCTGCGCCAGACCTGGCGCGCCGTCTTCTCGCAGAGGCCGACATACTCGCGCGCCATGCGCAGCACACGTCCCGAATCCGACGGGTCGCCCTGCACGGTGCGGGGATCGACGCCAGCGAGCGCCAGCCGCGCTCCCACTCCGGGACCGGCACCGCCGAGCTGCGAGCGATAGTACTCGATGGTCTCGACGCCGACGTACTCGCGGCCCCAGAAATCCGAGCGGCTTCCGTAGCGCTTCTTCGGATCCAGGTCCGGTGCCAGACACGCGTGGCTGACCGAGACGGCTCCTTTGAACGGATCGATCGGGTGATGCGGCGAGCCTACCCAGCGTGCAATGTAGAAGCTCGCTACGACGAATACCGTCACCCACGAAGCGACGAACTGCGACATCATGGTCGAAGCCACCACGCCCGGATGGGCAAGGAAGCTGCGTGGCTCGGGCTGGCCGGGGAGCGCCCGGGACGGTGGCGGCAGGCCGAGGAAGCCATGCGGTGCGGTGCCACTCGCCGACGACGCAGTTCGTCGCATGCGCGAGTCCGCGGGCGAGGCGGCGCTGTCAAAGGGCGACATGCCGAGCGCCGAGGGTCGCTCTTCCATAGGAGTGCCTGGCTGCGTACGCATGCGACGCGTCTCCAGCGCATCGTCGAGCCCAAGTGCGGCGAGCTCGCACTGGTATTTGGTCGATTCGTAGGGGAGAGGCGACTTGGCTGCATCGATGCACTGATAGTCCGAGGCGTCGTAGTACTTGGAGAAGGCCTCGACGGAGCTGGTCCAGATGATGCGCGAAGGCACCGAGTACGGAGTGGCACGCAGCGAGGGCAGCAAGGCGCGCACCAGGATCCAGTGGGCGCCCACGTTGCACTGCCACACCCAACCGAAGCCGTCGTCGCTCTTGTCGCCCGCACGCTGCATCTTGTAGGCAGGCCAGGTGACGGCGTAGCGGAACTGCGTCATGATCATCCAGACGGCGTAGAACCAATTCATGCCGGTCCATGCGGACGAGCCGGCATTGAGAACGACGTGGGTGACGTGCGTGTACCTCTCGCGCACCATGCGAGCACACTCGAGCGCACTGCCCATGCTACCCAGGTCGAGCGGGACAAACTCGATGCGGGTGCCCTGGCAAAAGCGACGGCGGTAGCGTGCATTGGCACGCTTGTTGCGCTGCTCGAGGCTGGCGTTGAGGTCCGGAGAGCTGGGCGAGCCATCTTTGGCTGCAGCGCCTGTCGATGTGGCATCATCGGTACGAGCGTCGGCGCCATCCGGATCCTCGTCATCGTCGAGATCAGCTTCGTCGTCGTTGGCGAATGCCTTGCGCAGCTTTCTCCTGCGTCTTACGTTGTTCTCCTGGGCATGTGCTATGAGCGCGGGATCGGCGTCCTCATGCGGCGTGTCACGAATGTCGTCCTCGGTCTCGGGATCTGTGAGCTTGTCATCCTTGGTGGTGGTGTCAAAGGCGAAGGCCCAGCTCTCTGGAGGGCCCGTGGGCGTATCCTCGTGCTCGGGAAGATTCTCGATCCAGTCGAGCAGCTGCTTGAGCTGCTGACGCGCCTTGTGAGCCTTGATGGGATTGCGGCAGGCGAGGACGATGGTGCATCCGTCTGGCGCCGCAAAGGGCGAGGGGCTCGGCTCCACGGACGGGTCCGGGCGGCACTGCGGATGTGAAGGCAGCGTATCGCTCGGGCTGGGCGACGAGAGCTGTACGATGAGCCTCTGGCAAATGCCGAAACCCACGCCGGCATTCGCACCAGTGATGAGGATGACCGGACGGAGCTCCTTGGGACGAGAGGCTGAAGAGTCGGCCGCCGACATGTTGACTTGCGTGCAGTCGACGAGCTCGACTAGACTGGCAACAGCGGGAGAGACGTTCGGGGGCGAGGGTGCTAAGGCAGAGCTTGACGAAATGAAGGCGGAGAGGATCGATCCTTTGGCACCATCCAGATGTGGAGAAGTCTCTTGCCCCCGACACTCACGCACGCATGATCACACCCGCGCTCTGTGTGAAACCGCAGGACGAGCGTGTGCAAGCTCATGACCTGATTTCCGCACTTCTCCACTGAAGGCCCAATCCAGGGTCTCCCATTTTTGACTTTGACCCCTTTCTGAGCTGAACAACGCCTCAGATCGAAGATGTGAGATCGGGTCTGACCATCGGGTCAAAAGCTCACGCACTGCGCTGACGGCTTCGTGGAGAAGGTGCGGTTCTTCTTTTTCGCCGAGAGCGCAGGCGCCGCATTCCACGCAGCTTGGCTTCCCTCCAACAAGATCTCGTTCTTGCAAACTACATCACAAGTCATCATGTCTGGACAGCGAGCACGACAGCTCATCACGGCTGCCTATGCGCAGTACGCCAACGATGCTGTAAGTGTAGCTCGCCCCAAGCAGCCGACTCCAAGCGAGCCTGTAGCTTCGCACCTCTTCTTGCGCCCAGCTTGCTCAAATGACTGATCTCACAGACACACCTCGCTCTCGCCTCCCGTTCACTATGCCGACCTGGCGCTGCTCGCCTCGCACACTTTGCACCGACGCCTGCCCGATCCTTAATTGCTGAAACATTCTCGACATCATCCTCGACATCGCAGAGCGCAATCCAGCAGCTTCAGGGCGACAGCGCGCTGCCTCTCACCGACCTTGCCGACAAGCTCGCTGGCCTGACCGGCAAGTCGACGCACATCTTCGGTGCCGACGACAAGGCCAAGGCCGCCACCAACGAGTGGTTGCAGAAGCTCGACAAGGCGGACGAGCAGCAGTTTGTCTCTGCCGAGGGCCTCAAGGCGCTCGACGCCCAGCTCAGCAACGTCACCTTCCTCGCATCCAACGAGCCTACCGTGGCGGATCTTGCCCTCTTTGCTTCCATCTACCCCGCCGTGTCCAAGCTGCAGCCCGCCGAGCAGCACGCCGCCCCTTCGGTCGCACGCTACGTCTCGCACCTGTCCAACCTGAGCCAGGTCGCCAAGGCTGCGAACGCCGCCCAGCTTGGATTCTCCTCCTTCGAGCCTGTCTACGAGGGCATGCCCAAGATCGAGCGTGCCAAGCCCGAGGACCTGAAGAAGGCCAAGAAGGCCAACAAGGAGGCGGCGGCGGCTTCGTCGGTGGCAGCGACCGACGGCGAGAAGAAGGAGCCTTCCAAGCCGCAGCAGCAGGACCAGCAGCCGAAGAAGGAGAAGAAGGAAAAGAAGGAGAAGGCACCCAAGGAGGCCAAGGCCGGCGGCGGCGGAGGCAAGAAGGGCGGCGCCGCGGCGGGTGCTGCTGACACCACGGGTCCCATCCCTTCGCAGGTCGACCTGCGTGTGGGCAAGATTGTGTCGATCGAGAAGCACCCGGACGCCGATGCACTCTACCTCGAGAAGGTCGACTTTGGAGAGGCCGATGGCCCGCGAACCATCCTCAGTGGACTGGTCCACTTTGTGCCCATCGAGAAGATGCAGAACCGCATGGTGATTGGTGTGTGCAACCTCAAGCCCGTTGCAATGCGTGGCATCAAGTCGTACGGCATGCTCCTCTGCGCCACCCACAAGGACGGCAAGGACGGCGGTGTGGAGCCCGTGTACCCGCCCGCTGGCAGCCAGCCAGGCGACAAGGTCTGGGTCGAGGGCTTCGAGGGCCGTGAGCCCGAGGCTGTGCTCAACCCCAAGAAGAAGGTGCGTCTGTCCAAGATTCCAGGTGGTGTCTTGTTCGTTTTGCGCGATACTGACTCACTCGCATCGCTTCTGCTCGTACGCGTGTCTAGATCTTTGAGACGATCCAGCCTGGATACACGACCACCGAGAACAAGGAGTGCGCCTGGGTGGGTGCGCTCCCGGATGCTGCGGATCCCGAGGCGGACAAGAAGCCGCGTCTGCTGCGAACCGAAAAGGGCGTTCTCTACTCGGAGAACTTTGTGGGCGCCTCGCTCTCCTAAGCAGCTGCCGCGTAGACCACAGCTTCCAAAATTGCAGCCCGACGTGCTCCCAACACGGCCCTGCCTGTGTGTTGTTCGACTGTGCGCGACCGAGCACGGATCAGTGAGCCAGGCGTGTGCGATCAGCCGACCGGATTCTTTGGGAAAGTATAGAGCAATGGACATTCGACAGATGTCATGGCGAGAGAGAATCTGTACAGGCTGGAGAGTAGGAACGGATCTATGCGTCCGACTCGACGTCTTCCTTCTTTTGCTGTTGAAGTTTGTGCAATTACGCAAAGGCGGTCAAAGGGCAAAGGTCAGCGTCCAATCGAATGAACAAATGCCCTGACGAAAGCTACTGTTGCTCTCAGGCATCAAAATGTCGGAGAGCTTTAGGGTACATACCTTGAAGAAGCTTTGACGGCGGGCCTCGCGTGCCTCCTTCCAGCTGAGCTCGTGCGTGCCATGCGATGCGTCGTGGTCGGAGTGTGTGAAGTCATTTGGCGAGGGGCGTGCGTAGACACCGGAAAGCGACTTGCCCGCCGCGTCAAAGGTGCCGATCAATGCGGCGAGACTGGCGCAACCTCCGAACATCATGGGGACCGAGCGAGCGGCAGCGCCGAGAACCACACCGGCGGCGCAACCACCAATGGCTCCGTTGATGGCATCGTCCTTCTGGCGGAAGTTGGCGACGGTCGCATCGGTGTACGAGAAGATACCTCCCATCGCAGCTGCGCGTAGGAGTAGAGTCGCGATACGGAGCAAGACGCAGACAAGACAATTGGTCAGCATCGCCAACGCTGGAAGCCACCATTGCAGCTTGTGGGCTTCATGCGGGAGTAAACTTACTGAAGAGGGCGATGGTGCTACCTGTGCGGGTGAAGACACCGAGCGCACCCTTGTTGTGGGTTTGCACACTGTTCTGGATGGCACTGACCAGGAGACCAGCGCCGGCGCTCGCAGCACCGGAGGTCATTCCATCAGCGATTGCGGAACGTTCCGAGTAGGTCTCGGTGACGACCTGCTCGTTGGTCTTGTTGGCCATGCTGGGCACAGAAGCGCGATGCGAGCGTGGGCTGTGTGCGTGTGAATGTGTCGAGAGCGGTGCGAGAGGTCGTAGCGCGTGCTGAAGTGCTATCCGACGTCGGTGCGGAAGAAGGAGATGCGATCCGCAGTTGCAACCAAGGTGATAGACAGGGTTCGAGATGGTGGTCGACCAAAGTCACATTCGACGACATGCGAGCACCATCACGCTTCGAAGCGCTGTTTCTGGCAGTCGATCCGCCGTCGCTCCCGGCACGAGTCGAAATCCAATCTTCCGTTTGCGATTTCCACTCTTCTCGTCCGAGTCGAAAAATCGGCGCTTGGCCCAGGTTGGCCAGGCGCACGCGTCGTGATCGACTCCTTTTTTTGCGGCTGCAGCTGGCTCTCTGCCTTTTCCACGTTAGTTAGCGGGAGCAGTCTGCTGGGCAGGAAGGATGAGGCGGGGGCCCATGCGCTGCCTCTCCTTTACACGCGGCCGCTGCCCTCCACTTGATGCAGCGGAAAGTGACGTGGTGCGCAGCTCAACGCCTTGGTTGGCAAGGCCGCCTCTCACCTTCCTTTCCACCACAATCATTCCATCATCTACTAATTGAGGCTTCAAAGCAACACAGCATGGACGAGAGCATTCAGCAATTCGCCGCCATCACAGGCGCATCGGCCGACCGCGCTCGCTTCTTCCTCGAGGCGGCAGGAGGGGATCTGCAGACCGCCATGTCCAGCTTCTACGAATCCGAACAGGGCGGCGCTGACGACGGGGACCAGGCGCCTTCCTCGGCTGCGGACACGTACACAGGGCCACGCACGCTTTCTGACCAGCCAGCTCCGTCCGCCTTTGGGTCCACTGCAGCAACGAGCCGGCCGTCGCAACCTGCAGCGAGCAGCAGCAGTCGTGGCGCTGGTCGCGGTGGTATCTCCACCTTACGTGACCTTCAATCGTCCAACGATGCTCCTTCCAGTCGAAGGGGTAACGACGACAGCGAGGACGAGAGCGATGACGACGACGACGACGAGATGAACTACTTTGCCGGTGGCGAGAAGAGTGCGCTCAGCGTCGAGAATCCCGAAGCGCGTCGTCGCAGAGGCCAGCCAGGCGGAGACCTGGTGCAAGAGATCCTGCGCCGTGCGGCAGAGGAGTCCAGACGCAACCCCGACGAGCTCGCCGCCGGAGGCTCCGGCCAATCCGCTGCCTCCGGCTCGCTCGCCTTCGCCGGACGCGGCAGAACCATCAACGACTCGGGCGAGGCCGCCGGATCGTCGTCGTCGGCCACTCCTTCCATGCCTGGTGGTCTCTCGAACCAGACCCAAGACAACGACGAGGACGAGGGTGAAGTGGTGATCCGCCACCTGACGTTCTGGGAAGATGGCTTCTCGATCGAGGATGGCGAGCTGATGCGGTACGACGATCCTGCGCACGCAGAGACGCTGGCTGCGATCAACGCGGGTCACGCACCGCTGAGCCTGCTCAACGTTCGCTTCGGCCAGCGGGTCAACGTGCACGTGCAGCGACGCACAGATGAAAAGTACAAGCCGCCACCCATGAAGCCTTTCGCGGGCTCGGGCAACCGGCTTGGGTCGCCCGCTCCGGCGTCGTTTGGTGCGAGCCAGTCGCGAACGCAGCCCGTCGCATCTTCGTCGACATCAACCTCGGCAAGCGCTGGCGACTTTAAGGTGGACGCAGACAAGCCGACGACGCAGCTGCAGATCCGGCTCGGCGACGGACAGAGAATGACGGCGCGCTTCAACACCCACCACACCGTCGCCGACGTTCGAGGCTACATCAATGCGTAAGTTTTCTCCCTCGCCTTGACTCGTTTGACAAGAGTGCAGTTTGACTGACTAATAGCATTTTCATCCTTTGGCGAATGTTGTGCAGAGCGAACCCGGGCATGTCGACGCGCAACTACGTGCTCAGCTCGTCGTTCCCGCCCAAAACGCTGACGGACGAGTCGCAGACACTCGAGGCTGCGGGCCTGCTCAATGCCGTCGTCATTCAAAAGTTCCAGTAGATGTCCCCACCCAGGTGGGCGTTGAATGGCACTTCCCACCTTTTCTCGGCTGCATGCAGATCTGTCATACGTGTAGAGGGAGACCCAAGGATTGGCATTGACGCTGAACGCTGCCATGCGGGCGTTGGTCAGTAGATGGGCAGGATGCGCAGGACATCGGCGCAGGCATGGCGGACGAACTCGGGCAAACACTGTTCCTGGATGCGATCGAGCCATTCGAGCTCGTGATGCATAGCTGCCTGCACAGCCGCCTTATTGGCGCCTTCAAAGGGACCCGAGGCCGCATAGCCGTCCTCGTTGGCACCGGCCAGCAGCTGTTCGCGGTCGATGGCGGCGATGAGTTTTGTGATGGTGTTGATGTCCGGTGTCTGGTTTCGCCGACTTCGCGGTTTCTGCTCGACCCAGTCTGCAATGCTCGCCTCGACCGCCTGGATGACGCGCTCGATGTTCTTCCACCCGGGCACCTGCGCGTACAGCTTTGGCGGCGTAGGCCCCACTGCCGCCTGTCGATCCGCATCTCGACCTGGCGTGCCTGCGGCATCCTTGGACGAAGACGGGTCGAGAAGCATGACGGTCTTGCGCAGCGTCGGGGAGCACCGGACGAGCTCGTAGACAAAGTGGTTGATCTCGTGCGTCGATGGCAGGAAATGGTCGGAACGCAGCAGGATCGAATTGAGCGTGGCGATGAGCGCCCTGATGAGCTCGGGCAGGTCGCGGCTCGAGCGAAGCTCGGTGTAGCGAGCGGCGAGGAAGGCGGCGAGTGCGAGCGTGGCACTCCAGCAATCGTGCCAGTCGTACTCGAGCTGAACGCGCTCGTCGGAACACAGCACGACGGCGCGCTGAACGAGTCTGAGGCTGATGAGGTACGAAGCCGTATCGATGCGTTTGCTGAGATTGTAGCGCAGCGAGCAGGTGGCCACGTCGAGCACGGCGGTGATGAGGCGGGTGCGTTTCGTTCGGGGCAGCGCCAGGGCGGGCTCGCGCTGTCGGCAGAGGCGGATGCGCTCGAGCGTGCGAGTGGCGTGCTGCGAGTCGAAGAGCATGTTGCGGCATCCGCGCGGATCGTAGAGGAAGACGAGGAGGCAGAGCAAGCCAATACGACCGTACGAGGCAGAGCGCGCCGAGACCGAGGCGTGCGTGACGAGGTAAGAGGCGAGCGAGGCCAAATGGCAGAAGGAGTCCTCACTGGCTCTTGCGCGTGTGTCGCCGGTGCTCACGTCTGTATCTGCTGTATCCAGAATGAGCGAAGTGAAGGCCTGATTTGATCTGGACAGCAGGAAGAGGGGCAGGAGGATGACGCAGGTGGGCGAAGGTAGATGGGAGAAGTCTGCGCCGACTGCCGAGGCTGCTGATGCTGCCTTTCGTTTTGGGTCGGAGGCCAGTGGTAGAGCGGCAGGGCCGAGGAGTTCGGAGAATCCCGAGACCCAGCGCATGGTGGCGAGTCCAGCGATGCTGCCTGCCAACGAGGGAGGCGAATCGTCGACGACTTGTCGATAGGATTGCACGTCACGGTCCATGGCAGACGCGGCTGCGACGAGGATCTTGGCCATGCATTGCTCGTCGACCCAGTCGCGGAAGCGTCGAGCGTACGGATTGGAGGTGCTGACGTTGAGCGAGATGCCTCCTGCTGAGCCTTGACCGATGGTGGCCAAGAGGCCGAGGAAGACGGCACCTTCGTAGGCGTAGCGGGCGCCGCCGGGGGACGAGGTGAAGGCGGAGGCGGTGACAAAGAGGTCGCGGCGGAGAAAGTAGGCGGCGAGAGAGGTTTGGGCGACGCACGAGAGCCAAAGGAGGCCGAGCTGGAGTGCGCGATGCTGCACCTCTGCATCGATCCAGGCCCTTGCTTCGGCAGCATGTGCATCCGAGTCGTCAGCGTCGTCACGGGTGGAGGAAGGGATGCGGACGCGAGCGAGATCGCCGCCGCGAAGGGTGTCGTGGATCGAGTCTACGAGGAGGGTGAAGACGTCGTCGGCCTCGTCCATTCCGCCTGCGAAGATGGTGATGAGATCGAACGAGTAGTTGGAGAAGCGCTTGCTGAGGATGGGGTAGGAGAGGGCGACGAGCGTGTCGACGGCGTTCCTCCTGCGCACCTCATCCTCGTCGCTCTCGCGCCATACGCGGATGGCCTCCCTCCAGAGGGCGCCAACGTTGTCGGCGATGCGGGCGCCTTGGCTGTGCGGGCTGTCGTCGAGGAGTTTTTCGGGCGGGATGGCAGCGAGCAGATCGGCGACCAAGCGCGTTTCGACGGGCAGGCAGAGCAGGTCGGCAAAGTAGCGCGAGCGAGGCCCCGAGTTGGACTTGCCCGCCGACTTGGAGCGCGCCACAGCCGGGCGCGACTGGGAGGATGAAGAGGAGGGATGGTCATCCACCGAGGCATCGTCCAAGGCCCACGGCTGTCTTCCCTGGAGCAGAGCCGTGTAGGACTCGCTGAACTTGGACTGGAGCGGCGGTCGGCTCGTTCCGATGGCAGCGCCGTTGGAAGCCATCTTGGTGGGGATGTGATCACAGCAGAGAAGCAAGGAGCGACGATGGCGGAATCGAGCCGACAAAGATCCAAGCCAAGCAGCAGCGTCAGGGTGGGCGCAGTGCAATCTTCCCACGGCTGGCAGGTGCGCCAAGAAGGCTTTGTGTGGGTTGCAACTTCCGAACGCACGGAGTTGAGTGTGCTTTCGCTCGGAGCCTTTCAAGAAGGGTTCGGCAGCTCGAAACGCACGCTCTGCTGCTGCTGCTGCTGCTGCTGCTGCTGCTGCTGCTGAGGGAACACGCCTCGACGCGCCGCCGCCTTGCCGAAAGGAGGGCCGCAACCAACACGCAACAAAGTTGGAAAAAGAGGCAAAGCACGCGCGTCAGGGTGCATTTCTGACTGATGCAGCTGTGGTGTGCAGCCTGAGCCTGCCGAGGCAGAGCGGCAGCTAAGCGCCTCCAACGCGGTCCCACACGTCTCGCATCCAAGGCATTAGGCTGCGTGCGGTGGGCGCTGCAGAAGGCGGTGGGGACGAGGCGAGTGCAACACCCCCGCCGCCAGACTTTGAGCCTCCTTTTGTTCGCCCTCGACCTTCTTCGGCTGCATCCCGCCTCCTGTGCCGTCCAACGTCACCATCAACAACATCGCCCACCTGACAACGCTGCACTCCCGCAACCATGGGCTGGTGAGACTGCACACAGTCTCCTCCTTCTCGTCTTGATCCGACTTGGCACTGCTCTTCTCGTCTTCCGCACACGCCTGCCAACATCTTTGGCGCCATGTCGTCTTCGCTGGTCGAAGACTGGTCCGAGGGCGATTTCGATCTGGATCACACCGCTCTGCGTACGGAGCACCTCTCCCTACACGATGACCACGATGACAATCCCACCACCGCGCACGTCGACGACGACTTTCCCGACTGGGATCATGACGAAGATCAAGACGCATCGGACGAGCAGACGGACACCATCAAGCTGTCCAACATCGCTGGTTCCGCGCTAAAGCAAATGCTCGAGGCCAGCAAGGCTTCCGCCTCCTCCTTGCCCAGCGCAGATCTGCATGCCCTCGACCAACAACTTTTGCATCATGATGCAGATGTAGATCGGCTCGATATCATGCGCTTCGCCAACAGCCACGACGACCTCAACACCTGCTCCACTGCAAGCCTCAGCACATCGGCGAGCACCAGCTATCGCAGCATGATGGGTCTCTCCACCGATCTCACTGATCCAGACAGCCCACACAGCAAGCACGGCACCCGCAACACCACCATCACCTCGTGCTCCAGCTCGGACCGCGCCCGCTCCGACCTTGGCTTCCACTCCTCAGAGCCCGACGATGCCATTGACGAGCTCGACTTTGAGCTCGCTCCCAACATGAACAATCTCAGCCTCTGCTCCTCCCTCTCCCGCGCTCGCTCCAACACCTCTTTCAGCCACGTCAGCCGAGATCTGTGGGACGAGGAGCCGACGCTTGGCGCTTCTGGCACCACCGACCAGCCCGCCACCTCTTCCAAAAGCATATCGGGCGAGAGCGATGCAGATGACGAACACGAAGACCTTCTCGACGGCCTCGATCTCCAAGGCAGCATCTTTGAACCTCAATCCAATCCCGCTGTTCAGCCAGCCCCCTTGCTCAAAGCAAAGCTCGAGGCCATGCTCGATCTCAAGCGCTCCGGTCGTCACCCCGATCAATACCAAAATCCTGCCCACGTCACAGACTCCGATTCGGGCATCGCTGCAGGCCTCGTCATCACTGACGACGTCGACTTGTCGCCCAGTCGCATCACGTCGCGCGGCCTCTCCAACATCCGCCCAAATCCTTCCTATGCGCAGATCGCAAACTCCAGGCTCAGCGCGCAGACCATGATCTCAGACGGTTCCGGCGAGCGTCAACACAGCTCGCACACCGTACTGTCGCATCACCAGCAACACCAGCACCACCGAGCGCCCACAGGCGAGGCGGCCTCACAGCAATCCAAGGGCTTCCGCACGGAACCGCGTGGTCCCCGTCGCTCCCTGCGCTTCAAGCGATCCACGAGCGATCTGCAGACACACATGTCTGCGTCTTCCGCCAATCCTGGCCCGTCCGCATCCAACCGCTCGCAAAATCGCGGGTCCCAGCTGACGCGCAAGAGGTCTCTCCCGTCCATGCGAACGTCCCCGCCAGCACCAGGCAGCGTCAACGCTGCTGCGGTCCAGCTGGGCGCACACACCATCGCCGTGCGCCAACGCCACAATAGCGGTGCCAGCACTTCGTCGTCCGTGTCCCGCAACCGGTCCCACGGCTCTTCCAGACTCACCGACTCGACCGCCGCATCGCGCGCACGCGCAGCCGAAACCGCAGCCGACCAGCTCGCCAGACTGCACAGAGATGCCAAAGCACCAGCCCGTCCCAGCACTCCCGTCTCCATTCCGACAAGATCGTCGCACAATCCGCCACCTCGCATCTCGGTGAGCACAAGATCCAAGACCAGGGCGGAGCGCCAGGGCTTGTCGGGCGAAAGCCAGCCCGCCGCTCGGCTCTTGAAGCGTTCGGCGCCCTACGCAAGCGGCGCCGAGCTGGACGGCATCGACGACCTTACCACTTCCATCAGTCCCTCCGTCAAGCCCATCCCTCTGCCTCCCCCCTCTACATCGGCCAATGCGGGCCGGGGCGCCACCAAGACTGACGACGGCGCATCGCAGTTTCAGCGTGGCGGCAAGTCCAGGCGCGGCGGCAGGAGGCATCCCAAGAGCAAGCCAGGCTTGATCCGCTCGCTCGGTGTGGGTGGATCCCCAACGCAGAAGACTGTCAAAGGCATGCGTTGGAATGCACAGGCGCTCCGATGGGAGGGCAACGAAGCGGTGCTCCGGGACTTTGACCAGGTAATCCAGAGCAGCACTCGGCCTGCGCTCATCTCGCAGATCACAGGCAGCTCCACCAGCTCGCGCCTCACGCACGCCGCGGGCTACACGTCGCCCATCTCGCCCGAGAGCAGCACGTTGATGAACTCGATCGCCTCGGGCGCGCGTGTAGTGGGGGACATGCTGTTCGATCCCGTCCAGATGCGATGGGTGCACAAGTCGGGCGACGAGGAGGATGACGTCTTTGCTCAATTTGACGAAGCGCTGGACGAAGGCGATGCGTCCCACGACGCGGCGGGCCTCGGTGTCGATGCGGAAGGCGACAACACACTGCGGGCGCGCAGGACACGGTCGATCGAAGCTTTCAGCCAGTCTTCGAACCCTTGGACGCGTCTGAGTGCGAGGGAGCCAGCAGCGACTGCGTCGGACGACGAAGCGTACGAACGCAGCCTCAACCGCAAGCACGACCAGGCGATTCGCAGGGCGCTGTCGCGCGGTGCATTCGCGGCGAGCGTGGGCATCGAGCGCGACATCTGGGATGCGTGCGTGCAGGCCGACAAGCGACACGCGCTCGAAGTGGGTGCGTGGCTCCCCCACCCCGCGCCGCATCGCTCGCGCATGCGCACGCGCTCGCACACCTCGGACCGCGCCATGACCATGGACGAGATCGACCGGCCACGTCCGCATCTTTACTACCTCGAGAAGATTGCAAAAAGCATCCCGAGGTCCGACGCAAGCTGATCCGTCCCGCCATCCCGCAGTATTCTAAATTACTTGGGCTAATGTTTTTGGTCACCTGTTTCTGTCCATGCTCGCCGGGCGATCGCTTGTGAAATTTATACCCCTTCAATCGTGCGCACATGGAACTGGTATTGGTATTGCTCTTGGGTGGATCGATAAGTACAGGCAAAGACTGATTCCGTTGACAGGGGATGGGGACTGTGAGAGCGGCAGGGGTGAGAGTCTACTCCTTCTTGGCGCCTCGCTTTGGTTGTGTCCTAGTTCCCTTTGCCGGGGGCTTGGCTTGGGTCTTTGGGGTCTTTTTCTTTGGCTGTGCGGCTTCCTTGGGCTTGTCCTCGTCGGCCTTTCTCTTTGCACCCGAAGTCTTGGAGTCGTCCTTGCTGTCCTTGCTTTCCTTGCTGTCCGTGCTGGCCTTCTTGGTCTTGGGAGTGCCAACGGGAGCGGAGGGGTCTTTGCGCTCGCCCTTTTCGACGGCCTCCTTCTTGGGCTTGGGAGTGCCGGTCTTGGCCTCGTTGGCATTGTCACCCGTGTCCTCGTATCTGCCACCTTTGGCTTCGTATTTCTTGGCCATCTCTGCGGCCTGCACCATGAAAGATTCATATAAGTCAGAATGCTGCGATTAAGAGAGAGAGACCCGCTTTTGGGTAGGTCTTACCTTGTATGCGGACCAGTTGCCTTTGCCTCCGCCCTTCTCCATGTTTAGCACCTCTGTGGACAGTCAAGCAGCCGTAGAGGTCGAGTTAGTATCTGGATGCGACCGAGGCAATCTGGAGTAGGGAAATCGAAGTGTACCTTTGCGCGCCTCCTCGCGCTTCTTGGGATCGGTAGGCTTTCCTTTGGAAGAAGGCATGTCGACTAAGCCACAACTGGGGGACTATCAATCAGGCGAACCGGGGTAAAGACGACGAGAGCGATCAGTCCTCAAGCGATGGAGACAGAGATGATGGTGGTTGATGGCAGGGAGAGGGGTTCAATGCAAGATGGACAGCTCGATTATGCATGCACATGCAGGAGACTTGTGGAGGGAAGGCGGGCGAGGCTGCATCGAGTGGCATCCACGATCGAGAGCCGGCCGTACATCCTACAGCCATACGCCACACTAGCCCGGGGGGTGAGAACATGGATGGACAGCGGAGTTGTCTCGCTTCCGGCACCCTGGTCTGGCAGCCACACCGGATGCCGATGCGCCAGAGAACTCGCCTCTCTACGGTTCCCCCGTGCCAAGTGGAACCAAAAGCCAAGTGGACACATGGATGACACAAGCGGCCGTGGCGAGACGGGTGTCAACATCTATTTCCACCGACCTCTCTCATGTGGAGTTGCGGAGCGCGCTCGCGTGGCCGCAACAGACGACGGCTTTCTCCGTAGAGCCTCTTCCGTGTCCAGCCTGAGCCTGGCAGCCGCGTCCTGCTCTAAACTGAAGCGCGAGAACATGCCCAGAGCGCAACGAGCTGGACTGCAAAGCAAGCGAACACTCGAGCAGAAGACTCGACCAAACGCCAGACCCGAGGCACACCGACCGAAGAAGAGCAAGAAAGACCCTTGCGGGGGAAAAGGAGGGATCGGATCGGGCCAAATACGAGTGCAAGCCAAGCACGATCTCGATTGCCAATCTCGCCGAAGTTGCAGCGATATCTGCAGACGTTGTTGGAGGGGGAAAAGGGGATATTTTGAGGAGCGTCCTACAGCTCGGCAGGGCGGATGGATCTAAATTCTGCAACATGCTGCGGCCAACGTGCTGACGAAGCTTAGAGCTAGAGCCCGGCCGGGCAACTCTGCAATAGACGAGGTCGGATGGATGGAGGCGGCAGTAGCTAGAGCATGTTGCCGATCGACAATGCATTTCAGAGCCAAGTTGACTTACCGACCTCACAGCAGCCCATCTGGAACACACCCGAAAATGGGGACTGCAGTTCTGTCTCGGGAAAAAAAGGACGGCATCTTGAGCACGATGCGAAGGTCGCCCTCGCTCTTAATCGGCGGTGGTGATTTCATTTGAACCTCAGAAACTACCCGACGCACATGCGATATGGCGGGTGGGATGCAACCCCAAAGTTTTGCGGACGGAAATGCACGGCGACGTCCGTCTGGGCTGGTAGCGAGTGGAAGCGCAACATGCATGAGCAGGATCGGCACTCGTCCGTCACGCCGTGCAGCAACGTGCAGACCTCGAGCCAGGCGGCAGTTGCGAAGCGGCACTCGCTCGCTCGCTCGCTCGCTCAACCAGGCCCATCCACAGTGTGCCTGAACAATGAATTCCGAACAATAAATGGATGAGCGAGCCAAAAAAAGATAGCGGATTTCCAGATCGCTGCACCAAGTGAGTCTGCAGCGGAGTGGTTGTGCGATTGGCGTCCGGCAGCAGCGCTCAGCTACAGTGAATTGATTTCTTTTTTGTTTTTTCTGTACTGGCATGCCTGCTGTGGCCTTCGTCATCCCAGTGAATCGCAGGGCAGCGCGCTCCCATTCCAGAACAAAGAAAAAAATAAATCCAACATGCAGCACCTGCCGACACGCAGCATACAGACGCACGCCAACAGCACCGTGCAGCAGCAGCACACAGAGACTCTCTCGCTCGGTGCACCGAGGCCAACTCGCTTGACTGCTCACCTGCTCGCCTGCTCGACGGGCGCATCCATCTCGCAACGCCAAAAAATGAGGAGCCCATCGTAGTCACCGCTATCCCTCATCTCGTCGCGGCACTTTGCATCTGCTGCCACTTTCACCCGCTGCCGTCTGATATCACAGCTCCCCTGCCTTTCGCCGTCCAGCGTCTTCGCGTGCATCACCCTCCTTTTCGTCCCTCACCGCCGTCAACTCCGCCGTCACGAGCCACACTCACGGATCTGGATCTTCCACCATCACACATCTGCCTAGCCTTGATCGCCTTTTTTCGATATCCACGCGCCAATCACCTCCCCGTTGCACCCACGGAACAGCATTCTCGCATCGCATCCCCATCGCTGCAAGCTCTCGCTCCTCTCCACGCAGACATCTCAGCCGTGCCTTCTTCCAACTTGGACTCACTCACCGCTTCGACATGCGCGAGCCCTAAGCCTCTACTCGACAACTCTCCTTCCATCCATCGTGCTCTCGTGGTCCAGCGCAGCTTCGATCCAGCCTGCGCGTGTCCGGCCCCGCTCGACTCATTACTAGCTCGATAGGCAGTCACCGCCGAGCCGAGAGCGTCCGCCTTTGCCCACGAGCCTGGCCAGCAGTCCGCTACGTCCGATCACGTCGCTGAAGCGCATCTACATCGCCATCGGTACCTCCGGCGTACTTTCCCACACCACCCTCCCAGCTCTGCTCTGCTCGACTGCTGGAATCCTGCACCAGCCATGCCCGCACCCCTCGCCAAGGCCACATCGCGTGGCAACGCCTCCATCCAGAGCCACCCGGCCGGCACTTCCGAAAAGGTGTCGCTTCCCACCACTGCATCCACCTCCCAGCTCCAGCCCGTGCCTTCCTGGCCTCGTTCCAGCGCTTCGCCTCAGGATGAACAGGCTTCCACCAAGGCCGGTCTCAAGGCTTGGTGGGCCTCCTTCACAAAGGGCCGCGCCAACAAGGAGAAGAAACCGCTGGACAACCGCGTCTTTGGTGTTCCGCTCCGCCAGTCTCTCAAATACGCCAGCGTCGCCATCTCGATCGCCGGCGAAGACGGCCAGCAGTATGTGTGGGGATACGTGCCTGTCGTCGTTGCCAAAGTGGGCCTTTACCTCAAAGAGAACGCCACCGAGGTCGAGGGCGTCTTCCGCATCGCTGGTTCCCAAAAACGCATGAAGGAGCTACAGGAGACCTTTGACTCGCCGCCGCGCTACGGAAAGTCGGTCGACTGGACCAAGTACAGCGTGCATGATGCCGCCAGCGTGCTGCGCAGATACTTCAACCACATGCCCGAGCCCATCGTCCCGCACGACCTCTACACCGAGTTCCGCAATATCCGCGCCAAGGAGAACTTTGACGAGGACGGCGCCATTCGCACCTACCGGTTGCTCATCTCTAGCATGCCGCCTGCCAGCCAGTACTTGCTGCTCTACGTGCTCGACCTGTTGGCCGTGTTTGCGCGCAAGTCGGAAAAGAACCTCATGCCATCCAGCAACCTTGCCGTCATCTTCCAGCCGGGCATGTTCTCGCATCCATCGCATGAACTCTCGCCGGGCGAACACAAGCTAGCCGTCCAGGTGCTCGAGTTCCTCATCGACCACCAAGACCACTTCGTGCTGGGCATGCAGCCCCAGCCTGCTTCGCAACTGCCTGCCGGCGAGCTCACGGCTGTGTCCAAGCCCGTCACAGACACAGACGTGCTGGTTCCCTCGGACAGCGACGAGGAGCAGGGTGAGTTGCACGTCCACGAAGGTGGGGGCGCACGCCTGATGCGCAGCAAGACCACCAAGCCCAAGTCCAAACGATACGGCCTCGGCTTCTCGCGCCGCACCCACGCCAACGACGTCACGAGCGATGGCGAGGAGCTGCCCCCGCAGGACTCGGGTGCTTCGGGCAAGAGTCCGAACAACGAGGACCCGACGTCTCTGGCCAACCTTGCTGCGCCAGCGAAACCTGCCACGGGCCTTCGCCGCAGCCGCACGGCGCCTTCGCGCAAGCCTGCCGAGGGAGTATCGCCGGCGCGCAAGGGACGTCGTCCGCGAGCGTCTGCGGGCGACAAGCGCGCGGCCGAGGAGGAGCATCGCAGAATCGTTGCAGCACTCATCCCGCAGCCACCCGAGCCGCGCTCCCAGGCGATGCAGAAGGCAGCCTCGAGTGCGGGCCATGCGCAGTCGAGCGCTGCAAGTGCTGCCGCGCGATCGTCGACCGAGACAGGTCTTGCGCCGCCAGCCTCGGCGCCGATGCGCAAGGCGTTGTCGGCCGCGGATGCATCGAGCTCGCCCGAGCCATCGGTCAAGGTGGCTGCTCCTGCCTCGGCGGGCCACGACACGTCGGGCCTTCCGACCCCGCCGCCGTCCAAGATCATGGCGTCCGACGCATCTGCGTCTGCGCCTGCGTCTGCACCCAAGCAGAGCGGATGAGGCGCGATGCGCATGCCTCTTGTCGCGGTGCACGCCATCTCAACATGGTGATGCGACCAACGAACAATGACTTTTCTTCTTTATTCCTTCTTCCTTCTTCTTGCTGCCGTGCCAGTTCGATTCTCTGCATATACCTGTTCGGGCTGCACATCTACCTCACTGTGGATTCTTCTTTGGATGTGCCATGTGCACACGGAATCGCTCCCCCACCTCATGCTCGTTTGCGCCTTCATTCATTGTAACGGCTTTTGTCATTCGGCTCTTGTTTATTTTATTCTGATGGAATTGCGCTCCAGCCATGCATACTTTGCGATCTTGGTCGTGGCGTGTGTGTACGGTAGGCTTGTGCTGCGGTGACAGAGTGTCTACTGAAGTGGTTCTGCGGATGCGTCCATCTCTTCGCCTTCGAGCGGGGCTGCTGCTTCTGCGCCGGTCCACCACGAGACCAAACCTAGGCCGCTGCCTGCGATGCTAGCAGTGATGCTGTAATGTGGCTTGGTTTCCTTAGCGGTATGTTGGTTGTGGTGTAAAGCTGACGACTGTGCCGAGTCTGTGGTGGGATTTGCAATGGGGCCTGGTTCGGCGTCCCAGAACTCGTCGGACTCTATGGTGAAGCGCACCTGTTCCGCAGTGTCGAGGTACATTCGTTCGTCTGGATGGCTGAGCAGAGGGTCTGCGGCGATTTCGTCTGTGCGTGCTTCGTAGAGCCAGAACCAAGCGCGTTCCTGGTGGTCAAAAGCACAAGGCTTGGGGATCAAATGAGCCGGGACGTAAATGTCGTCAAAGAAGCCCATTGTAATGCGGATCCCTGCTTCGTCCGAAGACTTGATCTTTCCCGTCAAAACCTCCTGCGTGAAAGGACGGAAGACAACCAGTCGGAAGGTTACGTGGTGGTACAGACAGCCATCGCCAAATCGAACCTTGCCCTCCGAACAGCTGAGGATGTCGAATAACGATACGCAGAGGCCGACGTCGGGAAGGATCTTGTTGGCGTACTTGATGTTGATCTGGTCCGAGATGCTCGTGAGAGAAGGCTGCCCGAATGCGGAAGGATGCACGCTGATCGTGTCCTCGATGTCCGCCAGCACGAACATGGTCGACCGAAACACACCGCGCGCGTGCGCCGCCCGCGGTTTCGAGAAGAGGTGATGGGCGAAGAATCGACGGTGTTGCTTTTACGCCGACATCACGGCTGTTGGGGGAGCCTCGGATGCAAATGGCGCAGCGTAGGCTGGAAGCTGCGCGAAATACGCCTCGTGCGCGCAGTGATAGTGATCGCTTTGGCAGAGGTTGGTATGGTCGAAGGCTTCGTTTGGTGTCCTCAACCATGAAATCTTCGCTCCACTTGATTCTTCTCCCGACATCCGCATCCTCGCCTCCAAGCTTCTCAAAAATTTCGCCGAGTTTTGCAGTGTTAAGTCTCTCGGAACGGCTGCTCCACTTTTCGCCGCTCGGTCCGCAAAAGTGGAACAGCGCTGAGTCTTTGAGCTTCGGAAGGCCTCCGACCCACTCGACATTTTTCCATCCTCTCCTCGTCAACCCGCTGCACCACAATGGAGTTCAGCAGCCTCAAGGAGCAGAGGCACCAGGCGCACGATGCTGCCGAAGCACGCGCAGCAGCAGCTGCGGCTTCGGTAGATGCCGACGACTCGCCGCGTCAGCCCAGGTCGTCTTCATCGCGAACGACGCAGAGCACCAGCGGCGCGAGTGGCAGCCGCAGCCGCGACGCCCACCCGGTCGCCGAGTCGCCGTTTGGAAAGGCTATGACAGATCCAAACGTGGCTCAGTCGGCTCAGTCCGAACCAGTCCACTCGCAGCCTCTCGAAGATGGCTCGCTCCCACAGCCTGATCGCCCCGAGGGCGTTGAGGGCACTCCGGCGAGCGCTGATGATCAGGCCGTCGAAACGGAAGAACCGCCCATGCGGCCACACAATCTGCTCACGGCGACAGAGATCCTACAAGGAGCGCCTGGCTCGGCTTCGCCGTTTGCGCCTGCACCGATCCTGCGTCTGAATGCGATTCGCATCTCTGGAGCCGGACGTGCGCTCCGCCCTAGCTTCCTTGCTTCGCTGTGCCGGCCCTACCTCGACCCGACGCTTTCGACGCAGAACGCAGACGTTTCGCTGCTCAACACGCTCCACTACGGCTCGCGCACCTCGCACGTGCTTCCAGGACAGCCGACGACGCTGGCGTCCATCCTGGCGCTCACCTCGTCGCTCGCGGGCGATCTGGACAAGCTCGACGTCTTCCGCAACATCGAGGCGTCGCTTGCACCTTCGGTATTTCCCGGCGCAAGCGAGGAGGACGTCGATGTGATCCTCGCGTGCGGCCGCCCTAAGGGCCGCGTGTTCCTCAAGTCGTCCACCGACGTCGGCAACGGCGAGGGCTCCGCCTCGGTGCAGGGCCGCATCCGCAACGTCTTTGGTGGCGCCGAGACGCTGCAGGGCTCGGCGACGTTTGGCACACGCACGCGCCAGGCGTTCAACGTCGAGTTCGGCGCGCCCCTCGCAGGCAACCCCGACATGTCGTACCGGCTCGCGGCATTTTCGCACGACCGCGACCTTTCGGCGTTCGCCTCGGTCTCGGAGACCATTCGCGGCGTGCGCGCCAGCATCAACTCCAGCTCCACCTCGGAGCCCCAAGGCGTGATCAACTCTACCGGCGCCGAGGAGGACGAAGGTGTGGCGACGACGCAGCACGAATTTGCGTACGAGGCGTCGCTGCGCGAGCTCGCCAGGGTCCGACCGTACGCCAGCGTCGCTGTCCGAAAGATGGCCGCGGCGCCCAGCGTCAAGTCGGCACTCAGCTGGACGTGGCTGCGTGACAGCCGCGACAGTGTGGTGTTGCCATCACGTGGTAGTAGGATGCGTACGCTGCTCGAGTACGCCGGCCTCGGTGGCGATGCCAAACACGTCAAGGCGGAATTCGAAGCGTCGACCGGTCGACATTTCTCTCCCCTTGCATGGCTCTTCCCGTCAATGGCGTCGTCGGCAGAGGTGCCAACATCGCTCATGGGGTCAGCGGCAGTGGGCAAGGAGGAGGGAGAGGTAGTAGGCGAGGTGGCACAGGGGCTGCATTCGATCTTTACGACACTCACGCTGCGCACGGGTGTGGTGCACGCCCTCGGCAGCTCGGCATCACATCTATCGGATCGATTCCAGCTCGGAGGTCCTACATCGGTGCGCATGTTCCGACACTCGTCGCTGGGGCCCAAGAATGGTCAGGACTCGCTGGGAGGCGATGCGTTCTGGTCGCTCGGGCTGTCGATGTTCTCGCCCATCCCCAACAAGCCGCACTGGCCACTCATGCTGCATGCGTTCGCCAATGCGGGCCAGCTTGCACAGCTGCCCACCGACGCAGTGTCGAGCAGGGTGGGAGCGTGGAAAGAGCTTGCACAGCCCTCGACGGCGGCCGGTGTCGGGCTCGTGTATACTCAGGGCCAGCTAAGGGTCGAACTCAATGCCGGCGTCCCGCTCACAGCGCGCAGGGGAGACGGCATGGCAAAGGGTCTCCAGCTCGGTATCGGGATCGACTTTCTTTGATCGTCTTGACCCGGCTCGCTTTGTCTTAATACACGGTGGCCATTGGCATGCCACCCACGTGCAATTGCGGCTGTTCAGGCAATGCGGTTTACGGGCGAGTGGTGTTGTAGGTGAGATTGCAAGAGTTAGACATGAGTTCAAGGCCGTGGTGATCCGGATGGATCCTAGCTCCTTCCCCGGGACGCTTTGCAACGATGCTTGTCGATGCGGGCGCGAATTAAGAGTGGAGCGAGTCAGGTTTCACGATGGGGTGTTCTACACCTGGTTGCGAATGGTTACAGGCATCAAGACGACTTGTCGGGCTGTGGGGTTTCGTCTGGAGATCTAGCGTTTGGGTCGCTTGGTTATCCCGACAAGGCACGGTGGGTCGAGACTAGATTGTCGAGGCTGTTGGGGTTGTTGATCTCGCGCGGCAGGACAAAGTCGCTCTCGCTGAAAACCCACAGGCGGATGTAGTCGTGGCGACGTACCAAAAACTTGGCCGAATCTACCAACGAGTCGTCGGCGCCCGTGCAAACATAGCCGTACTCGCCGGGGTAGTCAGGATGCGTGTAGGGAACGAGCGTTCGACCTTCAGCCTTGGCATGCTCGGTGAAAAACGCCAGCTCCTCGTTGAAGTACGACGGAGAAATGTTGAGAAACACCAGCACCGAGCGGCGATCCATAGCCATGTCTACTGTATATTGGCAAGCTTTTAGAGATTGTAGAAAGGGGGTGTTGGGTAGGGTAGGGATCGCGGGACTAGGATCGTAGGAATTTCAGCTTATGTATTCCGCACCATCATCAGGAGATGTTGACGCTCATCTCTGCTTGCGCCTCTTCGGTCACAGTCGGAGCGAATCGGCGCGGCAGGAAGCAGCTGCGCATCCTTGCGCAATCCGTTCTGGAGCTCATTGAGGTGATCCCGCACCTGGCCGAATCACGCCGTGACGGAGCGCAAGATCCATCACAAGTCCAATCACGCGCTCCCACACCTCACAGAACAAAGTTTAAGCTCTCAACCTTATCCTGCGCATCGCAGAGAATCACGCCGGCTATCTTCCGAACGTCACATTGCGCAGCACAGAGGCGCTTTTGAGAGCCACGTTGAGGCCGGAGCCAATCTATTTCAGGGCAAGAGATTCCACGGCGAGAGAACGTTCTGCACCTTATATATTGTCCGAACTTTCCCGCTTTCTGGTTCTGTTGTTCCCACCATCTAGCCGGCAAGTTCGACGACCCCTCCACTCACCTTTCGCCTCCAATCCTTGCACAAGCAACTCTTGCGATGTCGTCCGAGGTGCCTTTGACCGCATACTCGAGGGCACACCTCGAGGCGATGCTGTCTAGACCCGAGAGTGTCCTCCTCAGAGAAAGTTGGGCGCAAGTCGATCTCAGCCGACGCGCAGAACGGCTCTTGGTCGTTACCAGCTTTCTCTGGTTGACCTTGACCCTGGATAAGCTATATCTCTCTCAAGGGGTCGAAATCAACGTCGAACTGTTCCTCGGGCTCTTGCCAGCTTCCGCGGCGGCGTGGTGTCGACGACGCCTCTCTCGCATCCGGGAGGAATGTACTCCATTCGAACCCGAGATGGAAAGCATGTTTCAGCATCCCTTCGGCATGTCTCAGGACTTTCGGGCACCAGTAGACCTGTTGGCCGAGTTCGCCTTTTTCTACACGCCGACCCCCGAGCGATACCAGGCCGACATCTGGTCTGTACTCAGCAGGGCTCTCTCAACGATCCTGCCAGGTCCGATCAGACCGTAGAATCCACAATGATCCATCCTCGACTTTCAAGCGAGAATGCGCTCGCCTACAATCGACAATCACATCGCCGTCCGCCACTCGCATCTGCCACTTGCGTCTGCCTGGCAACCAAGCCCCATATCCCCGTCAAACCCCTTTTCGACCTTTCTGCTCTCAGACATCCCTCCACCGCACAATGACAACACAAGACGACCATCTACCAATGCAAAAACTGTTTTTTCTTCTTCTTCGAGCTTAGCGTTACACGATGTGAGATCAGAGGTCTTCCTCCTTGACGTAGCCGGGGTTCTTGAGGAGGATGGAGAAGCCTTCGAGCACGTGGGCGTAGCTGAGGTACTCCTCTGATCCGAGTTCGGCGCGCTCGTACGTTCCGACGCGGACGGGGGTCGTATGTGTTTGGAATCCACTGATCGTGCGGGGCTTACCGGCCTGGCCTACGACATCGACGGCCTTTCCGACGCGGACCGAGGTTGGGAGGGCCTCTAGCTTTTCGTCGAGCGTGATGAGGAAGCGCGGGTACATGGCGGGCGTGAGCATATACAGCATCCAATGAGCCTGATCCAGCACGAACCCGCGCGCATCGGTCATGGACGTAAGCAAGGTCAAGATGCCCGCGACGGCGGTCCTTGACATGAGCTGACGATCGGTATGGTACGGATTGATGCCGATCGTACCCTTGCCCATATGCACGAGCCCCTGCGATACGCGCACCATAAACAGACAGTCGGGTTCCTTGTAGTAGTATCCCGCCAGCTGCCTCAGCATCTGACCCAACCTCGCATTGTTCGATCCAGCACCCACGAGACCCATGGCAAGAATGGCGTTGATCGCCACATCCAGATCCGAGTCGTGCGAGTACTTGGAGAGCGTATCGATGACGGGCATCGACGGATCCGACGGATGCAACAGTGCCAAGGCAAGCGGCACCGCCCGACGGATCGTAGGCTCGCCATAGTGCATGAGGTGCGAGAGGTGACGCAACGCCATCTCGGCACCCACCTCCTCGCCCATCGTGACGAGCGCAATACCGATCACGGCAAACGCCTGGAAGAGCTCGTTGGCCTCCTTGTCCTGACTGGCATCGCCCGAATCGGCGTCAGCATCGCCGCCACCGCTGGCGCTATTGTCGTTGTTGTCGCCGCCCTCGGCATCGTCGCTGCCGTTGGCGTCTGGTGTGGAGCGCTCGGTGCAGTAGTGGAGCATGGTCTGGACCTTGAGCACATTGCCGGTGCCGGCGTAGGAGCACATGTCGACGAGCACCTGCGCCTGCTTGCTGATGGGATGGTCGATGGCCTTGAGCGTCTCGATCGTGGCGTCGCTCTCGTCCTGCTTGCCGAGGAAGAGGAGCGCGAGGCCGAGGATCATGAAGCGCGACCACTTGTCGTCGAGCTGCGCCGGGTCGCGTTCGAACATGCTCTGGAGGATGGTGGGCGTGATTTCGCCGTGGCAGCTGCCGGCAAAGACGAAGCCGAGCGAGAGCGCCGACATGGCGGCGACCTCCATGGGCGTCGTCTCGTCCTGGATGTTGGGCAGCAGCAGTGCGGCGATGTCCTCGCGGCAGAGGCCGGCGTAGGCGAGGCCGAGACCGACGATGGCCGAGATCTTGAGCGGGATGCTCTTGGACTCGATGTGCTCCGAGAGCAGCGCAAGGGCCTCGTCGAGCTCCGAGCGAAGACCGGAGTGGACGATGCCGTAGGCGAGGAGTGCGCCGGCCTTGATGGCCTCTTCGGACGAGTAGGAGTACTTGTCGATCTGGTCGAGGCCGGTCTCTGTGTTCCACAGCAAGCTCATGCCGAGCGAGGCGGCGGCGGAGAGCATGCCGTGGTCCTTGTTCTTGTAGATCCACGAGTTGCCCTCGGGCGCGTCGACCATGAGCTTGTCGTTGCCGAAGCCGGCGTTGACAAAGGCGTTGACAAAGGTGCTGGCGAGGTTGCCGCGCGCCGAGTCGACCGAGGAGCCGAGGCCGGTGCGCGAGTTTTCGAGGTGGGTCTTGTAGATGTCTTCGAGGCTCTTTGGCTCGACGACGTTGAGCTCCTTGCCAAAGTTGACAAAGTGGCGCGAGAGGTGCGAGTTGTACATGATGTCGAGCAGTTCGTTGTCGGTGATGGGCGCGTCTTCGTCCTGGAGCCACTCGATGGGGATGTGCTGGCGTGCGAGCATAAAGGCGAGCTGCTTGCGCATGGTGGGATTCTTGGGCGCCTCAAAGTCGGAGCGGATGAGGTGCTTGTCGCCGAGGCGGAGTGCGAGGGTCATGGCCTCGGTGAAGCGGTCGTGCTTGCGGTAGATCTCGTGGGCGGTGCGGAGGAACATGGCGTCGTCGGGGGGCACGAGGAGGTTGACGCAGCTGACCATGTAGAGGCATACGCGTGCATAGGTGTCCTTGTCGACGAACTGGGGCAGCTTGTCGATGGCCTCGAGCTCGAGCAAGAGGTCGACGGCGTCTGCCTCTGCGTTGTGGGAGAGGCTGAAGGGGACGACCTGGAGGGCGAGGTCGAGCAGCTCGTCGGTGTTCTTGTCCTCGTGGGAGCGGGCGGTGTACTCTTCGCCGAGCTCAGCGGCGAGATGGCGCATGTATTCGTGACCCCACAGACCTGGGTCTTCGGACTTGCCCGAGGCGGCGACGTGATTCGCCTCGAGGCGGAAGTGGAGGGTTTCGCGCTGTCCGTTGTCCGAGTAGGTCATTGCGAGGACGGAGAGGATCTCTGCAAAGAGGCTCTTGTCGTCGGAGGCGTGATTCCAAGCGTTGTAGAGCGTCTTGAGCTCTGGGTAGTGTGGACGGAGGAACTTGAGGGGTTTGGGGACCGAGGTCATGGAGGAGGTGCTTGTGCGGATGAGGGTGCGGAGGGACTCGAGAGCGGGACGGTAGAGGGAGGCGTCGTCCTCCTTGAGACGCTCTACGAGCATCTCGAGCTCGTTTTTGAGCTGGAGGTCGTCTTCGCTGAGCTCGTCATCGGGCTTGTCCTTGGCATTGGCACGCTTTTCGGAGAAGGGGGGCAGGCCTTTACGTGCTGCTTCCTCGCGCTGCTCTTCCTTTGCCTTTTCCTGGTCGGACTTCTTTGGGTCGTCGACGGGGACGGTGATGTCGAGCTCCTGGCCGTCACCTCGCGCCATGGTTGCGGATTATGAGGGGCTGGGGCCGGCGGTGGCAGGCTGTTGGCTGGAGCAAATAAGACCGACGTGCGCAGAGGATGGTGGTGGGGAAATGGGCGCGCCGATGGGATGAGAGATGCGACTGCGGTGGTGGTTGGTCGAGAGCAACACGTCGAGAGTTGAGTTGGTTTGGTGACAAGCGCTTGCGACGTTTGCTGCTGCGGGCGCGCGTTCGGTTTCGAGAGGCGTGTGGAGTGGGAAGAATGGCGGCCGTTGCGCGTTCTCTCTCTCTCGTGGCCCCGGCGCGCTGCAAAAGCGCCTCCTCAGCGCAGCAGCTCAAGCCGATCACCTCGAAACTCCACTTTTTGGGGGCTCGAATTTTGACAATGTTAGGCCACTGATTCTGCAGCTCCATCTTGAATTTTTGCAATGTCGCCATCTTCGGCCCCACTCGGCTGGAACGCGCGCCCGATGTGGAGCGAAGCCATGGATGCGGAAGTCCGTGAATCTTGGATTTTCAAAAAAAGGAGCGGCGAGTTCGGGGAGGGAGCACTCTCTCAAAATCGAAAAAGAGCTGTTTGCGGTTCATATGCGCGCTCCATATTTCCAAAGTGCGCAGGTACGAAGGCAGAGCACAGCAGCACAGCAGCACAGCAGCACAACAGCCCTGCGCCAAACTCAGAATCCAACGCAAACACGCCGTCGCAAAGCCAAGCCAAACTGAGCCGCATTCCTCAGAAACTGCTCCATCATCACCACCACCACCATCCACATCTGCTACCGTCTGGCTTCCATCGAGTCTGACGTGCACTGTGCTTGATTCCAGCACAGTCTGGAAATCCGCCCTTCCTTTTCCTCGTCCCCTCCCAACATCCAGCCGCCATCATGCTCAGCAAGGAAACGCGCATCATCACGCTCCTCGTCATCGACGTCGTGTTCTTCTTCGTCGAGATCATCACCGGATATGCTGTTGGATCGCTCGCCCTCGTCGCCGACTCGTTCCACATGCTCAACGACGTCATGTCGCTCGTCGTCGCGCTGTGGGCCGTGAAGCTCTCTACAAAGTCGTCCGACCATCGCTTCAGCTACGGCTGGCAGCGCGCAGAGATCCTCGGCGCGCTCGTCAACGGCGTCTTCCTCCTCGCACTCTGCTTCAGCATCTTTATGGAAGCCATCGAGCGCTTCGTCAACGTCACCGAAGTGTCCAACCCCAAGCTCGTCGTCGTCGTCGGCTCGCTCGGTCTCGCAAGCAACCTCGTCGGCCTCCTCCTCTTCCACGACCACGGTCACGCCCACGGAGGTCACGGTCACTCTCATGGTCACGGCGGCCACTCTCACGGCCCCCACGACCACGCTCACTCCCACGCACTCCCCGGCACCGACGCCGAGCACAGCCACAGCCACTCTCACAACGCTCCGCAGCAGGACCCGCCCGCCATCAGAGACTCGGCTGCCAACGCCAAAGGAACCACCTCGAACGACGACGCTGCAGCCACCAGCAGCTCGGCTGCCAAGCGTGGACGCGGCCGTGGTGACAGCGTCGGCTCCATCCTCGGGCACCCCGCCCAGACGCGTGCATTCGTCGTGCAGACCGCCCACGACCTCGGCTACGATGCCGGCACCAGGCACCAGCACTCCAACTCCATCACCTCGCTCAACGGTGGCGCACACAACGAGCGCTCGCGCCTCCTTGCCAACGGCTCGCACGACTACGGCGCCACCGATGGCGCTGCCGCCGATCTCGAGGCCGGCACGTCCAACGCACCCAAGAACGGCCGCTCCGCCGACCACGACTCGCACGCCGCCGACCACGATGCGCCCGGTCACGGCCACTCGCACGGAGGTGGACACTCGCACGGCGAGGGCAGCATGAACATGCGCGGCGTCTTTCTGCACGTGCTCGGTGATGCGCTCGGCAACGTCGGAGTGATTGCCGCTGGTCTCTTCATCATGTACTCGTCTGCATGGTGGCGATTCTACTCGGACCCCGCGATTTCGTTCCTGATCACCATCATCATCTTCCACTCGGCGTTACCGCTGGTCAAGTCGGCGTCGTACATCCTGCTGCAGGGTGTGCCGGCGTCGGTGTCGCTCGAGGCGGTGCGCAAGTCGATCCAGGCGGTGGAGGGGGTGATCAACCTGCACGAGCTGCATGTGTGGCAGCTTTCGGAGAGCAAGATTGTGGCGTCGGTGCATGTGCTTGTCGACTGCAGTGCTGGGCAGACGGACAAGTACATGAGCATTGCTGCGCATATTCGGGATAACTTGCATGCGTGGGGGATTCACTCGAGCACTATCCAGCCCGAATTTGTACCCGGCGGACTGCGCGAGGCGGCGATTCTCAGTGGGGTTCAGGTGGCAGAGAGCGATGATGAGGGTAGGCTTAGGACGGTGCAGGGTACGTTGGTGGAGAACGAGGTGCAGAAGGTAGATACCGCGTGTTTGATCGCGTGCGGTAAGGATAACTCGTGCCAGACTGAGAGCTGTTGTCCCCCCACCAATGGGGCTAGTCGTGCCGCGTCTGGTTCCAACACCCCCACGGCCTAAGACGGCAGCCCTCCATCACTCTTTTCTTTTTGCTCGACTTAGTTGTGGCGCGCCTGTATAGATCCAGCGTCGGTGCGAGGTAATGATCCGTTAGATGCCTGTCTCCAAGTTGCCAGTGCTTGTCGGTGCGAGCGTGTGTGCAAGGAGAAAGCGGATGGGGGTTAGTTTCGAGCCGAGATTGTGTGCGGAGTGGGCAGCGCAATAGCGTTGCGGTATGAGACGCCGCATGAGCCCGAGGTGGAGCTCCTCCTCAAAGCGGTGAGACGATTCGATCGAGTTGCCAATGTGAGGCGCAGCTGGCAGGCGCCACTCTCCACAGCTAAGTTAGCTCCGGCCTCGAATCTCGGCACGACAAGCTGCTCGCACCAAGGCAAGCCAAATCATCTTTGGCAACTTCTCAGCCACAGCCACTTGCCATTTCCGCGCTTGTACTACAGCACGCCCATCCCCACCACCACCTTCAGTCACAACACATTCTCTGATCACATGCCGTCCTTGCAACCGTGCAAGTGGGGTAGAGAGGAGGGGGGGTATACGAATTCCATCATTTGCCATATTCTAGAAAAACGCCCATCGGGAGGCGGTATTCTTCTGCTTATACACCTTGACCAAGTCGCCAATCACACCCGCGACATGTTCCAGCTTCTGCTTCCTCGTCTGCAGATCCAAATGCTTCTTGACGGCTGGATTCTCGCGTGCAAACGCCTTGAGCTGATCCGCATCGAGGTGGTGCATGAGTTTGGCGTCGATCTCGCGCGGGAACTGGTAGAAGAACTCGGCGAGCAGCTCGATGTTGATAAACATCACGGCGGTGTACGTCAGCTTCTCGGCAACAATGTTGAGGAACGTCTCGGGGCAAAACGCCTTGGTTTCAGGACCGCTTTTGCAGCGTCGGGATCGCAGACTGCCCAAACGCGTCCGAAGCATCCGCGAGCGTTCGCTAAGGAAAAGTGCCTCGCGTGCCTTGATCAGTAGCGCCGAATTGTAGTCCGGCCGTGTAGGATCGTTGCTGTCGTCGTCGGCATCGTCGGTCGATGCGTCGGCAGATTCTTCGCGCGCGCGCAGACGAGCTTGCACGCGCCGCCGCTCGCGCTCCTCCATATGCGTCACATACTCCATGGCCCCCTTGAGCCGCCTACCCCCAAGCAGCTTCTTGATCCCGTTGAATGCCGCATCGCACATATCCAGCTCGCGCTCCACGAGGCTCACCGACCGCTGCCGTCCAGCCTCCCACTCGGCCGGCTCCACCTCCACCTCGTACTTGAACGGCTTGACGCAGTTCTCCACCTGGTCGGCGGTGAGTCCGAAGCGCTCGCGCAGGATGGCACTGCTAAACGCCACGATGCGCTCGGCCGCCTCCGGATGGTGGTTAAACGGCTCGCTCCTAGCCAGATGCTCGATCTGCGTGCGGATGGCATCCACCACGAGCTGCGTCGACATCCTCCCGATCCCCGCCTTGGTGAGCGCCGACGACGACGCATCCAGCTTGTACTGCCAGTACTTGTCGAGCTGGTCCGGCGCCAGCTTACGCGCATCGGCAAGCTGCGCCAGCTCCGGCGTGCGTGCATCGCTCCAGTACATCTGCGCGAGAATGTCCATGACCTTTTCGTCGAGCGCGTGCTTGAGCAGCGCACGCACCTCGGGCTTGCCAAAGTGCGCCGCAAACTGGTTGAAGCGCAGCTTGAGCGCATCCATGGTCTCGGCGGCGTACGACTCGGCCGTGATGGTGCGGTCGTTGTACTGCACCTTGAACTGGTACGACGCCTCCTCGAGCTCCACCTGCACCGCGTTGGCGATGCCGTGCAGCGACGAACCCATGCTCTCCTCGAGCACCGTCATGAGCCGCCTGCGCAGCGTGTCCGTGCCCGTCATGGGCTCGACGCCCGCATTGCGACCGCGCGCCGGCGCCTTGAAGTGCTCGCGGTTGGCGTTGAAGTAGTCCGACTCCTGCTTGGTCACCATGCTCGCCATGCGACCCTGTCCGGCGCGGTCGTGGCCCTGTGCGCTCTGGAACATGCCGAGGCTGCTCTTGCACACGACGCCCACGTAGCCGAGCGAGAGCGGATACTTGTTGTTGGACAGGATCGCCGCGCCCACCTCGGGCGGGACGAGGTCCATCTTTGTGACGACGCCGATGGTGCGCAGTCCCAACGGATCGACCTGCCTGCTGGCGCGCAGCGCGGGCGAGTTGGCGAGGTCGACGTCGGCGGCACACACGGCGAGGATGATGTTGGGTTCCTGGATGTACTTTTGGCACAGCGTCTGGATCCTCTCGCGCAGCTCGTCGGGCTGGTCCATGCTGGCGATCTGCACGTAGCCGGGCAGATCGATGAGCGTGAGGTCCGGCACGTGCGGGCTGTGGATGCGCAGCTCGATGGGCTCGTCGCTCACGCACTCGGCTGCGGGCACCGCCATGTTGAGGTCGTAGAGCGTCTTTTGGACGTGCGAAAAGTCGGTGATGCGGCCGAGGCCGAGGCCGGGGAATTCGGCGTACTCGACGAGCGTGTCCTTGATGGCGGCGCGGCCGGGCTGCGCGGGTGTGTGGATGAGCGTGAGCTCGATGGGACGCCGCGTGACCATGTTGTTGCCCTTGGGCAGGAACTCGTGACCGACGATGGCCTCGAGCACGGAGCTCTTTCCGCTGCTCTGCGAACCGATGACGACGATCGAGGGCAGCGTGAGCTGGTCCGACTCGTGGTCGATGTCCTTGAGGATGTTGCGCACCTCGATGAGCTTGCGCGTCAGCAACATGAGCTCCTCGGTGCTGGTCTTTGATGTCGCGTCTGCGGTGCCGTCGGTGGAAGCCTCATCGTCGCCAAAGAGCGACGATGCGACGACGGCAGCTGCGCCGGCCATGGCCGAGGTGCCGTTGGGATCGGGACCTCCGCTTCCGCCGCCGCCGGCCGACCATTTCGTTGTGACATCTTCGCTGCTTTGAGAGCCGCTGAATCCCGAAAACAGATTGCGCAGGAATCCAGGCGTGTCGGGGAGCTCGATAGCGTCGAGACGCTCGCTGAGAGCCTCCCACGAGTCGCGTGCATTCTCGAGTGCATCGGCACCCAGCTCCGAGATGCCCGAGTAGGCCTTCTTGGCGCGGTCGGAGAGGCGACCATAGGAGCGGCCGAGCATGTCCTTGAACTCGTCGACCTTGTAGTTGGCGTAGGCGAGTGCGCCGCCGCCCGCCGCCAGGCCGTAGGCAGGCAGGCGGACGGCGCGGAAGGCGGCTTTGGGGACCGAGTTGAACGAGATGGCGCGCACATGCATGAGGCGGCTGCCGCTCGACGAGGCGGTGAAGTGGGCTGCAAAATGCGCATCGGGCGCACCAGGGCGGTGGGCAGCGAAGCGCATTAGGGGCTGGCGGAGGTGGCCTGCGTGTGCATGGATGGGAGACGAGAGCGAAGCTGCGCGTGAGTGTCCTGCGCGCTGCGCAGCAGCTCGAGTGGCGGCCGAGTAGGTCGACATGATTGTATGTGGCGGAGCGAGTTGGCGGCAGAGTGGTTTGATGAGGAACGACAGAGGGTGTTGCTTGGGTGTGGCCTTGACGTGGCTACAAAGACCGATGGGCGGTCGCCGCACTAGTCCATGGAGAGCGGCGTGTCGTTTGTTGTTCGTTCGGATGTGAGACGCCCCCAGCTTACGATGTGTTGCGCATTGGTAGTGGTGGTGTTGATGGAGGTGGCGATGAAGTCGATATCCATCGATTTTGCTGGCTGAGCCACCGATCCTCCACTTTTCGTGGGCAAACAACACGCTGCGGGGCGCCCACTTTTCGATTGTCAGATCTGCAGTACCAACAAAGTCAAAAATTGGCTGCGCGCCCATTCGACTTGGACGCGTCACTTTACGCGCTGCGCGACCGCACTTTTTGGGGCCACGCCTTTTCTGCTGAGTTGCACACGAGACCAACACCGCTCACCACCACCAGCTTCATCCTGATGACCACCTCCTCATCCACCGACACCGAGCGACCGCACAAGACCGTCAAACTCGCGCACACACCCACAATGACAGTCTCTGCATCTTCGTCTGCGCTGCGTCTGCTGGTGCAGCGTCATCCCGCGCATCCGCTCGCCAAGCTGCCCACGCGCGGCTCGGCGAGTGCGGCGGGCTACGACCTGTATGCGTCCGAGGCGGTCGTCATCCCGCGCGGCGGCCGCAAGGTCGTTCAGACCGGCATCTGCCTCGCCATCCCAGAGGGCCACTACGGTCGTGTCGCCCCGCGCTCGGGTCTGGCAAGTAAGCATGGCATCGATACAGGCGCGGGCGTCATCGACGCCGACTACAGAGGCCTCCTCGGCGTGCTGCTCTTCAACCTCGGCGACGCAGACTTTACAGGTAAGCAAATCCCTAACTATGCACACAGAAATGGACAAGGTACTGACTTTGGTTCGGGCAGTCAACGAGGGCGACCGCATCGCACAGCTCATCATCGAAAAAATCGCCACCCCCGAGGTGGAGGAAGTCGAGAGCCTCGACGACACCATTCGCGGCGCGGGCGGCTTCGGTTCCACCGGCGGCTTTGGCTCCAAGACCTCGTCCTAATCACACACTAGAATCTGTTCACCATACATTGCTGGAATTTGCACTGCAGTTGGGATATTACATCGCGCGGCGATTGTGCCAGCAGCTCTCGTGAAACACTCGGCCGCACTTTTGCACCACGATGCGCTGCCTCCTCTCCTCCCCTTCCTCCTCCTGCCAGGCGGGCATGAATTGCGCCGCCGTCAGCGTTGCATCCCCCTCTTCCTCTTCCTCCGTCTCCTCGTGTTGTTCGGGTTCCTGTGTCTTGGGCGGCTCGTCATTGATCCGGATCGCAATGCTGGCGGTGGAATTGGTGCGCGTCATGAGTGCGCTCGCGCCGCCGTTGGCCCACGAAGAGCTCCGGCTCATCTCGCGGCTCGGCGCAAAGTAGCCATCCACATCATCCGCGCCTGCGCGGATCTCGCTCGACGCCGAGCGCACCACGCCCTTGCCCTTGTCCATGCGCGGCGATGCCAGCGGTGCCGCCTTGCCGTCGTACGGCGACTTGGCCCGCCGATGCTGCACCACCTGCGGCGTCAGCATGGCACCGCCCACCTCCTCGCGACCCACATCCACCTCGGCAGCACCAGTCGAGCCACGCTTGGGTCCAAGCACCACCACTCCACACGAGGCGCAGCGTGCACCGACGCCGATCGACGGCCGCCAGCCGTGCCGACGCTGCGCATGCAGCTTGCGGAACTGCCGGAACGTGTCGCGCTCAAACAGCTTGTTGGTGATCCCCAGCAGCTCGGCACGCAGGTGGTAGGCCGATAGCATGCCATCCAGCACCCCCCGGATCTCGGCATAGTACTCGGCACCTCCCTGCTTCCCTTCCTCCGCGGGAGTCGTCAGCCGCCGGAACAGCGCCGGGAACGAGACCGCCTCGGCAGCCGTCGATGAGATCAGATCCGACAGCGTGTCCTGCACAATATCGCGCACGCCGTTCAGCAGATCCTTCTCCTCACCCTTCGAGCCCGGGTCGTCGCGACGCGAAGAGCCGTGCGCTACATCGTGTACGAGACGAACCATGCTGCGCAGCAGCCTGAACCACACCTCGTCCGTATCGAGCGCAGCCGGCGCTGGGGCGTCGTCGTCGCTCTCGTGTCCGCCGAATGCATTCGCGCGCTCGATGCACAGCCGTACAGCTACCTCGATGCACCGCCGCACGTCGGCCAGCAGCACCTCGGCTGCGGCCGCGTCGGCGACGAGCACGAGCGACTGCGCAGTGCGCACACACGCCGCATCGAGCTCTTCGAACGCCTCGTCTGGCCGCCCGAGCCGGTCGAGCGCCCACAGCAGTGCATCGCTGTTGGCGGCCACGCGCGAGTCCTTCCCGTCGGCGTCGCGGCACGCGCGCACCAGCTGCTCCAAGTCAAAGTACCCCGGCGCCCGTGCGTCCAGATTGCGCACCACGGCCGCCGGCTCGTACCGCCGCAGCAGGTCCAGGTACACTTGACGCTCGCACGCGTCGAGGTGGTCCGCATCCGCCCGACCCCCATCGGCACTGTACGCCCCTGCGTCGGCGCCATCCACTGGCTTGTGATCCACCCAATCCAATCCATCGCTGCTGAGCTCCTCCGACCGAGGCTGAGAAACGGCCTTGCGCACATGCATCGGCTCAAAGAAGCACTGCAGATACAGCAGGTGGCGCTTGTCATCGAGCTGCGCGAGTCGCTGCAGCACCTGCGCGTGCCGGTCCGGATGGAACCGGTCGAGCATCGCGGCGGTCTTGAGTGCATCCAGATCCAGCAGCTCCGCGATGTGGTCCACCAGCTGCTCGTGCAGCCGCGTCACGAGCTCGTTTCTCCCGCGCGTGTTGCGTCGCGAGGCGTTGAACAGCGTCTCCTCAAAGTGCGCGAATGCATCTCCCGGCCCTTGGTCGTCAGGCGCGTCGGGATCCAACTGGCTCGCCAGTGCGCCGCCATGCAGGTGGTCGCGCAGATACATGCCCAGCAGCCGGTCCCACTTGTCCTCCTGCCGGAACGCCGACCTGAGGATGCGGCCGAAGCCGGCACGCTCAAACGTGTCGAGCCACGCATCGTCGAAGCGCGGCTTGTAGTGCGAGAGCAGGCACTCTGCTGCGAGCTCGCGGTCGGCGCGCGTCGATTCGACCGTCTCCACCTCGTCCACGTCGCCGTCGCCGTCGTGCAGCGGGATGGCGAGCGACCGCAGCAGCTGGTCGACGTGATGCTGCGGCAGGTGGATGAACTGCGGATACTTGGGTGCGTTGCGCGCCACAAAGATGTGCACAAACACGCGCGCCGTCAGCGGCAGCGCCGGCGCTCGCCTATCCGACGCGCCCTGCGAGCCGGCAAGCTCGAGCAGCACATCGACCGCCAGCTGCCGGCTGATCCGCTTGCCCACCACATCCTCGTCGTCGAGAAAGCCGTCTTCGAACGCGAGGTCGAGCGCATCCAGCAGCGCCTCGGCGTCAAACTCGAGCAGCAGCCGCAGGTACGGGTAGATCGGCTCGTGCTCCGCAGTGTCGCCCACGTGCTCCGGCTCGTCCGGACGGTCTTGCAGGCCGTACAGCACCAGCCGTCCGCCCGGGCCGGGCGGCCACAGCATACAGCTGCCGGAAAAGACAAAGTTGTAGATCGAGCCCTTGGCCTTGTCCGCCTGCTCGGCGTGCTCGAACGGCTCCTGGCTCGGATACCGGTTGCCCGTAAGCACCACCGAGAGGTACGAGAAGACGCGATAGCCGTCCTCGAGATCGCGCTCCGCCGCCTCCCAATCCGCCACGGCTGGGCTAGCAACCGCCGCATCGGCATCATGGTCCTGGATTCGGATATGCGCATACGGATCAGTGTCTGCACTTGCCTCATCCTCGCTGACGAGATGCTGCTCCTTCCACCTCCGCCCCAGCGCGCGGCGCACGGGGTGCAGCAGCTCGATGATCGGCGAGACATAGTCGTCGAGCGCCGCATTGAACACGTAGATCAAGGCGTCGTACAGCCTCCTGTCGAGACACAGCGAGAGCGCCTGGTCGAGATCGAGCGACTTGGGATCCACGTGCCAGATGATGCGTTCTGCCTGATCATACTCCTCGCGATCCCGTCTGAACGCCACGAGCCTCTGCACCACCGGAATCGGCAAGCTGCTCAGCTCGCCCGAGACGATAAAGTCCTCCATCTGCCCGACAAAGATCGCCTCGATCCCGTTGTCCTCGTACTTGTCGTAGAGCGTTTCGAAGAGAAAGTCGAGCTTGCCGAGCGACAGGCACGCGCGCGCGCACACGCTCGCCAGGCCCTGAAACAGCTCGGTGCGGTCGACGCCTCTGCCGTCCGGGGTGACATGGGTGTCGTCCGTGAGCCTATCGGGCGAGAAGGCGTATTGGGCCGAGGCGGCCATGAGTTCGTGCAGCTTGTCCGCCACGATGCGCGTGCGTTCGCCCGGGTCCGACGGGAGCCCGACCGCCGAGCCGAGGAAGCGGCCCTGGTGGAAGAGCGTGGCGAGCTCGATGGCCGAGAGAAAGTCGCCGCGCGAGACGTAGAGCAGCAGCCGGTCGGCCCACGACAGCAACGTGCCCACCACAAGATCGGTGGTGGTGAGGAAGAACGAGCGACCCTTGGAGACGCGGATGCTGTGATTCACCGCCCACGAGCGCTGTCGCTCTTCTGCCTGACCCTGGTCCTCTGCTTCGGGGGTCTCGGAGTGCGGATCGTATGGCTTGCCGAGAAGCACCGCATCGAGCGACTTTTGCTCGACGGTCCTCGCCAGAACAACGGCTGCGCTTCCGTTGCGCATGCGCTCCGTGACTTTACCGGCCCGGCAATCGAACAGCGCGAGCCCGGTGCGCGTGGTGAGCATGAGCAGATCCGGGCTGAACCACTGAAGTGCGACGATTCCGTCTGGCTCCTCGATGCCCTGTTCGCCGGTGAGTTCGACGGGTTCGATTTCGTCAACCACCTCCGCCGGCGGCAGGGCCCCGTTGCGCGCCGTCCGAACATCTGGACGCCGTTCGATCCTGCGCACGACGAGCCTGACGAGATGCAAGTTTCGACCGAACGAAAACGCGAGCACCGGATTGGTCTGCCTCTTCCTCTTGCCGTCTGTTTCGGTCGAAGCCGGATACCATGCCAGACACCCTGGCTGCTGGGACTGCGCAGCCTCATCAGCCACGACGCCCTCGCCGCCCTTCTCGGCGTGTTTGGTGGTGTGGACCTTGCGGTACCAGGTTCTTGGCGTAGGCTTGAGCCCGACTAAGACCATCTTGGCGGGGGTGATCATGGCGATGAAAGTGGTCTCGTCGGCCGCATGCGGTCTGGGCCCGAGCGGCAGCGGTGTGAGCTGAAAGATGACGCTTCTGCTCCTGGCATCTGCGAGACCCAGCTCGTCCTCATGCTCGTACTGCGGATACTTGCCGAGCAGTCGGAGGGTGTCGTTGGAGCTGACGCCGAGGACCTTGCCGAGCGCATGGTAGAAGGCAAGGCCCTTGTTGTCGGCCGACACGATGGCGGTGTGGCGGAGGCCGACGAAGCCCATGTGTACGATGGCCGAGCCGGACAGGTGGCCCTCCCTCTTGCCCGCCTTGACGGAGGAGAGTGGCACGGGCGGCACATGACGCGCGGCACGAGCTGGATGGGAGAGATCGTAGAGAAAGATGTTGCCCGAGGCATGGCCTACGCCCAGGAACGAGTGGTCGGACGAGAGGGCAAGCGCGGTGACGGCATCACCGTGGCCGCGGCCGTCGTGACCGCACGAGGCGATGGGATCCTGAGCCAGGTCGCATACGACGGTCTTGCCACCCTGCGTTCCGACAGCGATGAGTCCTCCCGCCACCGCCAGCACGGTGGGAATCGGGTCCGGGGCGTCTGGGGCCGACTTGGCAGCAGCGAGGACGCGGCGCAGGACGGACCACTGGACAAAGTCGCGAGCCAGCTCGTCGCGCTCGTTGAGCATGGTCTCCTTGAGCTCTGGCCTCTTTTCTGCGTCCTCAGAGGGTGCATGCTGTTGCTCATGGACTGTCTTCGCACCGCGCTGTGCTGAAGAGGGGAAGGAGCGGTCGCTGAGAAGCGAGACCTCGCTTTGCGCCGGTGGCAAGGTGGCACTTGTGAGTGTGCCGCCGTACGGGAAGGAAGCTCGTGCGCGACGGCACTTGGTGGTGCCCAGGACGGAGCCGCTGACGCTGGTGGAGAAGGAGCTCTGGCGCGAGCGTTGTGGCGTGGACGAGTGCGCCATTGCTGACCTGCTGGCGTCGTCATCTCTGGACGATATTGGCGCCGGGGCGAAGAAGTCTGGAGGCAGGGGCGAGCGCGGTTTGCGTCTGGGAGACGACGACGAAGGCGAGCCCGGAGTGCGGAGCGGCGAGGTGCTGGACTGCAGCTGCGCGAATGCCGGAACTGCAAGAGCCGCCGTGGTGGACCTGCCGACGGTGGCGCGGAGGCGAGACAGCGATGGATAGGCATTTGGGCGCTGGGGAGTGGATGCCGATGTCATTGTGTGCGACTGGCGAAGGAGCGAAAGGCCATTTGCGGAGGTGGATCTGGGCGTAAAGATGCGCGAGGACGACGGCAGGGACGAGAGCGGATGGCGGTTCTGAAGCGAAGAGGCGGAGCGCGTGTCGAAGCTGACGTCGTTGGGAAGCGGGTGCGGATACCGAAATGAAGATCCGCTGTCGCTCGGAGGCGCATCCGCCGATTGGTCACCGTCGGCAGGCAGCGGCAATGCCCTCTGCGTTCTTGGAGAAGACGCAGCTGCATGATCACTGGAGCCGGCGTGTTGGTCGTCGGCGTCAGCCACGTCGAGCTGCTGCTCATCATCGCTGCCAAGGATGTCCTTCATACGGGCGCTGTACGAGTCGGAGCCCAAGTCGATGGATGCGTTGCTGTCGTCCGGCGTTGCTGTGTGGATGTTTGCGGCGGTGTCGATGCCGGCGTAGACAAAGTCATCATCATCGTCGTCGTCGAGATCGTCATGTGCTGCATCTTTGCTGGTGGAAGGGAGGGCATCGTGATGCAGGCCATTTGGTGGCTGTGTGGGCGGCGAGTCGAGGACGTCTTGCATCTGCTGGTCGTAGGAGCGATGCTGATCCGCATGGTAGGTGGATATGCGCTGTGCATACGACGGCTCTGCATCCCACGGATTGGACTCGGCCGAGCCGTTGCGCTGCATGATCGGTGCACTGTTGCGTATAAGCTATGTGGATGCCAAAGGAGCCATTGCGGACGGGAATGTCGATGCGATGGGATGTGGTTGCAAGTCAGGATGGGTGTCTCGGCTAGAAGATGGAGAAAGGGCGTCAGTGCGCGGTTGGGCGGTTGGGCGGTTGGGCGTGGAGGTGAATCGGATCGCATCGGCCATCGACTTTTTGTGGAGCGGCGATTGCGATTCGCGCGGACCTCAACACTGTTACCAGCAACGATCTCACACTTAGAATCCGCGCGCACGGAGCCGAGCTTTGGATTCCGCTTTTTTGGCGGTAGGAAAGCGCGATTTCGCGCGTTGTTGGTTGGATTTGGGCTGCATTGCCGTTTCGACCCGGACTTTGGGCAACTGCCCTCGCTATCCTCCGCACCACCATCCTCGCTGGTCACCTTGTCTGCGTATCGACCATGTCGTCCTCAACACAAGCCGCTCTACCACAGCACGAGCCGTTCCGAGCGCTCTACATCCACACGCACGATGTGTCTCGCTCACTCAAGCCGTCGGCCGACGGTGAGCTCGCACACGCCATCCACCAGACGCTGCACTTTGCACTCGACGGTCATCCGGACGACTACACTCCCGCCGCCGCGAACTCTGGCGCAGGATCCGGGTGTGATCCTCTAGCCACGATGCCCACCTCGTCTGCGCCCAACGGCTCGTCGTCGGCGCTGGCCGTCAACAAGGGCTTTGCGGCTACGGGGGATGCGGAAAGGCCGTACATCTCGTACTACTGGGACGCGCACAGCGGGACATTGGCACTGCCGAACCCGGCGACGATCACGAATCCCGTCGCGGATCCGTGCTCGTCCGACCATCGCAGCTCGTACGAGATCACGGCCAAGTTGTTTTTCCTCGACGAGGTGGATGCGGGGTTGGTGGACGAGGCGCTTACGAGGCTGACGCGCACAACGGGCATCATCACCATCGACACGCTCGTGCTCTCGTTCCCCACGCTTGATCTCGACTCGAAAACTTCCACATCGACTGACGCCATTGGCAAAGTTGCAGAGGTGTGGGGGCATGTTTCGCAAAACCCGCAGCTGTTTTCGCTGGGTCTGGCCGACATTTCACCGTCGAGCTTGGATGCATTACTAGGTTCGCTCGATCCACCGGTTCAGCCGCCATCGATGCCGCTGTTCTCGCCTGCCATTCCGCTGTCGAGTACGACGGATGCTGCGTCGTCCAGCACAGCTGAACCGGAGCAGGCATCGGGCGATGTGGCTTCCGAGGACGTATCGACGGAAGGTACGTTTTGGAACATGGAGTATTCGCTCGTCAGCAGCGCACGCAGACCACGACTCGTGTCGATCAATGTCAAGCAGGACCCGTGTGCGTTCGATCGGCAGTTCAGCCAGTACTGCGCAGGTATGGGCATCCAACTCGTAGCACACAGTGATAGGCGCGATGTTCTGCCACAAAGGACTCTTCCTGCGCTTATGGACGAGTTCGAACACAAGATGCCAAAGAAAGCACCGAAGGCGTTGAGGCCAAAGTGGGCTCTCAAGTATACCACCCTCATCAGGGATAGGGGAGTGCTGGCGGATAAAGGTTATATCGTCTACGTAGCTGCCGAGTAGCGCTCACATTCCCACACCTCGTATCTAGACTGTCTACGTCGCTCGCCACACCAGCGCATCCTCATTCTCTCTCATCACCACCGCCAAGAGCCACGTCGTGACACTCGTTCAGTTGACTTATCACAATACACACACCGCACCGCACCGCAATGCACACTCTTTGCTTCTGGGGGACACTTGCATTGCTCACACGTCATCCGTGCGCGCACGTTTGACCGGACTCTCGACGCCCGCATCCCTCGCCGCGTCCGTCACGACCTCTGGCATCCTGACCTCGCCATCCCACCCGTTTGCCCCCTCCACTTGCTCCGGATTCTGTTCGATGACTCTGCAAATAGGATCTACGAGCTGCACATAATCCTCGCGGACATACGTGACCAAGTACGGCGTGGCGCCCGAACTGTCGCGCAGCACGCTGCCGAGCGAAGTCGACGTGACTGCCGAGTCGTTGTACTTGAACCACTTGTCCTCCTTGCCCCCACGCAGATTCAAAAAATAGTGGCCGTGACTCGCTTCGCCCCGATGCATGAAGACCGCCACCAACCGGTACGTGTATCGCTCCTCGCCTGCCCAGATTGCGGCCATCTCGCTCTTGAGCGCCGCGATCTCGGATTTGGCTTGCTCCATCTGCTCGCGCAGCACCTGCGCCTCGTCGCGCAACAACGTCGCCAGTCCCGCATCTACCAGTCCAGACACCCCAGTCTGCACCTCCGTCTTGACATCGGGAGTGTCGGGGGTGATGGATATCGTGTCCACGCCGGCGTCGGCAATTTGCTTGGCGCGCGATCGAGGCGAAACCGCCGGCGGCACATCCGCATCTCCACGCCGAGCCGCTTCAGCCTGAATGTCTGCCAGCTGCGCTTCGACATCGGCGAGCGACGGCAGCCTCGCCAGCTCCTCCACCGTATTGGCAGCCTGGCTGAGCGTCTGCGTCAGCGTCGACGCTCCGTCCCTGCACGCTGCCAGATGCGCACGCAGCTCCTCGATCCTCCTTCGCTTGGCCTGGTACTTTTCGCGCATCGCCAGCCGCGGCGCGTTCTCGGGATCTTTGGCGTCCAGATCCATATACCGGTCCATGTAGAGCACCTCGGGCATGTCGAGGTGCGCCTGCGACTTGAACGCGCGCATCGTGGCGCGGTCGTACTGCACGCGCTGCAGCTGGATCTGCAGCAACGGCGGCGCCGACAACAACGTCACCGACCTCCTCTGCACCGCCCCCGACGTCGCCACAAACGTGTCCGAGTCAAAGAAGCCGTCAAAGCCGTCATAGATGTCGCGCCCTTCCTCGAGCACGTCGATGGGCACGATCTTGAACACTTCGTGCTTGATGTGCATGCTTGGCTGCTTCACCTGCTGCGGTCGTCCGCCTCGGTCTGCAGAGCCATCAGCTGCAACACCGTCCGCCTCGATCCGCTGGCACGTCTGGCCCAGAAACAGCCTCGTGAGAAGGTCCTCACCCGTGCTGTCGCCCGACGACGCAGCACCAGTCGAGCCGGAAACCCGTGGCCCATCGTCCACGTCCATGCCGTTGCTCGCATTGGAAGCGCCATCTTGACCGACGGCTAGCGCAACTTCGAGCTGGAACATGCAGTTGTCCAGGCACTCGGACACATCCTGCTGCGCGCCCAGCTGCATCAGCGAGTTGCGGCGAGCCGGTGGCGGAACGGCTGGCGCGGTGGGCTTGCGTGCTGGACGAGGCGGCAGCGGAGGCGCGCGCGACGCTGCTGGCTCCAGCGGATCAGGTGCCGCTGCAGCTGAAGTCTCTGGCCCGTCACCAGTGATGTCCATCGATTCGCCAGCATCGACCGTCGGCGCGGATATCGCTTCTGGCTCAGCAACGTCGGCGGGCGCCGCTTCGGTCGTCTCCGCCGTGACGGAAGGCGGTTCCTCGGTCTGTGCCTCCGTGAACGGATTGCTCTCAGCCTCGAGCTCCTCGGCGCGCGAAGACACGAGGGCAAGATACGCGAGCTCACGCTCGGGCCGCACCGACAGCGCATTGGCGTAGATGAGATGATGGAAGAGCTGGGCCAGCTGAGCAACGAAGCGCCTGCTGCGCTCGAGCTCGCGCGGTGTGATGCGCTGGCCGCCCACTCTCCGTTCCGACACCACTGCAGAAAGGCTGTCCTGCTCTGCTTGAACGACTGGCGCGACCCGGAGCACGCGCGATCGGATCTCGGTGATCGAGAAAAAGTACTGCAGGACCGAGTTGAGGTAGCAGGTATTGCCGATGTTGTCGATGCCCGCGGGCACGTCTGCGGACGGCATCTGCTGCCAGCCCTCGTTGGCCGCGGCATCCTTCTCGCCAGTCTTGAGAAAGTGGCGCAGGTAGTTGCTGTTGCGATCCTCGGCGATGGCACGGAGCGCATGGCGGAGCAAGTCGCGCCGCGCCGGTGCGTCGGCAATGTAGAGATCGTAGATGGCGAGGAGGGTGGCGTCATCGAGATCACGATTGGCATCGAGCGTGGTGTAAGCCTGATCCACGTCCATGTCGACATCCTCTTCGAGCACCTGGACAAGGGTGGGCGGCATGCCCAGATGGGCGATGATGATCTTGAGCGCGTCCTTGACGGCGGCGTGCTCGGCGACATCAGCATTGACGAGCACCTCGCGGGCGCGCGCCTTGTACTGGCCTGCGATAAAGTCGTGCGGAATGCTGTCTCGTTCTACGTCCGGTCCGAGATGGTTCGAGGTGAGATTGAGACGCTCATAGGCCTTGTCGAGGTCGCGAGGCGAATATTTGCCCTGGCTGCGTTCGTACGCGACGAGTTCCTGAATGACGCGGGAGGTGCGTCGCTGCGCTTCGTAGACCTCGTCGAGGCTGGCAAAGAGATCAGCTGCGTGCTTGGGATTGGCCTCAAGATTGACGAGGTAGCCAAATTTGACGAGCTCGTCTCGCGTGGTGCTGGAGACGCCGAGCGCAAAGAGGGCGGCAAGCGTGTCGTTGGAGAGGTCGCGATTGAGGCTCATATCGAGGTGATCGCGCTGCTCGCGGATCATCTCGATGACCGACTCGGATGCAGACTCGACCTTGAGTTGGGTCGCCAGGGTGGGCTCCGTGTTCTGCAAGAGCGAGGAAGCGGGTTTCGTCTTTTGCAAAGCCTGGAGGTGGAAGGCGAGCCACACATGGAGCTCGAACCAGGCGCGAATGTGTCGGTGTAGTACAACGTCATCGCTGGATGTTGTCGAAGGAGCGTCCACTGGAGCCGACTTTGGAGCAACCAACGGCGGTCGGATGGCGTTGCGGCCATCGGGCAGGCGATCCTCTTTCCAGCCGAGGTCGAGGAAGATCTGACGAGAGTGCTGGTCCCAGCCGAGCTTCTGGGTGACCATGATGCTGGAGGTGGGTGCGGGTCGTCGCTCTCCATGGACAAAGTTGCCGATGATGCGCAAGAGGACGCGCAGGGCACGGACAAAGGTCTCGAGACCGGTGAGCCCGACGGCAGGATCGTTTACGCGCGACTCTTTGAAGCGGGAGAGCACGTGGCGGTCGATGACGGAGACGATGGTGTCTGGCGGGGTGGAGAGGAGCCGCCTGCCGGTGATCCAGCACTTGTGCATGTTGAACTCTTCGATGACAGGCAATGTCGCCTCGGGATGCTGGGCGTCCCATTTGTCGAGCAGACGAATGGGGTGGAGCTGCTCTTGGGGCGGTATTGACGTGGGCGCCGTCTCGAAGACGGATACGGAGTTTGGTGGCAAGTTGCAGACGTCGAACAGGTGGGAAGCGTCATAGACGGCAAAGTCGGGGAGTGGGGTTCGATAAACGTCGGACTGGTCGAGGATGACGCGCCACTCGAGCGTCTCTGCCACGAAGAGGGCGCTGGGATGTGGCAGGCATGCCTGGATCTCGGTGAGGGAAGGGGCGGGGACGCTGTCGGTGCTAGACGCTGCAACTGCTTCGGCGGGCTGTGTGGGCGGCGAGGGCTGCGAGGGCTCGCTTTCGCGGTGGGCTGTGATCTTGCTGAGGCTGAGCTGCGGGTTGAAGAGCAAGCCGGACTCGTGCAAGGCGGTGGGCAGGAGAAGGTGGAAGGTGCCGACGGGCGTCGATTTCGACCTGTCTGGTAATGCTGCTGCCGAGTCGGGGCCAGCCTCGTTGTATGCGTACTCTGGAGGCGGCGAGACGGGGACGTCCCAGCCCGTTATTGTGGGTGGGAGAGGCTCCAATTTGGTGCCGAAGGGCACGCTAGAGTCTTGGCCAAAGACCTTCTTGTGGTCCTCCTCGTTGATGGTGATGTCGACGGGAGCGCTGTCTTCTGCAGCAGCATTTGCGGTAACATTGTCGACGATGCTGATGGGCTCAAAGTCGCCGTGCTGATCGCCTCCCATCGTGGTGGTGTGCACGGCACGGCAGCCGCGGTCGATGTTGTGGGTTGGAAAGACCGCGCTGTATTCCTGTGCTTGCTCGATGTCGGCGACGCAAGGATGATGTGGAAGGAGAAGAAGAAGCAAGTTGGGAAGCACCGCTTCGTTTTGCTGCGCTTTTCGACTCGAAGCCACGCAACCGAGCCAACTAAGCTTTGGCTGGCTGGCCAGCAGCAGCAGAAGCAGGTGGAGGCCAGTGCGCGTTTTTTGGGGATCGATCGGGGTGCCGATTCCGAGATGGGCTCGGCTTCTTGATCACACGCTTCGCCCCACCGCGAGAAGAGGTGAGGAACGCACAACGCACGATCCAGCTCGCACTTGGTCCTTCCACCTTACCCACACGCTTGCTGTTGCTCCAGCAACCTTGCTTGCTCCCCACCACCGTTTCATTTGCACCCGTGCGATCATTCTCAGGATCCCCTGTGGACGCTTCCACTCACACGGCGACTGCGAAACGGTTCGACATCGCCCCTAGGCCATGGCCTCGACTCGCGCGATGGGCAGCCAGGCTGAGCCACACACACAGGCACAGTACGCCGACGCTCTTCAGCTCGATGAGGCGAGGCTCCAGGCGGCTACCTCGTCCGATCAGGGCGAGGTGTTCGTCATCGAATGGCTCGCCAAGGCCGAGCACGCGCTTGCCAACGCCGATGTCGACACCATCAAGTCCGTCCAGTCCGCCTTCGAAGCCGCCGTGCTCAAGCTCGCGTGTCCAAGCGTCACTTTTGGCAAGGGTGACGAATCTGCCATCGTAGTCGCAGCCAACATCGCGATTCCGCGCCCAGGACGGCCCACCCGCCGCCTCCTCGCACGCTGTGTCCTCCTCCTCTTCCGTCGCATCGACTCGCGCTCGCTCTTCGACATGCTTCAGAACCTCCTTCGTGTCGCTGGCGAAGAAACAAAGGGCAAGACTGCCGAGCGCGAGGTCCGCGTCGCTGCTCTTTACATCCTCGGTGAGGTCTTCGGCGCGCTTGGCCAGCAGATCATGTCGCTATTCAACGAGGTCGTCATCGTCACACAGAGAGTGTTCAAGCAAGCAAGCCATCCCGTCATCCTCCGCTACCACGCCCTCCTCACGCTCCAAAAGACTCTCCAGGTCGCAGGAAAGAGTCTCGGAGATCAGTCCGGCAAGGATCTCATCAAGGCGCTCCGTCAGGCGCTCGCAGATCGCGCCGGCGCCGTCGTGCGTGGAAGCGCAGAATGCCTCCTCGCCGTCGTCCAGAATGCGCAGCTCATCACAACGCGCAACGAGGTCGAGACGCTCCTCGCTCCAGCGCTCAAGAGCATCGAGTCCGCCGACTTTGTCACCAAGCGCGCGCTCAGCCGCACCATCGCCGGCCTTCTCGCCGCCACCCAGATCGAGCAGGCGCCTCCCGCTCCGCCAACCACAAAGAAGACCGCCAAAAAGAACAAGGACGGCGCACAGGCTGGTGACGACGATTCCGACGACGACGATGCCGTCGTGTCAGCTGCAGCCGCCGCCGCCAGCGCGCCTCGCGCCATGATGACGCCCGTCGGCATGCTCGACCAGCTCTCGCTTCCCTTCCTTCGAAGCTCATCCAGCCGCAAGACCCGCGCTGCGCTCCTCGACGTCTACGCCACCCTCTTCGAGTCTCTGGGTGCCTCCTGGGTCGTAGCAAACTACACCGTCATCCTCAAGCATCTCATCGACGACCTTCCCAACCACTCGCGCGGTTCTTCGCTCAGCCGCGCAGACGTGCTCAACGTCCGCACCGGCGTCACCGTCATCCTGCGCAAGCTCGTCGGCGAGAGGATGCTCGGCGAGCAGGCTCAGGTTCTCGCCATCCAGGAGATCTCGATCAACTATCTCAAGAGGTGGCCCGCCGTCATGCCGGATCAGCAGCCTCCGTCCAAGACCACCCTCACCCTCGCTCTCGCAGAGGTGGCCGGCTTGCTCGTTCAGCTCGGAAGCGTTCCCCCGCAGGTCCTCGACGTCGCATACGACCCCCTCATCCGCTGCCTCGCCCACCCCAGCCACTCGGTCCAGACCCACGCCGCCTGGTGCCTCAAGACCCTCTGCCAGGTCGCACCCATCCACCTCTCCTCCACCCTCACCGCCGTCTTGGAGTTACTCAACCGCGACCTCACCACCCTCACAAATGGCTCGGCCTCGGTTGGCGCCGCACAGCTCTCCAAGCGCGCAAACGGACACGCCAAGGGTCTCGCCGCCCTCATCAGCATCGTGCCTCAACGTCCACTCTACACCTCCTTTGCCATCAGCTCCAAGGTGCTCTCCCTCGCCATCCAGCTGCTCAAGAACAGCGGCAACCACGACCTCGCCGTTTCCTCCGTCGAGATCTCGGTCGCCTGGACCCTCATCGCTTCCCTCATGTCGCTCGGGCCCAACTTTGTCCGCCTTCACCTTCCGCAGCTGCTCATCCTCTGGCGCAACTCGCTGCCCAAGCCAACCTCCAAAGACACCGCGCCAGCGCCTTCCACGCGTTCGGACGCAGAGTCGGCCTTCCTCCTGCACGTCCGAGAGAGGACGCTCAGCTCGATTCTCGCTTTCCTTCTGCACAACGGCTCGACACTAGTCACGCTCGACACGGCACGACGCATCGTCGCCCTGCTCAGCAACGCGCTCGCCTTTGCCGATGGTTTCGTGGCCCAGAACCCGCACCTTCTGCAGGAACACACGCCGGGCGCAGGTCGCTCTGCGCTCTCGTTGCTCGATCGCGAGTTCCTGCTTCGACGCCGTCTCTTCCAGTGCCTTGGCGTGCTTGCTCAGAACCCGGCCATGGAGCCCATGCAGGCCGGTCTGATCAAGTCCACCATCCAGGTGTTTGCCGACCCGGATCGCTACGTTGGCAGCTCCGCACAGGCGGCCATCGCCGCGAGCGCCGGCAACTTCACCAGCGTCTGGGAGATGGCCGACGGCTACGCGTTTGGCGTCACCAGCTTGCAACGCGACGCCGAGACGTTTGTCTCGGATCCCGTCGATACGCTCAACGCATGCAGCGCCACCGCCCGCATCGATCTGCTCAATCGCGATCTGATCGAAGTGCAGCTCGACGCGCTGCAACGACGCCCCGTGCTCGGTGCGGCCGAGCACGACGAGCTCTTCCTCTACTCGGCGGTCCGTCCGTCTTCGACCAGCCAGACTTCCACCGACCTGAGCCGTCTTGGTAGTCACTTGGAGCTGCGCGAGTCAGCGCGTTTGTCGCCTTCGGCGGCCACGGGCGTCGTCGATGCCGCCATCCAGCTCTTTACTGTGCTGCTCCCCTACCAGGAACGCGACGTCCAGGTGGCGGCCATCGAGGCCATGCTCGCCCACACCAAGAGCACGAAACTCGACAGAAATCCGGGCCGCAAGCAGGCGATCCAGGTCAACGTCGTCGTCGCCATCCTCGGTGCGCTCCGTGTGGCTGTTCAAGGAGGAACGGGCGCCAGTGGCAAGCGACCCGGTGGATTCAACAATGACCGTCTCAGCGCATCCATCAAGGACCTGCTTCAGGAAGCGCTTCTGCAGGCAGACCCAGCTCTGCGCGCGGCGGCGAGCGAAGCGTATGGCAAGTTGGCGGCTGTGGCGGGCTCGCAAGCCTTGTCTAGCCAGGTGCAGTTCCTCGTAGACCAGATCGTGGGCAACCGCGACCCGGATGCGCGAGCCGGATGCGCACTTGCCTTTGGCTCGGTGTACAAAGAGGTCGGTGGTCTCGCCGCCGGCCCGCTCACCAAGACCATTGTCAATGTGCTCATGTCGCTCTCGAACGATCCTCATCCGACGGTGCACTACAATGCGCTCGAGGCGCTTCACGTCGTAGTCGACTCGGCCGGTCTGAGCTACAGTCCGTACGTGGCGAGCACGCTGGGGATGCTCGTCAAGCTGTACATGCTCGACACGCACGAGCCCGAGGGAGGCAGTGCGGGCTCGGTGAACCTGCGCGCGGATCTGCCGGCGCACCAGGCGGTGTGTCGCGTGGTGAATGCGCTCATTGGCGTGCTGGGTCCCGACCTGCAGGAATCGGCGCGCGTGCGCGGCCTCATCCACTGCCTGCTCTCCGAGTTCGCGCACGAGAGCGATGCCGGCGTCGTGGTGGAGTCGACCAAGGCGCTGCAGCACTTCAACCTGTTTGCGGCGCAGTTTGTCGACATCGCCAAGTGGATCGCGCAGCTGCGCACGCAGCTCAACGGCAAACAGCGCACGCTCAAGCTCGCCGCCACCACGGCCTTCTACCAGCTGGTGCAGCGCGAGGCGCTTGCCATGAGTCGCATCGGCGGCGACCAGCTCGTCGAAGAGTTCTTTGCGCAGCTCGACGAGGATCCCAAGCTGGACGGCGCGCGCGAGGTGATCATCAGCTGGCTGCACAAGACGGCCGATCTGGCACCCAGCGGCTGGATCGACCTGTGCCAGCGCATCATGTCTTCCGCGCCGGCTCGCCAGACGCCTTCGGACGCCAGCAAGCGCAAGGATGCACAGCCGAGTCTCGCCACCATGCTGCAGGATGAGGAGGCGGCGACCATCGACCTGGGCGCCGACACGAATGCAGTCAAGCTCAACGCGACCGGTGGCAGCCGTTGGCGCACGCAGCTGTTCGCGCTCCAGTGCCTGCACCAGGTGTTTGTGACGGTGCGCAATGCGGGCAAGCACGAGCACTTCAGCACGCCGTCGGGCGCAAGAAACGACGCGGCTTCGCCCCAGCGTCGGCTGCTGATGAGCAGTCGCGTCGTCGACCTCATCCGCATGGCATTCACCGCCAGCACATCGGCCAACATCGAGATCCGGCTCGAGGGCCTGGTGGTGCTGCGCGACGTGATTGAGGCGTTCAAGCTGGCGCGCGATCCGGACTTTGAAGAGGCGCTGCTGCTCGAGCAACACCAGGCGCCCATCACCGCCGCGCTGACGCCGGCGTTCCTGGCCGACTCGACACCCGAAGTCCTCGCCGCCGCCGTCGAGGTGTGCGCGGTGTTCGTGTCGTCCGGCGTGATCAAGGAGGTGAGCCGCATGGGGCGGATCCTCAAGCAGCTCGTGTCGGCGCTCGACAGCTGCATGCAGCCGAGCATGGCGCAGCTGGGCGATGTCAAGGATCTCTCGCAGAACGCCAATGCCATGCTCAAGATCGCCGTCTTCACGGCGTGGGCCGAGCTGCAGACGGCGAGCGCGACGCAGAGCTATCTGGTGGACGTGGTCAAGCCGCACGTGGCGCGCGTCGCGCCGTACTGGATCGCGTGTCTGCGCGAGTACGCCAAGATCCGCTCCGACCCCGAGATGGATGCGGGCGGCGCACCCGGTGGACCGGGACCCTCGATCAACGCCAGCCTCGACTCGCAGTACGCCGGTCTGGCGCGCGAGGTGGTGCTGCCGTACCACGAGCGCTCGTGGCACAAGATCCTCCAGGCCGTCACGGGGCTTCTTTCCGACAACGACGCCGTCGTGCTAGCGGCCATGGATGGCGGCACGAGTCCGGCGCCGGCGGGTGCGCCACCCAAGGCACGCAGCGAGCCTTGTCTGTTCTTCTTTGTGCTGTACGGACTGGCGTTCGAGGCGCTCGCCACGCGGTCGTCGACGAGCATCGAGACGGCGCACGAGGGGCAGGTGCTGCGCATCTCGCTGCGCGCCATGACGGCGCTGAGCAAGCCGCCGGTGGCGGGCACGGCGCTTCTGCAGGAGGCCCTCTTTTCGGAGCTGTGCAATCTGTGGTATCGGCTGGTGATGACCGAGCCGCCTGCGGTGCAGATCTCGGTGCTCGAGACGATCGGAGGCATGGCGGCATCGTACGGCAAGCTGCTGCTGTCATCAGACGACGAGGCGGCGGCCGAGGCGGGCAAGTTGCCGGGCGAGGCGAAGCTGAGCCAGTGTCTGCGCGTGGTGGTGTGTGTGCTGCAGCACGTGCGCACCGCGCGCGGCACGGTGGACGACAAGGCGGCGCTGCTGCGCGTGGCCTACTCGGCGTACATCGGCATCGTCGGTCTGTACCCCAAGGCGGTGCAGGAGGATCTGTTTGCGGTGGGCTTCTACACGTATGCCGAGATGCTGCGCGACGAGACGTCCGAGCACGACATTGTGGGTGCGGCGTTGAGCCCGCTCAAGGACCTGTGTGAGCGGTCGGCCAAGTCGGTCAAGCCGGGAAGCGATGTGCTGCAGCGAGCGGTGCATGGATTTTTGTCGCAGGCGCTGCAGCATGTGGACGACCTGCGCACACGCTCGGGCCGTGTGGCGCTCAACAAGACCAAGAACAGCCTGCTGGCGGTGGTGGTGGTGCTCACCTCGATCCCGGTCAACGTGAAAGTGTCGCAGGCGGTGGCAGAGCATGCGTGCTACCTGATTGTACAGAAGCTGCTGCGCTTCGAGGAGGAGGTGGAGCAGTGGCAGCAGACGCGCAGCGAGGATGCACTGCCCGAAGGCGTCGAGGAGATCGGACTGACCGCGGTCAATTGTGCGCGCACGGTGGTGCTGGCTTCGTCGCGCGGCAATGCAGCGCTGCTGTACTGCGTCGGACAGCTGCTGCCGGGACTGATCGAGTTCATCTGCCGTGCAGGGCCGTTGGTGGCATCCTCGGCCGCCGGAGCACGTACGCCACTAGCCGCGCTGCGCGGAGCGGTCGAGGACGTGATCAAGACGTTCTCAGGCCTCGTAGCCACGCTTCCCGCCGAGGGTGACTTCCGTGCACGCGCGCTGGGGATCATCATGCCGACGTTGCTGGTGCTGCTCTCGCCCTCGGCGGCTGCGGGCACGCCCGGTGCGGACATGCACGTCTTCACCACACGCCAGCTCATCACTCTCGCCGCGCAGCATGCTGCGGCGTTCAAAGAAGCCACCGCCGCCCTGGCGCCCGAGCGCAGGACCGCCCTCGAGACCGCAGTGAGGGCCCAGCTGAGCGCAGGCACACAGCCGAGTGCCAGTGCACCGGCGGGCGGCAAGAAGGACCAACAGGCTTCCATCGCACTCAAGTCGTTCGGCGCCTAGTTTTGCATTCATAGAGAAGGGAAATGCTACAACATGATCGAGACCCGCTGGTCAGAACAGTCGGAACGCCGACATGTCTTGTGGGTCTGATGCAGCCTGCTTTTCTTCCTGCACAGGCGCACCGGTCTCGGTCTCGGCTTGCACCGCAGGTTGAGCGGCTGCTTGCGGCTCCTTACCGTCTGCTTTTGTTTCCGCCGCTTCTGTTTCGGCTTTGCCTTGTACGAGGTTATCGGCGACCCTACCGTGTGCGTCGCCTTCGTTTGTCTGCGCCAGAGATTGGAGGTTCAGCTTCTTGAACCTGTTGTAGTCGCGGACGACGCTGATGGCCGCTGCGTTCTTGACGACCTCGACGACGATCCACAGATCCGGCTCGGTAAGGTTGGCATTATGGATCCTCCTCCTCTCGCCTCCCTCGCTCTCGGGGTCGGCGGTGGGGATGTTGGCGGCGATGGTCTGTATGACGTCGTTGCGCTTGAGCTGCGAATGAGAGCGGATGCGCGGGTCGATCTTGAACGTTCTCCCCTCGCTCTCGTTTGTGCCGAAGAAGCCGGGCAGCACGGTGCGCGCGAGGTCGGCGAGCGCAGTGGCGTTGGCGGGACACGTGGTCGAAACGGGCGTGAGGCGCTGCACGAAGCGCGAGCGCGCGACGCCCGTCGACTCGACCTCTTCCAGCAGCGTGTAGGTGAGCAGATACGGGTCGAAGGGCGGAGCGACCGAGATGAAGACCAGACACTCGGTGTCCGTCTCGACACTGCGGAATCGCACCGCCTTGCCTCCGAGGCCACGCCGACGCTCGGACGACTTGATATCGCGCAGCTCTGCCGCGATCTGCGCCTCGATGTCGCCATCCCCTGCCTTGTCTGCCTTGTCTTCCTTCGCGATAGTCTCGGTCTCAGGGGCCTTGGTTTCGACGGCCTTGGTTTCGGTGCTGGATGATGCGGCGGCGCCATTGCGAAGCGCGTCCATGTCCTCTTCATCGTCAGCATCGCCTACTGGAGCAGCACTTGGCTCAGGGATGGGCTGCGGTGCAATGCCGGGGTAGAGTCGGTCGGCGAGCTCGTTGAGCATGTCGATGAACTGGAGCGCCGCTTTGCGTTCCTTGCCCTGCACACACGTCACAAAGATGCCGGGCCCCGAGATGTTGCGCGACGGGACGCGGTAGACCTGGTTGTACGCAGGCTTGGAGCGCTTGTACCCGCCTGCGTCCGCCGGAGCATCACGGTTGAACCCGGGGCCAGAGCGTTTGCGTTTGGAAGGCATGGCCGATGTGTGCTTTTGCTTTTGGTGGTTGTGGGTAGCAGGAAGAATGCCAGAAGGGCCGTCCGAGAAAAGTGAGAATTTCCGGCAGAGGACGAGGGAAGTCGGAAGTCGGAATACGGGCGGTCCCACCGAAGCCCCAAAAAGTTACTCTTCTTTGCTCTCACATCTGGCGGGTGTGAGTGGAGGAGGATGAGGGCTTTGACACATTGCCCTCACTCGACCCACCACCACCATCACCGCCGAGGGAAGCGGGGTGGACTTCGGCCATGGACTTGAATCAACAGCGCGACGATCCGCACGGCGTGCAGAGGCTGCTCGATATTCTGCGGCGCCAGCAGGATGCCTCCTCGTCATCAGCCGCTCCACCCTCCAACCCGTTTGCTTCAGCATCGCAGCCCGAGGCAGACGCACACGCCTCGTCGGACGCGGCTGCACAGCGTCGTCGCGCCTACGCCTCGTCGTCCTCAGCGTACACACCCGCAGAGGCGCCCTTCGATCCGTACGCGTTCAACCCGTTCAGCGCTGCCAACCCCGTCCTCGACGCGCCTCCGACCGTTCCGCCGAAGAAGGACGCGCCACGCGACCTGGCGTCGCTGAGCTTTGCCGAGTCGCTGCCGATCCTGTCAGGTCTCGCTGCGGATGCGGGGCTTATGCGCCGGCTGAGGGTGCTGCGCACACAGCAGCGCGAGCTCGAGCGCCGGCTCGCCAAGGAGTACCAACAGTTCGCAGCGACCAAGGAGCGCCAGTACCCGCACGTCAAGCAGCGCAAGGAGGAGGACCACCGCCGGCGCGCCGACGCACTTGCGCAGTGGGACAAGTGTCTGCAGGCGCAGCAGCACGAGCTCGCGCGCGTGGGCGTGCCCACCTTTGTGCCGACAACAGACAGACGCAAGGTCGAAACGCAGCGCAAGGTGCTGGCGGTCCTGGTTGATATGCTCGACGATCAAGAGCCATCATAGCAACACGTGCAACACACAAGTGCAACTGCCCAGAGTCTCACGGTTGTGGAAATTAAGCGATGGAACTGAGGGAAGGCTACGAGGTGGCGGAGCGCAGTGCATTGTGCAGCACGCGTTCCGAGGTGCGCAGCACGCTAGGCGGGGTGTTGAGCGACGACATGAGGTAGATGACGTTGCCCAGCGGGCGCGCATGCACGTTGTACGGCAGAGTCTCCTCATCCTCCGGCTGCTGCGTGGGCACACTGGGATGGCCCTGGCTGGCCGACTTTGCGTACCGCAGCTTCTTGAGCACATCCACGGCCGCAGTCGAAGTGTATCCGCCCTGGTTGTCTTTAATCGCCACCTTGAGGACGCAGCCCATGGCGACAGCATGATCGACTCCCTCCAGCGCCGTCAGCTCCTCCACCGCATCCTTGGACCAGAACGACCAGACGCCCTTCTCCCCCGCCTGCCACTGTGCCCGAGCCTGCTTCCAGTCAGACGACTGCTTGAGCGTCTCGATCGCACTGAGCGTCTCGATCGCCACCGCACAGCCGATCGGATGCGCCGTGTAGCTGTGTCCGTGCAGCAGCGCATCGACCTTGGAGTCGGAGCGGTTGAACACGTCAAAGATGGCCGAAGACGCAAGCGTGACCGACATGGGCACCATGCCTCCCGTGAGGATCTTGGCGAGCACCGAGATGTCGGGCGTAGTTCCCAGCACCGATGCGGTCGTGCATGCACCCAGACGATAGAGCCCCGCGAACACCTCGTCAAAGATCACGGGGATCCCCTGCCACCCTTCCGCAGCGACGGCGGTGGATGACGAGAGTGGGGGGTCGGTGAGCGAGAAGAGGTCCTGGCTGGCACGGCACGTGTCGATGAGCACACGCTGGAAGAGCGGGTCGACAAACACCATGCCGCCAGCACCCATGACGAGCGGCTCGAGCACGAGCGCGCCAAACTTGCGTCCCTGCTCCTTGGTGAGCCTGCGCAGCGTATCGCGGATCGAGTCGGTGTAGAACTGCACCAGCGGATCGTTTGCCTTGAGTCGGGCCTCGACGTCGTACACCTCTTGCATTGACGAGTAGGTGCGTTCGAACACGGCCCCTTCGGCACCCTTAAGCTCGTTGGGCAGGTGGAGCGTGCGCATGCGGTCGGCAAGGTCCCTATCCGCCACCTGGAGCGAGATGGTCACACTTCCTGCGCTGCGCTGTTCGACGGTGGGAGGGTCGAACCAAAAGCCTCGGCCGCGGTACCAGTGCACGGCCTCGCTGTACACGCTCGGCTCGCACGCATCCATGGCGCCAATCGTATCGCCATGGTAGCTGCCCTTAAGCCCGAGCACCTCCCACTCCTGCTTGGGTCTGCCACCCCTATACCCCGGTTGCTGGCCCGGCTTGGCCTTCTCCGCCGCCCTGTCGCTCGAGGCCTGCACGCCATAGCGCGCAATCGACGCCTGCAGCGCCATCTTGAGCGCCACCTCCATGCCCGTACTTCCGTCGTCGCTGAAAAACACCCTGTCCGCCCATGCATACCCTGGATTCGTCTGGAGCGAAGCCTCGGCGGTGGTTTTGCCCGTGAGCTGTTCTGCGAGCTGGAGGGCTGGTTCGTGCGTGCCGTTGGGGAAGAGCACATGTCCGTATCGTCCCGCCGCATGCGCTGCGGCCGTCACGAGTCGCTGGGGTGCATGTCCCAAACACTGCGTCCACCAACTTGCACTTCCGTCAAACACGGGCTGCAAAAGTCCCCCGCCACCTCCGCTGCTGTTGGCGGGGCGTTGGTCGAGCATGCTGAAGAAGTCGCCGTAGGCGCTGTCGATCACGTTGACCTCGGCGTTGGTGCGCGTGAGCTGGTGCTGGGTGAAGGGCCACCAGCACGTGTCGCGCGTGCGCTGCGCCATGCTGCCCAGCTCGCGGATGCGCGCTGCGTGTCGCGAGCGCAGGTGTCGCACCACACCGTACACTCCGTCCGCGCTTTCTTCCGCCGACTCGGGCGTGCGACCCCTGACGAGCCCCTGGTAAAAGCGCGCCATGGCTGCACGGTCGGCAGCACTGTCGACGTTGCGCGTGGGTGGCGGACCGTACGTGTGGGAATCGTTCGGACCACCCAGACCAAACACGGGGATGTTGTGTTCGTCAGCAAAGAACTTGCGCAGGTACTCGACGTTGCCGTAGCGCGGCGAGGGGAAGAGCAGCACCGCCTCCACGTCGTATCCTGCCACCAGCAGGCTTTCGAATGCGGACCTTGTGGTGCTAATCCCCCCGAGCTCAGCCGATCCCACGAGCACCGTCGGCATCCTCAACGGACGCAGAAGATGCGACTGGGACAGCCCGCTCGGACCGGGAGAATGCACGCCGCCGGCCGTCTCGACGTACGCCACTGCGCCCTCGTGCTGTGCTGCCGCAGCAGCGTGGATCCAGTTGCCGACGTCGCGCACAAACTCCTCGTCGCTAGGCGGTGCAGGTTCCTGTCCCGTCTCCCGCTCCGCCAGCTTGGCGCGACGCTCGAGCTCGACCGCAAGGTGCGGGCTCACCGGTTCGGTGAACCTGTACAGCGTCTTGTACTGGGCACGCGGCACGTAGCGCGACACGTGTGCATCGTCGGCGTCCGTCAGCGCACCCGTCGAGACCGGCTTCAGATAGTGCACGCGCTCTCCCAGCCCCTGTGCCGATGCCGCAAACACATCCTCCGGCCCCGCCGAGGTGGAGCCGAGCGGCAGCGCCGACGACGCCAGACACAGCGCCGTCGTAAAGATGGTCTTGCCCACATCGGTGTTTGCGCCAAACACCTGGTGCAAGCGCAGGTGCGGGTACAAATGCGCCATCCCGGCCAAGTCTTCCGATGAGGGAGGTCGCTGAGAGAGAGAGAGAGATGGAGGTGTAGTCGATGGTCAAGAAGCAAAGATGAGCTTAGTCGAGCATGCTGCTGATCCCCAACAAACGCTCGCCGGTTCTTCTTGGCCCGCCTGAGCCGACAAATTCGGCGAAAGAGCTCTGCGCGGCAGACGCGCCTAAAAAAGGGCACCGGCAGCGAAGAGGCCGTGCGCAACGCGATACGCGCCCCAGCCGCCCCACCTTCCAAAGGCCGCGCGCCCTTCATCTCGCATCGGATCCAAAATCGGCCCCCTGCCATCCGAAGCCGAGTCATACCCGCAAAGCCCGCAGAAGGCCCCACCGCAATCGCCCCAACCTATCCAACAGTGCGCCGGGCCAGCCACACTTTCACCCCTAGCATGAATATTTACACTGAATCGAAAATTGAAGCGTCCGTTCTCGACGAGGAGCTGCCTGATCGCTAGTATGTACAGATCAAAACGAGACGCACAGTGTCAAAGCGCCGAACCTGCGGCCGTGAGAGAAAGCAAAGAATAAGAGGAAAGTCCGTGCCCCAGCTGCATCGTGGGCGATACGCATCACAGACGGACGAGCGGGGATGGTGCAGCACCAAAGGCGCGCATCGATCGGCATGGAAGCATCGCATCGAACCGAGACGAAGGCTGCAGCACGCGCAATTTCGACGCCGCGCCACGCGGCAACGCACGCAGAGCCGGTTGCAGGCCGACGTTCTCCTTTTCGTCCCCAACGTCGGCCGTGCTCTGCCGCGACCGGACGCGAATCGTCGTTGCTGCAGCTGAAGAAATCGCAAACGGCTTCATCGCGATCGTGGCAAATCCGTCTTCGTCCACGGCGATGCTCGCATACCGGTCCGCAGCGATGGAGACAGCCTTCTGCAGCCCCATCGCAACCGCGTGCTCCTTGCCAAGCAGCGTCAGCAGCCGAAGGCAGTCGTCGTCCGACGCGATCGATACCTTGACTCGAGCGCCACCATGCTCGTGGACCCACGCATGCAGCGCCTCCAGCGGATCGTCGCTCCACTGCTCATCCGAGCTCGTTTCGCCGTCGCCGTCGTCCTGAGCGGATCCATCGGTGCTGGAGAGAGGAGCGCCCTCAACGTCGCGCCTAGGATCCACATCGGGATCGCGCGGCTCGGCTGCCGCTCGAGGCCGCGCAGGGAGGAAGCCACCGAGGCTGGTGCAAGCGGTGATTCGACGGATCGAGATGGTCTGGTCCGGCGGCGCATGCACCTCTGACCACGTGATGCTGTGCGCGCGGCGCGGTGGCGAACGACTGCGACCACGCACGGGAGCCTCGTCGGCCTCGTCCTTCTTCTTCGCAAACGGAGAGAAGGAGAACGAGGCGTTAAAGATGCCTTCACCGATGCCAACGCCCGTCCCAAACTTGGGCTCTTCGACGCTGCGTTTGCGCACGACGGGCGCGTGAATGGGCTGCGCCTTGTGTCCGTCAGGCTCTGTGGCCGCTGCGGCCATGTTGCGCCTCCCCTTTGGTCGATGGGGTCCGCGTTGACAGGCACTGAGCGTGTGGGACCAGTTGCCCCAGAATCCGGACGAGATGCTCCCAAAGATCTCAAACTCGACGCGCGCGCCGCGTGCAGTGTCGCGCGACACGGCCACCGCCCAGTCCGACGTACGGTCCTGGCCGTAGATGAGCGCCAAGTCGTCGATGCCGATCGCCTCGATGCGACCGTACGTGTCGTAGATCCACTTGTGGTGCGCCTTGATGTACGCCTTGAGCACGCCGAGGTACTTGAGCCGCGTGCGCTCGGTAGGATCGCGCGGGATGAGGATGGCGCCGTCTCCGCCCGAGCTCTCGAAGCCGATCTTGACACTGGCCGGGGTGCCTGGAACGGTGGCACCCACGTCGATGCCCAGACAGCGATAGTTGGACGACATGCGTGGACCCATGTCGAAGAGCTTGGGCACCTCCTGATCGACAGCCAGCGGCATGGGAGGGTATGGGCCCTCGGGCGGCGTATCTGAGCGGAGCTTACGGTGGGCGAATGTTGGAGATGTCTGCTTCATAGCGGCCGACAGAAGCGAGTCGGATGCTGCCGATCTGGACATGGGGACGGATGCCAGAGATGAGCCGACGCTCGACGTCGCCAACGATGAACGTCTGGACGATGCTGCTACTGCACCAGCAGCATGACTGGACTCGTCCAGGTCCATCCAGTCCGAGGCGTTGGAGCCAGCGCGTGAACGCTCGCGGGAGGCGGAGCGATCCGTCTGACGGGCGAGGCTCATGTCAGCCGCATCGGACAAGGCGGCGGGACCATCGACGGCATTGTAGAGGACGATGAAGGAGCCATCGCGAACGTAGCCGACGTCTCCAAGGCGGAGCGGGGACGGATTCCAGAGGGGCAGGCCTTCTCCCGCAGCGTACAAGCAGCTCGCGTAGATGTCGGCAAAGCTGGGCATAGAACCGACGGAGTGCAGGAAAGGAAGAATCGGTGTAGTGCGTCGTTACGAAGAGACCCAGCAGACTGCAAAGGCAGCCGTATGCGAGATTGATATGAGGTTTTTTGAGTTTTTTTTTGTTTGTTTTAGTGTGGGAGACGAGAAAGAAAAGGTGTTTGATGTATGAAAGATCGAGAGGCGGAAAGAAGAAGGGGGTGAAAGGATGACGTTGGGTTGACCACGTCCAACGTCTTTTGTGCTTACGCTGTGTCCGGCGCAAAGACACAAGGTGGGATGAGAGGATGATGATGAAGGTGTGGGTGTCTAGGAAGTATCCTCTATATGAGTTCGAGGAAGGGCGGATGGATGGAATGGTAGAGGTGGTGGTGGTGAGAGGAAAAGGCCAATGGCGGGTGGATGGAAGGCTTTGAATCACACTGTCGGCTGAGCCCGTGCGCTTAGGTTCGGCTGTGCGGCTGCGCTTCGAACCTTGATTGTGATGGTGAAGAGGCGGTGCACTGGATCGCTATGCGTCGCAGGGCCGGACTGTCTAGCACAACAGTGCGCCAGGGCTCTCGTCGTCGATATAGGCTGATTGTCACCTGCTGCGGCTACTGTGCACCACCTCGCGGATGGACTGGATGCCGAGCTCGATTGGTAGAGTTGGGAATGGCGCTGTATGGGAAGCACGGAGCTTTCGGCGCTAATGCGGCTCTGTCCAGGCGAGCGGGGAGCAAGAAGCGAGCGCTGAGTCGACAGTGCGATTGTGCTGGTGCTGGTGTACGGCCGTATGCACGGCGATGCACGCCCAAAGTGTTGGTCTGCGGATGCAGCGGCTGCAGCTGCGGAGCTGCTTGGCTTTGGCTCGGTTGCCTGCTGGGCTGGGCTGGGCTCAGTCGCGTTCGGTCGGCGAATTTTTTGGGGGCGCTTCGACACGCGTCCGTCGGTGTTGGTCTCAGCCGGCCTGCAGCCGAAGATGCAGAATGTGGAGGAATCGCCTCGCAGTCGAGTGACTGCAACGGTCTGGCTACGAAGCAGATCAGCTACGCCGACAGTCTCTAGACTTCGGGCAAGACCGGTTTCCTCCGCCGGTCGCGTAAATGAGGTGCGGACTTAAATGACGTGCAGAATCTGAAAGTGCAGTGGAGAGATGAAAGACGGTCAGTCCCGCAGATGAAGCAGCTCTTTTCTGGATGGCGCCACTCGTGGATGCGGGGGTATGCTCTTATACCATTGGACGCTCGATACATGCATTGGATGGATGCAGGCGCGTGCGGCATCGCTACTGCTATTCTCGACGTGGTCTCGATGGCAAATATGAGCACGGCTGCGGCGATATTCCCGCGACGCAGACTCGCCGTAAGCCCTAGCGAGAGTTGGTGTGCCTTGCCGACGGAAGAGCATCTGGCGACTCTCAGCCACTCAGTCGGGACAGTGCTAGAGGCTAGATCTCGCTCGTCGTCATACAGTGCAGACCTCTCAAGATCACTGCGGACCATGGCTGGTGCTGTCCATGCTTACCCCGCAGACCAACACGGCGACAGGGACTGAGCCTATTCCCCTTGCGCACACAAAGCTTTGTCGAATAAGCTTAGCTCCATCTTGATCGCGCGGTTGCGAGGGCAGGCTATGCAGACCAGAGCCACTATCCACTGGAGCATCCGCTGCGGGTGACGACGGTGTCGCGTCGCACTCGACCCCTCATTGCGTCAGAGTCCCCACCAAGGCGGCCCTCCCGCTCTCTGTAAACTTTCTACGATCACTCAACCTTGTGGGAACGCTACGAATCTCGTCCGCGTTCGGTGCTTCTACGCTCCTGCTCACTGCTCCTGCTTTCCCTTCTGCCCGGCTATGACAATAGGTTCGAGTCATGCACCCCACACTCCACTGCATGGCCCCACTCAAACACAAAACTCGGCGAGTCACACGCTCGCACTCCTATCCGGCAGCCAAGGACTTGGCTAGCGTGAGAAAAACAACCTCAAGCTTCAAACGTTATCGAGCATGCATCGAACTGTGATTGCCGAAAAGCGGCATGGTGTGAGGATGCGCCGCCGCTTCACTGCCGAATCGGATCAGCCGGGAGCGCGTTCGGATGAACCGATGTCACAGTGCTATCACGGCTGCTGCTGCGACTTTGCGTCGGCATGGATGGAGCAAAAGTAGTGCATCACCGAGCCGCTCACCGGGTTCACCGCCACCACGCTGTTGCCCAGCCGCTTGTGGCACTGCGGGCAGGTGCGCGACTCGCCCACCTTGACGCGCCGGCTCTGCAGCCGGCACAGCGTCTCCTCGACCTGCCACTGTCGGTTGGTGCGGATCTCGCGCACCACACGCGCCTCGTGCTGCCGCCGCGTCAGCTCGCGCAGATTCACATCCACGAACCCGGCAATCTGCGACACGGGCACCGTCGCAGGCAGCAGGGCCAGCGCCGCGCCCAGATCGATCCGCGCCGCATGACGCGCAAGCAGCCCCAGCGCAGCGTCCAGCTGGATCGCCTTGCCGCCCGTCGCGTCCAGGTAGATGCGCAGCAGCGTCAGGAACACCTCCGAGTCCGCGCGCTGCTTCTGCGCCTCGTCCGCCAGCAGGCTCTGCTGGTGGTTCGATCGGCTCCCCTGCGCCAGCTGGCGTTGCGCTTCGCTAGACGTCGATGTCATGGCAGCGCGGTACTGCCAAACGTCCCGACAGTATGCCTCGGCACGTGTCGGGTCCTTGAGCTTGCGCACATAGATGCTCAGCGCACCCTCGTGTTGCCCCATCCTGCCCAGCAGCAGCGCGCGTGCCTCGAGCATGTCCCGGTCGTCGTCGTCAGCGGGCAGCCGCACCAGGATCTGCTCCGGTCGGTACTGCGTCGATGTGCGCAGGAATCGCAGCAGCTTCTGCATCACCGCCGCTCGCTCGCCCTCGTCTTGACTCTCTCCGTCCTCTCTCGTCGAGCTCGCAGCTGCGATGCTGCCGCTCGAATGGTCTCCCGCGCTGCCTTGGAGTTGCGCGGCTTGGCGGAGGTAGAGCTTAATGAGCTTATCGTGCAGTTCTGGATCCGCCTCGCCCGCATGGTCGATGATGTACTCGAGGTACACCGCGCACAGCCGCTTGTCGAACTTGTTCAGGTCGTCGACAATCTCGAGGCGCGGCCACGAGCCCACCTTGCCCGTGTCCGCCGTGAAGACCTCCATGCCCAGCTCCGCATCCACGTCGAGCAGCCAGTGCGACGACTCGACGATGACGTCGATGAACTCGGGCCCCAGATTCTGCAAATACTGGATGGTCGGTCGCACTTTCTCTTCGACGTCCTCCTCGTCCTCGGCAAACTGCCTGAGCAGGCCGAGCGCCTTGCTGTGCATCTCCTTGCCGCCGTACAGCGCGATGAGCTCCGAGTACTTGCTGCGCTCCTTGAGCAGCTCCTCCACCTGCTCCACCTCGCACCAGTTCTCGATGCGGCACAGCGGGCCGATCAGCGCCGGCTTGGTCTGCAAGAACACCTTGAATAGCGCCGTGTCCACCGTCTGCGCAACCGCGATCAGCTCGTCCTTGTCCATCTCGCCAAACGGCTTGTTTGGCAGCGACAGCAGCCAGTTGGTGTCGCGCTTGATCTGCGACATGGCCATGTGGTCCTTGCTCTCGTGCTGCGGACTCGCCTCCAGGATCGGCTTGAAGATTCGGCGTCGATCCGCCAGAAACTTGCCCAGCGCATCCAGCGCCTTGCGCCACGACGCATCGCTCGTGCCAGCCGTAGCCGTGGTGGTGGTCGTCGTGGCTGTGGTGCCTCTGCTGTCTCGGCTCGCTGCCGAGCCCGTCGCCTTCATCTCGGGCGCGTCTTTCGTCGTTCGGACAGAGCGGATCGATGCCACCTCGGCGTGCTGATCTGTGTCCGCCTTGGCCGTTGCTATCGATGAAGCTGTGGTCGCGCCCGTCGTCGTGCGCGTCGGCTTTGGCTTGCTCGCACCTGCTTGCGACGGGCTCGAACTGAGACTGCTTGAGGCGTGCGGCTCGCCGACAATGCTCTGCGGCCGCCGTGTCGGTAGGAATGCGCCTAGTCGGCTCCTCGCCGCGTTGGTAGCCGACGTGGCCAGCGACTGCGTCTGCGACGGTAACGAGCCCGAACCGCTAGCAGGGCTGCCTACCGATGCCTCGTCGCCACGCAGCCTGGCGGGCATCTTGCCGCCAAAGATGGGGAACCACTCGTCCCTGCTCCGACTCAGCTCGCCCGCCACCGCCGCCGGATACAGCGCGATGACCTTGGCCGGGTTGGTGTCGAGCTCCAGAAACATCTCGATGGCCTCGTCGAAGCGCTCGTCGGCGAAGAGCGCCAGCGCAAAGAGCGACTGCACGTGCGCCCTGCGCTCGTCCTTGTCCTCGAGAATCACATTGTCGACGCTATCGAGCAGGCCGAGCGCCTCCTCGAACTCGCCCTGCTCGACGAGCTCGTTGATCTGCTGGCCCCACCCGTGCATCTCGAGCTGCCACACGGTGCTGCCCTCGCGCTCGAGCGTGGTGCGGTCGGTTGGCGTGACGACGACGTACACCGGTGGCTTGTTGCCGCTCGACGGCGTGAGCAGCCGCACCTGCGGGGGCGACGACGCACTCGATGCCGGCTTTGGCGCGCCGGACGCGGCTGCAGGCGGGAAGCACAGCGTCTGCACCGCGAACAGCGTGCCGACAGAGCGGATCTGGAGCACGGGATGGTGTGCGTTGGATAGCGAGCTGTTCTTGAGCGACGGCACCGAGCCGCTTGGCAGCACGGCAAATACGTACGGCTTGGCAAACGCCAGCTCCTGCGGCGTCGCACTCCACTCGACGCCCTCGCGCCGTGTGGGTCGGCCGTCGGCGCCCAGAAAGATGCCCGTGCCGTCGCGCACGAACAGCACCTCGCCGCCGTCGACGTGGAGAACCGCCATGCGGCCTTTGCCCGCTAAGCCCATGTATCCACCAAGCCCGCCGAGCGCAGCGCCGAAGCCGGCGCCCGCACCCGCGGCGCCTGAGCTGCTGCCGGCCTGGCCGCCGTCGGCTGCGGCATTGGTGTTGGCGAGGTCAAAGTCGTCCACGTGCCAGCACGACGGGCTAGGCGCGGAGAGGTCGACGAGCGGGCCGGCGGTCGAGTTGGTGGGTGGCTGTACGTGTGCGCCGCGGCGGAGGCTCGCTTCTGCGCTGCCGTACGCCGACGACGGATGCGTGTACGCCACAGTCGACTCGGCCGCGAGCGGGATGGCGATGGTGCCGTACTCTGCGGCGTTGTAGCCCATGAAGAGGCGCGTGGGCGTGACGAACGCGAGGCTTCGTGGTGTATGCTGCAGCGCCACCTCTCTTGTATCCCAGAACTCGCCGTCGACCCAACGGAAGAGGAGGAGCTTGCGCTTGACGCCGACAGCGAGCACGGTGACGAGCGTCATGACGCCCTCCTGGCCCTGTGCGTCGGCTGCGGCGCCGCCGAACCGCGCGCCCTCCATGGCCTTTCGGCGCTCCTCCTCGCGGTACTTGACCATGGCGTCCATACCGCGCATGCTCGCTGTCTGCCAGTCCTTCGAGGGCACGTCGAAGACGCTCGATCGGTTCCGCTGCGTCTGGGTGCCCATGCCCATTGCGCCGCCTGCACCCGACTGGGTCTGGTCGCCCACAGCGCCCGGCTTGAATGCGCGGCTCACCGTCGCCGTCGTGCCCCACGGAGCGCCTGCCCTCTTGGTCGCACGTGCACCCAGCGGGCCCGGTCCATAGTCCGGAGTGGCAGGAGCGACGCGTTTCTGGATGGACGTGTCGATGCCGAACGTCGTGGCGCCTTTGGTCTGCGTGAGCTGCGTGCGCAGTTCGAGCGTCGACAGATCGTGCAGCGCCACGCACGCGTCCGAGAGCGACACGAGCACGTTGGCCTCCTTGACGACGCCGAGCTGGTCGATCTGTCTGCGCGCAAAGTTGTGCGCATGCTGCACCGGCTCCGAGCCCGAGGCGGTTGGCGACGCCGGGTGGGTCTTGTAGACTGCGAGCGAGCCGGTGGAGGAGCCGATGTAAAGTTTGCCTGCGTGGGTGGTGATGGCTTCTGGGCGTGGCTTGATGCCCGTGAGCAGCGGCGCGCAGTCGAACGCCGTATGCATGCTGCGCGTCTCTCAGCTCATGAGCTGGCACCAGATTACTAGTAGAGGAAAGGAGAGATGGTGGGGATCGTGAACCCTGGATCCAGGACGACCAAAAAAGTGGAGGCTGATCATCCGTTGTGAAATGCGCCGCGTGCTGCCCAACGCGGGTCTGTGCGTCCTCCCTGCATCCCACCCGCTCCTTCATCTCGTGCTCATCACTACCTTCGACATGTAGGACAGACCAATACGATTGCAAATGCGGGAAATCTACACGGACTCGGAAACAAACGAACTCAGGTACACCAAGAACCAGGAGTCTAGGCTAGGGAACTACACGGCGTGCGGTCCACCTGCCCGTGGCGGCACACTCGCCCGGCTGGAGCTCGTAGACGGTCCTTGTATCGTCGGCGAGATTGACGAGGTCGACCTTGTAGGGCTCAACAACAACCAGCGCAAAGTTCTTCTCGCTCTGCTCGAGCATCCTCTTCTGCTCCTCGTTCTCCTCCTTGCCCGGGCTTGGCAATTCGAGCGGCCAGGGCGAGCTGGTGTCGTCCTTTGGCTTGGCTTGTTGCAGCCTGTCAGCGTTCGGGTGCGCCGAGCCAGGAGTAGGTCGACAGAAGGACGCAAGGAGGCCTGGGTTGAGCTTATCAAAGATGCGCTTGCGTTCCTTGTCCCAGTCGAAGGCGTCGATGGCCTCGCTTCCGGGCGCGCGTGGCGGGGAGAGACGCTCAAAGGGAAACAGCGATCGGAGCGGGTGTCCTGGCGTGGGGAGCACATGAACCGTGCCCGAAATGCGGAACTGGAGCTGGGCAGATTCGATCCACCAGGCGATCTCGCACTCGCCGCCGCGCGAGCCGTCGGGGCCGTGCGCACGCAGGCTGCTCTGCGACGTGAGCTGCTGCACCTTGGGCGTGCGCACGTCGGTGGTGGTCAGCAGACACGGGCTCGATCCAAACGACGCATTGTGCGGCGCAATACCGCCCGGACGATCACCGTCGCGCTGCTCGTTGACAAAGCCGCGGTGCACAACGTAGCGCACGTGCGGCTTGGCGGCATCATGCACCGAGCTCGGCGGCTCGACCGTGCTAAAGGCGTAGTAGAGGATCGACTTTTCGTCCTTGATGTTGTCGCTCACGCTCGTCGCCAGCAGCTGCTTCCACTCGGGCTGCGGCGAATTGTCCGTGGCGCGCTTCTGGCCGTCGCCGGAAGCATGGCCATCGCCCACGCCCTGTCCACCCTGCTGCGAAGCGCCGCCGCTGGCATTGTTGAGCACAGCACCCAGCCTCTCGCCGTCGAAGCCGCCAGCGCTGGCGGAGCGGTGCGAGACGCGCTGGGAGAGCGCCGTGCGCAGATCACCGAGGATCTCGTCGTCCACGCTGAGTGCACGCACCTGGTCGACGTCGATCTTGAACACCGTCGCGAGCTCTTCATGCGTCTTTGCCTGTGCAATACCCGTGCGCAGGGCGGACAGCTGCTTCTTGTTCATCGGCTTGGCCTTTGTACCGGCGTCCTTGGCGACGGACTCGGCGGGCTTGAAGGCGAGCTGTGCCATGCAGTACTTTGTGTTGCCGATGGGATTGTTGAGTGCGAGCGAGTAGCGCACCCACTTGGGTGCGATGACGTCGGGGATGCTCAGACTGCCCTGTGGGCGGAAGCACGATGGATTGGCCTCCGCGCCGCGCGCGACCATGGTGGAGGTGACGCCGGTGAGCTCCTTGATGCGCGGCGCATTGACGGCGTCCCACACGTCGCCGTTGCATACGACGGGGATGGTGCGGCCCATCTCGGCCGCGAGCGTGTTGACGTGGTCGACGATCTCGCGGAGGCGGTGGAGGAGCGCGGGCTCGCGTGGGCGCATGTCCTTGGTGCGGCAGTGGACGGTGAGGCACTCGATGGCACCGGTGCGCACGATCTTGTCTACGAGCTCGATCGTAGCCTCCTGGGTGGGCAGCAGCCGGATCTTGCACGTGACGGCGACGTGCGGAGGTGCGGCTCGACGCATGGCCTTGAGCGTGTTGCAAAGCAGTACGGGGGTGGAGAGCATGTTGGCACCCATGCCTGCGTGGGTGGAGAAGGGCTTGGGGCAGCCGCAGTTGAGGTCGACGGCGGCAACGTCGTCTGCCTGCGTGATGATCTTGATGGCCTGGTAGGCGAGATCCGGGTTGGCGCTGCCGAGCTGGTACACAAGATAAGGCCTTTCGATGGGGTGGCACGAGAAGATCTGCTTGTGCTCCTTGAGGTATTCGACGACGCCGGTGGTGGGGTTGACCTTGCGCTCGCAGCCGATGATGGCGCGATCGACGATTTCGGGGCCCCACACGAGGTCGGCGCCGTACTCGAGCGAGAGGAGGCGCGTGGGAAGCGTGCCGATGCGCACCATGGGCGCGAGGAAGATGCCGTTTTGGAAGGTGAGCGTCGAGGTGCACGCGGGGATGGGGTCGAGATCGTCGACGTGGTGATGGGCGTTGTCGGGCAGGGCGGGCACGTCGTTGTACGAGGTGGAGTCGGCGGCGACAGCCTCGATCTCCGGGGCCGCGGCTGCACCATCGGTCGCAGCGACGTGCGAGTCTGGCTCGGTATTGGAGTGCATCTTGGCGCGCTTTGCCGGGGGAAGCATGGATGGCGAAGGCTGTCGGAGCTGGGCGACGGAAGGCATGCTTGCGTTGACGAAGGTGCGGACGGGCGGTGAGTGCGCTGAAGCCGACGTAGAGCGCGAGCTGAACGTGTTCCCTTTTATGAAGGATCTGGCGAAGATGTGCGAGAAGCTAGAGGATGGACAGAGCGGACGAGTCGATGCGGTAAGGTTGACGAGGGACTTGGCGCGGATGATGTGCGTAGGGAGCGCCGAGAGCTGGTGCATGAACTCGAGTCTATTGGAGCGCGGGGCAGATCACGACCGACGAAACGGTTGCGAAGCGATATATAGGCTGTGGTGGAGAGGGAGGGACGGAGGAGCAGCTGCTTTCGTGATGGTCCGAGCGGGTGAGGCCGATGAATCAGCCTCTGCGGTCGAAGCTGGACAAGCGGAGAAGGACAGATAGGCGGGAAGCTGATGTATCGAAGCGCCTGTCGATCGAGGCGGCCGGCACAGATGCGAGGTGTAGAGAGAAATGCGAGAAATGCGACCTTGGTTGGTGGGGAAGAAACAATTCCTTCTCGTCATCGTGCTGAGCTGCCTCGTTTCTTTCGTGCTCCGTCTCGAAACAAAGAAATGAAAAAGAAAAGCAAGTCCACCGCTGACCAACTCGGCTGTGTGGAGGCTGGCGAGCCTTTTTGGGCCTGCGCGCCTTTGCTAAGAGCCGATGGCCTCTGCCTCCGCTCTCGGTCATGCGTCGTTGTTCGAGCAACCGAGCGTTTCGTTCTCAAGAGACCGGCATCGCAGAGGTGATAGTAGTGTCGTATGCTCGGATGGGTCCCCTTGCCCAGCCCCTGCCTATCTGGTATACATGCACGCTCACAGGCAGGTGCTGTTACAGTGTTTCCGTGCCAAACTAAATCGTTTTGCCAAAATTTCTCAAAATTGAGGTGCTGAAATTGGCGGCAAAAATCCGATTTAACGCTGGGAGTTAAACGACGATCTCACACTCACAAATTTTGCCGCGGCTGTCTCAGATGCCGGCTCTCGGATGTGCGGTGGGGCCGGGGAAGGGTTCTGAGCTGCGGACAAGCGCACAAGCGAGCTTTGCTCCCGCACATTCTCACCCACGCCCTCTCGCCGCTTGCCTTCCTACCCTGTCCATCCGCACTGCCACGCTCTCGAACGGCCACAACCATCCGCAACACGCACTGTCGCATACCAGAGACTAACTGCGTAGGCGCTTTGTCTTGGCCATGCTCGACACGATCTACATCTGCCGGCACGGCTTCCGGATGAGCTGGGTTGGGGCCGAGACGTTTCTGCCGACGGGACGACCGCGCGATCCCGTGCTGACCGCACACGGCCAATCGCAAGCGCGACATCTTGCCGACTACTTCCTCTCGCTTCCCGCGTCGGAGCGACCACAGCTCATCGTGAGCTCGCCGTACTACCGGTGTCTGCAGACGTCGGTGCCTACGGCGACTGCGCTGGAACTGGAGCTGGTGGCGGAACCTGGACTTGCCGAGTGGTTCCCCACCGTGACACCACGCACGGGGGTGCATCCATCGCCAGCTCGCGCGCAGTACATGCAGGAGTTCATCCCGCAACTCTCGCTGTCCTGGACACCCATGCTGTACCCCGACGCGGACGGCGAGTCGATATCGCAGCTCCATGCGCGTGCACGCCGAGTCCTCGATCTGATCTCCCAGCGCTGCGAGCAACTCGGTGTCCAGCGTGTGTTGATCTGCAGCCATGCTGCAACCATCATCGCAATGGGAAGAGTGCTGCTCAATGATGACGCCGACGGCAAAAGGACCGAGTTCATCGGGGCAGGTACGGCGTCCCTTAGCAAGTACGTGCGCAGCAACTCTGAAGGCAACTGGACGCAGCACTTGAATGGCGACGCCTCGTTCTTGCCAGGAGGCGTAGAGAGGGAGTGGCACTTTGGCATGGTGCCGGACAATGTCAACGAGGACGGAATGGGGCAAGGCTGGTCCGACCCCGAAGCTCCTGCGACCAAGCCCACCACCATGCAGACCAAGCTCTAGATATAGATACCCACCCTCACCCCCACGCACAAGAATCAAGGTTGCGACAGCGAGATATGTGCAAAGACAAGCGACGATGCTAAAGGAGGTATCTGACAAACATGCGGGGGAGGAAAACAGCTTCTAGCGAACGGATGCGAGTATGGACCGATGCGAGCTCATTGTGCGGAGGTTTTTACTTGTCAGCAGCGATGTTTCGGCGGTAGGGAGCCTGGGGAGCAGGACCGTTAGCCACTGTGGGGTAGGCTTTGCAGTTGTAAGTAGCAGCGGGTTTATGGGCGGCGGGGGTATTTTTCTGGCCCTGGTAGAAGGTGCTTCCACCATACACGCCTACGAACTCGCCGCTATCACCCTGACAATCCTCAAAGGTGCCCTGTTGGAACTTTCCGCCATTGGTGTTGTAGTACGCGCCCATGACGTCGTAAATGTGTGGGGCGTATTGGGCTGCTTGGGGACCGTACGCCGCGCGGAAGGAAAACTCGTAGGCGCTCATAAAGTTGTTCCACTCCTTGATCTGAACGTACTTTCCCTCGCTTCCGGGAACGTTGTTCGAAAACACGAGGCCTCCTTTAGGGTTTCCCGTACCGTCGGCACCGTGTGGGTCGAGTTCTCCTCCATCGTCACGCGCTTGGATGTTGAGCCCCGTAAAGTCACCCACTCCCGTAACTTGGAGGAAGTTGGGCGTCTTGACGAATTGCACGCCCTTGATCGCTCCGTTGGGAATCAAGCGTGTACCATAGCCAGACTTGAGACAGTACGAGACGACCGACTCTTCGTTGGCACCGATCTGCGAGTTGGGGTTCATGGGCCCCCACAGGCAAAAGTCGTTGGCATTGTTGATGAACACGTTCTGGCACAGCGACGAGCCCGAGGAGGCGCCCCATTTCTTGCACTGGTTCGAGCCGGATTGGTTGGCTTCCCACTTGTCCGGAAGATTGTTCACGTTGAAGTCCGGTTTGTTCTGCGCACGTGCCGACGAGACAAGCACGGCTGCAGCGGCCAAGGCGATCAAGGAGCGAGTCATTTTGCGTCACGAGTAAGGTGGGCAGAGTTGGCGAGTCCAGCTCGATGTATAGGTGGGAACACAAGAGTATCGATGCAAACAAGGCCGGCTATATGTACATCTGGTGCTTGCCGCTGTATTGACGGCCGTCGATGCATGGAAGCCACTGCAACGGACTAGTTTCAGGCCGATCAGCCCGGACCGCGCCGCGAACGGGACCAAAGCGGCAGCGCACCAAGGAAGCTTCGGCGACATTTACGTGCGGGGCGCGTGCCACAACGCAGAGCGTCATGAGCAGCAATGCATGAAACAAGCTAGGAGCGCATGTGACGATCATTCCAGCGTGGTGCAGAAGAGGTACCGCGATGTGGGACGTAGCTCAGCTGCTTCTTTCGGCTGAGAAGCAGCTGCGGCGCACGCGGCGGTGTGTAGAGTCTAAAAGAGTCGATCGAGTCTACGGTACGCTGCAAGCCCGGCAGAGAGAGAAGGGGCCCAGGCTCGTGGTTCACAGGCTAGTTGCGTAGAGGGGCCAAGCAGAGGGAGGGACCGAGTGTTGCGGTTGTTTTTGCAGGTGACGTGAGGCGTCGTTCGCGAAATGTCAGAGGCTGCATTGTGCGAGTTGGACGGCGCGATGCGAGGGGCCGGTTCGCGCCTCGGGCAGCTTGGCGGTGGCTGCTGCTCGAATGCCGGCGAATGCCCGCCAAGCGCCTCGGCACTCTCGACTGTCAAAGAGCGCGCCAGCACCGATTTTCCCGATTTTTCCCGTTCCATATAAACAGATCTCGATGCCGTCAAGTCTAACAGTTTGGAGAATTCGCCAAGCTCAGTTGGCTCTAACACTTTGAAAGAGAAAACTTGGGGGTATCTCGCGCCCAATCGGAAGCGGCCGATTTTCGGTCGCAGGCGGCGGCGGGCGGGGAAGGGGGAACAGTGCGGACGGCAGCCCCGAGTGGGGGTTGGGCAGATTAGATGAGCCGGAGAGAAAAACCTCGCTCGAAAAAGCAGGCAAGTGGGAGGCCGGATTGCACCATCGACGACGGGCGATGGCGTGCTCCCCGCATCCGCACCCCGCTTCTGCCCCTACTCCTTTGTAATTTTTCACGGCCTCGTCGGCACGCTGCCCCCAGAGACTCTGGAGCCCGAACGAGGCGATTTCTTCTTGCCCTCAGTGCCGATTTTCTCGCCGGTCGAGCTGGAGTTGGAAGACCAAGGCGAGAACCGGACCGACTGCGCGGGATCTAAAGTCGACGCGATTCAGGTGGGCCACTGTTGCCGTGGACCCTGAACGTGGCCCACACCCGGCGTTGCGCCGATTCCCGTGCCATCAATCAACTCTCTCGCCACAACAGGCTGATTTTTATTATAGGAAAGTGAAGGCGACTCAAGTCAAGTAGGATGACTGTGACACTTTTGGCAGGCTCTGATGCAGCGACGAGGGAAAAGACAGGCTCGGGGATGCGAACAAGCGAGCGGCGAAACTGTGCTGACCCTAGCAGCGAGGTGAGGATGGTGTGCTGCTGCATGGCTTGCTTGCTAATCCGCGCGCGTTGCAGCGCCGCGTCGACTTAAGATGGCCACCCGCCATCACAGACTCGACCGGCAATTTCCCTCACTGCCTGCCTGCCTGCAGTGCGCCCAAAAAAAGGAAGGAGGCGAGAAAAAGTGAAAGTTGCGCGCAGTTCTTCTTGCGGGCCCTTGGCAATTGTTTTGCGCCGACGCAGAGGGTTGCTGAAGGGTAGATTGCATGGCCGCGATGCCCTGCCTCTTCTCATGCTCAAACGCTCAAACGGAAGGTCCGGCCTGTCAAGCAAGAGAGATTCGCCTCCTCCGCTCGCCCTAGTCATACCGAGTCCCTGAGCCTCGCGCCCGCCTTTGCCATCCCCATCCCAAGGCTCGCCTTCGTTGTCGCTCACCACCACCACCTCCCTTTCCCCACCAACCATTTCCGGTCCGTCCGTCCGAGCACGATCAAGCCCTAGCGTTCGTCTCACGCTCCGACTCTCATCGAGGACTCCCAACGTACCCGGTCCAAAGCCGAGGGTGGCGTACGTCGTCTTTGTCGTCTGACTCTCGTTGGATCCCCCTTATCACTGGAACACCTCCTGCCAGACACTCGTTCCTCTCTCCCTCCTCTCTCGCAACATCAAAGCATCAAAATGAGCTCCGTCTCCGCTGCTGGCGCCGTCGCCCGCATCGCCGCGCTCGCGTCGGCTACCCTCGTCAACGTCGCTTCTTCCGGCAAGGCCTCCTCCTCCGCCTTCTCCTCCGTCGTTGACAAGGCCGCTGAGCTCAACGCGCAGCTCGAGCTCGAGCAGCTCAACCAGCATGTCGAGCTCGGCTCCGTCTTGACCCAGCTCAAGCCCACCGGCAACGGCCTCATCTCGGTCCTCTCCCACCTCCACCAGCAGACCTTCACCCGCCTCGTGCCCCACCTCCCCAAGCTCGTCAACACTCCCCTCGTATTCCACGTCGCCAGCGCCGGCGAGCACAGCGATGTCATGGCCCTCCGCCAGTCCGGCCTCATCCTCCTCCACTCCTCCACCGCCGCACAGGCCCACGACCACGCCCTCCTCGCCACCAAGATCGCCACCTCCGCAAAGCGCGCCGTCCTCCACTTCTTCGAGGACGTCTCTGGCAACGTCGAGGAGGTCACCAACGTAGACCTCGCCTCCTTCATCGGCTCCGTCGCCGCTTCCTCCAGCTCCGACTCGTCGCCCAAGCTCAACGGCAACGCACACGCCAACGGCGTCAACGGCCACGCCAATGGCACCAACGGCACCAACGGCCACGCCAGCGCCGCCGCCAGCGAGGCCGGCTTCGACGACCTCGAGTCGGCCATCGACGCCGCCTACGAGGACGTCGCCGAGCTCGTCGGACACGCTGTCGAGCCCTTCCAGCTCGTCGGCGCCTCGGACGCCACCAACCTCGCCGTCGTCCTCGGCGCCGGCTCCGAGGTCCTCCAGGACTACACCGCCCCCCACAACGACCTCGCCGTGCTCGACGTGCGTCTCGTTCGCCCCTCGTTGCCCCAGCGCCTCCTCGACGTCATCCCCGCCGGCGTCAAGCGCATCGCCGTGCTCGAGCAGAGCATCAAGAGGACCACCAAGCTCGGCCCTCTCTTTGTCGACGTCGCCACCGCCTTCCAGGGCTCTGAGCGCGCCCTTCCCTCCGTCTTTGTCAGCGGCACGCTCGGCCACATCCAAGACGGCGACAAGACCGCAAAGGAGCTCATCAAGGCGCTCGAGGCCTCCAAGCCAAAGCACTCGTTCGTCGTCGGCGACCTCAAGAAGCTCGCTGCCCGCGCACAGGCTGCGCCGGCGGCTGCCGCATCCTCCGCCCCCGTCAGCGTGCCCAAGCACGAGGAGGCCTACAACCTCATGCTCGAGCAGGTCTTCACCGACCGCCTCTCCGTCATCAACTCGGCCAACGAAGACTCCGACGACCACCCCGCCGCTCGCACCCCCGAGTACGCCTTTGGTCAGGTCCTCGCTCAGCTCGAGCAGCGCGACCAGCTCGTCCGCGCCGTCAACGACGTCCTCCGCGACGGCGGCGTCTCCACCGAGCTGCACGAGGCCCTCTCGCAGTGGCTCGTCGCCAAGGCCGACGCCAAGAAGAACGTCGCTGCCAGCAACAAGGTCGCCTCGCTCCTCCAGTCGTCCGCCTCGGCCGCTGCGCTCGACAAGATCAAGTCGCTCTCCTCCCACCTCGTCCTCAAGAGCCGATGGATCGTCGGCAGCGACGCCTGGGCCTACGACGCCGGCATGGGCGGTGTCCACCACGTCATCGCTTCCGGCCGCAACGTCAACATGCTCATCTTTGACAGCGTCCCCTACACAAAGCGCGACGCACAGGCGGCTCACAAGCGCAAGAAGGACATCGCCCTCTACGCCATGAACTACGGCAACGTCTACGTCGCCAGCACCGCCATCTACGCCGACTACACGCAGGTCCTCCACGCGCTCATGGAGGCCGACAAGTTCGACGGCCCGTCCATCGTGCTCGCCTACGTCCCGTACCGCACCGAGGATGCGCCCGCGCTCGACGTGCTGCGCGAGACCAAGCTCGCCGTCGACTCGGGCTACTGGCCTCTCTTCCGCTGGGACCCCAGCGCAGAGGCTCGCGGCTCCGACGTCTTCCGCCTCGACGGCGTGCGTCTGCGCGAGCAGCTCCAGCAGTTCCTCGACCGCCAGAACCTCTTCACCACGCTCGTCAACTCGCGCCCCGAGCTCTCCTACGACATTGCCGCCTCGCAGGGCAACGCGCTCCGCGAGCTCCAGCGCCGCAAGGCCAAGGAGGCCTACGACAAGATGCTCGGCTCCCTCGACGGCCCGCCCCTGCTCATCCTCGTCGCCTCGGACGGTGGCAACGCCGAAAAGGTCGCCAAGAAGCTCACCGCGCGTGCCAAGGCGCGTGGCGTCGCCGCTCGTCTGCTCACCATGGACGACTACCCCGTCGCCGACGAGCTCAAGGACGAGAAGAACGTCGTCTTCCTCACCTCCACCGCCGGCCAGGGTGAGGCGCCCCAGAACGGCCGCTTCACCTACAAGGCGCTCCACGCCATGCCCGTCTCTACGCTTCCCGACACGGTCAACTTCACCGTCTTCGCCATGGGTGACAGCCACTACTGGCCTCGACCCGAGGACGCGCACTACTACAACAAGCCCGGCAAGGACATCGACGTCCGCCTCGAGCAGCTCGGCGCCACGCGCATGGCGCCCATCGGTCTCGGCGACGACCAGGATGCCGACGGCTACCAGACCGGCTACAAGATCTGGGAGCCGCTGCTCTGGAAGTCGCTCGGCGTCGACACGGTCGAGGTCAAGGAGGCCGAGCCCGAACCCATCACCAACGAGCACATGAAGATTGCCTCCAACTACCTCCGCGGCACCATCAAGGAGGCGCTCGAGGACAAGTCGACCGGCGCCATCCCCGAGACCGACGGCCAGCTCACCAAGTTCCACGGCACCTACATGCAGTACGACCGCGACACGCTCGAGGAGCGCAAGGCCGCCGGTCTCGAGCCGGCGTACAGCTTCATGATCCGCGCGCGCATCCCCGGTGGTGTGGTGACGCCCGAGCAGTGGGTGCAGCTCGACGACGTTGCCGAAAAGTACGGCAACCAGACGGTCAAGATCACCACGCGCCAGACCATCCAGTACCACTGCGTCGTCAAGAGCAACCTCAAGGCGGCCATGCAGGGGATCAACAAGTCGATGCTCGACACGATCGCCGCGTGCGGTGACGTGAACCGAAACGTCATGTGCTCGCCCAACCCGAACCTCACCGAGCTGCACGAGGACGTCTTTGAGTTCTCCAAGTCGATCTCGGAGCATCTGCTGCCTCGCATGAACGCCTACCACGAGATCTGGCTCGACAAGGAGACCGACAGCTCCAAGCAGCTGCTCGTCGGCGGTGTGCTGCAGGACTACGAGCCGCTCTACGGCCCTTACTACCTGCCGCGAAAGTTCAAGATCGCCATTGCCGTTCCGCCGCGCAACGACACGGACTGCTTTGCGCACGACATTGGCCTCATCGCCATCGCCGACCCCAAGACCAACCGCCTCGCCGGATTCAACCTGGCTGTCGGAGGTGGTATGGGTGTGACGCACTCGATGAAGGCCACCTACCCGCGTCTGGGCAGCGTGATCGGCTTTGTGACGCCCGAGCAGACGCTCGACGCGTGCCGCACCGTGATGCTCATCCAGCGCGACACGGGCAACCGTGCGAACCGCAAGCAGGCGCGTCTCAAGTACACGATCGACAAGCACTGGGGCGGCGCGGACAACTTCAAGGCCGAGGTGGAGCGTCGTCTGGGCTACAAGCTGGGCGAGGCGCGCTCGTACAAGTTTGAGACCAACACGGATCTGTACGGCTGGACGCAGGACTACAAGGGCAACTACCACTGCACGCTGTGGCTCGAGAACGGACGTGTCAAGGACGAGCCCGGTGCGCCGTTCCGCACGGGTCTGCGCGAGCTGTGCAAGATCCACAAGGGCGCGTTTAGGCTGACGCCCAACCAGCACATTATCGTGTCGGACATTGCGCCCGAGGACAAGGACACCATCGACGCGCATCTGCGCAAGTACAAGATGAACAACTGGGAGCACTCGGGTGTCAAGCTGAGCGCGAGCGCGTGTGTGGCGTTCCCGACGTGCGGTCTGGCGATGGCCGAGTCGGAGCGCTACCTGCCGCTGCTCATGGACAAGGTGGAGGCGATCTTTGAGGCGAACGGGCTGCGCTCGAGCGATACGGTGTTCCGCATGTCGGGCTGTGCCAATGGCTGTTCGCGTCCGTGGATGGCCGAGGCGGGCTTTGTGGGCAAGGCGCCTGGGCAGTACGTCATGACGCTCGGAGGCTCGCACAACGGCACGCGTCTGTCCAAGATCTACCGCGAGTCGGTCGACGAGAAGGAGATCCTCGACATCATGAACAAGCTCGTGCCCATGTATGCGCAGAACCGCATCGAGGGCGAGTCGTTTGGCGACTACGTCATTCGGGCGGGCGTCATCAAGCCCACCACCGAGGGCAAGGCGTTCTACGAAGACATGTGCCCCTCGGACGTCGTGCCGCCCTCGGCTGCTGCTAAGAAGGGACCTGCCCAGGCCACCGAGCACTACGATCGTGCCTCGTCGGCATAGTCACTCCCTCCCACATCACCACAAAAAAAACAACACAGACCCGTTTCAACACTTTTGGTCTGTTTCCCATTCCCCCCGCTTTTTCCCTTGATGCTTCTTTATGCGTACATATGGCCGTTGGTGGCCGCCGTTTCGAGTGTTGCAAAATCATAGATCGTTTTCGAGATGATGCGGTGTGGGCGTGCGGAGGTTGGTGGTTTTTGCTTGCGTGTGTGTGAGTGGGCAAGGAGAGTGTGTGCGGGTGGTGTGGAGTGTGGCGATGCGACTGTTGGTGGCTCTGCTTGTCGGGTTGTGAGTGTTGGATACTCTCTCTCTTGGTATGAAGTGGATGCGTCTGCAAGTGCTAACTTGGTTGCTCGATCGACTTTGGGATGTGTATTTCCTTATCCTTGACCTCTGCTGGACCGCTGCTGCCTGGTGCGGTAAAAGATGGATTCTGACAAGACTTGGTTCCAACGCACGACTCTACCTCTGCAAGTCGTAGCTCGGCGACTCGTCATTGAGTCCTGACCACAGACGGTAAAGCAGCATGGACTCGAGGTTAACCTCTACGATGATCTGCATCAAGATCCTCTTGTCAAGCTTGGGTGACGTGGCGTTGTGGTTGCAGACTGCAACCAGACATAGAAGAGCAAGACGGAGCGCTCTTCGGGGTCGGGGTCAGATGAGTGGACTCAATCGCACCTGTGATGCGGGTCAGACGTGGAATGACCGTGACTCGAGAGCGCTAGGTTTCGATGCCATCCGCAAGACCTCTTGTTGCTTGCTTTTGGTTTCTCACCGACTTGAAAGGCGGCTGGTGGATGGATCGGGCTATGCGATAGAGTGGACAGCACGTGAGGGCGAGGCCAGACGATGAATACGCAGCATCGGCGTGCGTCGAGTGAACATTTCACCCCCTTTGTGAGACGACGAGACCGGCATAAATGTGCTCGCGATGCAAGTCCGCCACAGCGCAAACAGAAGCAACTCATATCTCTCCTGCACAACACGCCTTGAATCACAAAAGGTTTATTGATATGACTGCTCTAGTTGTCTAAGATTCTATGCGTGGCCGTTGGCTTTGGCGGCAGGGTCGTTTTGGTGCTGGATCTGCTGTGCGAGGGGCGAGATGCCCTTTGCCTCTCCCTTTTCGGGCTCCTCAGCGGTGATGGTGAGCACGAGCGCAGAGCCGTCCTGCTTCCACTGTGCGCTGACGCTCCTCAGATCCTCTACAATAAAGTCGGGTTCTTCGAGCATCATCTTTTCGCCCGCATGCGTTGTTCTCAACGCCAGCGTCTTCGCCCCCGCCCTCTTACCGGCCCTAACACCGGGTGGGGCATCTTCCACCACGAGACAGCGCGAAATATCCTTGGCGCACTTTTCCGCCCCGAGCAGGTATGGTTGAGGATCGGGTTTGCCCCTCGTACACAGGTCCGAGGTGACAAACACCTGAGGAGGATCACTGACCCCAGCGGTGGCGAAGCCTTGTTGAGCATACGCCTTGGTGGCCGAAGTAACGATCGCCCATCCGTAGTTACCTGCTTCAACAGCAGCAGTGGGACGGGTGGAGTTGATCTGCGACAAGAGTTCCTTGGCTCCAGGCATGGCAACGATGCTGCCCTGACCTTTCGAGGCGTTCTCGCGTGCGACGACGAGAATGTTGCTCTCGAATCGCTCTACCTCGGCGGGGATTTCATCCTGCGAAATGGACGGGATGAAGCGCTGCAGGTTCTCGACGGTGCGGTAGCCGTGACAGGTCTGCATGACAAAGTCGAGATCCAGATTGTACTGGCGTGCAAAGGAGGCCCAGGTGGCATTCACGGCGGGCGTCGAATCGATCAACGTCCCGTCCATGTCGAACAGGATCGTATCCACTTCCACTGTAACCGTCTTCATCTTGTGCGTGCGTGCGTGTAGAGGATCGCGAGAGGGGATGGTAGAAGACAACCAAGCGGTGGAGTTGGAAGCGAGGCCTGTTTAAGGGTTCAAAGTGCGCTGCGCGCCCCCACGTTGACAGTGTCTGCAGCCCTACGAACGTGCCCTTCGAGTTTCGGAAAGTCTGTCTCCCCCGCCTCGCACCGTATCGCACAACTGCCGTCCGGCTATTCAATCCGTCATTTCATTCCCGAACGCAGTCGGATGGATGCGACACCTGTGGGAGTCCCGCCGCCAGTTGTGCCAGACAGTGCGAGTGGCGTGGGAGCGGCGTAAAAGCTTCACCGACGACGCCGAGCGGCTTCGGTTGCGTGCTCGCCGTGCTCGCCGCCGCCGCACCGAATCGCCTTGCCTCGGCCCAATTTGAGCACCATTCTTCCCGACGGCAAATTTAAGCACCGACTCGCCCACAACAAACTCTAACACGAACGTACCAAATCGGTGTGATGGCGCCAAGCGCAAGGTTGCCGCATGTGGGAGACGATACCCGCGAGACTGCCGCAAGGTGGGAGTCGCTAGCAAGCGGTGTTCACGTCAACATCGTGCTGCCCTTGCATGAGGCGGGGGCGCTGTGGCGGTTCCGAGGAGGGATGTAGTCGACAACGACGGCAGAAGTGAAAGTGCGCGTTTCCCGATCGAAGCTACTGTTTCGAGGTTGGAACGACGGATCGGCGATGAGCAACGCGTTCAGACGGGTCCGAACTTTTACAGCTGCTTTTCGGATCGCAGAGAGCAGCACGTGACCTAGATGTAAAACTGTACTTTTCTCACCCGCCACTCGTTCGACTGGGAAATTCGAACCGACCCTGCAGTCCAATGCTAGGACCGCGACTGGGAAGCTCGAGACACTGCCGTCTGCCAGCCAGTCGAATTCCACTGCGCTGCCCAGCCTGTACATCGGAAGCGGGTGGCCAAGTTCAGGCCCTCAGAGTCGCCTGTCTGCTGCCGGCCCCGAAATTCGAGCCTGGTGAGCGCAGTGTGTGTGTGTACTCGAAGACCGCCACTACAGCGCTGTGTGGTGTGGCTACTAGCGGTAGCAGGCCCAGTTGAGAGAGAGGTGCTCGTCGTCACTCCTTCCTCTCCCCCTCATCTTCGACCATCCACCCCTCAAGATCATATCAAAGTACGTATCTGCGTCGGCAGCAGCGAGCATACGCACAGTCAGTGCACCCGACATCCACACAGCAGCATACGCATTCGGACGCCACCTTCCAACACATCGCAGAGACAGCACGGACAGCCGACAGAGCAGACACAGCAGATGCAGCATCGACAGTACACGCACACGCACGCAAAGGCACCACCCCCAACCGCGTGCACAGAGCCTGATCGCACCGGTCGAGATCGATTGACGTTGCTGCCAATCGTCACAGCATGACCGCGGCGCAGACGCTCGGCGATTCGACATTTTGCACAACGACATGCAGCCAGCCATACACACAGTTGCAGCATTGCGAGGATAACAGAAACGTTCAGCCAGGAGGAAACGCGACAGCAGAGCAGTGCACAACATCCGCGTGTCTCGTATGTGGCAGCTGCCTCAGACGAAGGTCGAACAGCGTTGGCAGCAGCGGCAGCGGCTCATGTGCCCCCCACAGCTTTGATCCGACTGTCATTGTGATGCGTAGGCGTTGTCATTGCAGTGTGTGCCATTCGTGTCCACGCAAACACGAGCGAAAGGTCGCTGCAGTAGACCTCGCCCTTCCTCCCGACATTGGTCGCAGCGTGACGCCGAAGGACCAAGGCCTTCTCTCCGCGCGCTCTGCTCGAATCAGTTCATGGCGCCTTGCATATCCTTCGCAATCGTTCTTCGCACACATCGACTCTGCTCGGATCTATCTGTCACTCGCAGCTCTACACCTCACCGATCGTCACCCTGCTATTCCGTCATTCGGCGACAAAAGCTCGACTATCTTCTTCGCCATCTGCTGTCTACTGCCGTAGTCTACTATGTCCAGTCTCTGCGTTCGGATTGGTTGCGCCAGGTCGCGCTCTCTGTTGCGTTTGCTCGCTCGCTCCCTCGAATTTTCAAAGCAGCGCGCTTTAAAGTCGCAAAAACTCGAAACTGACCTTCTTCTCCTTCCTCTCCATCCCACCCTCACCTTCAACCTCCAAAGATGGCCGTGAAGCACAACAACATCCTTCACAACAACCACTTCCGCAAGGACTGGCAGCGTCGGGTCAAGGTCTGGTTCGACCAGCCCGGCGCCAAGAAGAGGAGACGCACTGCGCGTGAGGCCAAGGCCGCCAAGCTCGGCCTGCGCCCCGTCCAGCCTCTCCGCCCCGCCGTCCGATGCCCCACCATCCGCTACAACACCAAGGTCCGCTCCGGCCGTGGCTTCACCATCGAGGAGGTCAAGGCTGCCGGCCTCGGCAAGAAGTACGCCCGCTCCGTCGGCATCCCCGTCGACCACCGTCGCCGCAACAAGTCCGAGGAGAGCCTCAAGCTCAACGTCGAGCGCATCAAGGCCTACCAGTCGCGCCTCGTGGTCATCCCCAAGCTGACCAAGAAGAACAAGGACAAGAAGGTCGACCTCTCCAACGTCGAGGCTGTCCGCTCCGTCCAGGTCGCCCTCCCCCTCCCCAAGGGCGTCGAGGCCGAGAAGCCCCGTGCCATCACCGCCGAGGAGAAGGAGTTCAACGCCTACGAGACCCTCCGCAAGGCCCGCGGCACCCACCGCCACGCCGGCAAGGTCAAGGCCCGCATCCAGAAGAAGGAGGAGGAGKCCGCCAACGCCAAGAAGTAAACAGCCTGATCCGCTGGTCAGTTTTTGGTTGCTTCCTTCGTTGGTCCTCTTTTGTACTACTTTCTCTTTCTCTGTTTACACCTTTCCCCCCCGTACCGTCGGCATCTCGAATGGTGCCGAGGCTGTCTCGCGGAGGGCGCCGACCTGTTTGTCTTCTCTTGGGGTCCGGTGCTCGCCGTGGCGGCAGCCGCTTTGCGATGGACGAGCGTCGTCTTTGACTCTTTGCCGCCTGCGATGCTAGGAGGCGACGTCGGCCGGTGGCGCTCGTCTCATCTTGTATTCTCTGCATTTCCCCACCGAGCATGCTGCTAAGCGCGGCAATGACGGTCCGTCTGCACAACTCAACCCACTCGCACATCCCCACCTAACCACACCCCCAAAAAATTCAAAGAGATGATTCCACGCCTTTTCGTTTGCCGGCCGTCGGTGTGTTGCTTGGCTGTGGGAAAGAGAGAGATGAGCTGGCGACATTGTGTGCGAGGCCGCGGAGTGTGAAGTGGCAGTTGAAGAATGGACGCTGGGTTTTGCGGTTGGTGGGAGCAGGAGGGCTGCGGCGTGGCTTGCAGTGGAAGCGACGCGTGAGAGGAGGGGGCTTGGGTACACCTTCATCTCAAAATGCAGCCCACGGTGGTCGGGGGTCCCTGGACTGTGCAGGTGATATGAAGTCGAGTGCCGATCCAGGTGGCACCACGGATTGCGTTGCATGCCCCCAGATGAAGCCGACAACCCCTAAAGACACACAGCTCCAGCGCCTGGTGCATCGAGAGGCCTATATATGCCGTGTCGCCATGGATCCTCCCCCTCTCCCGTTTTGCTTCCCCCACCTGTGTCTCTCTCTCTTTTCCCCCTCCCATCCCGTCTTCTTTCTCAAACCGCTCTTCAACCACAAGCTTCCGTTTCTTTCAGTAACCCCCCTGTTCGGGTGACCACATTCTTTTACTTTTTTCGTCAGCGCTTGATTTCATCATGAAGGGTCTTGTTCCTTTCGTCCTCATCGCCCTCTTCCTGGGCCGATTCGAGGTCAATGCCGCGCCCATGCAGACCATGGCGTAAGTCAACCCATCCCTGCCATCCTTGCTAGACACTGGTGTGCTGACATCTTTTTCATTCGTGTGTTGCAAAAGGCTCGCTCCTGAGGGATACGGCTCGCCACCCCCTACGCCAGCCGTGCCGGACTACAACTCGGGTCTGACCAACAACGGCTCGCCGGGCTCGTTCCCAGGCAGCGTGACCTCGCCCAGCCCCAAGAGCAACTCTGGTGCCGACAAGCCCGAGTCGTACGCCAACGACCAGCCTGCACCTGCCCAGAACTCGGGCAAGGACGCTGCTGGTAAGGACGACGACTGCGAGGACGACAAGAAGCAGCCTGAGCCCTCGCCTCCGCCGCCTGCTCCTAAGGCTGGCGATGCGAGCAAGGACGCTGCTTCGCCTCCTGCGGATGTTGCTCCCCAGGCGGGCAGCACCGGCAAGACCGACGAGGACTGCGACGAGGACAAGACCGACTCGAGCGACAAGTCGAACAAGTCGGACAAGTCTGACAACAGCAAGTCGAGCAAGTCTAACAAGTCTGACAAGTCGGACAAGACTGACAAGTCCAAGGGTGGTGAAGCCGACGAGGACTGTGACGACGAGAAGCCGCAGAACTCGGGTGGCAGCAGCACCACCACCACCACGAGCCACTCGTCCAAGTCGTCGCACTCGAGCCACAGCAGCAACTCGAGCACCACCACCACTACCACCACCATCAACGGTCAGCCCAACAACTCGGGCTCCTCCAAGTCCACCAAGTCGGACAACGCCAACAACAGCGACAAGAACGCTGGCAAGACCGACGAAAACTGCGACGAAGAGGACAAGACCGACAAGAACGACAAGTCCAACTCGGCCGATGACAGCAACACCAACTCGTACGATGCTGGCAAGGCTGACGATGCCGACTCGACTCCCAAGGCCGACAACTCCAGCACCACCCCCGCTGCTCCCGCTACTGCTGGTGCTGACGAGGACTGCGAGGAGGGCAAGGACAAGTCGACCAACAGCAGCGCCAACGCCGACAACTCCAACGCTGACACCACCACCAGCGACGTGCCCAAGGCGATCAACTCGGGCAGCGCCCCTTCGGCTCCTGCCGACGAGGACTGCGACGAGGACAAGTCGCAGCCCGCTCCCTCGCCTGCTCCTCAGGGCATCAACTCGGGCAACGCTCCCTCCACTCCCTCGCCTTCCGATGAGGAGGACTGCGAGGAGGACAAGCCTGCTGCCTCGCCCGCTCCCAAGTCGATCAACTCCGGTAGCACCGCCTCTGCTCCCGCCGAGGAGGACTGTGAGGACGACAAGGCTTCGCCCGCTCCCAAGTCGATCAACTCTGGCAGCACCGCCTCTGCTCCCGCCGAGGAGGACTGCGAGGAGGACAAGTCTTCGCCCGCACCCAAGTCGATCAACTCTGGCAGCTCGACTGAGGACGAGGGTGACTCTGCTCCCGAAGCTCCCGCGTCTGACTACGCGGATGCTGCTCCTGCTCCCGAGGACGATGAGGACTGCGACGAGGACGAGGACGCCTCCAACTCTGGCTCGCCCAAGTCTTCGCCTGCCGCTCCCGAGGACGAGGAGTGTGACGAGGAAGAAACCCCCGCCAACTCGCCTGCTCCCAAGCCCAAGGGCAACAAGAGCAACAAGAGCGACAAGGACTGTTCCAACTCTGCTTCGGGCAACGAGGACGAGGACTGCGACGAGGATGAGGACTCGTCCAACTCGCCTGCTTCCAAGCCCAAGGGCAACAAGACCCAGGCCTCCTCGAACTCTGCTTCGGGCAACGACGACGAGGAGTGTGACGAGGACGAGGACTCGACCAACTCGCCTGCCACCAAGCCCGTGCCTGAGGAGGAGGAGGAGCAGCCCGAGGGTTACGGTCCTGAGAGCAACAGCTCCAACTCGCCTTCGACCCCCGCAGGTCCTGGATGCGGCGTTCCCGCTAGCTTCGAGCAGCTCGTCAAGGTGTTTGTTCCCCCCGCGTGCGCTTCGCAGGGCATCTCGTCGGGTCAGTCGATCACTTCCGGTGGTGCTAGCGCCTCGTCCGCTGGCACTTCGGGCCCCGGTGTGACTTCGGGCGGCCCTAGCGCTGCCGGTGCTTCTGGCCCCGCTGGTATCTCGTCTGGTGGTACCAGCGCAGCCTCTGGTCCTGCTGGCATCTCGTCGGGTGGACCCAGTGCTGGCTCGTCGCCCGAGTCGTACAGCGACAACTCTGCCTCGGCCAAGTCGATCAGCTCTGGTGGCGCAAGTGCCCCTTCGATCACCTCGGGCGGTGCCAGCGCCGGTTCGATCACCTCGGGTGGTCCCAGCGCCAACTCGGGCTCTTCCATTCCCGGTGTTCCCTCGACTCTGGGTGGTGACGAGACGTGCCCTGCCCAGTCGCGCGCGGTTCTCGAATTCGCCCCTTGCGACTTTGCATCGCTCCTCGGCCGTATGCAGGTCACCCACGAGCAGCTGGCGATCTTTGAGGCGGGCCTGGCGGGTCTCATTGCCGCCCGCACCGCCACTTACACCGTGGACAACAAGCGCATCACACCCGACCAACTCGGCGCCCCCATCGACGCGGGTATCCGTGACGCGCTCAACCGCGCCAGCTCCAACTCGACTGCCTCTGCTACTCCGGCTCCCTTGCTTGCAGGTGCAAGCAGGTTCACTTACCGCCGTCGAAGCATCCTCCCCTAAAAAACTGGCGCCGGCTCTCCAGTTTCCCGTCTTTGTCTCCGTCTCCATCGCCAACGCTTAGCGTGTTTGGCCTACTAACTGTCCTTTCCCCCGTTTCTGTTTCGCTTTCCTCTGTCCCGAAATGACACTTTTGTTCGTTTCGCAAGTTCCAACACAGCATGCGTGGAGAGAGAGTTGTGATTGGTGGTATGACATTGTCGCCAAAAAAAGAATGGCGGGGTGGTTAGGAATGCTTTGTTGTTTCTTTGGCTGCATTGCGCTTGATGACGTCTTGGATGGCTTTGTCTGCAGCCTTGCGTCCGACCTGGGCCTTGACCTGGTGATTCGCGCGTGCCCAGCCCATCCTCACGAGCCACTTGACAAAGCTCGGTGTGACGGCGGCGGTAAATGCGACCCTAACGGGCAGCAGGAGTGTCTTGTGGATGGTGTAGGCCAGTACGGCTTCTGTCCAAATCGTGCTGCTACCGGTCTGCTTCTTGCCATCCTGGTTGTCTGGGTCGTCGTGACGCTGTTCGAGGCCGAGGGAGGAGCGCACCTGTGCTTCGAGCGAGCGGATGTGGTCGGCACCCAGCAGATGGATCGCCAGGAAGGTAAGCGAAAAGTCGACGGACGAGGCGGCGAGGTACACGCCTAGCGCCCACCATCCATAGCGGCGCGTGAGGAATTTGAGTCGCTCGCGCAGGGATGCCTTGGGTGGCGGCGCATCCGAATCGGCCTCCTCGGCCTGCTCAGCCTGCTCAGCCTTAGCCTGCTCGTTTGACGACTTGCCGCCTTGCGAGGACCGACGCAGCGACGCCTCCAACAGTGCGGGTCTAGAGGTCGACAATGATCGCAGTCCCAACTGCGCCGCGGGGGTGCTATTCGAAAGTCTGAGCGAGATCGGACGCACGGTGGAGGCGAGACGAGCGGTGCGCAGCGTGTTGGAGCGAACCACGTTGGCAGCGGACCGCTCGAGGTGTGGCAGCACCGAAGCTGGCGGCACCAACCGTGTCGATGCGAAACGAAGCGACATGCTGACGACCTGTTCCTCGCTTGAAGTGGTGGTCGCGACGCAAAGAATCGCGAATCAAGATGCAAGGCTGAGGCTGAGGCAAACGTGTGTTGGTGTGTGACTTTTTTGGTTCCTCGACGTCAGCTTTTTGGGCGAGCCAAAGCTCCAGCCAAAAATACTCGCCCTTCCCACACGTTCCCACCGCGAAGTCCGTCAGCAACGCGGCCACGAGTGGAGGCTAACGCCCCACCAACCAGCGAGGCCTGCCACCTCCGCGGAAATGTCGGCCTCGGCCTAACAAGCGGATCCCGTCACGCGACCTTCTCTCTCTTGACAGCTCCGCAACAGACCCACAGACAATCAACAAGCAACACACACTGCGACACCGCCGAATCATGCTACGTTCGTTGGTATTGACAGCAGGCTCGGACGAGCACGAAGCGAAAGACAAAGATGCGAATGAGACGCAAGTTTCGGGGGCCAAAGGAGCGTAGATGCCGAGATGAATCTCGACGATAGAACGGGGGAAAGAGCGCAGAAAAGGGCACGACCGACGCAGCTCGAGGCCGGGCGTGGTCTATTGGTAGTGGGTGTGCGGGTATTGGTTCTGCTGCGGATGCGACATGCCGGCATGCGCATACGGATCCACGCCGTACGGGTTGGTTGTATCCGAGTAGCCGCCGGGCGAGGTCTGCATGGCGTACTGGTGGCCGGCGTACATGTTGGCGTGGTTGGGGTAGTATCCTGCGGCGGGGTCCATCGAGTAGGTGTGGTCCATCTGCGGCGGGTAGTCATTGACCGGATAGCCTGCCGGAGGAGCCGCGGCGAGCGCGGTGGTGGAGCCGGTGAAGCTGTCGCGGCCCTTTTCGCCCATATTGCCGGCGCCATCGTGGTCGCCGCCGTCGTTGTCCGACTCGTCGCCCATGTCGAAACCAGCACCGCCAGTTCGACGCGCGGGGAGCGGCTGCATGACGTTCGAGTCCGGGTCGTGCTTGAGCTCGGGCCACTTGATGTCGGCATCGCCGTCTTCAAAGTTGCTGAAGCGACGCGTGCCGAACTTGAAGTAGAGGAAGAGGAAGGCGGCGAGGACGAGCACGCCGCCTGCGACCGAGACGCCGATGATGAGGCCGGTGCTGGCGCCGCCGCCGCCGCTGCCCGATGATTCTTGGCTGGCGGACGAGGCGGTTGGTGTGACGACGGTGGGTTGTGCCTGTACGGTGGCGGTGAGTGTGGTGGTGAGGCCGACCGAGGTGGACAAGGAAGCGGATGCGGCGGACGAAGCGGATGCGCGGCTTGCCGAGGCGGCGGCGGCAGCGGACGAGCGCGAAGCGGCAGCGTCGGCGCTCGAGATGGAAGCAGCAGCCGAGGAGGCGGCGGCGGCAGCGATGGAAGAGGATTGGGCAGCAGCAGCGGAGGCGGAAGATGCGGCGGCGGCGGAGGATGTGGAAGCGGCCGCCTCCGCTGCGGACGAGGATGCGGCGGCCGAGGCTGAGCTGAGCGAGGCTGACGCGGCTGAGGAAGCCGACGCGGATGCGCGCGAGAAAGAAGAGGAGACGTCGTCGTCACTACCCATGCCAAAGATGCTGGGGCCGAGAAGCTGAGGTGTGGGTTGGGGCGAACGAGCAGCCAGACGTGCGGCGTGATCTGAACGAGCTCGTGGCTGGTGCTGCGAGGCGGAGACCGCCGAGGCAGCCATAAGCGCGCCAAAGACGAGATAGCGAGCTGGCTTCATGGTTGCAGTCAAACGAGGCAGCGTGTGGTCAGCTACAACGATGGAGCGTGACGTGCGCGCGAGGATGTCGATCGACTCGAGCCAGAGTTTGAATGGCCAATGGATCCGGCCAGATGGAGCAGAGACCGAAGACGGAGGAGAGGAAAGCTGAAGACGAGCGCGTTTGATGGCGGTTGGCTTGCGTGCGCGTCTCTGAGGTCGCGACGGGGCTCGGAGATGAGGACGGCCAAGTGTCGAGGGGCGTGAGCGGGGGCCTAGTGGCAGATGAAGCGGCGAGGTCGTTGGTATGCAAATGAAAGTCGATGCCTGCGAGGCGTGTGGATGAGGAGAAGAGAATGTGGGGAGGTGGTGAGGTGTGGTTGAAGGTGTGTAGGAGCGCGAGAGATGGAATGATGGTGATGATGAAAGGGAGGGGAGCGAGATCAGGGATGTGCTAAGCGAAGAAGCGAGATGAGGGGAGAGGCGGTGCGGTGCAGTAGTAGAGAGTGAGAGTGAGGTTGCAGGCTGTTGTCGCGCCGTTGCAGGGCGGTGTGGCGTGGAGAGGGGCGAGCGGCAGACAGCAGACAGCAGACGGCAGACGGCAGACGGCAGAGCGAGGCAGCCGACCAAGCGAGGGGCCGGGCGATGTGCATAAGTTATTGGCTCACGCCGTTCGAAAGGCCAGCCAAGCTGCTCGTCCGAGCGGCCCCTTTCGTTTCGGGGGGCGGTGCCCTTTGGAATTTTCGGCCCACTCGACTTACCCTCGGCTTGGTTCAGCTCTCTGCTCGCCACGAGTGTGCCGCTTTGACTCAATGCCAGACGAAATCAGCGGATCGGACGGGACCTCTCCTCATCCTCGGCCCAGCTCCGACCCAAGGGACAGTATATTGAGTCTGTCTCCCACCAAAAGGTCAAACGGAGGAAGCATGTCGCCAAAAAAGGCCCTTTGTGTTGGTCGGCTTGGCGGTGTGTGTGTCTCTCTTTGCTCGGCCTTATTGGCTGTGCATTTGAATCGGAGTCGGGGCAGTCCGCCGGTGAGGCCAGGCTGACTGACTGGATTCATGCTGGGTGTTGCTCTGCGGCGCGCCGCCTGCTCCGAGGGTCCAGCCAGTTGGAGTGTTTTTCGCTTGAAAAATGCCGGTTTGAAATGCAGCCGAGCGGCTCGTGGCTTCGAATTTTTGAATGTGACGTGCTGGCAGGCTCGGATCGACGCCGATCCCGCCAATCTGTGCATCAGCGGGATTGGCAGAGAGCGTCGGCCTTCTTGATTGCAGATGTCGGGGATTCACCACGTCCTTTGAGCAAGCGAGTCGACATGGTGAATTATGGCAATGTACCGCAGCCTATCCGATCGGCCGCCTTCCGAGTCTTAATACTAGCTAGCAGCTTCAGGACCGAGTCGAACAAGCCAAGGCGAGTGGGAACGCTGGCGTGAGAGGGTCGCCAATCTCGGAGCCCCAAAAAGGATCAGCAGACAGGCGGGCACACGCGGCCGCCCAATCCGAATTTTTCACCACGCATGCACAGTTCCAACGCTGGTTTCACGACCACCTGCCAAAGCATCCTGATCGTCCCAACGGAATTTGCAACCGCGATACGCAGCCACCAGAGAGTCCAGAGCATCGTCTCGCTTGGCTGGCAGCGGCGGGCGCATCTACTGTACACGCCGTTCTCCGTCTCGGCTGGCGGCTCGGCGTTGTCGACGGGGCAGGGGTGAGCTGCGGCTGGGCGCATTCGGCTGCGCTCCTGCTGAGATGTCACTGCTTGGGTGCAGTTTGCCAAGAGTCGTGCCCCTGCCTCACCAGCCCCGTGTCGCTCCAGGCGCGCTCCCTTCGAAAATGTAGGACGGCACAGTCTAACAACTTGTTCCGTGTTGCGCGCGTGCGATTCGCCGACGCAGCCAAGCGTATGCACGACACGCCAAATGCGTACGCACGGTGCAGCACTTTTGTTTGGGGGCGCTTTGGCAAAATTTCCAGGCCTGTTTGCCTGCCTGAAGAAGACGGCGCGACATCGCCCAGTCGCCGCCGTCTGTGACGCGCACCTCGCAGAGCGTGGTTGCGGCAACAAGGAAGAGGTTGGTGCGAGGTCGCCGTCCAAGTTGCACGAGCATGTTGTTCTTGATCGCTCCTTGCTTACCTTCCCTTCCATCCACATCAGGCTTGCCTGCGTCCATCCACATCCATCATGTCGTCTCCGTCGACCGCGGCACCGCCGCCCACGAGGCCCGCAACCGGAAGGAAACGTGCCCCCTCTTTCTCCGAGGCCGTCGCACAGGTGCCCCAGAACGCCAATGCACGCGATGAGACCGCCGACCCTGCTGTCGCCGACCGTCTCGCTGCAGCAGCGGCGGCTGCTGCCAGCAAGGACCCCGTCGCCGCCTCCACCTCGGGCTCCACGGCCGCCACCAAGTCGGGTCAGCACTCGCGCACACCCAGCCAGCGCGAGGAAGACGAGATCTACCGCTCCCAGGGTCTCATCAAGGACCTGCTCACGTTCCGCTGGATGACTGCGCCGGCGTCGTCGCTGCAGCTCGCGCTCATCTTTGTGCTCGCCTACTTCAACTGGAACTTCTTCATCGGCACGCCGGACAACAACCCGATCGCGCCCTTCCTCATGCTCTCGCACCGCGTGCCGCAGAGCCAGGTCATCCTCGACTCGATCGCGCCCAAGGACGGCGTGCAGCGCGCGCTGCAGAACCTCATCCCGCGCTCGGCAGACAGCCTCGAGGCGCGATACCAAAAGGGCTACAACGATCTGCTCTTCCTCGTGTTCTACGTGATCGTCTTCTCCTTCCTGCGCCAGTCGACGACGCTCTACATCTTCAAGCCGTTTGCAAAGTGGTGGGGCATCAAGAGCGAGTCGAAGCAGGCGCGATTCACCGAGCAGGGCTATGCGGTGCTCTACTGGGGCAGCGCCGCCGCGCTCGGCCTGTACGTGATGAGCTTCCAGGACAGCTGGTGGTACAACCTCGAGCATCTCTGGCTCAAGTATCCGCACTGGCAGATGCGCTCCGAACTCAAGCTCTACTACCTGCTCCAGTTTTCGTTTTGGCTCCAGCAGGCGCTCGTCATGCTGCTGCGTCTCGAAAAGCCCAGGAAGGACTACTACGAGCTCATTGCCCACCATCTCGTCACGCTTTGGCTCATCGGTTGGTCGTACCTGATCAACCTCACCATGATCGGCACCACCGTCTTTGTGTGTATGGACATCCCCGACACATGGCTCGGATTCTCCAAGGCGCTCAACTACATGGGCCTCGACAACATCACCGTGGTCATCTTTGCCATCTTCATGGTCATCTGGACCTACTTCCGCATCTACCTCAGCGCCGCCACGCTGCATTCGGTGTGGTATCAGTTTGAGCTGATTCCGCGCTACGCGCGCGAGTGGGAGCCCGAAAAGGGATGGTGGCTCGTCAGCTGGATGCGATACCAGATCTTTGCTCCGCTCTTCCTGCTGCTCCTCCTCAACCTCTTCTGGTACGTGCTCATGTGGAGGATCATGTTCCGCGCCATCAGGGGTACCGTCGCAGACGAGCGGGAAGACGGAGAAGACGACGAAGAGGAAGACGACAAGAAGAACCAGTAAACGAGCCCCACAAGCTCATGTAAATAGTGTCCCTCCATCCCACCACCACGGCGCAGGTCTCCAATGTTCAATGGAATGTTGCTGTTTTCCCCAGTGGCTTGCTTGGATTGCGTGTGTGGAGTGCTTATAGTAGCACGACAGAGCCTTGGTAGACAAGGTGCCGAACAGAGCGGTACCGCAGCAGGTGGATCGAATCCTTGTCCAGGATGGCCGATTCGCCGCTGCAAACACACCCAATGCGCAGCGTTAGCGAGACGGACAGGGGCAGAGCGTCGACGGACAGATGGTTGGGGACTTACTCTGGAAGTTGAATCGTTCCACACTCGTCCAGGCAGCGCACGAACACTGGTCCATCTAGATCGGGCCCTGGTACTACAACACGCTCCCACCTTGTAATCAGTGACCGAGGCTAGCAAAGCACGACATGTCGGTGTTTGGTGGGGGCACTTACGCATGTTGGTCGAGGTATTGGGCTGGTGTGACTCTTGCTGGCTGAAAGTGTCCTGTCCAGGCGCCTCGATCTCTCGAAGCTGTTCTGGCAAGAATCCAAGAACAGCCGTATTGAAATGGTCCTTTTTCAACTGCCAATAGCTGTTATCCCCTTCATTCAACGTCAGTAACCAAGCCATCTTCATGTTGACCGCGTTGGGGGTTGCGCCAACTTACTCTTGCACGAATCTGGTCTCTGTGGGATTGAGCTTGGCCCTCTGTGCGGGGCGCGCCTGAATGAAGCCGGCGAACTTTTGCGCCAGGTCGAGCCGCGTGCGCGTGACGAGCTTGACGAGCCACTTTGCACGTTCCAGATCGACCTGCACCATGTTGAGGCGCAAAAACTCGTCTTCGTCGATCTCGTCCGCGTCGGCTGTACTGCCGATCTGCAGCAGCGAGTCGACGATCGACTGTTGCTGTTCCATCTGTCCGAGCAGCGTGTCGAATGCCGATGTGGGGAAGGGCAGCAGCTCGGGTGCCGCTTTTTGCGTAGCCATGAACAGTGTCAACTGCTCGAATGCCGACATGCGCGCCAAAGAGCACGACGACGAGTATGGCCAGCCCTTGGTGGATTGCCCTGCGGAGTGCGAGTTCGTCGGTGTCGAGGATCGTAGCAGGTCGTCAATGTCCAGACTCGAAGCCCCCGCTTCAGCCGCCGAGCCTGATGCTGAGAACGACGGAGATCCTGCTCGAATAGCTGAGGCCTGCGAGGATGAGCTTGCACCACCAGCAGCCGCGAACGGTCGTGACGAGCTGCCGACGGAGCGATACGACTCGTCCAGCACCTCATCCTCGTCCTCAGCGCCATCGTCGAGCGAGTATCGTGGAAGCGGCATGCTGCGTCGTCGTATCCCTGCAAAGGTGCCGTGTCGAGATCGTGACGAGTGGAGCAAACACGCTTAGGCGGCGCTGGTTGATGCTGCAAGGTGGTGGTGCTAGGACAGATGGTGTGGCAATTGGAGGCTCGAGTGCAGCGCAAACATGCATGCCTCGACCCGCACTTGCTCGGATGTCGGATCCACCCCGCCGACACCAACACTTTCTCACTCTACGCGACGCGTCTCGCCTCTCCACCCTTGGCCTCACTCCTTCCCGCTGAGACTTTGACCACACCTTCCAGGCAACGGAAAGGCACGCATCGAAGACAAGGTATCATGGAATCAGAGAAGCGATGGGCTAGAAATACAGTATCCAACGGACTATTGAGCAATACAGGGTTAAGCAATGGGCTAGAGTTGCGAAGTCATTTCGAGAAAATGGAGTCTTTGCGCCGTCCGGGTTCGGCGCAGCTTTACATGGCGACGCCGACCCACTCCGGCTCTTCTTGTTCGTACACGCCGTGGTGCGCTTGCATCCCGAGCTGGGTGTCGATCTGTGCCGGCGCGGCCTGGGCTCGATCCAGAAGCGTTTTGCCGTAGCTGCCGGGCGCGATGGCGGCCTTGCGTGGCTGCGACTGCGGCGAGGGCGACTCGACAAAGTTGAGGCCGAGCCCGAAGCCGCCCTCGGCCTTGGGCACGCCCGAGGCAGACACCTTGGGCCCCGATTGGGGGTCTGAGAGGGGGATGCGCGTGCGCGGCGGCGTCTGTGGCGATCGACCTGCGATCGACACGGGCAACGGCGACATGGCTGCCGACGACGCAATGTCGTTCATCCCCATCCCGAAGCGCGATAGAGTGCCGGCTGCGCCGCGCGCCGACGACTTGGGCGGCTTCACCGGCTGAGCCTTCTTGCCAGCGGCTGCGGTTGTCGCAGGCTTCTCCGCGAGCGATTCGACGCCTTTGAGATGCGCAAGACCGATCTGGCTCAGACGACCCAGCCCCAGCTCCTGAGCGAGCTCGCTCAGATCCATGCTGAGACCAAGCTGTCTGCCCACGGACTTGTCCTCGCTCCTTGCCGCCGTGGCGGGCGTGACGCTGGCACCCATCTGGCGAACCGAGGCGAGCGTGGGCGTGTCGCAGTCGCTCGAGTCCGGAGCGTTGGCCGGTGCACTCGCTCCCTTGAGCTGGAACGCCTTCTTGAGCTCCGACGACCCAAACACATCGGACGAGTCGAGAGCGTCAATACCAGTGCCCTTGCTCGCCACGCTACTACGCAGCTCAGCCTCGAGCTCAAAGATGCTCGTGCCCGCCGTGGACGCCACCGAGGTGCTGCTGGTCATCTTGGTGGGCGAAAACTCGAACGTCGTGCTGCTCGGCAGGTAGTTCATCCTGCGCTCGGGGCTTTCGGATGCATTGCTCGACGCCGAGCTAAACGTGCCGCCGCTCGCAAACGACGAGCTGGACATGCTGCGCGAGAAGGCGAACGCGCCCGAAGAGCTGCTGCGGTGGCTGTCCGCCTCCGAGAGCTGGCTCGTCACGCTCTCGGTGCGCGGCACACCCGCGTAGCTCAGCTCGGCCGCCACCGAGTCGGCAGTGATCGCGACGTGCTCCTTGGACACGGCCTCGTCGTTGGCAAGCAGTCCCGCGAACAGTGGTGCGAAGGGGCTCTGGTTCTCTTCGGGCGAGTACACCGATGCGGGCGAATAGACGCTCTCGGGGCTTGCTGGCGCCGCCTGAGCCACCTTGGTGGGCTGCACAGGTGCCGCAGCAACCGGAGCCGACTTGGGCGTAGGCGTCGCGGCATCGCTTCGAGACGGCAACGATCGCTGCTCGCTTGCGGCCGGAGCTTTGACAGCGGGCGTGGGCACCTGCGTCGACTCGACGGGCTTCTGCCGAGCCACGACGGTCTCGTATCGTTGCAAGGCTTCCTCCTGGCGCTCGTGGTCCTCTGAAGTGGCAGCCAGATCCGGAGTGGGCGGCATGATGTTGACGACCGGCAGCGGGGTGCCGCTTCGGCCCGCCATGAGCGGACTCCTCGAGAGCAGCAGCGGGCTTGCCACGGCAACGGCCTTGGCGCGCTGACCCGCAAAGTTGACGCGCCTTGCCTGGTGCGTCTCGACGGCCGCCGGCGGTCGTTGCGGACTCCTGCTCGGCGACTGGCTGTGTGTAGCGGTGCGACGCGCTGGACTAGCAGGCGATACGGGTGACGCTGGTGCAAAGGCCGCTGGCTGCTGTGGCGTCGGCGTGGTCGCGGCTGTACTCTGGTCGGCAAAGAAGCGAGGCTGTGGGCTGTTGGCGCGATCGGCAGCGACGGGAGCATGGCGAACGAAGGCCGGGAAGACCGAATCCGAGTGACTGTTGGAGCTGGGCGGGCTGGCGTAGTCGTGCAGCTTGAGCGCGGGCACGGTGCGGCCGTCTGCGCTGCGGCTGCGACGGCGCGCCGAGCGCACCTCCATGTCGGACCGGCGCGCGCGCATCTCGGGCTCCTCGCGGCCGCGGTTCTGGTCGAGCAAGCCATCCACCACCCTCTGCGTCATGGACAGACGCTTTGCGCTCGCCGCATTGACGCTGCGCTTGCCAAGACCAGCCGACTTGCCCGTTGGCGACCTGCCCTCGTCGCTGGATCGGAGCACGGGCTCGTTGCGCAGCGTGATGGTCGACTTGCGCAGGTCGTTGAGGCGGATGGGGTTGAGACCAGGACTGGGTACACCGCGACCGGTGCTCGATACCACACGGCTGACGGGACGGTTTGCGCCGAGCATGGGCATCTGGCTTTCGCGCGCGGTGCGTCGCTTGGCATCCCAGGCAAACTCGAGCGGGATCATGGGTGAGGAAGAGTCGAAGCTCGGCAGCGGGGGCAGTGCGGGGGCAGCGTCGAACAGGTCGGACCTGGCGGTGGCGTTCGACTGCCTGGGACGCGGACGTTCCTCGGGGGTGGCAAATGTGATGGATCGGCTGTTGGCGGTGCCAGCGCCACTCTGAGCCTCGCGGATCTGACGCAGGGCAGGCATGCTCTTCTTGGTGCTGAGGGGTGAGGTGCGCGACGGGCTGAAGTCCTGGACCATACGGAGAGGAGCGCGCTCTGGGCTGGTAGGCAGCGAGGAGGGCGACTCGTGCAGGCTCGAGCCGGACGAGCCTTTGCGCTGAGGCGAAAAGTGGAAGCCCGACTGTTCGAAAGTGAGCGTGGTGGGTGGAGCGCTCTGCGGCACGCCGTCGAAGAGGTCGGGCGTGGATCTGGAGGCGAGACCGGAAAGGTGGGGAGCCTTGTCCTTCTTCTTGCGGGTGAAGAAGCGTGCGAGGGAAGAGGATGACGAGCCAGCGTTGGCGCCAGCGCCAGCGCTGCGCGAAGACTTGGGCTTGGTGCCGAGGGGCGAGAAGAGAAGGTCGTCGGAAGGGAAGGTGGCCGAGGTGGGAGTGTTGGAAGCGGACGCGGCAACGCTCTTGCGCGAATAGAAGCGACGTCGTGCGGGCATCTCTGGCGCGTCGCGGTCGTCCTCAAAGACGGACGAGGATGCCGAGGGCTGGCGCGTCATCTCGAGCGAGGCGGCGACATCGGAGGGGCCTTGCGCATAGTCTTCCATGGAGGTGGTGAAGGCTTCGAGCTCAGGTGTCGGGCTGGCAGTCCACTTGTGGGATCGTTCGCGACCTTCGCTGTAGCGACCGGCGCAGCGCGAAGCATGATCAAAGGACGAGCGCGACTCGGGGGTGTGGTAGTCGGCCTCGTACCAGTCTCTGCCGGTGTCGATGCCCATGGCGTGGCGCGGATCAAAGATGGCGAGGCTGGCTTTGGAGACAAAGTTGATCTTGCCCTTTTTGGATTTGGGCGGTGGTGGCCTGGCAACAGGAGATCTTGTGGGGATCGGAGCAGGAGAAGCCGAGCGCTCTTCGACGTACTGGGACATGTAGACCAACATGGCTGCAGAACGTAACGCGACAGGAGCGGTGGGAGACGAGGGAAGCTTTGACGGTGATGGAGGTGCGAAGGGCCGGTGGTATATGGATCCAAAGTAGAATAGTTATGGCCGCTCGATAGCTGAAAGTGATGGCAGCAGGTACAAGGCCTGGAAAAGATTGGATAGTGTAGCAAAGAAAAGAATGTACGTGTCGCTAAGGGTGTGTTAAGGATAGTAGGTAGAGAAGGATGCCGCGCCGCGGGATTATGAGAGACAGGGCAGAGGTGGTGGAATGGGGGGTCGATGGAGCAGGTGGAGATTGGTAGGAAGAGGGAACAAGGAACAGAAGAGTGGTGGTGGACAAGCAACGGACAAAGGTGGACGAGGGCAAGCTGGTGGAGACGGAAACGGTAGGGTGGATTGAGCCGATGGGAGCGGCAGAGACAAGAGGTGCAGCGAGGTGCAGGGCAAGGACATGGAATCGCGGGAGAGCTGCCGGCCATTGATGGAGGTAGCGCCAAAAATGGCGAGCGGTAGAAGCAGGTCCTGCCCACTGCAGACGGACGGACACGCCCGCCATCGTGAAGCGCTTCGAGGCCTTACAACCGGACGGCGGCCGCGTCTGGGCGAGCGGAGGATGAAGTGGACGCGCTGGCGTTTCATTTCGACGGTCGCGATCCTGTTCGTGGGGACGGCCCGCCATGCTCGACACCATGCTCGACGTGAGGCTGTCTTGACAGGCCGGGCGGCGCAAGCGAGGCTCGCAAGAGGGCAGAGGCACCGTTTGACACTCGGGCAGGAGGGCAGCAGACCATTGCCGAGGCTGGTTGAGCACTCATGCAGATCAGGCAACACCTGCGGTCTCAGTCGGTGCAGCAACGGAGCGACATACAGTACGCACAATGAGTGGATCGGCGGCTGCTCCGCGCCCATTTACCCACGTCGGCGACACAAGCGACGCCGCTATGCGCTCTTGGCACGCAGCGGCCACTCGCCTTGTGACCTGCCAGCGTTCACTCGATATCGACTACCTCCGGCCTTTTTCCAGCATCACAACTTTGTCTTTGAACTGGTTCTGGATTGCTCAGCACCTTGGCTGACCTTGTCAGTCGATCTGGCGACATCAGCGGAAGGCGTCGGCCGAGCTGGAAGGAAAAGCTGGCGTGGGGCACAATGGCGGCGACGGAAGCGGGAGGTGGGCATGGCCTCGGACATGTGAGAAGAATTCGCTGCAGGCCCGCCTCGACGTGCATGCAGGCACCTCGCCAGCGGTAAATCAGAGGAGTGCCGACGGTGCGCGACACGCGACCATTTTGCTTTTTGCGTGCCAAATCGCAGCTGCAACGCACACGTCCAGCTCGCCGCCATCCGAAACGCGCGACGGAATCCAAAGGGTCTAAGCGACGCGCTGCGACAAAGGCGAGGCGAGGCGCGTGTCGGTCGATTCAGGGCAGCAGGCTTGGAAAAAAGTGTTGGTTTCGCTTGCAGGCTGAGGGTCGCCGCCGCACATTTCGCATGCAAGGAGCCCAAGACCCAGCCAGCCAGCCAGCCAAATGGGAGGCAGGGCGCGTTCCCCTGATCGGCGCAAGCCAGTCTCTGCTGATGATGTCGCAGCATCTCCAGTCGGCCTGGCGAGGTTGAGCGGAACCCGCAGGACCAAGCGAGCCTCCCGATGTTTGTTCGGCTATCCTCCTCGACGCATCGACGCAGAGCCGCGGTGAGCAGCCCCTGCCGTCATCAGGCTCAAGCTCGAGATGATGGATGTGTGCAATGTGGCTCTTCTGTGACGATGGCCCTGATCACGGATCAAGCAGGCCATCTCTCCATTATCTTGGCGAAAGGGCCAGTGCGAATCGTAGGCGGCCATCATGCGGCAGGATAGGCACTGCATGCCTGAGCTGACATCAGTAGATATGGAGATGGCAGCCAACGTATGCTGAGTCTAGGATGATATGATGGCAGCGTCGCGAGGTGGACTCGCGAGCAAGTCTGCAAGGGGTCGATCCTAGCCGCACACCGCGAGCCGTGGGCAACAAACAGTCGCCTAAGCACTCTCACGGCTTGGCAGGAGCAACTCCCCTAAGCGAGTGAGACAGAGGTCCCTCACATGATTGCAGGCGACCTTTCAACAGCTTCACCGTGCGGACAAGGTCACGGTCGAGGTTCGCATCGAGATCGGGACTGCCATAACCATGCCATCGGGTCAAAGGCACCGAGGTCCATCGATTCGCCCGCCTTCATCTCTGTCCACCGGCGCAAAGGCTCCGAGATGCAGAAGGCCGCCAAGCAAAGCTCCGGCTTCGGCCTTGTTCCGAATCCTACGCGGAGCTTTTCTCGCCTGCCAAATTCCTGCCCTCAAGAAAATCCTCACTTGACCTGGCGTTGAAGAGACGCGTTCTGCATCCTGCGATGTGGAGCTGGAGCTGGAAATCCGGCGTTGCATGCCCGTGCGTCGGAGCATCGGCTCGAGCCGAAGTCGATCCGGGCGTCTCGCGCAGAGCCCCACAGCGTCTAAGTAGTCTCGCAAGGGTCTCCACTTCCTCGCGGCTGCCTTTCTCGTCTTCCACGATCCTCTTTGAAGCAACACCATCGCCGTCACTCAAATTGACGACGAAGCGGGTGTCCGAAGAGCTCGAGAAATCCGCACCGACAGTGGCTCGCGGTCCGTACGTGGCGGCTCGCTCGCACTCGACCTCGACCGTGCTCGAAAACGATGCCGTCAGACGTCCATTCGTCGCATGGGCGGCCGCCGCCTCTGGTGGTCCTCTCGGGAGGCCTCGTCTCCCACGTGCACACCATCATGGGCTTCCTCGCCTTCTTCGGCGCCCTCATCACCGCACTCTCGCTTCACTACCAAAAAGTCGTCAAGAATCACGTGGCTCAGTATCCCGACGAGTGGTGGCCCTCGGTGTCAGCCACCATCGGCGACTGGTATCCAGAACGCAACATCTTCCAAGTCGGCATCGCGCTCATGGCAGGTCCGCGCTTTGCGCTCGTCTTCCTCTCCGCCCTGCTCGTCTCGCTTTCCACACCGAACCGCTCGCCCAAGGCGTCCATCCTGCTCTTCGTCGGCGTGCTCCGCACCCTTGCGTGTGGAGGGTGGGTGTACGTCACCAGCACCGACGATCACCTCTTTCACGACATCGCCATGTTCCTCTACCTCGCTCTCACGCCACCGTGGATGTTCATCACAAGTGGCAGTCTGGCCCAACCAAGCGTGTCACCCCGCGCAGGTGCTTCTGACTCGACATCCAAGGACGCGCTGGCGGCAAAAGCGCGGCGCATGCGCAGGATCGCCTGCTTCTCCTTCTTTGCATGCACCCCATTCATGGGCTACTTCTTCTACCGTCACAATGCGCTGCGCGTTCCGGGTGCTTATTCCTACTATGCCTACTTTGAATGGGGACTCATCATCTTTGTAGGTGCAAGTTGATGCGCACCGGCCTACGCATTGCACCTCGCACTGACTCCTTTTACTTGGGTCTGCATACAGGACCTCCTCTTCGATGCGGCTAGCGTCTACGACCTTTCGCGTTTCGAGATCCATATCGTAGAAGCTCCCAAACTAGAGCCGTCGTCAAGCACCTCGGCAGCGCGCGACACAGCATACGGACCCGAGGGTCGACGTCTCATCGATGGCGCATGGGCTCGAGGCGGTCGCCATCATGCCATCGCTTCCGGCGCTTGGTCCGCCTCACAGCTTGGCGCCGGCGCAGACGGGTACGATCTCTTGCCTCGCGTGTGATCCTGGACTGGCATCCTGCTCAGCCGCCATCGATCGATCTCAAGCTGACGGTCATCTCCTCTTGTTTTCGCCATTTGCATCACTTTCAATCAATCTCACTGCGACCATCTTCCGATACCGCCTGGATTCAAACGGACTTGGCCTGGTCTTCCTTGCGCCGCACAGTCAACAAAGCGCACCTCCTAAGGCTGCCACAGATGAAGACGATGCGGTGGATCCCGTTCTCGGCGATGATTTCGAATGTCTCGCGTCTCCGACCAGCCTCCGCGCCATCATCGCCTTAATGTCGGACAGCTACCTAGGTACGTATGCATGAGCGCTCCGTCGGAAAACTTGATCTGCTTGGTACTGACACCCTTTCCTGTTCCGCCACCTCAGCTTTCTGCTTTTGGACGGCGCTGACCGCCTTGCATCCAATGATCTTCTACTGTGAGTCAAGACCACGAGGTAACTGCGGTGCTGCGGAATTTCTGATTCGCCTTGTATCTTCGCACCTTCGCCGCCCCGAATCGACCCTCGCCTCGATTGCGACCCGCAGTCAGCGTCTACAACCTTGCGATTGGTGGTCACGAGGCGCTGCTCATCTCGCAAGTCCTAGGTCTCGGCCTCACCCTGGCCTTACCGGCACTTCGTTCGCGCGTCAGGCGGCAATCTAGCAGCGGCGCTTCCACTGTGGGACCTGTTTCGTCGCAGGCAAAAGCGCTTGGCTGGCTCTTGTCGCTCGCGGGCCAAGCCAGCTGGTGTGTCGCCAACCCGCTCGTGCGGCTGGTCGCCGTGGCCTTTTCCAATGCGCTGCTTGCCGTGCTCCTTGCACTCGAGTGGGGCGCCGCCTGGGAGACCGACCGCTTGTCCGTCAAGCTGGGCATCTGGCTCATCGGCCTGCTTGCAAGCAATCTTGCCAAGTACGCCAACCACAGCAACAACCCGGCGTGGCCCTTCATGGACTCGACGAATGGCGGGCACAACGCGCTTCTCCTCGCGCTGGCGCTTGTTGCCATCGCCGAAATGGCCGTTCGCCCCAAGTACGACCGTTTTCCGAGCCTACAGCGCCGCCAGAGCAGTCGTACCGCCCCCGCCCGTTCCAAATCAAACGGCAGTTTCACGATGGCGGCGCTGGGCGTGGGAGCATTACTCTACGCGCTCCACACATTCCTCACGGACACGGGCACCATGATCGCTTGGGGCTGGACTGGGTATCCCGTGCGAGGACCCATGGCCATCCCGCATGGCTGCATCATTCTGATCACCATGGCCTTTTCGTCGCTCGCTGCCACTC